GGTCCAGCTGCTTTAGCCTTTGCCCAGACTACCCACGACGGTGCAACGCATCCCACGCGCCGTGACGCCATGGCACTAACAAACACCGAACCCCGTTCTGGGGTGGGGGTCCTCCGTCACTTATCGCTCGCCATCGACGATTTTCCAGGTTGCGCTCCGGCCCCAACAAGAACACCAACAAACATCCCAACGAGCGACCAGGGGGGGGGGGGGAGTGGTCCCGCAAAAGACCTCCGCGGACCCGGTACCTTAAGACAAGCGCAAACGCGAAATTTAAATCCTCCCTATAACCCAATTAAACCACCCATGGCGACCTCTCTCCTCGCCCAGTGCTCAAACACTCTCTGGTGCCATCTCCGTTCCCTACCCCTCTGGGCATTTGTCCTCGTCGTCCTCCTCTTCGGCGCACTCCGCCAGCGCATCCTCCCATCTTCTTCGTCGTCTTCTTCTCCGACCCGACGACGACGACAACAGCCAGCACCCGGCGTCGCGGATAAGAAGACGTCCGCCTCGTAAAACGGGGTGTGTCTTCCGCCAGCCGCAAACGCCTTCCCTCCCCCCGCGGGAGAAACAACACCATACAACAGAAGAGAAGATGGCGTCCGCAATCGCAAAGGCCGCCCGCACCGAGGCCGACTTTGATCGCGTCCCCGTCCGTGTCGTCCGCCTCATCCGCCTCGCCGGCGCGAGCGGCCTCGCCTACGCCGCCTACAAGATCCACTGGCGCATCGTCCTCGCCAGCTTCTTCACCGGCCCGGGCAAGTTCAGCCGCATCCTCATGCTCTTCTTTGCCCTCCTGAACCTCAAGAACATGCCCTTTGTCTGGACCGTACGTTTTTGCCCTCCTCCCCGCCGCTGTCCTCGGCCCCCCCCCAAAGGCATTACAAGAAAGCCCCGACGACTAACATTGTCGTGACAGTACCGAGTATGGCACGCAATAATCTACCACCTCTTCATCCGCAAATCCCCCCGCCTCGGCCCCCGCTCCCTCTTCCGCCCCATGATCTCCCAGTCCCACGCCCCCATCACCGAAATCGACTACAACATCCACAAGTCCAACTCGACCTACTTCTCCGACCTCGACGTCTCCCGCACCCACCTCTGCACCTACCTCCTCCGCCCAGGCTTCCGCCAGCTCACCCACAACGTCACCACGCAGCTCGTCCTCGACCCCAAATCAGGAAAACCCGCCCGCGGTCCGCTGGGCATCATGCTCGGCGCCGTCCACTGCTCCTTCCGCCGCGAAATCACCGCCTACGCCCCCTACGAAATGTGGTCGCGCATCCTCTCCTGGGACCGCAAGTGGCTCTACATTGTCACGCACTTTGTGCCCAAGGGCACCGCGCGCCCGACAGAGTGGCTCGACCCGAAATTCGGCACCGCCAGGGTCCGTCGCAACCCCGGCGGCGGCGGCGGCGCGGGCGCCACCAACAGCGCCGAGTGGGAGAAGAAGATTTACGCCACGGGCGTGAGCAAGTACGTCTTCAAGATTGGGCGGTTGACGGTGCACCCGGCCGTGGCCCTCGAGGCGAGCGAGCTGCTGCCGCATCGGCCCACCGAGGGAGGGTGGCAGGGCGGCGACAACGGCGTGGGCGACGACAGCATCGACTTGAGCGACGTGACGGACGACGGTGCGTGGGATTGGAAGATGGTGGAGAAGAGGCGGCGCGAGGGCATGAGGTACGCGGCGCAGTTTGCGAGCATGGATGACCTGCACGGATGGCTGGACGGGGCGGATGGCGGTGACGGGAGTGCGCTGGGCAAATTCGGCCTTGGCTAAGACGAGTAGATGGCCGGGAGTTGTGATACCCCCCCTTAGACCTAGACAGTGATTGAGAAACCTTGAATGATGCGAAGAGGGAAGGCGCAACTTTGCAAAAGATGCAAAACTGGGGATATAGATGTTTCTTTGGATTGATATTGCCACGAATTAGTCGATAGAGCTAGACATACATGCGCGTACAACTACAATCAGACATTCACTGTCAAGTGTGCTGGTTATTTCTCTTTTCCCGCTAAACTCCCACAGTCCACAATCTTCCTCTTGCATTGGGTATAGTAAATACAAGGGAGGAAAGAAAAAGGTTGATGAATCAAAATCAAGGCCATGTTGTGAGGAAGGACAACGTCAGAGAGCGAAAGCGGCGGCGGCGGCGATCGCTCCAGCCCAGCCAGCGACCTGAGCCCGGCCGCCGGCGGCGGCTGGTGACGTTGTGCTGGCGACGGCAGCCTCTGTTGCGGTACCGCTGTGGGAGGAAGATGAAGACGTCTTGGTGCCGGTGGAAGTGGTCGCGGCGGCGGTGCCGGAGCCGGCCGAGGCGGACGATGAGCCGACCTGTGCACAGATCTGAGTAGCGAGCTGGAGAACCGCTGGAAAGAGCGTGTCAGCATGGTTGTCTTAACAAGTTGCCCACGACCACCCTTCTCATGGTTTTGGAGGATAGATACATACTGGCTTGATCCGCTGAGCTGCAGCCGGACGAGGCAAGGCAGGGCACGACCGTGGCTGTAAGCTGCGTCACTTTTCCGCAAGAGCAGGCAAAATCTTCCACGTCGCAGTTGACAGACTGGGCACCGTCACGAATGCAAGTGACTGCGCAGGTGGGAATCTGCGCAACGAGCTGATCGACGGTCTCGGCGACCGCAAGGACGGCGAGGAAGGACGCCACAATGGTATACTTCATCTTGACTGTCTGCTGTCGTTCGAAGCCGAGGTTGGTTCGGAAAGAACTAGGGCTGTCGAGGTACGATGAAGTGGCTGATAGGGCGCGGAGAAGGACGGGTCCAGCAGAGGCAAATGGGAGCAGAATAACAGTGCAGTTGCATGAGAGGACGATGGGGCCTTTATAAAGAGCATCGACAGAGACACCAAGACCGGGGCCATCATCATCCACCGGTCGCCGGAATGGCACAAGCTCATCGAGGCAACCCGCCGAGAGCTCCAAACGCAGCCAAGACGTGGTCTACGCCGGCGCGCTCCCAGATGTCTCGCACCCCGGATTAGGCATGCAGACGGATGGGACGGTGATGGGAATTATTGGTGAAAGATTGGACCATGCGGGCCAAAGCCCCTCAGATAGCTGCTGCTACGGGCCTTGTCATCCGTTCCGTGGCAGATTGCCTACTGTCAGTCTAGAGATGATCGGCCGCCACAGCTTCCTTGGCGTGAAGCCGCTGTAGCTCTCGCGAAATGCACCGCTCGGACTGGCTGGTTTTGCAGTGCCGTCTAGCAGTCGGGGCGCAGGTGCTAGTCAGTCCTCTGACTACGAACAAAGGCGGCTAGAGAGGATTATGGGTCAGTCGATACCATCCATTCTTCATCCTCCGTCCCCGAGCCTGGGTCAACCTTCCGCAAACGTCTGCGCGCGGGACCGAGGAGGCAAGGACCCTGCAGGAGAAGCTGACAAGCTTGGGCTTTGGGAATTCCCTCCTGTGGAAATACTGGATCCTGGACTTTTACCCACCGATTCATCTCTCCCGACGGTTGCGCCCTCAAAGGCTCAGCAACCTGACGTTGATGACCTATTGCCTGGGTCTGCAGAACGAGTAATGCAGGCTCAGGGGAAGGTGGTTAAGCTCATGCGGCATCGAGTAAGCTTCCCGTGGGCCCCTGTCGCAGAGAGGAAGATCAGATACCCGGCCAATCAAGATGGTCCATTCTTGGATGCAAGGAACGTGCTGAGTACACCTGCATTAGCTTTTCGACGCTTCTCGCATGGTGCGTGGTCTGTGTACCCGTACCCTCCCGTGCCTCGACCAGAACATCGGACGAGTGCTTGCTAGTCTCAGTAAAATACACTGTCCTTTCCCACTTTCCAGTTATCGAGGCAGCGAACTCTCGTATACGGTATAGAGAAACGTAAGAGGAACTTGGACGTAGACTTGATGGACCCTGAGTCAAGCATGATCAAAGGTGCAGAATGTCCGTCGTGGTGTTCGAAGGCGGGAGCTATCACCCGACTGGCCGAGACCGTGCGTTTTGGGTCTATTGGCCTCGCGAAATGGTTTTCTCCTCCTTCCCGTTAGTGCCGCAAATTCACATCCTCCAGTCCGCCGGCATGGAACGTCTGGATCTGGCAGACATTCTGAACCGCTAGCATCGCTGTGTTTGCCAGAGCGATGTCTGCCATGAGTCTATCGCTCGGTCTCAATCCCCATAACATGCTGTTCTGAGCCCTAGCTGGAAGGAACCTCTTTCCTAGTAACGAGTGGGAGGCGTCATGTGGATTCTAATATGTTGCCACGCGCGTGCAAGAAACGTTGCTGAGAAACACGTTGCTCCCCAAACTGGGCTGTTCGGGGCCTCAAGAGTCGAAACTTCTCATGATCAGGACGTAAGAGGCTGCCAAGTGTCAACCCGTGGCGACGCTTTCAAGCTGATCGTGACTCTCATACCCAACTTGCCCGAGTTTGAGCAGCTGTCTGAAATCAGTTGTGGGCTTGGCAGGGGTTGTACCCGATGGGTTGCTCGGCGATTCTAGAGAATCGGAATGCAAACGGAGTGTACCATTATCATCCGAACCCGTTATCACGTGGACTAGTGTGCTGTTCCTCGCAAGTTACGCTCACAGCGGTCGGGAAGATTTGATGCTGTTCTCGACTTGGGGTGTCTTCAATTTGAGCTGGTCTCCGTTTTCGTCGTCGATTCGAGGATGCGCAGTCCGGCTCTCAGGTTGACGCGACTCCGATTTTGTGTTTCGGGCGTACCGTGGCTCAGCTCCAGTTCTCGGAGCAACTTTCGCATGGGGCCATGATGCTCCTTCTCGCCGCGGGTACGCGTTGCTGAAAGTGCAGGGTCAACGGACGGCGATCTGCGAAATCAGACAAATTCGCTTTGCAGCTGAGCATAAAGTTGAGCTGGAGACCTATTGCGGTGCGAGCTGGGTTTGGAGTTGTCACGGTTGAACAGACGGAACTGCTCCGTGGTGACGAAATAGCGGACCCGCCTACAGTGCGTGACGTGCGAAATTGGACACCGGGCACGGTGCACCAGCTGCCCCTCCATCCCAGATCGCCCGCCGCGGGGCAGTCGGACCTGATCAGAGTCAACCTTGGCAAGCGCGACCTCGGGCACGACTCTCCCTCACATCTCACCCCAAAAACCAGGCGGCCTCAAAAAAACATGACGGAACAACCGGTATCAGTCCTCTTCGTCTGCCTCGGCAACATTTGCCGCTCGACAATGGCAGAAGGCGTGTTCCGCAACATTGCGCAAAAGCCGCAATACAAGGGCCTCATCTCAAAGGTGGACTCTTGTGGCACAGGTACGGCGGATACGTCATGATGAACCCTCTCATTGTTGTCGTGTGTAGGAAAGCTGACGCGAATATTGGCGCAACAATAGCGGCCTACCACGTTGGCGATCCCCCAGACGACCGAACGATGGCGACTCTCGAGGACCACGGCATCACGGACTATTACCACGCCGGTCGCAAGGTACGAAAGGGCTCCCCCCCCTTCCCTACTGGTTGGCCTGGACGCGTCTGAAGAGAGCACAGAGTTGCTGACCCCCCGAGCTTTCACTCCGTGCAGGTGTCTCCCTCAGACTTCAACAAGTTCGACTACATCTTCGCAATGGACCGATCAAATCTCCGAGACCTGCAAAACCTACAACAACGAGGCTACGCCGATACAAAGGCCAAGGTGATGATGTTTGGCGAGTTTTCGGGAGGTCCCAGATCAGAGGTGGTGAACGACCCATACTACGGCGGCGACGAGGGCTTTGCAAAGGCCTACGAACAGTGCACACGGTTCTCGCACAACTTTTTGAAGCACGTCTTCCCCGCCGTCGACCCCAAAGCATAGTTGGAGGGCGGGTCTGCTACTGTGGAGAGAGAGAGAGAGACAGTATTGGGGCCAGAAAGCGAGGACCAAAGGCTCACGACGCGCCGCGAAATATGGTCCTGGGGGCGGCGGCGGCGGCGGCGGCGGCGGCGGCACGCGTTGTAGCAAAGATTTGACTCTTTCGCTGCACTGAACAGTCCTTTCGTCAACGGTAAGGCGTCAGGACAGGGGCAAGTGGGCCTGGCCAAATGGCAAAAGAGGACAGCACTGGCCGCACTGTCGAAATGATTATTTCTACATTGGAGACGTAAAGGCGAGGGAAGGGAGGGGCGCATATGAGCATGTCTTTGGTTTGATTCCACAGTTACAACATGCATATAGAAGATGAGATCCCATGCCGTTGCCAACCAATGCGGGTGCAAATTGCAGGACGACGGCAAGACGGCCTGACGAGGATGGAGCCGTAGACGCCGTTGAAGACAACCCGAGGGGTTGAGGTGCCTAAGCGAGATGGATTCGGGGCGTGGGCTACATCCAAGCTAGCGTCTTTGATGGCAGCGGCAGCAGCTACATACTTGGCATGGCAGATGAAGAAAGAGAGAATCAGGCGGGCCAAGATAAAGGGACGGATACTATCTGAACAGATGATCAAGGTTGAGCTGAGAGTGAGAGGCTCTTCAGCCCTATCTTGTCAGTAGGTAGATGGAGGTGGTGCCCGCGTTGGCTCGGCTTGGTGTCGCCCAATGGCCGTAGAAGTAGCTTACGCCGGCGGACGGATTGCTGACGGCAGATTCCTCGTTGGCAGTGATGCTGGGCAAATTGCGACGGGTCGCAATCCTGCGGATGAGGAATACACATCGTGCTTGATACTGACGCACCTAAGCTTACATGCCGACGCAGCGGTGCAGTCTGACCAAGGGCGACCTATAGGATCGTGATCGAGGCGCAGTTGAATTGGATTTCATCCCAAAGTTTTGACGGTGCTCGCTGCTGACCAAATGCGGGCCAGGCCGGGAGTTGGTTGACAGAAAACTGTCTCACTTTGAGGTCTAAAGTGGCCGGGACTTCTTCGGTACCAGCCGCGCTGCCACCGCATTCCCACGTATAGGTACACAAAGTTTGTTCCCCTGTGTCTTGGGATGCGATAACGAGCAGAGAGATTGCGGTATTCGTATCCCAAACTCTCGTCTCCATGGCAAAACTTGATGGGAGCATTGCAGCTGTTTATTGGTGCAGGTATTCGTACTTTGTAATAACGAGTGAGGTTGTTCCTGTCTTGTCAAAACTTCAAAGGGGCTCAACCGGGAATTGGAATTGGCACATTCTGGCGGGGTGGTGTGCTGCAGCGATTTGTCGCGCGGTTGCAAAGCTGCATCTCCACGAGTCCAGTCACGGTGCTCAGCGGTAACTGGCCCGAGGCAAATGGAGCTTTTATCTGAGAACGGACCGGGACCAATCAAGGTTCTCTCAACGACCCAGTAGTCAGCGAATCAATGGAAGTGCGGGACCGGGGGTGGGTGAGATGTGGGCCTTTCCCGCCAAGTCGCTTCCGGCCTAACGTCAGCAGCTTGTGCCTTGTACCTTGCGGTCGTCCCTTGCTCCCAGGCAGAAAGCTCAGATTGCTGGAGCATCGCTCGCACCTTGGCTTTTCGACACCGGATTCAAGACACTTGGTGCGTGTTCGAGACAGCTGGGCTTAAGGTCAGATACAGCAGCTAGCACTGGTGCATTTCAGAGCTGCGACATGCCTGGGGCCACCTCATAAGGCAGAGACAAGACGGGGAGCTCCAATCTACTACCCCTCCACCTCTCACCCCCCTTCTCTTCCACCGCGATTATCATTTGATCAACCTAAAGATTCGCGCAAGTACGAAGACATCCACACTGTACCTTGCCCACGGTACTACTCTTCACCACACTCAGCCTTGGGTTCGTTCAATCACCAATGCCATGACCGACAATCTCCAAGTCTCATCATCTTCATGTGTAAAGTGTCCGCAGTCCACAGTCCACAAATCCCACTTATCTTGAACAAAACCGAGTGTGCCAGTGCAGCAGCTTGCTTGCTGTGCCCCCTTTCCATCTGGCTTTCTCTCGCTTTCTGTCCCTGTTCAGGCCCAGGTGATCCTGTCCAGCCCCCTCCCAGATGGAACCTCCCCCCTCGGCTCGTGCCTTTGACCATTTTATCGCCTGTTCTTGCCTCGACTGTGAATGCTCCATCCCATTAGGCGCTGTGTCCCCGGCCTGGCCATCCCATCCTTTCCCATCATCCCCCCAATTCGCCCAAGGCATTTCCCCGTCGTCCTATCCTAACACGTACGTACCTTTACTTTATCTTTTCCTCCTATCCATAGGTAGGTACCTTACCCAAGGTATCGCACAATATCTCTGGACCTCCCTCCCTCTGCTTACTTTCCCTCACTCGTATTTCTTCCTTCCACATCTCCCCCAAAGTCACCCATCCCTGTGGGACAAAGACGAGAATTGTTCCGGCAATCCGGCATTGTCATCTGGCATATTCCATCCAGCGACGTAGTCAGAAAGCAGAAACACCCTACCTTATAATACAGCCTGCTTCCCCCGCTGCTGCTGCTGCTGCTGCTGCTGCTGCTCCTCCTCCTGTTGCGTGGACGAGCTGTTCTTTTTCGGTTCATCTCGCTACCCTGTCTGTTCCGCAACTGTCGCATCGCATCGCATTCCTTGCTTGCTTCCCCACCTTTGCCTCGATTGACTCGCCAAAGATACCCCTCGATTCCTCGACAAGCCCGACACGCCAAACCTACAAGCTCGAAAAAACAACAGCTCCAACCCCAACCAGCAACCCGACAACCTCCAGAGAGCAACACAGACTTCGCAAAAATGGCTGATCTCCAGGGACGCAAGGTTTTCAAGGTTTTCAACCAAGACTTTATCGTCGACGAGCGATACACGGTAACCAAAGAGCTCGGCCAGGGAGCTTACGGCATTGTCTGGTGCGTGCGACCTTTCCCGCTCTTCCCCTCATCCCATCCGCTGCCACTCTGCGATGCTGTTGGTGTTGGTGCTGCTACCACTGCTACTGCCCCGCCATTCGGCCAAGAAGCTGACGAATATCCCCCTCACACAGCGCCGCCGTGAACAACCAGACCCAGGAGGGCGTCGCCATCAAGAAGGTCACAAATGTTTTCAGCAAGAAGATCCTCGCCAAGCGCGCCTTGCGCGAAATCAAGCTGCTCCAGCACTTCAGGGGACACCGCAACGTGAGTCCTTTGCCTGCTCCAAAAGCTGTCCCAAAAACCCCAACGCCAGCCTCATCGCCCACGCGGCTGCACCAATGCCAACACCCAGAAAGAAAAAAAATTGCTGACTGCCTGCTGTGACAGATTACCTGCCTCTACGACATGGACATTCCTCGACCCGATAACTTCAACGAGACATATCTCTACGAGGGTACGCTCTCTGCCGCGTGCATCCGCCGCCCCGACCGAGTCGGCTGTGCTAACACATCTGTTGTGCTACAGAGCTCATGGAATGCGATTTGGCAGCCATCATCCGATCCGGTCAGCCGCTGACCGACGCTCACTTCCAGTCCTTCATCTACCAGATCCTCTGCGGTCTCAAGTACATCCACTCCGCCAACGTTCTGCACCGTGACCTCAAGCCCGGTAACCTCCTCGTCAACGCCGACTGCGAGCTCAAGATTTGCGACTTCGGTCTGGCGCGCGGCTTTTCCGTCGACCCGGAGGAGAATGCTGGATACATGACGGAGTACGTTGCCACCAGATGGTATCGTGCTCCCGAGATCATGTTGAGCTTCCAAAGCTACACCAAAGCTAGTACGTGTCCAAGATGGCGTCGCATGGCTGCAGTTGGGTGAGATGTTAACCACACAATAGTTGACGTCTGGTCGGTTGGCTGCATTTTGGCCGAGTTGCTCGGCGGCCGTCCCTTCTTCAAGGGCCGTGATTACGTCGACCAACTGAACCAGATCCTGCACATTCTCGGAACCCCCAACGAAGAGACCTTGTCCCGCATCGGCTCCCCTCGCGCTCAGGAATACGTCCGCAACTTGCCCTTCATGCCCAAGAAGACCTTCCCCAGCCTGTTCCCTCAGGCCAACCCCGACGCCCTTGACCTTCTCGATCGTATGCTCGCCTTTGACCCCTCGAGCCGCATCAGCGTCGAGCAAGCTCTTGAGCACCCTTACCTGCACATCTGGCACGACGCCTCCGACGAACCCGACTGCCCCACGACCTTCAACTTCGACTTTGAGGTCGTCGAGGATGTCGGCGACATGCGCAAGATGATCCTGGATGAGGTCTACCGCTTCCGCCAGCTGGTCCGCACCGTACCCGGAGCCGCTCAGGCCGGCACGCAGGCCTCCGGACAGCAGGTTGGCGGCCAAGTTCCGATCCCCACCGGAGCAAACCAAGGATGGAGCTCATCGGACCCTCGACCGCAAGAGTACGGCAGCCAGGGAGGCGGCTTGGAGGCGGATCTTGCTGGTGGCCTCGATCACCGGAGATAAAAGCCGCTGCAAACCTTTGTGGACTGATGCGCATGAACGACTAGCAAAATCGGTGTTTGGTTTGCAGACTCTGGCGGGGCAGTTTCAGAATTTTGGATGTGATGTGATGTCATTTCGCGCTTTTACATGTCGAGAGGATCAGGAAAGGAGGGTTGGAGAGAATCGCTAGAAGACATGGGGCATTGTTCTGGATGACAGCCGCTCTTCGGGGGTTTGGCGGGAGAAGAAGAAGAGGAAGAAGAAGAGGAAGAAGAAGAAGAAGAAGAAGAAAAGAGGAGGACAAAGTCGAGACATTGGGGGACTGGGTCGCCCGAGGGGTTGAATGAACACGACAAAGATGACAACCGTCCCCAAATTTACTTAATTCCCTATGCATACGGATACGATGCCGTGCTTGTAGTGCTTGCTCATTGTAGGCGGCGCCTAGGCGGTGCTTCACCGTCGCTCGAGTATGACGTGCGGTCGGCGAGTCCTTCTAATTCATCTCGGTTACGAGAAGACGCGGCCTGGATGGCCGCGTACTCATGCAGGTTTCAGTTCAACGTGTCAGACGACCTAAGTTCTGGGCTGTCTGGTGCGCATTGATAGCATATTATTGTCAAGAAAGCTCGAACCTAATTTCTTTGATAGAGCTCTTGATGTGGACCGCGCTCTTGGAAATTTGGCGCCATTTGGGATGCCACCTTGACACAGAGTGTTTTGCGACGCGAAGTAGGATGGAAATGAGTAGTTTGTTACCCCCAAAGACACTATATACCGTAAAACGCCAAAATATATACAAGTGAAGAAAATCAGAGAAAAGAGCCAGTAGAATTGCATCCATGACCCAGACATCTATACGGTGATGCTCCCATAAAGAATCGCTCATTAGGTCTTGTTAAAGCAAACCCGAACCCGTCTCATTCTGTGCCGGGGGTATATGTATCCGAAAAATGAAGTTTTTTTTTTTGTGAAAAAATGATGAAGGAGAAAGTTTGTTGCAGGTGCTTTAAGCAGGAGAGCCTCACATCCCATAAACCCATTTGAACGCCGTTGTAACCACCGATTTAGAGTTTCTAAACGCCAGACCAGTATGGAGTGATTTCTCCAACGAAAAGACGGAAGAGGCCCCCTCATGCCTTGGGACCGTAGAACCAGTAGAACGCTGCATACGGAACGCTGTCGGTGGCGCCGGGGGTGGTGCACTGGTGCGCGGCGCCGCCGGCCGTGACGACGCGGTAGACGGCCGAGATGCCCTTGCTGCCGCCCTTGTCGCCAAGGTAGAGCCAGTCGACGGAGCCCGTCTTCTCCGGGCCTGCGTCAGCGGACGCGGGCGCCTTTGTGCCGTTGAGCTTTGCGCCCCTCAATAAATACTCGCCGAGCTTGAACGTGGGCACGCCCGTGTTGTCGAAGAAGTGGACGCCGAGCTGCTTCATGGGTGCAATGCCGGGCATGACGAGGTCGGCGGGGGGCGGGAAGGGCGTCGTTGCCGAGGCGCCGAATTTGGAAGTACCATCCGAGGTCAAGGGCAGCGGGGTGGACCAGACGGCGTTGGTGGTGAGGCCGTTGAAGACGTCGACCGAGGAGAGGGATGCGGCGCCGACGTTGGGGTAGAGGGGTTGGGCGTCGTAGAGGCCTGCGAGGGCGCCGGTTGCTGTCGCGGTGATGGATGTTGCGTTGACGGAGGTGCAGGTGTAGTTTTGGATGCCGTGGCCTAGGGCGATGTGTTTGAGGACCAGATCTGCTGGTGGTGCCGGGAGTTCGACGCCTTTCGGGTACGAGTGTTAGTGATAACATGTTCTCATGTTGGGGTGGTTGTTGTCGTTAGTTTACGTACCATTGCCATTGACGGGGAGGGTCGGAGCTGCGGGTTTCGAGACGCAGCCGGCTTGTCTCTTAGCCGGAGCGGCGGAGACGAGAGCCAGGGAGGCCAGCAACAGGATGGTCTTGGCTAGCATGTTGGCTGTTGGAGCAGACTGTGGTGATCCGTCGCGGGTGTTGGATGATAATAAGATTGCTTAGACGCGAGTGTGGGCGGGAGAAGAGTAACAAATATATGCAGTAGCAACCAGGCCACACACACGCAAATATGCACGACACAAGAGGCCGGAATAAAGAGGTTGACTGATTTCTTTTCTTAGATCGCTCCTTTCGAGAAACAGGCAGGTAGCGGGCCGTTTAGAGACAAGACCGGGGGACGGGATTGGTGTGTGGAGCAAAAGCAAAATTTGGGCTGAATATAGGTACGGCGCTTAAACGCGTTGCGATGGGGTCGGATGAGGTGGTGCTTCTTTGACCGAGACAGAGATGCAAAGCTAACGTGGGTGACGGGTACTACTAAATATGAATCGATAGACAGACAGAGGGGATAAACAATAGGTTTGAAAGTAGTGATTCGAATCGGAGTCGGAAATAAGGAAATTGGAGACGAGATGAGGAAGGTCTTTGCTGTGAGACGGGCCCGGGAGAGCAGACGGGACGGAACTGGGAGACGGGCTTTATATCAAGAAGGTCTGTTGCTAAAAGCTCATAGGATGGGGGAGAAAAGAGTACAGAGAGTTGTGGGTGAGACGGGCGAGACGGACGGACGACCGAACCCTGCCACCCATTTCAGTGTAAGGTATCCGTAGACAGACTTCCATCCATCTATCCACACCACACACACATACACACACACACACACACACCCCCGAAGGAGGCGCACGTAGACTTGGGGTTCGGGTCTGACAAGGCAGGCTTCCTTTTCAGAATGCAAGGCGGAGCAAGGGGGGATCGTGCCTTTGGGCCCTCCGCAGGGCCACGATGGCATCCGAATGTGGTCCATGATGGGTGCAGGAAGGGGACCGAACAGAGACATAGACAGTGAGAGAGAAACACAGACGCAACCCATAGGGAATGCCCGCATCCGTGTGGCTGTCGCTACCTACCTTAGTTATTATTGCCCCTGGTCCATGTTTGGAAGTTCATGTCGCTGCCGTCTTGAAGGGTTTACCCTGCCGTCACGGTTGAGGACACCCGTTACCCCAGGTAGGTAGGTGGCTTTGACTCTTCGAAGCAGAAAGCGAGGCTGGAGGGTATCTTCTGGGACAAAGATGGGTATGCGCGTCGTCCTGTGCCGTCGATAGAGGGACGGTTTCTCGCAAGCCAGACCGACAGCACTGGGAGGTGGACGGACTACGTAGGCGGGCGGGCAGGCGGGCAGGAAAGCATCCTTGGACAGGTTCCTCGAGCAGGATACCTAGACTTGTGGCTAGAAAAGAAGGTTGTCCTCTTCTTGGGTAGACATGAGACGAAGGGGGTCGAGGCCAAGGAGAAAGCAAACGGGTAAGGTAGATGGCGCAGGACGGGAGTCTGAGAGGTAAAAATGGGTACGTATCGAGACTACGTATCCGGAGAGACCATGCGGGAATGCCTGGCGCAATGCGCGTCTAACGTCGGAAGGCAGGAAGGCAGCTTACCAACGAACCTGGAGACGGTGGACGGGCAGGAGCGAGGTGGTGGGGTCGCCAGTGGCCGGGAAGGGCCTGTTTGCCGGCCCTTTGCAGTTTCTCCTGCACACCGTCACGGGCAGCCAGTCCTTCCCTCCCCTTGCTGCAGTCAACCTGAGCTCGTCCTATACGGATGCTGGCCTCGTAGAAGGCGGCCATGAGTTGTTGAATCCTGAGGCCTTGCATGGTGAGCCTGCCGAGCATGGCATCGCCTGGCTCATGTCCCCCTCGTCTGACTGCATCTGGCATCAAAGAAAGAAACGCGCCGCCGATGGCAGAGCGACAATCCTACATGCGACATAGCCACACAGTCTCAAGTCAGAACTTACCAACGCCGCGGCAATCTCATCTTCCGGAGACCACAAACCAAGTGCTGACCCTAGCGCGTCGATGCGCGGGTCGGACAAAAGTGAGAAATTGCAACAAAATGGGCAGCGCGGCTGACTCACTTGGACAACACTGTCATCCTAAAAGAGCATGGCGGTCTGTCTGCGAGTCGCTGTCAGTCAGTCAGTCTTGGCTTCTTTCTTGGGGTATGTTGTACGTTGCAAAGCGCGCGGGTCTCCATAAGCCAAGAGTCTTGGTCGTCTCCAACCCCGTTCCTTGGCTTCGCGGAATCATCGAAACCCTCCAGGATGATGTGGACCTGGGTCCAAGATAGCCGACATGGTGCCAACTCTGTCACCTGTCCTCCCATCCATGCCGCTGTCTCGAATGCCCTCTAGAATGGCTAAGACGTCCGCTAATACGAATACAGAATCCGTACGCATACTTGTCAGTCCATCTCGAGTCATCAAAGTACCTCATTTCTTTTGCTGCAACCCACCCGGTCCTCTTCAATGTGGCGCTCGTAGCGTGCCAGGGCCACGTCCGATGCCCCTCGAGTCTGTCATTTGGATGTCTATATTGTCACCTCGCCATTCCGTTTTCCCTCGAAGCCGTTCGACAATCGCGGGTGGGCGCGGCTAGGCGGTCAATTCAACCCCTCACGGCTCCATCCTCGTGCGCCTCTTCTGCCCGCCGCTAATCCGCATTCAAGCCACGATGACTGGCTGACGGTAGCGGGGGTCGGCTGCCATGCTTCCGCTAAGCAGACACTCGAAATATAGCACGGCCGCTCGGAGTACCGAGATCTTGAGAATGCACCTTCCTGCTTACTGGTTCAATAAGCGGCTTCTGACCATGGCAGGGGTCCCTTTGGGAAACCACCGGCCTTCGGTCAGTGTACGGCGCAGTAGACTCAAAATACACATGGACACAAAAACGTGGAGAGACCTATTCGTATGGCTGGTCATCTCGTTTTCGAGACCCTTTCGGCATCACCTTGGCTTAATCACGAAGCAATCTGCGAAAGTTCGCCCGTTTATCAGCTCCACCGTCCACAACTTCCGACTTAACCGGCCGTTTCTCCCGTCTCTCTGCGCCCTTCTCCCTGCATCCAGAACGTTTCGTTTCCTTGCAAGCTTGCAGCAGTGCACTGTTCACCACGGAGACAGTGTCGCAAAGGACCGTTGGTTGCTCCACTGATGTCTTCCGTGCCATCACATTACAACGGCACTCTAATCCAGACGCGACAGGAACTCCCTTCTCCTTATGGGATGTCTAGATTCAGCCTTCTCCATGGCCTCATGGCAACTCCTGCGCAGCTGAACGACCAACATCTCGAACCTGAAACCTCGTACAGTCACGTCACAATGTTTGGGGATCTGCAATGCTACGCCGGCGACATATTTAATGCTACCGATCTTGGGCAGCTTCAGTGTTACAGATCCGGCTAAATATCTCAGGGGCAATCGGGCAAAAGTCGCTCTGCTTTCTTCTCCGGAATGATGAATCAGACGGTGCCGGTCTCCGGTGGTTATCCAACGGTTCCTTGCGCACGACTCGATGTCGGAGCTGCCTCGACCTTGGAGCCGATGATTGGGGCAGACGGAGCTCCGTGTACTAAAGACCCAATATATACTTCCCTCAGGTCTGAACTCTGTATGCGGAATTATGGGCACAGGGGCCACGTAGTTCCCGTTGGGAAATAAACTTCCTGTTCCTGAATCGCGAATGTCGCAAATGTCGCAGACGTCGCAATCGTCGTCAGCTTTCTAGCCTTGTCGCAACTGCCATCACGATATCTTCAGGCAAGACGAGCTAGTATGCGGGCTCAGCGGAATTCTCGAGACATTGGAACTTAATCAAAAATCCTACCCATCACCCAGGAATTCGGCTGGCCGGCCAGGGAAGAAGGCCAACGACATGGTCAGGGCAAGACAACCACTACCGACAACCTTGCACGCAATCTAGCCCCCTGAGCCGATCGCAAACATTGTCCTAGGATGAAGGACTCGTGTTCGATGGCGTCTCAAGTACTCTGCGCCGCCCGCAGATTCGTCTAATCAGGCATGACGGGTCAGAGACGCCAAAGCCAATTCCTCGCCAGTGTCGCGTTACGGGCGATTTAAGATGACGTGCAACATTCGTCCCTTGGGGTTTCCAAGCGAGGGGAAACTTCCCGTTTCAAACGGCCACTAAGCCACAGCCCACGTTTCAGAGTACAACGCACTGACCAAGACCTCTGCGAATCCCCTCACTCCCCGTCGCTCGGCTTGTTGTTGGTCTCCAGGATTGTCATCCCCAGACGACCCAACAAGCCCACAAATTGGCGGAGGATCACCTCCTTCGCGAAGCCCTACATTGGAGGTTCGTCCATACTTTCACCGATGTGCGGGCGATCAAACTGAACCGCCCATCCTCGAATGGTAGCAATCACTGCCTCCTGGACTAGTTCAAGGGCTGTATGAGACTCTAGAAGCCCCCGATGGTTCTGTCGTGCTGCTAGATGCCTGTGAATGGATTGTACTGGGAAAGGATCCTTCTCCAACGGGGCGCAGTCTTTCGACATGCCAGACTTGCTGGGATATCCGTTGGTCGTTGGCATTATTCTCCCGGTTGAACGACCCAAGAGAGCGGTCCCTTGTGTATGTGGCCGTCTGATCAACCGTCAACGTCAAGCATCTAGCTAACATTGTTGAATGCACCACTGCCTCCATCAAAGGTGCAGCGTCTGCGAGTTGTTTTCCAGATGCAAGAATGAGGTCCAAACTGAGGCCGAGAAACGCGCTGGAATCCTGCATTCGTTCACCGTTTTCTGGAACTGTGAAGAGATCTTGGGGGGATACCTATGCAAGCCCTTCAAATACCAAGGTTTCTCCAACGCGAGCACTGCACGCCACGTGCGGCGCATCTCAACAGCACTGTTCTTCCTCTACGTTGCTCGGACTCTTCCCGAGACACGCAGTCCTTTTTCAGATGACTGCGAAGACGAGACTGTGTTTCCAATGAGGGGCTCGCATATCAGGCTGTCGCAACCATCACGCGATTCTGCGCTCCCGGGCTCCCGCACTCCCATCTCCCTCCTAACCACGCCGGACCGTCAGTGCATGTCGCACAAGCAGAAAGTCTTCCCGCTTTCAGCAGTTTGCAGGCGAACTAAGGCACAGCCTGCCGCAGTCCATCTGCGGATAATCAACAAAATTCATTCTCGAATTTCAGCAGTCTGTCTCTTCCTCTCCGGCTGTGGAGCGCCGCGGCCACATGGCGTTCGTCGAGCCAATCGCCCACGCCTGTCGTCTAGAGGAAGGGCGCTTACGTCGCATGCCAACGTCGGACTGCCTACTGCAATGCTGCACTGCTGCAGTGTAGACATCACAGCAGCTTGTGTATCGTTCCCTAGTGCACGACTATTGAGCTCGCTTCCACAGCCTACAGCCGCGGTTTGCCGAGCCTGCCTTGCTTGCATCACGCTATCAATTGTCAGCTGGACTCTCGTTGGCTCCTTTGGCCCCTTGGCCTGCTTGGCCGGCTTGGCCTGCTTGGCTTCAAGCAGGTTCAAGCGTGAGATGCGCTTGTCGGCTGCGTTGGTCGCGCTACGGCGAGGCGATGGTAGTGTCGTTGGCACTAGCGGCGCGGATGCTGGATGTTTGCTGATGGCTGACAGTCTTGACGCTGTTGGAAGCCGGACAGGTTGGAGGTCAAGGTGGCCAGCGCGGCAGTATGGATCCTGGCCCGGTCTTCACATGATGGATTCTTCCTGCACCGACGAGGCGTATTCCAAACGCTTGTTGGTCCGCAGTTGAGCGGTGACGGGTGACCGACCCGAAGACTCTTACCGCGGCTACTTGGTCCATTTCAATGGCCGGGAGGCAGTCTTGATGCGTTTGGTATTTTTCTCGAGATCTGGACAAGAATTGTTGCGTTTGGCGGGCCCAATAGGTGTTGTGTCCGGGTCACCATCTCCCGCGATGCGTGTAAGCCTTGGCTGTAAAACCCGCCATTTATATTTGGCTCGTCGTGGAAGCGGTGGGCGTTGGGAGGATGAGTTGAATGCGCTCAGCAGAAATCCATTGGCCAAAGGCGAGGGTTGCGTGATGTGTGTCAAGCGAGCAGCATTCTGCACTTACCTTGGTGCATGCTGTGTGCAGCATCAAGAGCGGATCTTCTTCCCATAGGGCTTCCAGGAAAGTTTTATTGGAGAGCATATCCCATCCGTTCTATCCATCAAAGAGCCCATCATTCTCATTGGCATATGCCCATGAGCGGTCTTGATGACGGACATAATGCCGAGTCGGTGCGAAGTATCATAGGGAGAGGCAGCGCCGTTGATGAGCCGGCGAAGTTTGCGGTCACCTTGCGGATGAGATACTTATAGCGTTCTGTCACCTCCCCACTCAGCCAACTATCACTGGATGAACACATCCACCAATCCCCGATAGTCTAGTGGTGAGGATATCTGCTTGTCATTGACTTTCAGCGATTCGCAGGGGACCGGGGTTCAATTCCCCGTCGAGGAGACACTTTTTACTTTTTAGGTAAAATTCTTTATTTAGTGACTGGTCTCGGAGATTTTTGAGTCACATCCTTCTTCCGTGGACAACTTGACTTGGTCAAATGGTTTGTACCAGCTGCAATTTCTACTGTAAAAACAATTCTTGAGTCCCGTCACCATTCGTATGGAATAAAAACCCGCGGACTTCAGCGCAGGGTGAGTTTGCGGATCTTGCGCTCTCAATTTATTTAACTTCAAGTAAATTCAAAGCAGGGATCTAGCTTGAAGGAGGTGACGTAAACTCTATGGCCTGTGATTTTTCAACACTTCCACCAGGGAGCTTCAGAAGTCTTGAAATTGGCCGTTTGGCATGGGATTAGCAATGGAGCGCATCCATAGTCTAGTGACTTTGGCTTCCTACCTCGTAGATGTTTCTTCTTCTTTCTTCTGGCGTGTGAAGACGCTTCCTGTGGTACGCATTTCCCAGATGTCCCCTGGGTGTTCCACATGCAATGCCGAACTGATGGGCTGAGCAAGTCATGACGTGCGGTGAGGCTGTCTTAGAGTTGAATAATGGGTGTGACAACACTCTGGCAGGGCCACTGCTGTGTGACCCTTGAACATAATTTCGACCATATTATTTTTACTCACTACTTCTGAACATCCTACGACCTGCCACACTTGCCTGACTTTTGCGAAAAGGGTTGTATGAAGCGAGAAAGATTACTGAAGCCCAAAGGGTCACAATTTATTGCATTAAAAACTAGCAAAACTATTCAGGTGAGATATCGCGGGCTTGTCCCAACAACTAGTAGTACGTGTAGCCGACCGCCCTAGCCCCTCGCGTCAGAACATTTCCGTACAATCTCATCCCGTGCTCTCTCTCGCGCTATGGAGATTAGGCGAAGCCAGTGGAAACAGCCCAGCTGACATCGGCGTTGAACGAAACGGGCGAGTCAAAGAAGTGGACGCCGCCGTTCCTCGCAGCGTAGCCGACGTTGGCGTAGTGGCGGAAGAAGCAGGTAGGGAAGCTCCAGGCCCGGAAGGTGGTGCCGGTACCGCTGATGCCGGACTGCGTGCAAAAGGTGGCGTCCTCGGCGAACTGCTTGGATCCGTCGTTGGCGCTGACTTGCAGCTCGAAGTTGTAGTGGCGAATGTAGCTGCCGGGGGTGTCAACGGACTCGAAGGAGTAGCAGCCGCTGAAGCCGAGGCCGGTGCGGACGGTCCAGCTGGCCTGCTGCTTGAGGGCCGTGCTGCTGGTCGAGTTGACGACCTGGGTGTTTACGGTGGCGCCCGAGTGGGCCAGGTAGCGGGTGGTGTAGCCGGCGGTGGTGGCGCGCAGGGAGATGTCGTTGCCGACGGTGAGGGCGCTGCCGCTGTTGAGGGAGGTGGTGGCGTACTTGGCGGCGACGACGTTGGCCTGGACCGAGTTCTCGGTCGCGTCGGAGGGGTAGCCCTGGGTCATGACGCCCTCGTAAAAGGTGCCCTGGGCGCCGTTGCTGTTGTCGCCGCCGATGCCGAGGATGATGGCGCCCTCCTTGCTCATGGGGTTGTAGCCCGTCTTGTTGGGGCGGACGCCGCTGTAGTAGGTCGTCAGGCCTCCGGAGGCGGCGTTGGCGCCGCGGAGGGACCACTCGTTGGGCCCGCCCTTGACGGCGGCGGTGAAGAAGCGGTCCGTCACGGAGAGATCGCTGGGGTTGTTGCTGGGGCTGAAGCCGGAGAAGAGGCCGTTTTCGAGATCGGCCATGAGCCAGGGTCCGTTGCCGGCGCCGGTGCCCCAGACGGTGTTGTCGCCAAAGTAGATGGCCTCCATGTGGCCGTTGCCCGTGTCGTGGCTGTTGGTCTCGGCGTTGCCGTAGTCGAAGCAGCAGTTGCCGTTGTAGTGGGTGCCGTCGAGGACGGCGTAGAGGCCCTCGGCGGTGTCGCCGGTGGCGGTGCCGACGGCGGCGTTGTTGCGGTAGCCTGTGCCGGGGGAGATGAAGACACCGTAGGCCTTTTGGCCGTTGAGGGTGACGGGGGCACCGATGGCACTGGCGAGGTTGTCGATGCCGTTCAGGTCGGGGCCGCTGAAGGCACCCTTGGGGGCTTGGGTGAGGTGGTTGCCCTTGCCGGACTGGTCGTAGATGACGGTGATGAGGCAGGTTGTTCCGGCGCAGAAGTTGTCCTGGGTTGCGGCGTTGGCGACGCCGCCGGCCGACAGGGGCGCGACGTTGGTCGTGGTGTTGTCGGAGCCGCGCTTCACCTGGTAGAGGGAGCCGGTGAAGGCGCTGTAGAGGGCGCGGGTAGTGCTGTGGGCTGCAACGCAGGCGTTGCCAGCGGAGGCGTAGATGTCGCAAGGTCCGGCGGCGACGAGGGAGCTCGTGGCCACCAGGCCGAGGGCGAGGGCATAGCCCCGGTCGAGGCTTGGACGGGAGAACATGTTGCTGGAGGAGGAGGGGGCTACAAACTTGGTTGCTGACGGAGAACGGGGGCTGTCTTGTCACTGACGAGGATGTCTTGCCTGTGAGATTCTGAAGAGACAACTCTCATGAAACCGAGGGGATGCTGGAAACATCGTAGGCTTTATAAATGCCGTGACGTCCCTTGCCATGGCCCGTTCCTATTGAACTTAATTCATGCAATTTGTGACAGCGTCTGTGATGTTGAATGAAGGGTCGAACGGGATCCCCAAGCGCCAAAAATTTCCTCCAATGAGTAGAGGGCGCATGTGGACAGTCGCGCTATTACGTTCTTCCGGAATGGTATTATACGTGCGCTTCGAGTCGTAGTGGGATGGGATTGGGACGTGTATGGTCGTTTCTCCGATGAAGACCTTGCCGCGGCGCGGAAGGGGGGGCCAGAATGGTCTAGAGTGCGGGGGGGAAACGCGGATGACCGGCACTAAAGAGTGGGAAGTCTAGAGATGAAGCGATGGAGGGTATATGGTGCGGTTGTCCGGTCAAGGTCAGAGCGATTCATTTCCCACGTAAAGGGGGGTGATGGAATCGTGGTATGTCGGAGCCGACGAACATAAGCCTTTGACTAGACCAGTTCGGACGCTTCGGGAGGCGATTGATCTGCTGCACTGGCAATCTCATATTGGCTTTTGCTTGGCCGCTGCGTCCCGCTCCGCCTCACCATAGGCGCCTAGGCATCAGGTACCAAGCCCTCAACTGCCGTTCATATTGCGGTAGTCGCGGCATCACAGCTCGGTACGTCATCCATGACCCTGGCTTGCTTATCCTGTCGCCAAGTCGATGCCAAGTGAAATGAGTTTGCCCTAGCAGGGGAGCTCGTAAAGTCTTGGTTCTGGGAAAGAAGATGGCAGCGCGTACAGTGTACAGCTCTGCGTAGACCCCAGTCCACGGAACCCCAGATGCGCGGACCCCGGACTCAGGGACAGGGGTAACAAGACAAGACGAACCACTCTACCCCGCCGTTGGGCCGTATGCTGGGCGGGGGCTAGGTTCACGTGAGCTCTCTCTTTTTTGTGTAGTTCACGCTACCCACGGGGCTAACCTAGAAAGCACCTGAAATTAGGAGCGCGTAATTCAAAAACCCATGAACCCTCGGGGTTTTGGAGCATGTCAATAATGCACCCAAGAGGCTTATTGAGAAGCGCTTTATTGAGAAGCGTGACACTTTCCAAGCGAGCCAACGATTGCCAGTCTTTTTACGACCAGGAGTCGACAGGACATGAAGCTATGACCTATGTGCATCAACGGCCTCTTTGGCAGAAACAACGGATGGTTTCTCCTAAGGTGCGGAGGTGCCGTTCAAAAGGTTCTGCTAGACTGCTTAGGCATTGTAGGGAAGATCATCTAACTGATATCATTAATATATATGTAAATTTATTTTGCGTTTAAAAGACCAATCAAAACATCTTCCACATGCTCTTTAAAAATAGTTTTTATTAATATATTAGCTTTTTTATGAGTCTATATTACCGATAAGAGAATATATAAAGAGGTCTCTGTCCTTGTCGATAGCATAATTTCCTACGCAGTCTTAGGCCCTTAGCAGAACCTTTTGAACGGCACCTCCGTAGTAGGGTAAGTGGAGGATCCTTTAGACCCACCCCGCATTCCCACTTCCCGGCGCCATGGTGCGAATGCCGAGGAATCCTTACCCCGCGCCGAGTAAGCCGTCCAATCAACTCACATCACGACCTGCATCACTAGACTAAATAGCTGCTACTGTTCCCCTGATTTACGCCCCGGGAAATGTGACGCAGACGTGGCAATACCTAATCCGAATGACGGGGAGGAATTCAAACAATTGACGTCAGGCACAGGACCGGCGAGAATGGCGCGACGGGACATCATGGGACGAGACTACCAAGCCAACGCGACCCCAGCGTCACGCGCCAAGCTATGCCTGCGCTGATCTCCCGTCTGATTGTCCTTGGTAGGAGCCGAGCCAATCATGGACATAGTGACCAGATTTCGATAGCTGCAGTCCAGTATAGTATGTGGCGAGACCACCCTCTCAACGTGTTAATGATGCGGGGGAGGCGTTGACTATGTTGATTTGGGCAAGCGTTCCATCTCACTTCTCTCGCAACACCGTAAGAAGGGCTATGCCGATTAGAAAGCGTCGTGACAAGATGAAAGAAACTCAGAAACCGCAGCTTACGGATATTGCCGAGATCTAGTGCCGTCTGAGAAATACTCTAGGTACTGAAGAATTTTCTAGCAAGGTAATCCAAGTTCCAGTCGTATCACAGCCCTCGGCCCGGAAACCTGGATAAGCAAAGCTTAAGTTGTCTCTGAGAAGACATTCTCCTTCGCATCCATGATTGCTCTCTGCCGAATATCCCTCTACTCACCAAGTAGTCCAGCCCTGAGGTCTCTTCGCTCGCGCCTCCGAGTATCTCAAACAGATCGCAGCAGACTCCACAGAACACAACCAAGACAAGGCGGTCACTATTCGTTTCCGCCACCCCGTTCTCCAGCTCTCGTTTCTCAGAAGCCAGCGATCTACCACGCATCCCACGCCCTGCACCATGAATACCCCCCACACGCCCACGCTCAGCGCCCACGCATACTCGTCCTTTGCCATGACGGCAGCGCACCACCCATGCCAGATTCCGCTGAGACTGAAAGCCGCGAGCACACCAGCCGCCCGGCCGGCATCTTGTCCCAAGAGCCGAGCAAAGACGGCTGTGGCGGGGACGTACCCGAGGCTCTGCAGAAACGGTTGTGCCCCGTGATGCCAGTGGATAGCCCAGAAGCTGGTGAAGCTCTCCGCGGTCCACGGCTGGAAAAACAGCGCGTTGGGGCAGCGGGGGTGAAGGATGGAGTGGAAGCCCTCGAGACCGTACTGGATCGCGAGCAGGCCACACATGACTTTCAGCTCCATGATCGGAAATAGGTACGTCAGGGGGACGACGAGCAGAGGGCCGTAGGTCCGGGCCGGGCTGGTCGGAATGCTCTTCCGCTTAGACTCGTCCACGGCTATGTCGAACGAGGCATATCTAGTTTCCGAAGCAAGCCGCCACACATACGAGGCGACGGGTCTCCAGCTCGTCAGGCCATAGATCGCGTCCTCTTTCCCACTGCGCGGGATCGGCGGCTTCCTCGCCCGCGCGACCGTCAGGTCCCAGCACTTGCATGCGTAAAAGAAGGTTGGTATGCGCAAAAAGAGGTTGGCAATCGGGTCGTCTGTTGGGACGAGCAGCGGGAGCGCCATGAGGTAGGCGCCCGCCACCAGGCCCGTCGCCCGCGTCACGAAGATTGCATGCTCTTTGGCCCAGAACCTGAAGGGCTCGATGCCGCCGCCGTGTGCGCGCTTTAGACGAGCATTGAGTCTCCAGTCCTCGGCGGCGACGAAGGATAACGAGGTGAGAGAGGTGAAGTAGAGGAGGATGCTGGTGGTGGCGTGAACTAGGAACGATGAGGTCGCGTGGCTGATGAGTTTGGAATTGTATACGGAGGCGAGGGTCAACGTAGACGATCCTAGGAATATTGCGAGGTACCAATGTGATTTAGCCCCCATCATGGATTCGTGAGGGAAATAAACCAGGAGCGACAGCACAGGTGAAGTTGGAGATGATGCTGTGGTTAATGACGTGAGTTCTCGTCAGATGTCTTAATAACAGGTGGCTAACTGTGTTGCTTTAGGCAGCCAAGCATAAGCGCCCCAGCCTGTTACGCCAAAATAGAACACGCGATAGAAGGGTACGTGCTCTACAAGAATAAACAGCAAGGATGATAGCCATAACTCTAACGTGGCAAAAAGTTACACGCCAATGTAACTGGCAAGTCAGCGGAAATTTAGATATTGCGTGGGGTAGCATTGAGTAGAAATGGGAGTTTGAGATGGCGGTGGTATTGAGACATCTCAGATGTAGCATGAAGTTTACCCAATAAAAGGCCTGCAGCCTTGCTTCGTGCCACGAGTTAGAGCACACAGTAATGGGCAGATGAAGGGGTTAGAAAGTGGCCTGTATTAACCCAAAGGGAATAGAGAAAAGGGTCAAGTCTAAATACTGCGTGAAAGGGAGAGACACGTGAGAAAGCACGTGGCAGACGACTTCGTCTTTGCTGATACTATGCCACATTTTGTGACACTTCGCAACCTCAGCATGCAATCCAAGCCTTTCAATTACCTGCCATGGATCTCTTGGGCAACTTGAATTTCGATATCCGACCAGATGGATCAATTGTGTTCATTTGCCACAATGGGTGTGAATGAACACCCGTATCGCAAGGAATAGTGATAAAGCTCCTATTCAAGCATTACTGAGCTCCCAAAGTCGTGAATTTCTCATGCGAAACTGTCAGCAAGCATTGATCTATTTAAGTATGTTAAGGTATGTCTTTGTAGCTGAATGCACTTTCGTTAATTGCACCGCAGTCGGAAGACTTTAATCAATTTGGGACTACTTCCTTGTGTGTCCCAAGCGCGTTGGCTCGAGTAGTTTGGCCGCGACAACTTTTCGATCAGTATAATGCAATCGAAATTCAATAAAACTCTGCCCACGCACTTACTCGAAGGAATTAAAGACTATGTGTTGACACGAGGGCACGAGTTGTCTTCTAAATGACTGCTCGAATTATGAGCATTGGTATTAGGTCGGCAAAGTGCGACTTCAAGCAATTTTAACTCTGAAGTGACGAGGTGTATGAAACCGAGTAGAGGGAAGGTCTCGATCAAGTTCATGTTTTCCCGGACGAGGCACATCCCTGAATGTGTATCTTCCCCAGCCGATAGCCGCCCGTAGCGGCTGGTGCCCTATTATCAAGATTATAATCGCTCTTCCCAACTTCCGTGAACCCAGCCTTGCCATAGGATTTTGAACTTGGGGCAAAGCATGAATCCAACATGCAAGACCCTGCACATCAAATTCTTCAATTCCGTGTCGAACCAACTTGATCCCGATTTCCTGACCTCGATTCAGAGGACCCGCCGCCAAGGCCAACATGAGCATGTATTTGCTTCCCTCCAGATGTCGAGATTCCCACAAAGTCATTTCTTTGTGCATGATTCTACCCATTGCTCGGGCAGAATATTGAGGGGTATCTTGATGAGATCATGTTGTCTCCTTGCCGATATCTAAATCAGAGTGAGCCTCAGATTTCTTGCGATCGTTGACTTCCTTTTGCTCCAATTCCTTCACAAACCAACTGGAAACATGATCGGCTGAGGGTATGACCATCAGCATCGACCGCTTTGAAGAGCCTAGCAGAGGGGCCCGAAAGCCAGAGGATGATCGCCTAGCGCATGCGATGTTGATGAGCGTCTTCCTCACAGTTGAGGAGCATCAGGTTCGAGAACTGATCGGACTTTGGAGCGGCGGCGTGGACCCTGACGAGGTCATCGATGTCATTGGGTAGCACCGGACGTATTGAAACTTGGTCAGCGACATTCTTGGCATCCTCGGGGCACCTTGTGATAGAAAGATATGGGGTCACTATTTGAGGAGACAGATTCCTGTGCGTGGAATCCGGAGGCAAGTTGAACAGATTGAGTGAGCAATGGAAGATGAAGAATTGAAGAAGCGGGATAACTGCGCCGCAGCTCGATCAAGACCCCGGATCAAAAAGTGCTTGCACGGGTATCAAATAAATGAATAAGTGTACCTACTTACTCTGGGTATTACAAAGACAAAAGTCGGAGGTCTCTCTAAATCAAACTTCATGCTGAAGCCTGCGGAGACTTCCGTAAGCACTGTCACTATATGATTATTTATGATGCATAATCAGTATCACCCGTCTATTTCTAGGGACTGGGGTCTCCCAAGCCCCATCTCGTATCAGCTTCCATTGTCCTTTATCCTTAGGAATAATGCCGGCGACTGATGTGATGAGCGGTTTGTCTCCTGTCGACGGAGGTTGTTGTTGATCTGAACACGCGAAGGATTCAAACGCAGAAGCTTCAAATTATCAGAAATGAAACACAAGCTCAGAGATCCAATAAGTGTATGCCCCACAACTCTCGTCGTGCGCTCCAAAGTTAGACAGACTAAAGAACTAAGAGCGTCGATACCATGTGTGTATTGAATCGCAAGAAGGACTGTTCAATTCTCTCAAAAGCATCAAATCCCCATTCAACCTTGATGACAAATCTTTCGTCGCCAAATACACCAGTACTAGGCTCAGAAGAGCCCATGGGTCAATGGGTAGAGGATGGGTTTGGGCAGCACTTGTGGGGAAGGCCCCTGGGTAATTTGGGTCAGCCCAAATCACCAATGTGTAGATAGAATATTTGGAGTTACTTAAACTACCCGGAAATCTGTATAACTTACTTGGGTTAAGATTGATAAAAACGTTAACACTATCAAGTGTAGGAGAGGGAGGCAGATTAGAACAATGAATTTGTCAGGTGTCTGAAAAGGGTGCCCTCTGGTGAGCCCCTATTAGTCAAATGAGGGATATAAAACCCTCCTTTTAGAGCTATCGTAGGGGTCCATCCAGATTCGAATGCTCTCAACTACCCATACCTACCTCCAGATCCATTCGTTAAGTGCTCCATTGCTGACTTCTCCATTTGTGAACCGCACGCCCTGACACATTTTTACAAAGATTATATCAGAAACTAGAATAGAAACTCAAACGAAGGAAAGAACCATACTTTTGATCCAGTAGTAGGGGTTCTTTCTCGTCATTTTGCAAATTGCAATGAAACGGCTTAGAACTAGGCCTCTATATACCGCGAGGACACAATTGTTAGGACCGCAGAAGTAAATGCTGGACAAGATTTGTCACTGTCTTAGTCAAACCACCGGAATGCCCAGTCATGACAGTAGTGGTAACTTCCGGGACGCGTCCAAGCATTCCGGGGTCTTCAAGTCGAATCAGACTGACAGCTGCAATAGTCTGACCAGACAAAAGCACAAGCCGCGGAAATATAGTCTCGCGGGATATAATGACAGAAGTCCGGTGAACCGGTTCCAAAACTAAGGTAGTAATGTCAAACTTTGCGTGCGACACCAACATTTACTTTCAAGGAAGCATTTGCTCCTAGCTACTAGACCGCATGCCAAATTGGGTGGGGGCATGTCCTCAATCACAGCATTCAATCGTCAACACCGACTCAAAGTGGAAGTGTTAGAATTAGTCTAGAAAGGGTGATTGAACTGAGTTTGCAACATCGCCGGGTTGCCCAAATCCCTTCATAAGGTCGGGGCCATGATTCATTGTCGGAATGAATCGCTGATGGAAAAGACCAGACGTGCTCAGCAGATTAGTGAACCGATGGGCCAAATCCATCGTTATTTGCTGCCATCGGAAAGTGGAATTCGGATTTGGCGAAACCAAATACTCCATTTGGTTTGTGGAAACAAAGGGGGCGGTGGGTCATCTCACATGCATGATGCAGAGGACCGAAACTTGACCTTGCTAATGTCTGTTTGCCTCTAGACTACTGCAGGAACTGGTAGCGTAAAGTCATTCTCAAAAGATCTCGTGAAGTCTGGTCGAATCAGCCGTTCATGGTTCCATTGCATTGGAAAAAAAGGAAACAAGCTAGCATTGGTACCTGACCAGAATTACCAAAAATACAAATAGCGTGGTGGCTCGTCTCGTAACTACGATGGATCTGGCTTAGCTTCGGTCAACATCAACAGAGCTACCTTACTCGGTGAAAGAAACCAGGCACCATTGTGGCAGTTTCCACAGACCATTGAATACGACTAGGTAGGTAGTCATCCTGTTTTCCGAGGCCGTCGGCCGCACAGTCGTTGACGCGTGGCATCACTGCGACGACGACGGGCCGTCGAGCATCAAAAGCCACCAAACGACTACGACTCTGACTTCGCTGGGCGCCATCGGCAGCCAGCTCACCGTGCACGCTGACAAGCTTGGCACGGATGCTAATACCTCGCATTCTGCACAAACAATGTTTACATGCTGTCACTTACAATCAGGAACTAACTTACAACCAGGAACTTAAGAATACTTCATGTTGTCGTGAAAAAGCTTGATTATTACCCTCAAAAATAAGCTTAGCAACGTGCGGGGTATAGGCAGCTGCAAAGAGCCCTTGCTGGGAGGTAATGCTAAGCTTCCGAATGTTTATCTCACGACCTTAATCGGTCAGACTTATACGAAGTCTCATCGTCAAGAAGTGGATGGGTGCATAGTCGTATCTGCACTGTTTAGGTAGAGCAGGCCAGAATCCCAAGTGACCCACCATTTTTCAGGTTTGATCTGATCCTTCCCATCTTTGTATTAAGTCGGTCGTTCAGCTCACCTGAAAGATGCTAGGTGATGCTACGTCTGTCTAACGGCTAGCTAATCGGGTCATAATCATGCTCGGGCGTGCTACTCTGGGCCTAGCCTCCAGGAGGAACCAGGATCAAAGCGCTTCAGGGGATCCCGAGTTACCCGGTCTAGCGTTCTCGAGACTAATTTGGACAAAGCCAGCCACCAAGAGCCGTTTCGCTGTTGGTTTGATCAATTCATCAGGGGCCGTCAACAAAGAGAAAGTGTCCAATTGGCAATAGAGTACGCCGTGAAACATTCCGTTTTCTTTGTAGGATCGACATACCTGCTCCCCCAGAATGCCGTTATTCGCGAATCGCGAGAGCAGCAAGCGGCACCGCGCTTCATGGGAGTGACGATGTGGGTCTCACCACCAGTGGCTTTCTCAACTCCGAACAACTTGCCGGCACTACGGAGGGGACAGCACGGAGATCGGCCTCACCGTTCACTAAGGGCTCTGACCTCTGGTAACCTGAACTACGGGTACGATGGACCACACTTCTGGGAGGTGCTCAGAGCTTGTACGAGGCGCCATTCGGCCACTGGGTGCCGGAATACGATCTAAAGAAGAAATGTCAGCTCGATATGGTCTAAGCCCGCGATGTCAAAATACGCCGCTATCTACGGCCACAACAATATATAACCAGCATTCACCTCGACTCTGGTTGGGCTTTTTTTCTCCTCATCTCAGCAGCTTCGATCACTTCTCATCTTGAGTAATACATTCTCTTCTCAGCTAGATTAACTTCTTTCTCAACCAACACTCTTTGAATCTACCTGCTTCCCGCTCAACGCGAGCTTCGAACCATCAACATGCGCTACTCTTTGAATCTCCTTGCCCTCGCGGCTCTCGCAACGGCTTCGCCTACCACCCAGCCAGTAGACTTCGCTGCCATCCTGGCCGCCGCCGCACCAACTCTGGTTGGACCCCCCGCCTTGGCCACAGGCCAGACCGGCGTCTACAACGCGGCTGCTGCTTCTTCATCTGCTGCTGCTGCTGTCACCGGCGTCGCCTCTGCCAATGCCACCCAGTCTATCGCGGCTCGTAACGTCCTTGACAAGCGCACATTCTGCTTCTTTGGCCTCTGCTGGGGACCCACCACGACTCCTCCGGCCGCCGCCAAGACCACATCGATCTGCAACACTCCGACCACTCCCGCTGCCGTCACCACCCCGACCAAGACTACGGCTGTTGTCACATCCTCTGCTGTGATCACATCTGCCCCTGTCATCACGGCTCCTTCAACCTGCACTCCGGTCAGCTGGACCAACACCAACGCTTTCACTACCGCGACTTCATGCTCTGCTCCTTATGAGGTTGGCACGTACTGTGGCTTCATCAACCCCGAGGACCCTTGTGCCGTTCAGCCCGATGGTAAGTCCAAACAATCAGGCTGAAAAGTCATCCATCCACTGTTACATGTTACTTACTCTATCATAGGATACGGTACCCAGGTCCAGCCTGACACTGTCGCCGCATTCGAGGCATTCCCTGAGTTCCACAAGGATGCTCAGTCAGCCATTACGCCTTCCGGATATGCCTCCACCTTCACGGACCTAGACGCCTCTGTCAACGCCAACAGCTACCTCGGCCTGTACACTCTCAAGAGCTACGATGTTGCTCAGTGCGCCAGCTACTGCGACAACACCAGCCTGTGCACCGGTATCAACATCTACATTGAGCGTGACCCCTCCATCAACCCCTCGGGCTGCTCTTGCACCAACCCGGCGTCGATCACCAACTACAAGTGCACTCTCTGGGGCTCCGGCGTCGATAAGGCTGCCGCGACCAACACCGGCCAGACCCGTGACGGCTTCCAGGTTGTGATTGCCGGCTCCAACGGCTACGAGAAGACCAACACCACCACTCCCGTGACCCCTCCCGGCTGGACTAACCCCCAGGGCTGCGGCGGTGTCGCCCACTCCCACCCCAGCACCTGCATGGGTCAGAAGTTCTTCCCCGGTCCCTTTGACGCCAGCCTCTGCGCCACCTACGCCGCCTCCCAGAACGCCCAGAACTCCAAGTCCATTGGTCTCAGCTCCTGGGCCAGCTTCTTCGGCTACAGCCCCCTGAAGTGCAACTTCTTCAACGCCTTCATGGTCAAGCAGAACGGAGTCGCCAAGGGTACCTACTGCAGCCTCTTCACCCAGCAGTACCAACCCTCGGCTGCTTCCTACATTCCCTCTTTCTCTGCCGGCTTCTCGTGGAGCATTGAGAGCTCCTGGAGTTTCTGCTCCAAATAAGCGGCATACGATTCATTCTGAAGCATGTGCGCTTGGATAAGTCAACTAGAGCATGATGGCTCGCTGTCTGGATGGTTGCGGAGGCTTTGGCTAGCCCAACTTAATAGTCATTTCACTCGTTACTGTACATTCAAAGGGTTAGGTAATCATTAGAGCGGAGGATTTTCATTACAGATTTAATCTAATCAATCTTTATTCCTGTATACCTGTACACGCCAGTTCATACCCGAAGTGTCACCGTGCATAAAAGCGAACGAGATCCCGTTGCGTGCTTATTGACCATCGGGTTTCAAATTCTCAACTTGGACTTTTCCTCACCATGGAGCACCGAATTAATGCCTTTCTGATGGAGGAGAAATTTGCTTCCACCAGCATGGCCATACTCAACGCAGATGAAAGAATTAAAGGACCCTTGGCACAGTGATAAAGAGTCACAACCCCTACATTCACCAATAATGTCATTCCGGTGTAACACTCCCAGGGGGCCATTGAAGCGGGCTAATGTATATCCTCCCAGACTTAATGCCAACCATGTCCAGTGTCACGACCAAGCCGCATGCGGTAGACAGAGTTCTTGCTATGGGTCACAACATTCATCGCACAACGAAAAGCCAATATCATGAATTGCCATGGGACAGGCAAACGCATTCTTTGACAGGCTATCGAAGATCTTTCGATGTGGCCAATCCACGAACACCCGAAGGCCCAACAGACTCATCCTTGATGAACATGCCAAAATCAACAGGTTCTCTAGGTATAAAAACCTCAATATCCTCGCCCGAAATCCGACAGTGTCGCCTACAGTCAAACTTTCCGTGTTGATGGTCCGTCGCTTCACCAACCCTTTCATCAGGACTTACCATCAAGGTTCATGCTGGCACGTTACATGATGAATAACCATTTGGGTTTTATATGGAATACTGTCAACTCCTTTATGCCTGCAGCCTACATAATCAAAGAGGCCATTCCTGAGAAACCCATTGCAGAAACCTGGGTGACCGTGGTCACGGGAGCGGGAGGCGACCTCAAGGATGCTGGCGGGGTCTTCCCAGATGTTGCCATTTGGGACGATGATGGCAACAGAGTTGGTCGATACCGCACCCAGCTAGGTGACAAAATTGACCAGAGCAGCGAGCGTACGGTCAAGATACCAAACAATGAGAACGACGGAAAGGTGGCCGATCCCCACTACATCATGTTGAGTCACGACACCGATGCAACTTGCATAACGATGGTCCAAGTTTCCAACGGCCAGCTTAGTGGGACGTTTTTTGGCGACACCGGATACAAATGCGGCCAAGCATGGTACCACAGCCAGCGCAAGTTCAAAGGGGACAATCTAATGACCAAATGCGTTTGGCTGGACTCGGACCATTCGCACCCAAACTTCAACGCCAGGGCCATGAGCTTCCACGTCAGAGACATGCTGCCTTCTCCGGACAAGTTGAAGCTATACAATAGCGAGTTGGCGTATCTGTGCGGTAGCACACCTCGCTACTCTTTCTGGAGACACCTCATCCCCGACGGAACGATACCTTTCTTCTATCCACCGTTGAAGTATAACAAGGACTCCCTTAACCCAAAAGTCGAGGGCACAAATGAGAACCCGATCGACGCGCTAGATCGATTCAAGTACAATAAGGACGTGTACGTTCAACAGGGTGAATCTGAAAAGGAGTATCGACGCAGAAGCAGAGTTCGGTCAACACGCTTGAGCAAGAGACAGGGCTCAAACATGGATCCTGATCACCTGGTCTTGACCGAGATACCTGGTCAGACGGCCCAAGAGATTTGCGAACACCCCAAATCGGTCGGATACGACATTGTGTCCTTTTTTGACATGAAGTACTGCGATCTCTCTAGGAGGAGGCTTTACGACCTTTGCGCAGGAGCTGTGGTGACCAACTGTTTTGACGCCAACAGTACCACTCTCATTGGGTTTCGTGCCCTGTCAGGGAGAGGTGAAGATTCCGCGTCGAAGGAAGAGAGGAAAATTTACAAGACTCGGGCTCATTGGAAATGACGAAGGGAAAGTATGCTTGAGTAATGAAGTGGAAGTTTGAGAGGTACCCTTGGCAATTCATACCAATGTCCGAGCTTAGCCAAGAAGTTGTTGATCACTCTAATGAACAAGCTGTTCATTTGCATTCAATGTTACCAATATTCCATACAACAATTTTTGAGTCATCAAGATTTTGGAGTATAACTATCTCCTCGCTGTCCATCACTGCATGTCTTCTTATGAACGACATGCAAAGTGCAGACCAGGCTTGTATGCACAGGACAGAAGCACACCCCATCATCAGTCTGGGATCTGGAGTACATGTGTACTCCGTACCTACGATTATATCCGTTCCCCTGCCGGCTGTCCGTTGCAACCTTCCTTTTCCGGCGACCAAGCCGGCACGGAGGCCGAGACGCTCACGACTTGCCCCACCTCTCCTTGATGGTCCTGAGCCCCCTAGGCGATTGACTGTGACAAGTGATGTAAAGACCTGTTGTGAAATACCTTGGTCCACTCAATTGATTGTTCGTGACTCATGTATGAGCAGAAGAACGAAGAAGAGGAACAAATTAAAGTTACATGTGTTTAGGTAATGAGACTAGAAGGCCTGGTATCACGGATCACCGGGCAGCTATTCGGCTTCTGTAGGCATGGGATCAGGATGGATTTCTTCGAGCGCGAGCGACTCGGCAGGCTTCATCATAGCTACGTAGGCCAAATTCGGTGATTAGATATTCTCTACACGTCGACTGTTTTGCAAGTAGCAACTTGAGAATGGTCTAAAACAATGCAAGCGGATTTGTCGCGTTGGCAGTTCGCTGCTGCGCCACGTCCCAATGTTCCATCACGCAAGTTCCGTTGAATCTGAACACATCCACCACGGCAAATGGCTGCCCACCGCCCACGAGATCCATGCGGTAGTGAATAAACGCAATATCGTCCTGGAAGCTCTTATGCATGATGGTGTAGTTGACCGTCTTCGGGGAGATGAACGGCTGGAGGACGCCGAGCGAGTTTGTCCGACCGGACAGGGCGCTGGGGTTGTGCTGGATGTAGTCCTCGGCGACGTGGTTCAGCAGGGCCTTGGTTGCGTTTCGTTCTTCGTAGAAGGCTTGCATGAACTCTCCGAGAATGACCTTTTGCTCCTTTGGCGTTGCTGGGCGAGGAGGGCAGTACGGCGCGGAGCCTGCAGACTTGGTGAGGCCGGCGGCACTTGTTGTCCATGCGAGGACGCTGACGCCGAGGGCGAGTAAAGATGATGTCCGCATTGTGTTGTGCTGTCGTCTTGCGCGATGTTTTGACGTGAAAGGGTTGACCGAGGGGTTGAAGTAAACAAACTTACCTTTGAGAGCGTCGATCAAGATGATCTTATAGACGAGGTGGACCGCAGCGAAAAGAAAATAAGTGGCTCTTGATAGGAGAAATAGGCCGCTGTAACACTGGTAGGAGTTCATCCAAATTGCGCCATGTGCCACAATACAAAGAAACTCTATTGCATAGACCCCTGTCAATTTCTGTCCAATATCATAGGCAGTGATCAAAACTGGCAAGTTCCGAATCCATTATAGGAATTACCAAGAATTTAGTGAGCCTTTTACTCATCTTTCGGCCTGCCTTCTTCGGAAGGATGTAGCCGGTGGGATCACGTTGATTCCATGGCTGACGGGAGGAAATAACGTTTCACTGACATCCCGATCCTAGACTAGAAATCTGCCGATTGACTATTTGGAAGATCTGACGTGCAACACACGAGGCATCAACTCTTAGAAAATGGGGTCCCCCTGGCGAAGATCATCAACTCGTCGGCACAGTGCCGAGCCAGACCACCCGTCGCGCATGGTTTCTGAGTTTCAGGAGTGGATACCAGAGCAGACGTGCCTGGGCTAAAGTCACATAAACATTTCTTGGCGCATGTTTACTGAAATTGGAGGCTGACAAAGGCGCGGGAAACTGGTATTAAATTGATTCCGGCCATCGGTTGCCCGCGTCATTATGGAGTGCGCTGGGTTAGCGTGCCGATTATATAGGTTTTGGCACTGCTCTGCCCCTGGTACTAAGTCTACGCCACAAAGCCTATTTGCATGAAGACCATCAATACCGCGGTATATCTATAGCTTCGCCAGTCCCGAAAAGAATTGCCGCCAGGTACTCAAGCCGCTGTTGCTGCCAGTGTCTCGAATGGTGTGGCGACGGTCACCGTTGAGACCAGGGCAAGGAAGAATGCTGCAAGCGCGGTTATAACACCAAGCCTCTCGAGAGCGCCCGAGACGAAGACCAGAATCCACATCGGTGCCACAAGCATCAGGAAGCCAGCCGCAATGACTATCGCAGTGATGGCCTTCTCGACCTTTCTATCCTTATGGTAGCGAACCAGCTCCGAGTCGTAAAAGTCCCCACTCTATTTCAGTGATTCTCGAGTCAGCGTCGGGGTTTGCGGATTGGATGAGTTCTGAGCGCTTCCACCGGCCGCATTTTGAAAGACGGTATCAGATCAATCAAAGCAGGTACTAGCTCAATTGCCCGCTTCAGGGGGCTTTTTTGAATTTGGGAGAAACTGAGATCAAGTCGTCTCTCTGGTCGATGAAAGCAGACTCTGGCTGGCTGGTGGCGCCTGGATGGGCAAAGAGCCAGTTCTCAATGCTTTCGATGTCTCTGTTCTGGGCCCTCGAGAAGGCTTCGACCCGGGAACGTCTCAACACTATTTCAATTAGAATGGCTCAATCAATTGAGTCCTGAGCTGAAGTCTGATCGTGGGAACAAAATCACAATTTCCTTATAAGTTGCCCCGAAGTTCATCAAGCAGATCCGTTGGTCTCTGTATTGGCTCAGCTCGTTGGGGCCGTTATTGAAATCTGGCCCGGCTTCATTACTACATTGCCGATCAACGTGATAAAGTTCTTATTAGAGTTGGACAACTGAATCCTGGAGCCGAAGCAGGAGATATGCACAAAGGTAGCCGAGTCTGCGAAGAAGTAGAAAGTCCTGATCAGATGCCAGTAAGCGCGAGAAGATATCGTATCCCGAGCATTTCCAAGGTTTGAGTTGCCGTTCCTCAAAACATGGCTTCGTCCAATCTTGCTTAGACGATGGAGGCCTTGAATATGCTGTTACGAACCCATTTCGAGACTGTCGTACGATGGTTTCGTCATGAGGCAGGGGTGGTTGTGAATATGGGGACATTGTGTCGGCGATGATCAATAGGTCAACCCCAAACTCCAGAGACCTCTCTAAGTAGTTAGTGACAGCGGCCAGAGGCTTTAGCAGAGTTTGTCTTTCGAATTCGCGAGTGTTCTTGATCGCTTCAAACTCCTCTAATTGCTGGATGAGACCAGCAGGTTTGTTGTGCCAATGGAATGATGCAGGGTTGTATGGGGCGGAGCCCAAAGCTGACACTTACTCGGCCCTTCTAAGGTCGGTCCTGCCGAGATGTCCCTAAGCTGCATAAACCGCCCCGGTTGCTTACCGCTCTCTCGAGGATTCCCAGATGGCTAGTGGACCGGACAGAGTAGGATCATTTAGAGAGGCAGCCACACAGGCTATAATTGACCTCAGGCAGCTACCGTGAGGCATTATATATTATCCCTAATGGTAAGATATCTCGACCTTTGTGAGAGACAGAGCGCCACGCCTGGGAGCCCGCATCTTACGGCCAGTAATGATGCCACCGAAGCCACTGCCAGTCCCTCGTCCGCCAACATCGAGACAAGCGACGCAGAGTGGTGCTTCTTTATTTTCACAATGCGCAATGCGGCATGTCTTTCGGGATAACAAGACCTTCAACGAGATCTTTCGACGTTGGCACCGTCTGTTTCGCCAGCTCTATGAGCATGACTAGCTGTAGTCGCGACTCGGTTCGCCGTGATCTTTCCGCCAAGTTTCTCAACGCAATGAATGGGCGAGATTTGATAAACTCCACATGGCCCACATCAGTTGATTTAAGCGCAAAAGCGGGCTAGTCTTGTGTCTTCACTCGCGAGTCTAATTACTCGCTAAACATTGTCGATTTATCCGTATCTGTGCTAGGATTGAAAGCCAGGAAGACGAGGACTCTGGCATCCTTACTCTTTCGCATTTGACGCCGGGAGGATATCGCTATAGTAGCTCAAAGGAGTGCAAACCCACACACGAATCCCGGGAATAGTGCTCTAATAGTCGAGTTGACTTTGGGACTTGGAAAAGCGTTTAATGATTTCCTTTAAGTCCAAAGACATAGCGCATACGTCCTGCAGCTCCCAGTCTCCCCTCGGGACCCTTCTACCTATCCTAATAGCGAATGTTTGGATATTCTCCCGGATCTTCACGCTTATAGTTCACATTAAACAAGCAGCTACTCCAGTTTTGAGAATTAGTAAGAGAAGACCTGACTCCGGGACCTTGAATATTCTCACATTACTAAGCGTCAGCATGCTCTAAACCAAGGCCCTGAAGCCAGACATTTTCGTCCTGATCCCTGAAGGCTTACTAAGCCAACGAATGCGTGGGGTTCCCTGAGCTAAGACTCTCCAGTCTCCATCTCGGAGCTTCATCGCGCCGCTCGACGCCGGATGCCAAGATGAATGCCAAGATGGAGACGATTCCGGATCCCCAAGATCTCCCACCAGACCCCCGTCTCCCAGGCCAACAGCCTCGATACTCCCGCGACAATATCGTCGCTTCTCTCTCATCTTTCTACCAGAGTCTGCCACATATCGACCCCTCACTGGCGCGCTGTGCGCCGTCCGGGGGCTGGCCGGAAATCACCTCCGAATCGCTTGCGGCCACGGGAATGCGACATTTGAACCAACGAGTCGTCGACTTAATCAGGCATCTACCGTACATGGATGGCAATCCCTTTTGGATCACGCCGGAGACGTTTCCCATCAACTATCGTACCGCCGTGGCTTTAATACCAGCCGTTGGAGTGTTCAAGCCCAAGTGGCTACACGCTCTGTCCCATGATCTTCAATCATTGAAGGGCTTTCCGCCTTGGGTGATTCCCCTCACTATGAGTGTGAATAGGGACGGCGACATTTGGCTCTTGGACACTATGGATGGAACGGTGACCAAGTACATCATTACGGGTCCTGTTTACCCCGAGCCGGTCGGTAGATATGAGGAGGGCGACCCACGGATGTGGAGAGAAACATTGTGCGACGATGTTACACTTCCATTGGGATCATGGCTAGAGGGAATACTTGAAAAGTACAAGACGTTTTTGTACTTTGGTCTTCCCCGTCACAACTATCCAGGAGTGCTTTGGCAAGGGTATTCGAGCAAGGAAACCCAGGTAAGTCGTACTGTGCCCTGTCTGATCGGATCTGGCTGACTTTCTTCCAAGGAAATCAGGGAGATTTTGGCTCAAAATGGATGGCCAGGAAAATACATGGGTGAAGAGGGCCGCAAGAAGCTGGCAGAATGGTTGACGCAAGCAGACATATAGCAGATGGATAACTAGCGGTACTGGCACAAGAAGAGGCAGGGACACCAAAAGATGTTGTGAATTGCGTTCAACTCTGGCTATAAACCTGAACATATCAGACACCAGTATACATAGGAATATCAGAATCAAACGACCGTCCGGGTTGGCTTGGAGGAGGGGCTTGAATGTCATGATGCTCATGGACAGGTGTTGGCTCAGGTGCCGGCGCTTCAGCAGGTGAGTTGGCCGCCCTCCCGGCCTTGTCCCGGAACGTCCTGGCTACATCCTTCAGCTTCTCGATTTCTCGTGAGCAACTGCTATCCGTGCAGTCGTCGAATCCGAGGTGGTCGCGCAGTTCTTCTGGCGTTGCCACTCGCGTTGAGTTGGCACCCACCACCACAAGTCCCGCCGGCTCAACCCAGCGCTTCTGCGAAGGACCTTTGGGCCACGTGTCTCTCAGAGCTGCCTCCGCGGGGTGGGTGTCAAAGTATTCATCCTCGTTGAGAAGCGCGTAACCGGGGTGCTTCACTCCGTTAATCGTTGGCACGCAGATGTTGTCCGCGATACCGTAGTCATCAGAGTCATCCGGTAGACCGGCAAAGTCGAGTTCCCAAACGAGACGCGAGAGTGCCATTTTGGTCAAATGCCACTCGACGGGAACCCTGGCATCCGGGTCGATGATAGTAGTGGTAGTGTGTAAAACTTCGGCTACAGGCGGTTGACGACACTTATCAAAGATCTTTCCGGCATCCCGATTGTCAATCAGGTCAAGGTAGCGAACCATCTGCCCGTCTACGGAGGGAGGCTTTGCACTGAGGAACCTCAGTACCTCCCTGTCATCCGCCGCGATCATGGATCTGAGAATGCTGTATCCGTCATTAACGGGTGCCATCACCGCTGGCGGGTATTCGTCTGGAGAGCATCCATTAGGCGCGTTGATGACGGGATCCCAGAGGTCCGTCGCCCGCTGTTTGTTGAAGGTAGCAGTGATGGGACGTTTCTTGTCGTCGACCTTGCGGTAAGGGCATGTGATGATCTTGTACTTCGGGTATGTGTCTACAATGGACCTGTAATTCTTGCAAGCCTCGGGATAAACACCGCCGCCGCCGGCGCAAGGGATCATGTAGCCGTTGTTTGGTAGCCTGCTTGTCGATACCACGATTTCACTGGTTCGGTGTGATACCATGACGCGCTTTCGTCTCTTACAGGGTCTCTCGTCGTCTGCGCGCTTGACGTTGGAGTCGCACGAAGAGGTCTTTGCTGGCGACTGGTAGCTGTTAGTATTTGACTACGTGAAAGGCAAGGTACAGAGAGCAATGAGGAAGCGGCTTACGTGACTAGACTTCGGCGGCCGGGACACTGTCTTGGATGGTTTGTTGAACGACAAGGAATGTTCTTTACCGAATACCTTGAACACAGCTTTGCCTTCTTTCTCAATACCATCTGTACAAAGTTGAATCAGAGCTGGTGTCGCGGCAATCTCGGCGATATCGAGGATTTCGCCTAAACTCATCAGTACCGAGTCATCAAGAACGTATTTGAAAAGGTGAGGGTTAATCTGAACATACCGATGATCGGGATCGCAGCTTCAATCAACTCCAATGGAGCCAGGAGGGCTGGAATGGCAAGTCGACAGAAAGCCTTGGCCGCAATGTCGAGAGCTGCCTGTTCAGCAGCTTCTTCGGCCAATTCCTTGGCCTTTTCCTCGGCCTCTTCTTTTAGCTCTTCTTTTGTTGGGGCCGACTCAAAGCCCTTGCAGCAGTAGCTTTGGATACCGCCAGTACACGTCTGGTCGCCATTCTTGCTGTGATTATTCGTGTCTTGAAGAACCTCCGTCTCTTCGTCGTCGCAGCCACCCATGCATGACAAGCCCAAGCCGCGATAACCGCGCCACTTGCAAGTGCCCATGGTTGTGCCATCGTCGCAGCAGAGCGTGCGATACTTGTTTTTGTCGCAGCGATCACTGGTCGAGAGCATACCAGGCTGGCCGTTCATTTGGGTGACTGGATTCGTGCCCTTCTTGCAGCTGGCTCCGCAATCTGTTGTGTAGCACGAAACTCCGGCGGCAAGGCCTTGGGCCATTTCTTGGGCGTCTTCTTGCTGTCCGGTGGTGACTCCGGACGCCGGCGCCAAGCCATTATCCTCCCCCTGATCTCTCTGATCCATGGCCCAGACCTAACGCTCCTGATTAGTCTGGGAAATGAAGTGAAACAGAACGGAAATGACTCTCACCATTGTACCTCCCAAGCAACGGGAGTTGGCAAATTTGCGCTTTTGCTCAAACGTGTCGTCGTCGTCGTATGAAACCCATTGGTTGTTATCCCAGGTAATCCATTTCACCATGGCCTCCTTGTCCCACACCGGCTTGACATCGTTATAGTCGATCACCTCGTTGATTTCTTGCAGAGTCAAGATGCCTGATGCGTTCGAACAGGCACCAGCCTCGGCACCGCCAGAGAACTGGCACACGCCGTTAGGCTTGTTGCAGGAGGCATCTGAAAGCGTGAAGCTGCGTCCATACCACCCGAGTCCCAGGATGACCTTGGCAGGCTTGACACCAGCTCTCCAGAGCAGGTCAAGGCCCATGTCAATCTCGGTGACATTGGTATGAGGGGCAAGATAAGGTCCAACAAACTTGGAAGCAGCGTCCCAGGTTCCGTGCACTTCTCAGTAATGTCAGCCGCAAGTTCTGAGAATTCAAGGCACGTATCAAGTCAGACTCACAGTCATAGGCCATGAAGTTGAACCAATCAACATTGTCTTGAATGGATGCAAGGTCGAAATGCTGGAGATACCAATATGACGTCGGCAGTGTCATTGAAATTCCGTAACGGGAGCCTTAAGCAACTTAGTAAAGCCGAAAGACCATAAAGCACCAAGAAATACGTACCAAACGCGGCTCTGAGCTCCTTGGTGAGTAGAGCGTAGTTCTTCTTGTCTGCTGTGACGCCGCCTCTGTCGTCGGCTTGGGGGTACTCCCAATCAAGATCAACACCATCGAAGCCGTACTACAAGCGGATTGATGTCAGTTTAGGAAAAAGTTCCGTCGAGGATGATGCTTGGCCCAGATTGTGCATCGTAGCTTACGTGTTCCATGAAGTCAATCAGGCCAGAGATGAATTTCTTCCTGTTGTCAGAGGTGCTTGTCATGTCGCTAAAGGCACTCCTGGTGGCTCCTGGATCCGTGAAAGACCAGCCGCCAACAGAGATCCATGCTTCTAGCCCTGCGTTGTTTTTTTTGAGTGCTGTGAATCGACTGTACAACTTTCCAGTCTCCGTGTCCATGGGAGCGATCTGGAAGGTCTGCGGGTCAAAAAACGCGAAAGCAAAGTTGATGTGGGAGAAACCGTTGAGGTTGAGGTCCTCCGGCGAGACTGCTTGGCAACTGCGAGTATTTGACCATGCCTCGTAGTACCCAATTGTGCGCTTGGAGACAGAATTGCCAGAACAGGAGGGTCTTGTGACATTGCCGCAACCGCCAAAATCCTTTTGGCAGCCTTTACCGCAGAAATCACTCGTAGAGCCACAAAAGCTAGCGTGTGTCAATCAGCAAACGAATGATTGATGCGGTTGAACGAAGTTTCGTCAACACTACCACTCACCCAAACTCGGAACAACAGACACTCAGGGGGCATTCCTGAGAGCCTTCTTTGCCGTATTGTCCGCATTGAGCTTTGGCATCACAGTTCGAAGTGCAATTTCCCTTGCCGCACTCTGTCGGCGAGTAGCCACAGAGCCCGTTGGTACCACAGCAAGCCGCATTCTCACATGGAGTATCTGCATTGCAGGTACCGGTCGGAAGGGCTCGTCCTGTAAGGAGATGATCAAGAGAAGGTATTATATAAGGAGTGGTAGGCGCGACGTGATGGTTGTTAGAATCTAAAGGAACGGCTGAGATGAGGAAAGGAATGGCTGCCACAAAGGCGTAAAGAAGAATGAGTGGAAACATCACCGCGGCCTTGCACGACTCTCTGGAATGATGGGTGAATCAAAGTGAGCGAGTTTCTAGAGCAAGATGGCAGCCCTCTAGACACAAATATGGCCACTCTCTGGCCCTGGGACCAGCTCCTTCAGGATCGAGAACCAGAGTGTCGTTCACAGACAGGCAACAATAGCATGCAGGCTTGCTCGCCCCCGATCCACACCGGGTTGCAGGGGCCATGGTCGCAATCCGACGCGGGCCATTTGACGCAGAGTGAGATTGAGCTGATGCTACAGAGATAAACATTTCAAGGTGGAAAGTCGCTAGCACTCTCTGCTGACTGCAGGAAATAGCCCATGAAGGCCGTCATCTTGTCGATTGAGACTCTGATAATCAGACGGTCTCGGCGGCTTTGACCGGCTTGGCAAAAGTTCATCATCAGCCTGAATATGATTGATATCAAATGACCCTCTTTTTGACTGAATTAGCATCTGACCTGCTTCGGAAGCCATCCCAAATCCAAGACCAACCGCCGCAGGGAGTAAGCAGGCTGGTTGCAGAGAGCTGGCGATGTGACCCTTTGAACCTTGTTGGGCGGAGAATCTAATCTAAACCCCGGCCCCTGTCACAAAAAAGCTTACATTGACTTGGCTACTCTTGGCCACTCTTGGCTCTCGGCAACAAAATGCCGCTGACATGAACCACTTATTGAGTCCAGATCGTGGCTGTGCCGCAGGCTACAGAACGGCATCGGGCCGTCGCTGCTTAACTGGAGGCAAAAAAATTGAGACAACTCCTTTTCCTTGCAGTCTAGATAGACAGCAGGCCTATCAAGTCGCGTCGCGGCTCGCGCAGAGGAAGCAAGGTACGATTGTCGACTCTGAAAGTTGGGTGAGGTCCGATTCCGGCAAGGAATTAAACCCTGCAGAAAGCACTCCCGTCTCCTGCATTTCTTCAATCTCCTCTCTCGACTTTCAATATCACATGGCGAGGGTCAGGCGTTCCTTGCAGGCCCCATACTTAGGAGCTGCAGCCTAATGCAACTTCACATAGACCTGTGGGATCATTGTTGTCAGACCAATTTCCGTTACTGTAGTGCCGGACCTGATGCTGACTCCATTGACGGGATGCGCGAGCCCGATGGTGAACTATCATTGTCTTCCTTCCTTGGCAAAGTCGCTCTTGATCCAAATACCGAAGATCTCGCTCATGACATGAGCCGCAGTACCAATCCTGCGGCCGTCCATTCCTTACCAGCACAGAGCCAGCTGCTCTAGGCCAACTTTCTCGTCATGAAGTGTCATTTATTCCAACTTCTGCTTGTTGCGTTTGTTTCCATCCAAACATGTCACTCTTTCAATCTTTACCCAGCAATCAATGGTGACAAGCTCGCCAAGTCACTGAACGTCACATCAGACTGCATTGCGGCGCTGTGAGTGTCTTGACCTGAAAGATTCTTGCCGTTCACTGTAGCTCATTCGTCAAACAGAAATCAGACTATTCCAGAATGTGACCAGACGTTACTGCAAATGACGATGAACCTGGAGAACTACTGGTGGACCGATGATAATCTTACGGCTATCTGTGACTCTGGCTGTGCTGAAGCTGTTGGTTCTTGGAACTACAATGCCTCTGACCCCTGTTATGAGCAAACTTTCACGGCGTATGGAAAGCTTGTCCCCATATGGACGGTCACTGAGCGTGTTGTCGACAATCTTATCTTCGCCTGTCTAGAATCCCGGTAAGTATCATTTCCTGTTGCTATCTATGCATGCTCAAATGCTGATTGTTTCCAAGGTCCGAGAACTACACATACTGTCTCACCGAGTCTCAGGAGTGGGTCGGAGCTGACGTTTTGCGAGTTGACTGCGATGCCAATCCTTCAGATCCTACCTGCGGCGGAAATTCTACGGATATCCCCGAGGCAAATGTTCGCCTGGCAAATCTTTACGAAGACGATATTGTAAGGCTGTTCATTGGTAGTCGACATCAAGTTTACACTAACATGGGAACCAGCTGTGCAGCGATTGTTTCATCAATCAGCTTTACACTCGGCTGACGTCAATTTTCCTCCCGGATACCGACTACTCGGATTACCTCGCTGATCAGATTTTTGACATCCAAGATGTCTGCAACATCACTATTCCCGACTTCACGATACGATTGCCCTGGGACTACGATGCTGCGGAGCCCCTGTCTTCCGTTGACGTAGGATCCTCGACGACTGCCGTGGCCACTGCTACCACTTCCACAGCCGCTGCTACGACCACGTGTGTTGGCCAGACGATTGGCTCTGCTGCCGCATCCAAGAGAGCCGAAGACTTGAGTTGGTTTGAGAGATCGACACCCGGGCTGAAAGCCAGGCAGGCATCGTCATGCGGTGACTTGTCTTCTCAGTATGGTGTGAGCACCGGAGCCCTGCAATGGTTCACGAACAGCGATACCTGCGCCGTCTCTGGCTATGTTTGTCTACCTCAACGATGCACATTGCAGAAAGTCGGAAGCAACGAGACCTGGTAAGTATTGGGAAACAATCTCGACCATTCCGTTTCGCGTAAAAGCTGACAAAGATCTTCAAGTGAAAGCATCGCGGCATCCATTGGCGGAGGCACTACAATTGTCCAGTTCAAAAAGTGGAATACGTATGTTCTTGGACTATGTGATAGTCTTTCCGAGGGCCAATATGTATGCATTAGGTAAGAAAGTCTGCCAACAACTTTCCTGAACGAACACTCGGACTAATAGGACACGCTGGATAGTTCTCCTGGCGTTAACGCTACATATACTCTGCCTGCACCGCCTTTAGGCACAGCTGCCAACGCAGGAAACCAGCAGCGAGGTGGTGCTGGGGGCATTGTGACACCAACAACGACCGCAACAGACATAGTCAACCCAGTTTCTGGAGGAGCGGCTCCAAGCCCAACTCAAGACGGTCTTGTCACCAACGTAAGACAAGCCATTGGTAGCATTCAAAGCACAAGACTAACCCTATGGATTACAGTGCAATAACTACGCCAGTGCTACCGCCGGAGACGGCTGTGAAGGGTTTGCCACGCGTAACTCGATTGAACCAACACAGCTTTACGCATGGAACCCGGTGCTTGGTACTGCTGGTTCCGAGTGCTCAACCGCTCTATGGGCTAGTGAGTACTATTGCATCGGCACGTGGAAACCAACTCAGACTTCAGCCGTGGCTGCACCGGGTCCAACCCAGACGGGAATCACGTCCAGCTGCAACAAGTTCGCAGAGGCCATCTCTGGCGACGTTTGCACCGTCTTTGCCTCTCGCAACAATATCACACCGGCTCAGCTCTACGCGTGGAATACCGTGCTGGGAGCCAACGGAGAGAACTGCGCAGGCTCCATGTGGGCAGAGGAGTATTACTGTGTTGGTGTTGTTGGATCATCATCATCAGCAGCAGCAACGACGACACAGGCAACAACAGCCACCGCTGCAGTTTCGACGACTGCTACTCAAGTGACAGCCCCTGGCCCGACCCAGACCGGCATCGTGTCCAGCTGTTCCAAGTTTGCCAAGGCGCCGACCGGAGTGGTCTGCGGCGACTTCGCGAGCAGCAACAGCATTTCGACTGATCAGCTGTACGCCTGGAACACAGTTCTCGGTGCCAATGGAGCAAATTGTGCGTCTTCTATGTGGGCAAACGAATATTACTGCGTCGGCATCACTGTGGCTGCGCCTGGTCCGACCCAAGCTGGCATCGACTCCAACTGTGCTCGTTACGCCGAAGCACCTTCGGGCGCGACCTGCACCACTTTCTCAAGCTCTGCTGGGATCACTCTGGCTCAACTGTATGCGTGGAATCCGATTTTGGGGGCGAATGGGGAAAACTGCGCCTCGTCGATGTGGGCTCTGGAATATTATTGCATTAGTGTTACAAAGTAGGACGTCCTCAGACCTATCAATCAAAATTAATACCTAAGTAATTATGGCAACGCCTTGACGTATATCTGGGTCAAATTAAACCGAAATCCACCGAATGGTGTACTTTAAGTGATTCAGATAATGGCCCAAAGAACTCTTTTCGCAAGATGTGGTCCGTGTCTCAGCAACGTGGCCAAAGTGAGTGAGATTGGTGGACTTTACATTCAGTGATGTGGGTGTAATAACGCGACCTAATGCCTTTGATCCGTAATTGCCATGAAGAAAGCTCTTAGATCGGATGACTGAGATGCTGGCAGAGGCGTATGAGATACGGAAATTGAATGTCTCCCCGTGCCGGAATTACTAAGTAATAGGTAGTCTAAGAATACTCCTGCGGACGCCTACAAGCCTAAAAAAGCCGAGGTATGATACTTGCCTTCTCACTCGCGTTGAAAATCGGCCATTGGCATAATCAAATCGCAATCAGAGTCCGCGTCAAAGTCTTCAAGATCTGACCTTCTCTTTGACAATTCCACTGAAGCTTGTACTGCCTCGCTTGCCGTTATCCATTCACCAAGGTCCTCGGGCTGGAGGTAAACCACAGCAGGCGGTTCCGGCTTTAAGCCTTGAAGAGAGTCTAGAATAACCCTGGCAGAGGCCCCTTCCTCCTCATTAGGGTAGAAATAAACGAGACGGTCTCTAGCTGAACGTGGAAGAACGATTCTCTCTCTTAAAGTTTGGATCTCACTCCCTACTCGGATCGCGCTCGCGTCAGAGCAATTGTTGATGATATGATCTTCCCGTCGAGGATAGAATATGGGGATCCTAAAGACCTGGAGGAAGCTTGCACTGATGCAGGTGTAGACCTCTCTTTTTCTCCATGTCAAGGTGAAGGGAAGACACGAGATTGCAGAGTTCGGCCACTTGCCGAGCGGGATGCCGTGGCTCTTGGCCAAAGCTCGCGGGGGCGTTGTGCATGCGTTCCTCTTGGACAGGCGAAGTGACACAACTTGTATAAACAGTCTGACAGCTGAAGGCTCGTAGGCTTCTTTACAGGCGGTGATTCTGGCGATGTGCAGATAGCAGCCACAAGACGAAAAGGACATCCTCACTGTCACCGAAAAGCACGTTCCTCTCGCCTTTTCGGCACTCTGAAAACATACTTCATGTATGAAATATGTGTTTTCTTCCAAATTGGCAAAGATGAACTTTTGTCCGTCCAGGGCATAAACCATCAGAGGTGCGGCGGGATGAAGAACAGGTGGTGAGCTGTACAGCATAGCCGAGGAAGGATTGGTGTACCGGAATACGAGACCAGAGGTGTCCAAATCGACTCGGTGAACGCTAATGGTGACAACTGGCCTAGCGCATTCGTAGGAGATAATCTCGAGCGGCACGTTCCGAATTCTGCCGTGACGAGTGTTCTTGTTCCGCATCTTGCGAAGCACATGGGTCCGTTGTAGACACCAGCCGCCGCGGACGTAGCAACGTTGGCAAATGTCGTATGTACTTGTCTTCTCGTTCGTCTCATTGCACCCATCGATGCATTGAAAGAAGTCTCTACTGAAGATCTCCTGCCCAACTGTGATACTTTTATCACACAAATCGCAGATTATGTGAATCCCTCCAGACCCGACAGTATTAATGCGGGGCTGGCCAGCATATTCATCTCCATCGCCTGGACTTCCAATCGGTGATGTCGCGAATGAACGTGAGAATAGAGATTCCGACCCATGTTCCGACCCATGTTCAGAACCAGAGACAATATCCGAATGAATACTTTCCCTTTTTGACGCTGAAGAAGATGAAGATGACGGTGATGCCGTGCTAGAAGCATATTCACCCTTGGCGAGATTTCCGTCGTTGAATCTTTGCAAACTTGAGTCTGATTGCTCGCCGGAATCATCTGATTCCGAATCACCACTGCTCGAGTCACTGCCATCGTGATACTCTTCAGCCGAAGGTAAGTCGTCGTTGAATATGCTGAGCCCAGACTCGGCGTCTGAATTCCACGAGTCTTCCGATACCTCGGATTCCGAAGATGAGTTCCCGTCTGATACCGCTCGTGTTTTCCCTTTCGCTCGGCTCTCCCGCTCCCTTGGCCGAGTGGATTTCCGACAGGAACGAACAATGTACTCGCCATCAGTAACGATGTCCTCCCAGACGTGCCGTGATGATTCCATCTGATCAACAAAATTGCTTGTCCAAAATTTTCCTTTGAGACGATGAAATATGCAAGAGCCGATGCGAATGGCGAAGGCATTCGCGCAGCTGCCAATTGGTAAAGCTCGCACCGTACAGTCCGTCGAAGGAATGAGTGGGAATAATTGCGGTCGACACGAACCATCACTATTCCACCCTACGAGCTGCGGATCAAAGCTCAGCGTCTCTGCGACAGCGTACTGGAAAGGGGGCCGATCTCCGTCTATATACCATAGCTCTCTCACCAACGTCGTCTTGCGCAGCTTCTCAGATTGGTCACAACAGCTTGGGGGCGGGATGTTAGTCTTCAATTTCTAGTCCAACATAAGGGCCCTCACCTCTTCAAAGGAATTTTCCAGAGGGACAAGCGCTTGCCATCAGCACTCACGATACTGAAGAGATACTGGGATTGCATATCCTCAATGGCGCTTTCATGGGAGTTCTGGTGGCTGGCGTGACTTGTCTCAAGCAAGTAGCTCTTGTTGCGTTGAATCCCCACACCGTGCTTAGAAAGGAAATTATTTGGACCAAGAGCTCCCCAGAACACTCTGTCAATCTCTCCATTCATGAAAGTTGTAATGCCCAATCGCAGGAAGTCGCTCCACTCTTTGAGGAAGTGTTCGTAATTTCTGACAATTGGGACGACCTCAGAACATTTCCTAAACCATTCAGGAAGATTCTGCTTGAGAAGTCGGTGTTGGAGAGCATTCTTCTCATTGAGGGTGTTGATGAAGTGGCCCACGACGAAAAGACTCTGGACTTGGATTGTAGTGAGAAACTGCGGCGAGAGGACGAAAGCCTTCACCTCAGTACAACGCTCACGACCAATTACTTCCAGGTGCCTGTACCAATACTTGGCAGCGTATTTCAAAAAGCTGTGTTTCAGGACGTCTTCCGAGGGCCCTTCAGCGTTCGTACAGAACTGGGTGTTGGAAATCTTCTTGAGAGGCTTCGCATAGCGATGTTGAAACATATACCTTAGGCAAGCGTTGGCTATAACATTGTGGTCGACCACAATGGGTAATTCTTCCTGGTGGTTTTTCTCTCTTGGTTTGAGGAATTCGAAAACTGACCCATGCGACAAGCGGAAGTAACCATCCTCCGGGTTCTGCGAAGTGGGTATGAAATCGATGAGGGGAGAGCACCGGTCGAGCAAGCCTTCTGCCTGGATCAAGCTGCCCTGATTGAGGTCACGGCAACCAATTGAGCTAGGCTTGAATGCAATGATGGACAATGCTTCTCGAACCTCCGACAAACGGAGCGGGCGGCGTGCAAGGGTTATAAGTGACAAAAGATTCCTAAGAGGTGTGCACGTCAACTCAACCAAGCTTTGCTTGACAGCCTGCCAAAAGGACTCACTTCGATAGCGGAAGCGCACGAAACTCTTCAGAATCATTCACATCCATGGCGTGCATGTCGCTTAGTCGGGCTAAGTAAAGGTGGCGCAGCGACTTGGGTAGGCCCATGTCAACCGCAATGTCTAGGTCTTCGGCCGTCCGGCACCTTTTGAGATTCTCGAGCATAAGATTCGCCCAACGAAAATTGGTCTCTGATTCGATAATCATCATAATCAAAACCTTTGCCTTGGTTGGGATGTCCTCACTGGAGAACTTGCTCAGTACATCGCCGATGCATGTGAGATATTCCAGGATATCCAATCTCACGAGCTGCTCGTCAACAATCAGTTCTTGCGCCTCCATTCCCTGCATCCATCCATTCAATTCGCTTGAGTGTTGACTGCTGCACCAGAGACGCACGCAAGTATCCGAATTGTCTCGTACAAGATTCGCTATGCAGGTAAGCGTATCTCGAAGATCATCCCTGAGACGTTGCTTCTCGTATTTACCGCGGTCAGATTCTGCAGTATCGTCTGGTTGAATTTCATTAAGACCGTCGACGAAGAAATAAACTTCGGAACACTGAGAAACCATGAGACGAATGAGCCTTTGCATGCCGTCGCCAGTGACGGCGCTCAAACTCAGCAGTGAGAGAGCCTCGGCTTCCACCCCGCCTTCATGCTCCACGACATGCTCGAGGAGTTGCAGGGCCAATAGAGAAAAAAGCTGATGTCTATTGCGCTCTTTTGCGTATGTGATCATGACGTAAGGTGTAGCTGGTCTTTTCTGTCGCTCCGATAGGTGGTCAATGACGAATGAAGTAAGGACAGACTTGCCCCTGCCGCCCGCTGCGGTAAGCCAAAGGATGCTGTTTGGCTTTTCTGGGGAAGCCCAGTCCTTGTAAACTTTCTTCTTCAGTAGCCAGCGGCATGTATCCGGATGCCGGCGATCGCGACATCGTTCGTAGTCCATGGTATTCAGTCTAGTGGACTGCGACTGCCCGCTCTCCAGGCTATCAGCTCCGCATTGGATCCATGACCGTATTCTCTGGATCTCTTCGCTAGATTTGAGGAGCAGACTCTGGAAACCCACTCGAATGCGTTCAACAAGTCTTTCATAGTTCCCATCTCTTTTCTCAAACCTTGAAATTGTCTGGTGGGTCTTTCCCCAAAGGGTCATGGATTGCTCATGAGCCAAATGTGTAAATCCGGAATCTCCTGGGACAACCTGACATCATCAGTCTCCTTGCCAAATTGAAATAGTAGTTTGAGCACTAACAGAGCCTTCTATCAAGTGCGCACAAGCTGAAGTGATGTTAAATCTCGAAGCCATATCGTTAAATGGCTGTTGCAGCTCTGTGAGAACTGTTGACCATAGAGCCAGGTTCTCATATCCATCAATATTGAACTTGGATGTATCCAATCCCTTGTGAGGGGTGTCCAAAAAGATGACATGTCTCGTATTGTTCAGAATAGCACCATAAAGCTGACCTTTAGTGCGGCAGTGACAGAGCGCCTACATCGGCTCAAATTAGTAGATGAGGATATACTCAGCCCTCGCAAACAACTCACACTCTTGATCACCACTCCTCCTAGTCCGTGTCCGATGAATGTGATTGGAGGTTCTCTATGACTATGAGAACGTGCCGTTTTGAAAAGCCCAGATTTCCCGATTTTCGTTCTTCTATCTCTCAAGTCACTGCACAGGGCTTCTCCAAAGCCGAATATCGTTTTCTGCTCTTGAAAGTCGTAGGCATGGCATTCTGGTGTGCTGTCATCGTAGCCGAAGGACAGAATTCTTGTTGTTCCAAGATCTTGGCCCAGAAAGTCTACCGGCCATAATGCTCCGTTCTGATGTTTCCAATCAGAAATGGAGCCGCTCTTGATGTCGTGCACAAGAACGAGGCTTGAATCGAGGGCGTCAGCAGAGTTTAGGCAACTTGGAAGGCCCTGGTAGCACGTACTCATAGTCGTGCCTCTCTAATTCATTTCCGTGCTGCGGCCACAACAAATGGAGGCCGAAAGAGTCCTCCACACTTCCCAACATCTTCCATTAACCCAATGGCGATTCAATGAACAGTATTTGTGACAACAGGATAGGGAAAATGTTTGGGACATAGACCGTTGAATCAGCCGAGATTCCTCTAATCAAGCCCGTTTGACTGCTTTTGTGAGAAAGCTTTGAAGAGAAATAAGAAGTTACGTAGACACAGAAGATAGAAAAGGGGGGGGAGAGGGCCAGACCCTGAACCTCCCTCGGTGATTTCAGCGAGACTGAGCGCTCGTACTTTGGCCGCGAACCACTGCACCAGACGGAAAGAATTCGACTAGATTAGGCTGGCCAGAAAATATTTTCATCAAACTGTACAATGGCCAAAAATAAACAGTGACAGTAAGTGGCGGTTAAATGGCGCTTAAAGCTGGCAGAAAAGAACAGCCAGCTGACATGGAGATAACATGCATGCTTCTGACCACCAACTTCAGGCATCAATGACTTGCTCTTCTTGCAACCCTCACCACCTCCATCTGGTTAGAGGCGACAGCCTGCATAGTATTAGAGGCGCGACATGGGCGACCTATTCGTCCACAGGCTCACCAATGGTGTCTTGATCGAATCCATGTCTCAAACGCCCCTGTAGCCCCTTTTTATGGCTGGTCTTGTTGTGACAGCTTTTTTTCTCCGAGTGCGTCGCCCAGGCTGATATCCTTGTAAATGATGGGGTGTACCTGACAATTCACAAGGCACATCAAATCCCTTGTCTCCTTTAGACCTGCAGAGCGCGTGCAGCACGTGGCCTGCGATGTTCTATCACTGATGTGTACATGTAGCAAGGGAAAGAGTTGAAAACGTCTCATCACCTGTGATACGATAACAAAAAGCCCTCATCAGCTGCTGGGCGGTTCTAGTCCCTTGATATTCTTGAGCCTCTGCTCCAGGTCCTCAATACTATCACCCTTGACACCATTGGTCTCTACCTCCAGTTGCTCGTATATCTTCTCTGCGACAGCGTTCAGTCTCCCCTGCACAGATACCCAATTTGGGTCATCAACGGAAAATTTGCAAACTCCCACGTGGTCTGCCAAAAGCGCTCTCGCTTGTTCATTCTTCTGGCCGACTTTGGCAGCACCTTCAGGAACCATCTTCATTGAGAATGTCAGCCAAAAAAATATCCAAGCCGAGGGAAGATGTTTCTCGTTGAAGAATATCTAAAATGTTGGAGAGCACTGGGCCGCTCACCATAACGCCGTGGGTTTTCTTCGTCTCGTAAAAAGTTGTGATATCAAACCGTTCCCACATTTCCGCAAACGCTGTCGTCAGCTCAACCAGCGGATTCGACCAGCGCTTCAAATCATCGACTACTCGCGTGTTGCGAAGTCGGACAACCCGGCCAAGACCCCCTAGAAAACTGGCCCAAACGGCGAGATCACTACCTTGGTGAGGCGTGCCAAAAAACACAATGGCATTGGTCGACTGGAGAATATCTCCGTATAAGCCCGGGAGCATATGAGCATGTCGTAGAGCGGACTTGACCACGATGCCGCCGAGAGAGTGGGCGACGAAAATGATTGGGCGCTTCTTCGCTGCGGCAGCCGCACGCTTGTCCTTGAGGTCGCTCAACAAAGCTTCCGCAAAAACAAAGACCCGCCCATGTGAATACTGTGAAGCAAAGGGCGTCAAGAAGGCCCGCGCGTCGTATCCGAATGTCATTATTCTTGCGTTTTGAAACAATTCTGACTGCGGGAGCAAGTCACGAATCCACAGAGATTTGTCCTTGGTCCATGTGGAGTAGGAATCGCCACCAAGACCGTGAACGAAGACCACACTGCGATTTCTATCGTAAGCTTTGAATTTCGAAGTCTTTGCTGGACCTGAGTACAGCTAACACGATATTTGACTCGTTGGCTGACCGTTGACATACTCTATTATTGGTTTACTCTTGAGTTTGGGGTCCGGGTACACCTGATGAAGTCCCAGAGTACTGGCCTGGGTTGCTCAGATTAGCTCAAGTCCGATTATAAAGCCTGTGACCTTCCAGGCGCTTGAGCATTACGCCGTCAATAGCTCTGCCTAATTTCACGGATAGTGCGAGCAGATCGCAGTCCAGATTGGCGCGGTTTCAATTCGGATCCTTGGAGTTGGAATTGGACGCACCGGGGGTTTCAGCCAATCATCATCGATCGCTTCAGTCGAGTCAACAGGCTCGTTTGCCATGATTTATCGATCTAGGGCTCTTTTGAATGAACCAAGACAAGTTTCGTTTGCAGCTCAATGTGATTTGTGCTGACCGGTCAACTTGCCATGCTCACATCATGACCCTTAAGTACTTGTCTCCTAGCTTCGTCTACCTGGAACTCCATGCTGCACAACTCATCCCAGATGCCCAGAGTATTGCGTTCTGGTCATATCCCGCACCTCCGTAAGTTGAGTGTAGTCGTTAGCCGATCAGCAAGTACCCAAGTGGGCAACGTTTTACATTTGCCTTATTTGGGCAAGATATCAAGAAGTGTTCCATCAGTCTCCCTGCATGCATGGCTGCCTTGTTCTTGAGCATGAGTTCAGCTGCTCAGGTGCAGGTCTAGTGTACATTATGCGGTAAGCTTCGCAAAACTGTAAAAGAAAAACGGTTCATTGTCTAATTTTATGCATCCCTGCCCGGTTTGCGGGCGCGTATCCATCTCAACTTCATACAATGGTGGGTGGTATGGGTAAGTTTAGCCTTCCTACCAGGCAGGGAGTGTGGGTCTGGCCAAGGCCGAGCAGTGACCTGTCAATGGTCAATTTTGTGCTTGACATGCACGCGGATTTCAAGAAGAATGCTGTTGGTGCAATCTCTAGGGGCACGGCGAAAGATCCTTGATAAGGGGGTTAAACTTTGGCTTGATATTGACCGTAGTAGGTCGCATTTTGCAACAGAGGCAGCCACTAATGCATGGAGCTTGGATGCCTCGTTCACTACCCTGACATCGAGTCTGCTGACCGCAGTCTTCTTGTCAGCGGCACAGGTTTACCATTGAGGCGCGCTTGAGTCTGGCCTGCGCCTTTCCTCGGCGACCTCCATTCTGCCTGCCACTCAGTTGGACATCCCGGCGTGAAGTCATTCAACAACCATAACAACAATTCCGCCGCGGCCCCTTCTTCCATTGATTGCTCCGAATTTCCCACGTGTAATCTCATTAATCAACCTCGTCATCGGAAAAATCATAATGCCTCCCGACCAGCTTTTGCGTTCTCAGCATACACGCACCAAGACTCAGGGGAAGACAGCACCCAATGTCTTCGATGGAGATGTCTTCAGGCAAACAGTGAATGAGAATATTTCAGACACGAAGATCAAGCAGTTACAGGAGGCTTGGGGTACCGACATTGGTGCAGGTAAGTCCATATACGCGCCTCTTGACTCGGCATGTTTGTGTCATTGGCTGAGCGTATTCACACGAAAACGTAGCCGTTGACCATTATCGGGAGCCTGACAAGGAAGTTTTTCATGGCAATCAGTCAGAGGCGGAGGTGAACAAGGCAGACTTTGCGCCGCCAGGAGACCAAGTCGGTCCTGAGGGCAGTTCAGACCCGTCCGGTCGAGACGCGATCTGCGAGCGAAATCAATAGTAGGACATGTTGCAAACTTTCGAAAATGGCAAAGCAGTCGCTAACGCTTGAGATAGTTGGAATAAGTAAGTGAATTGTTTCGGCTGTCCGAAGGCTGTAGATGGTGGGTGCACGCTAATCGGGCATCCGACACAGAGAAAAGCTTCGGTGGGATCTGAAGAGGCCCTCAAAGACACCCAAACATGAAGCCAAAGGCATTCCATGTGTCCTCCTCGTGCGACGCCAGTACAGCGAGAAGATGGTTTACGTCAGTACTGTCATCGACGTGAAGGGCCTCGCCCTTCGAAAGGCAATTCTAGCCATATTCCGAGGCGCCGAGGGACTGGAAATGACCGAAACCAACGTAGAGGTACGTTTGGAAGCCTCGAAAGACGCTCATTCAATCTCTAAGGTGTTTCACAGCTCTCAGACATTCACTTCCTCTTCTGGGCCCGTTCAGAGCTTGAACTGTTGGCTACTCACTATGCGGCTTCAGGCGACGCCGCTGACAAACCGGCCTTGTTCGAGATAAGGAGTGCTTTGGCTTTCATAACTCAGGAATGGGCGCATACGGACTCTTTGTTGAGCTCACTTCTCCCACATTCCATCAGTTTTGACCTCCTCTGGGTTGTTTTCCCACCAGAATGCTTGGTCATTGGAAAGGATGAGCTGGGTTTCGACAATATTTGGCGAGCGCGCACTCATTCTGTCGTTAGACAGCAAGATGGAAGCAATAATTTTGTAATTGTTGCTGAACAGCTCGAATGGGATGGTTCAGTATTGGGCTACGCGAGGACCCGTCTGACCGTTCCCGGGTTCAACGGTCTTATTCCAATGGAGGACCTTCCTTACATCCCGCTCAAATTCCACTCTGGTCAAAGGGCTTTGATGGAGCGAATCCTAGTACGTGGCGAGAAGAAGCTCAAGTTTTGCAAGAAAGGCTTCAAGATCCAACAGTACAGCGGCCGCGGACTTCGCAAGGTGGAAAAAGATGTGATATCATTCGTTGTAAGCGTCAATGTCCATCCATTTTGGCGATCGCTATGCAATCTTCCACGACTGATTTCGTGCCAAGCCTTACGGTCGTATCATGGTGGACCCTGCAATGATGACAGCAGTTCCATCTCATGGAAGCATCGTTCCGCGCCTGAAGCCTTGGAAGAATCGAGATACTGTCGACACGCGACCTTCTGAACTTGCACGAGGCATCGAAGACGGACAGAATGATCGCGAGGTGAAATTTCTAGAATTGTATCACCCTTTGCGTATTTTGTGGTTGACGCATAGTCCAGAAAGTCCTGACAGGCTTGCTGAGCCTGATTGACGACTGGAACCCTTCAGGGAATCAACCTAGTCACGACGAAACCAACATGGACAGGGAAAAGATTGGAGGCAATCAAAATTCCTTAGACCAGATGCTGACTACGGAGCAAAAGCTTATCTTGTCTGCATTGGTGTACGGATACGCCCTTGGATCCGGCATATGGGGTCCGTTATTCTTCTTCGTCAACCATCCGATCATTCCTGCGCTAACATGGGTTAGGGGGCTTCTCTGTTGAAGGAGTCTCAGACGTGAAATGGAATGAGTAAGATCAAGAAGCCAATTTCTTTTGCCATTGAATTTCTGTTCTCAAATCACTAGAGGTCAAGAGATGGCGATCTAACTGCCGTGCACAGTGGTCTCCTTAATTCCTTGGTCATGGAAGAGTCGCTGAGAGCCACCATGTACAAGCTTGTCAAGACCTACAGCCTAGGCCTTTCTGATTTTGACGATTTCGTCGAGGGAAAAGGAAAAGGGCTCATTGGTTTGCTTTATGGTCCGCCAGGATCAGGGAAGACCTTGACAGCAGAGGCAATCGCCGAAACTGGCCACATGCCCCTCTACATGGTATCCAGCGGGGCACTGGGCCACGAGCCCGAAGGCGTCTTTGTCAACTTGATGTCCAAACTCCGTTTGGCGACTCATTGGAAAGCAGTATTGTTGCTAGATGAAGCAGACGTGTTCCTGGCCAAACGGTCTTTGACGGGACTTACCCAGAACGCCATAGTGTCGGTGTTTCTCAGAGCGCTCGAGTATTACGAGGGCATCTTACTCCTGACGACAAACCAGATCGATAAGATTGATGAAGCATTCCTAAGTGAGTACACAGGATTCTAAGATGACTGCAGCTGAGAGTCATGGTTATTTCCCATCATTGCGTCTCGCTGACCATGATGTGATATTTCACACAAATAGGTCGAACTCATTTCTGTCACCAATATTCATCTCTCGATTTCGGGGCCCGAAGACAAATTTGGATGAACTTCCTGGAAAAAGCATCCAAGTCCGAGAAGATCAAAATCAATATTGGGGAAGATGGACTACAGCAGCTGGCGGATCTGGCAATGAATGGGCGTCAAGTATGTCTTTCAAACAAACCATCGCTTTCCCCATCACCGTGCCCTCTAGAACATAGTCGTCACATTATTCCATCAGAGACACCATATTTCAAGATCAGCAAATAACTTACCTCTGCAGATCAAGAACGCTATCAGCATTGCAATCAGGCTTGCATACCCTGACGCAGATTTTGGAGAGGAACAAAGCAGCCTTCGTTCCGACTGGCAGGTCAGCGCGCGCACTCTTACGGCGGATGGGATCATCGACGTTATTAGAACACTGCAAAGGTTTCAGCTTTCGCGTGAAGAAGTTCCGGGATCTCAAGCCGTGGAGCCTCGAGAGGCGAGGTCGCTCGCAGGCCCGAGGAGGATTACCACTGTTGAGACAGGCTACCGAGAGGTACCTGAGGTACGGATCACGGCTACCAGCGACGAACGAAGTCGACCTGCACGGCCCGCAAAGCCGAAAGATCTGTCACCTGGATCTAGAACGACTCATTAACATGAAAACGTCACCAAGGACGGCAACGAACTCGATGACATCTCCTGAGTTGGTCCACGTAGAGTATATCATATACCGCTGCAGTTGCTACTATTACTCTGAATTATAGATGATGTGATCATGGATGCACTGATATAAACACCACTTCTACACGTGTCCCTTGACAACTTTGCCCGCAACAATTTCTTTGTCTGCTATTACAGAATTGTTATACGCAGTCACGTCGCGGAAGTAAAGCTCTGTTCCCGGTGTCTCGTAGGTACCATCACTAGTCAGCCCTCTGAGATGGAAGATCTGATGGGTACGTCCGGCTCCTGAAGTAACCGTGTTATCCCCATAGCGGGAGTAGTTCGCCGTGCCGTTTCTGTCCGTGTCGATGACGCTGCCGGCCCACTTTGACCCTCCGCCCTCGAAATATTCAAGACCGGTCGGGTAGACAGTGTTTCCCTGGACATGGAGCTTGAGTCCTTGGTCTAACTGCGCCCAGAGAGTAAGATTCCCCGCAGGAAGGTACGACGTGGTAGTGTTGCAATAGAGCGGGTACGAAAAGGTCGTCTTGTAGTCCCAACCGGGAACCTTTGACGTTTCCTCGCCGATTGTCGAAAACGTGTTGATTCCTCCGTAGCCGTTGGCATATATACCTCCCACGTTGGAGTACGAGAGGCTCTGTGTCCATGTTGCCGTGCCGTTGCCCTTCTGCGTACTGATTAGCGATGTGATTGTGAAGTCACGTTGCACCGCCAAAGAGAAGTCCAGCGTCGAGTTGAATCCCGTTGCATTTTGCTTGAGCGTCTGCGAGAATGCAATGTCAGGCTCCCGGTTCGTCTTCTTGGTGATGACTCCCGTCGTGATGCTGCCCTCGTCGTCGAGCCACAGAAAGACCTTGCCTACGAGGTACCAGCTACTGCCCGTGGTGTTTGTCAGGCTGGCGCTCGACTTGCCGTCATCCACGAGCCCGACTACCTTGATGCTGAACGTGTGGTTCTTTCCGTCACAGAGCAGGGGCAGCCACGGGCTGATGTCAATCTCGTGGTCGCGCAAGTCGAATGCGTTGATGCCGACAATCGGGCGGTGCAGCTGCGGCACCACACCGCCTGTGAAGATGTCCGGGAAGGGCCAGTGCACGCCGGCCAAGTGCCCGTCGATGAGGACTTGGACTTCTCGGAAGGGCGAGTATCCCGGATAGCTACCGACGTCCGGATCGAAAGCATCCACAGCTGACTGCGGGACGTTGCTCCACCAAAATTCCTCGTTCCCTTGTCCTTTCACAGACGTGGAGAACACGGCCCGGTTCACATTGCGGGGGAATAGGACAGAGGCGGATGCATTCTCTTCCGGGTAGGTCCAGAAGCTGGCGGTGGCCGGGCTCTTGTTTGCGGAGACTGGCAGGATGAGGTCCGCAGGCGCTTGCCCGCCGCTTTGAACAGGACTCTTGAAATAGGTGGCCGTAAGTGTGGAGTTTAGGAGACCCGTGTAGACGTCGGTGACGACGTTGTCGAGTTGGAAGATGAGAGTCTGTGGCTCCCTCCAAAGGGATAGATACGGCGTGCTATCCTTTAACCAGGTCCAGGTGATGCCGTACGACGTGGGTTCGGCGGTGGAGGTCGAGAAGATGTTGACGTCGCCCAGGTACACGGAGCCCCAGCGATCGTACTGCCTTCCCCTGACCTCGACGGTGAAGTTGAGCACGACGTGATCAAAGTCAAAGTCAGGAGGCGAATAGCTTGCAACAAAGGGGATGCCGTAACTGTATGCGAATTGGTGATCCATCAACGTGACCGTAACCGCTTGCCCCGTGGGTTCCAGTACGGGTTGCGCCACTTGAAAGGTATCCAGCAGTGGTGTTGTCGTTGCTGCCGGCGGCGAGGTCGTGCTAGCCGTGACGTCTGCCTCGTATGCAATACGGTCCATGTGAGCCAAGACATGTCCGATTCTGGGGCTCCGCACGTCCAGCTCTTGGTATCGCGCCGTGCGCTGGACATGGAACTGGTCTCCGCGGGCCAAGGTTGCAAGGGATCCGATGAGAAGGAGTCCCTTGAGGAGACCACGCCCGCCGCACTTCCAGCTGGTCATTGCGTCCATTGCTTGGCCGAGAAGACTTCCTGAAGATCCAAAAAATCACCTGTGATGCCTTGCTCAGCAACCAGACTGAGAAAAGAGTTGGGGATAATGATGTTCAGGAGATGGGACTGGCGTGGTTTATGAGAGCGCAATCACAGTGCGGGAGTCCGGCAAGCGATGGGATGCACGTTCGGCGGGGCAAAGGCGCCCAAAGCGGCAGGTGACAGTAGATGTGATAGGATCGCCATAGCGTCATGACAGGGGTTGACCATGGAAGATAAGATCAACCCCTGAGCCAAGGCGATTGTCAGAGTTCAACAGCCTCAAAGTTATTTGGCTGTATGTGCTACTGCTTAAATGTAAATGCCGTAGTCGGTGGACTCATCCAAACAAGTGAAAAATAATAGGAAAGACGGCACTGGGATGGTTCCGACTGATTCAGAGTGAGACGCAGCTTTGGATGGTTCTTGTGTCAAGCAGCCATCGCGAAATGAACTCAATTTGATAAGCTATTTCACAGGTGCTTTCTTCGTCGCTACGAGGCGTATTCGAGATGAACAAAGTGATATATGAAGACGCCTTCGAAGGGCGCGCCACGGCAGTTGCCAGTAACTGATCCTTGTGGTCCCCAAACGTCAGGTCATAACTACTGCAAATGGCGTTCAACTGACGCAATTGCATCTTCGAGAGACAATTTATGAAGCCAATCCACTCAAGAGGTAACAGCAGTCAGTGGCGCAATCAACTGCGATGTAAGGTGCTCTCATCCTGGAAGATTCCTTGTCATCAAATCAAATGATTGCAATCTACAGTCTACTTTCACACTAACCAGCAGCCCGAGGGTCGGGCTGCCCCTTGCTTCTTCTCACTAGGTGCATTCTTACGAATCATAAGAATCAATGAAATGGATACCTTCAACTTGATGAGTGAGCACCTGTTCTATATTCGTTTACCGATGGGGACTACAGGAGGCAAATTGGACAGTTTGGCATACACGCATACTCAGTTTCCCATAAGTACCCAAATTCTCAGATTATGGATACGCCCGACAAGTTGCAAAACACCGGTAGAAAGCGTCCAAGGTTAGTAGTGGTTTCTACGCCGTCCCACTAGACACAAAAAGCAAAAGATTGCGACGAGGGGGAATCGAACCCCCGGCTCCCCGACGCTGCTTGATGGCAACGGAGAATTTTACCACTAAACCATCGACGCTATTGATCCATGATGTGTTGGATGCTTGATGCTAGGGGCAAGCACAATATGGATCTTGTGGGATTGTGGATCGTTTGGCAAAAATTGCGGTTCCATTGCGAACAAGGGTCACGATACCCTCAGTTTCGCGCCAGGGAGCGGAAGTACATGAGGAGTGGGGTAGGTAGTATATAGGCGCAAATGGGTCCGAAAACCTTGAAAAAACCACATGTCGCCGATCCTATCTGTCTCCAGAAGCACATCGTATCTGTATGCTGTCTTGCCTCTGCAGCGTACGAGAGCCTTCAACAGTTTTATGTGGTTGTCTCGTGTCGCGCTTCCGATTTCTCAATATGAAATCACTCAACTCTCACGGCGTCTATTCATACTTATAGATCATCTATAGGTCCGTTGAACGACTCCCAAAAGTGCTTCGGTCAAGAAATACACGTAGAAAAGTGTGCCAAGACTTTGGCAAGTTCTCCGCTGGAAGCACGAATAACACAGAAAATCCTCTATCGGCATTTCGGTGATTTTCTTGCTGACAATCTTAGTCTAGTCGTAATGTTGGGGTCTAAACTCTCACCTCCCAATGGAAGCGAGCTGCATATGCTGCAAGCGATGCGCCCAAATTTCAAGATTTGAGATGACCATGGATCAGTCGGACGGGATACTGGAAGATCAGCAAATTGACCACATTACAAGATGTTCAGTCCCTCGCGGATGCGAAAGGAAGTCGAATCCAATGCCATCACGTTTGCGATAGGTGCAGCAGGATTTTGTCAGCAAGTCCGAGATCAGTGCGTACTTAGTAAAGCCCTGGCTCAAAGACAGCCGGTGTTGGGATCTTACCTGCATGATTAGCGCCCATGGCCGCCGCCCTTCTTTGACAACCTTCCCCACTGTGATCAGTGCGCTTCCGCATCCTTCAGCCCCCCTGCTTTCGCTCAACATCCGCCAACATCACTTCATCAAGTTGTGGAATCAGAATCGTAGAAACTCCAAATTTGCGCGCATCTCTACTGTGACGAGCGTTGCAACGCGTATAAGCCATGGCAAGACGACCATCGACAGCAGACAGCGGCCTGATGAACGAGCGTTCCGAGGCGGTGGACTTTGACCTCGACCTTGGTCTTTTCCTCTCCGACGAAGCGTTCTCCGATGTATTTCCCAGAGATCCACCATCTCACTACGGTGCAGGGGATGGACGTCAGTCCGAAGAAGGACACATGTCTGCGTCATCAAGTGTTTCTGGGGGCGTCCCATTGTCTGATGTTGTCGATGAAACCATCTACTCCAAGCCATTGCGAGAAAGCAGTCCGAATGCCACAACCGACAGGACGAAAGTCGGCAGTCGCTTTACATCTGCAAACATAAGAACCCTGAAAATATGGTTCGAGAATCACGAGCGACATCCGTATCCAACTCCAGAACAGGTCGAAAGGTTACTGAAGCAGACGGGATTGAGCAAGCGGCAACTAACCAACTGGTTCGCCAACACGCGTCGGCGCAGAAAAGTCCGCCCAAGCGGAAGCTCCACACCCATCGGGACCGAATCTGGTTCGAATCCCATGGACATACCCGTTCGACGGCCGACGCCAATGGCATTTGAGCAGATGAACCCAATGCAACGATGGGAGCACTCCCCTCCGCAAAGCGAGCCGGCGCTCGTTGCCGATATTTCTCGGGCAGTCGCTGCATCATCTCGACTTTCAGGCCTTCCGGCTCGCTCTCGATCTTCGGCAGGATCTTGGGAAAACGCGTCCACTATCAGCAGTGTTGGCACCTCTCAGTCGAGTGGAGGATCGCGATCCAACCTTTCGGCATACTCTCGTAGCTCGAGCAAACCCCCTAGCCCTTTGGAGACACTCAGAAGAGACTCGACCCGCCGTCGAAGACGAGCGATGGTCAGAGTACACAGTGGAAATAGGCTTAGCCTTCGACAGACCAATACTTACCAATGTACATTTTGCGCCGAAACTTTCAAGACGAGATACGACTGGCAAAGGCACGAAAAGTCTCTTCACCTCTCCCTCGAGGAGTGGATTTGTTCGCCACACGGCTCGACCACGACTCACCCCGAGAAAGGCGTCATTTGTGTGTATTGCGAGGAGGTCAACCCAAGCCAGCAGCACCTCGATGCCCATCATCAGGCGGCCTGCTCTGAGCGATCGGTCGAAGAGCGTACATACTACCGCAAAGACCATCTTCGGCAACACCTGAAACTCGTCCACAAGACAAGTCAGATGTCTCGCACTGCAGAGAGTTGGAAGGTTACCACGGATAACGTTCGATCGAGATGCGGCTTTTGCGGCATCAGCCTGGAGTCATGGGCGACGCGCGGGGACCATATTGGGGACCACTATCGAGATGACGGCAACACCATGTCGGACTGGAAGGGGAACTGGGGGTTTGAAACCCATATACTCGCAAAGGTTGATAACGCGGTCCCCCCTTGTGAGTGAATCCTGACCGATTCGAGGAGTCTGGCGGCCGTGCTAACCGCTATATAAGGTGTGATCCAGTTTGAACAGAGTGCGCCTGTTCCCTTTTGCGCAAGTGTCTCGCCAGCCGGTTCCGCGCCAAGCGCATACGAACTCCTCAAGCTCGAAGTGGAGTATTTCGTGCGCAACTACTTTGAAGCACACGAAAGTCTACCTTCGGACGATCAGCTTATCTACGAGGCTTGTACGATTATATACGCCTCCGAGTTCCTCCAACACAATGGCACCGCGACGGCGGCGTCCTGGCTTCGAGATCTGCTAATGAGCTCTACCGAGTTATCTGAAAAGGCGCGTCTGCGTCCGATGAATCAGTGCTATCAACTTGCCAAACTAAGCGCGAGCCAGCTTCTAATTATCGGCAAGACAGACATATTTGAGGACTGCGAACTGGAGGCTCAGCTTTGCCGACATCTTGGAGACCATCTGGTTCTAGGTCTCTCGCCTTCGGACGATGACCTTCAACAGGAGGCGTGCGTCATCTTGAATAGGGTAGAGTCAGCATCCACCAATCCTTCACGAAGATTTACGGGGTTTCTAGTCCGTCTCATGTGGAAGTCGACATCATGGCTGGCTCCCCTGCGTCAGAGGGCGGAATATTTTGCGTCGGGCTCATACCAAGAACTGATACCGTATCCAGATCCCACCACAAATATGACCAGCGGTCAACTCAATGACTTCTTCACAGGGCTCGCTGAGTTAAATCAGTTGACGGGGGCGGCAGAAAAGCTCATACCAACGACAGCAACAGCAATAACCCGCAAAATGCAATCGGCCATTCCAGCTGGAACAGTTGACACGCAAGCATCTTCCAGCTACTGCAACTCCGAAGGGCATCAAGATTGTATCTCGCCTGGCTTCAGTTTTGATGCGATGCCAATGAAGTCCGGGGACTTTTACACGCGATTACAAACTGCCAAGACAATGTTTGAAGGATCTGGTCACTCCTTGAGGGAATCCGGGGGCTCCAAGGGCACAGGCATGCCGTTCTTCCTCAACGACCCCAACAGATATGCTCGTTTGGCAGGGGAACTGTCGCGGTTCGTTGCGAGCACCATTTCACCTCGGAACCCAAACATGCATATCCCTTCCGATGATGAGCTCAGATATCACGCAAGATGGGTCATTTTCGAAGAGTACGTACTATCCTACACGGATGCCCAGCCCAAGATCCCATGATGGAAACGCCGCAAGCTGACAGTATTTCACAAGTGACGATCCTTGGAATCAAACGGCAGCCGACATTCCCGAATGGCTAGCCGACTTCAAAAAGGGAGTTGGTCTCGAGTAAAAGCCTCGAAACATAAAATCAAAAACAAGCTCCGCCCTGGTTGAAAGCTCAGCATCTCGGCTTTCGGGCTCCCTATGGAGTCAATGCCAAATCGTCTATTCTACATGGTGCCCCTCAAACACAATTTCGTTCTGGATCCTACCGAGGCCATCAATCTCGACCGCGACAACATCGCCGTGTTTCAAAAAGCTGCCGCGCGCATACCCAACGCCCCCCGGCGTGCCCATCATCACCACCGTCCCCTTCCTCAGCGTCGTCCCCCGCGAAAGGTGAACGATGACCTGCGCTACCGACCAAATCATATCAGACGTCTCCGTCTCCTGCACGACCCTGCCGTTGACCCTCGTGCGGAACCGCAGCGCGCACGGGTCCGGAACGACGCGCGGCGACCAAATGGCCGGCCCGATCGGAGCGAAGCCGTCAAACGACTTACAGTAGGAGTACTGGCCACCAGAGGCGCCGGGGAGCTGGAAATTGCGGGCGGTCACGTCGTTTCCGGCGGCGTACCCGAGGACGTGGTCCATGGCGTTGGAGAGAGTCGCGTTCTTCACGTCGCGGCCGATGATGACGCAGAGCTCCCCCTCGTAGTCTAGCTGGTCTTGCGCGTCCTTGTGGACGAGGATTGGATCGTAGGGACCTGCGAGTGCGTCTGGCGGCTTGGTGAAGATGATGGGGTAGGCGGATACGGGGAGCTACAGGGGGCCGTTGGTTAGAGGAATCTCGCGTGGAGGATGCAGGAGGGCGACTCTTTGCTCACGTTTGCCTCTATGGCGTATTGCGCAAAATTGAGCCCCAGACATATTATCGTTGGGGTTCTTTCCAGCGGGCAAAGGAGCTGCATCGTATGAATAAGTAGTCAGACAAATGAGCTTTGCTTTTTTTGCACTGGGCTTCGTGATGGGATGTCGGGAAACCAGCCAAGGGGAATCCCTCCCGTTGTGCGATGCGAGCTCTCAGTCACTCACTTTCACCGCCGTATCTCTGATGTTTGTCCTCTCCAATCCGTTCTCCAAATTCCCATACAGTCGCTCGACAACGTGGCCATAGTCGCTACTTCGCACGAGATTTCCGTAAAAGATGCTTCCGTTATGTTCATATCTCACAAGAGCTTGAAAATCCATCGTCGCCGCTATGTCCACACCGTCTCCAAACGACGCGAGAAACATCAAAGCTTCACACGCACCTTTGGAGCGGCTGGCACCACAACAAAACAACACTTATAAACAAATGGCTAGCAGAACTAAGATTTTCAAAACTTTTTTCCTTTACCGCCTGTCTGAACGCGGCGGTGATTTCTTTGCTCTTTTTTTCCCTTGCCGCCGAGGATGCCGTCGGGAGACTCGGAGGCCGAGCGAGGCCTTGTAAAGACCGCCGCATGACCCCCTTTTTAATCAACTTTGCCAGATCCTGTTGCGTTGCCTCATCTGCTACCACTGCGCACAGCAGTGTACGGAAGAGCCGCGCAAAGACATGAATGTTGAGACGGAACGCTAAAACGCCCGCCGTTGGGTTACAGAGATGAAGAGAGAGACAAATAAAAAAAAGACCGGCTGCACCGCCCGCCGTTTCGGCGATTCGGGGAATTGATTTGTGGTAAGAAAGGAATGATTGTCCACCGAGGCAGGCGGATATTGCGGACTTGAACAAGTTCAGATGACTTTTGCCACTGTCCCGATGGAGATGACGGACACGGAGAACTGCAAGTCTATGAGTCACCGAGGGTACGGTGGTATAAAAGTATGGTATGCGTCCGAGTTTTCGTTATCATGAGTTGAAGTCATCTGCTATTTTGCTGAGTTAAAAAGATGGCACCTCGGCAGGTATTTATGGGCAACGGTGCCATCGCTTCTTATTCACAGGTGCACGAGGGGGGATATTCCGCTGAGGACATTCCGCCCCCGAAAAAAAAAAAAAAAAAGGATCGGCTTTTCCGAGTAGACCGAGCTCCAAGGTTTCGAAGTTTAGATGTGCCGGACGTAAGGGAAGAACTAAACCTGATTGTGATTATATGCAGAAGCGGGAGTACAGTACAGTCGGCCGCTGGGTCCATCCAATTCGGCTGCAAGTACAAGCCGACCCAATCGAAGACGATGACCTCTATCTAACCTTATAGTAAAGAGGAGTAGTACTAGTAGTGTATAAGCAGTGGCGAAACGCTGGGGGGGAGGGTGTGACGACATGCGTAATTCACTTGTGTGCATATTCTCTAAATACCCATCTCTGAGCCTGAAGAAATCCCCATGTCGCGGCCGAGGCGGCAATTTGCCAATCTCGCCGGGCCTCCTCATGCTGTTCCAAAGCGCCAGTTAGCAGGTGGCTTGGCGACTAGCCCCCTGCAATCTGATACTAAATAGGGACTACCCGACGTAGATCCGGCGCGTAGATCCGGCGCGGGGTTTCCTGCGTTTTGCCAGGCGAGGCCGGGACCCGTTAAGTAGCGGGCCCAATGGCCGTGACAGACAAAGATAGAAATGTACTTCTCCATGTACCCATAATCAATTCCCATTCAATTCCCACCTACCGGTTGTTTCATTCCCTGATAAATGCGAGAATGAGAGTCCTCATCATCGGTGCAGGTCTCGGCGGCCTCGCTTGCGCCATTGCGTGTCGAAGAGAGGGTTTCGAGGTGGTGGTTCTCGAGAGGGCGAGTAGTCTGGCTCCGGTAAGCCCACCGTCGTCCCTAAGATAAATCTCGCGCTTTCAGGTTTTATGTACATCGTAGCTAAGAAAGGGCTGTCCACCGTCTCCCAGATTGGCGCAGGTCTCCAATTACCGCCCAACGGAATGAGAATCGCCAGGCAGCTCGGCTACGTCGACAAGCTCCTCCGGTCCGGTGTCGTCCTCGAGGAGGTGGGGTTTTGCCGGTACGCCGACGGCAAGCATCTCCGTGTGCTCCCGACCAAGGCCGCGCAAGCCCGGTACGGCGAACCCTGGATGGTCGTCCACCGGGCCGATTTCCATGCCGTGCTGTGGCAGACGTGCGCGGAGCTTGGCGTGAGTCTCTGTCTGGATATGGATGTCGAGCGTATCGACTTTGAGAACAAGGTTGTTCATCTCGAGGACGGGGATGATATTGCAGGGGATGTGATTATCGGAGCTGATGGTGAGTTTTTTTTTCCTGTGCGCGCGCGTAGGATGCAAATTAGTCCAACCTTTTTTTTAACATTGGATAGGTCTGTGGTCTGTCTGTCGCGACCAGCTTCTTGGTTCGCCTTCGCCTGCTGTCGAGACGGGTGACTTGGCATACCGTGCTACGTTCCCCGTCGGCTATCTCAAAGATCTCGAGGACCCCCGGGTGGACGAGCTCTGCGCCCGGAAGCGGGTCACGATGTGGATGGGACCCGACAGGCACACCGTGTTCTACCCCGTCAGAGGCGGGCGGGAGTTCAACCTCGTGCTCATCAGGCCGGACAATATGCAGGCGGGGGAGAAGCGCACCGAGGGCGACATTGAGGAAATGAGGGAAAGCTACCGCGGATGGGATGAGACGTAAGTTTTGGCTGCTTGAGATGGTGTTTGAGTGAATTGAGTCCCTTTTTTTTCACGGGTAGTTACTAATCCCTTTCCTAGATTAACCAAGCTCATATCATTGATACCGAAAGTACAAAAGTGGAAGCTCTGCACACATCCCGAACTGGAGACATGGACAAAGGTAAGTCTCTGTTTGAAAAAGCAAACACAGAGTCACCTCGCCAGCTACTGACAAGAATTCAGGGCTGCTTCGCCCTCCTGGGCGACTCGTGCCATCCAAGCCTCCCCTACCAAGCGCAAGGCGCAGCCATGGCCGTCGAGGACGGCGCCGTGATCGGGAAGCTCCTGGGCCTCCTCAAGGACGCGGCGGGGCCGGAACACATGCAAGTCCAGGTGCCCGAGGTCCTCAAGCTCTACGAGACGCTTCGGAAAAACCGGACAACGGTCAATGTGCAGGGCGCGACCTCGAATCGGAAATGGTACCACGTGCACGACGGTCCGGAGCAGGAGGCCCGCGATGCGGAGTTGGCGGGCACCCCGCTCAAGGACGGCCTGTCGCCGACGGGGTGGCGGTTGATGGACCCCGACTATGGAATGGAGCTCATGGGGCGAGACACTGTCGCCGAGGCTGTGGAGGCGTTTGAAGAGTGGAAGCAAAGGAGGGCTTAGGGTACTGAAAGAATGACGAGCAAACGCTGATTGATTCTATACATAAAACTGTTCAAGTATGCCTCTCGGTAACGCCGAATCTATGTGACGTAGAAGAACCATCCCAATCGCATATTATAGCACGCGCACGGTAAATTCACTTTTCGCTTCCCCAGTAATATCCTTTCATGATAGTAGCATCGTGACTCATGACGTCTCAGGCATCTCTCGTGTACTCGGACTTTTGGCGCCAAACATGACCATATCTCATAAGAAGCACCGGAATCGGCGCAAGACAGATGCTGAAAGCACCCAGCATCGTGAAGCCCCAACCGTACCCAAAGGTCTGCACCATGGGTCCACTAGCAAGAGGCAAGAAAGTGCCCGCCAGGCATCGCGTCACGATGACGCCGGTCATGGCGGAGGCAGAGTATAAGCCCGCGGCATCGACGACGTAGGCTGAGAGCGGGAGAGAGGCCATCAGGAGGGTGAAGCCGAGCAACGCAACCGACAAGAGGAGGAATCCGACCGGTAGATGGAGCTCCGCGATCCAGCCGTACGCAGTGATGGAGAGGGGTAGGGTGAAGGCTCCAATGATGACGAGCGGGAGACGGTACTCGGGGCGTCCGACGGGGTCGTTGCCGCGAAGCTTCACGTAGATCCTATCGAGACTGAAGTTGCAGACTACTACACTAATAAATGATCCGACACCTGGGTTTGTTAGTATTCAGCGATATCGGGCAAAGGGTTGGAAATACTCACTGAAGGACATGAAGGAGAGACCAGTGAGGGCGGGAGAGAAGCCATAGACGTCCTGGAGAATGACGGGCAAGCTGATGGACATGACGTAGAAGTAGGCGAAAGTGATGCATCCAAAAAACGACAATCCCATGAGCACGTTGGACTTGAACAGAACATGGAAAGGTCGCTTGATCGACTCCCACAGCTTGAGCAGGCTTTTGTGGTCGTCGATCCCGGCAGGGTGAAGCGGTGCCCCGTGTTCGTCCGCATGCTTCGCGGCACGTCGTCTCAAAATGGTCATCTTGTACGTTTCCCGGAAACAGGTGAGGAACAGTATCTCGCACACCGTCGCCAAGCCGGCGCTCATCCAGAGAACCTGTCTCCAGCCCAGGGTCTGGGCAATGGCGCCGCTAATCATCGGACCGACCGCACCGCCGATGAGCGGGGCGAGAGACACTATGCTCATGGCCGAGCCGCGGTTGTCGGGGACAAACATGTCGCCAATGATGGCGGGGTTGAGGACGTTGGAGGCGACGGCGAGACCGGTGAGGCAGCGGGCGCCGATGAGGAGCGGGGTGCTCGTGCTGATGGCGGCGAGGACGGTGGCGATGATGAAGAGGATGTTGGCGGCGTTTATGACGGGGTAGCGGCCGTAAATCTCGGAAAGGGGCGCGATGAGGAGGGGGCCCGCGGCTTCACCGAGCTCCCAGATGGTGACGAGCAGGGCGCTCGCGGGTGAGTTTGTGCCCTCATCCTGGTCTAGATCCTGGATGATGCGGGCGGCGACGGGGACGACTGAAATGCAGGTAAAGGTTCTGGGAAAGGATGTCAGCGCAACGTGATTTCGAGATTTGATGCAAGCAATATGCGGTTTGAAGGTTGTCCATACACGGTGAACGCGGTGAGGGCCAGCAGTGAGACCAGAGTCCACTTGAATGGTGCAGGCCATTCCCTGGGGTTCTCGGGGTCGCCATTGGGGTCAAAGTCGAGCAGGTGCTTCGAGATGTCTTCCTCGCAGAGGGGGTCCTCGACCAGCAAAGGCTGCTCCTCGTCCATGTTTGGCATGTCGTCGAGCGGGAATCTAGTGACCGGATTGTTGAAGGTACTTTGCAATAAAGTTTGGTCAAAGGAAAAAAAGGCAGAGTTGATCAACGGCGGCCGGATAAAAGAACCACTCGACTAAGGTAGTACTTGATTAGGAGCCGGCTAACAAAGCAGCAAGCGCCCTTTGCGTGATTGCCCCACGCCCTTGGCCATTTTTTTTTTTTTTTCCCTGGCGGGACGAAAATTTGAATCGCCCGGAGAGGGTCGGGAAGGTGGCAACGGCGGGGCCGATGCTTGGTAAGGTATCCGTCACACGTGATACCCGCTCACGTGCCGCTGGCCGCTGGCCGTGGCATCTGGATTTCTCTGCGGAAGGTGGCTGATTGCTCATACTGGGCTGCGTCTCTCTGCGAATAATCGCTATGCCGTTATCTCTGGAATTCCTCAAGTGGGATAATACAGCATTGAGGAGGGATGAGGGGTCCAAAAGCCCGACCAGATTGAGTACGGATATTAAGGTACGTATCCTTTCCATCTCCAGATTGGCTCTGTTAATTGGCCAGCGCCGGACCCGCCTAACATCTAATTCGGCCTAGTGCGGGGTCGGCCCTCCGAGTTTGTTCTTCTGGCCGGGCCGGCGGTCTCGGTCAGCGTGAGTTTATGAAGCCACTACCCACCGAAAGGCGCAAATGACATGCCCGGAGCCTGTGATTGGCCATTCTTGGTTTTTTTTAGTCCTGGAATCAGAGCGAGCGGCCGCCGCAGGTTGATGACTGCGATAAAAGGATCGAGGCTCCCCACCTGAAAAATGATGATCTTAAACTCGATATCCTCATAACCAAGTCGGGGATGTGACCTTATAATCCAATTATCACATCAATGCATTCTTGTTTGGACGTAGAGTGCTTGGTAACATGCCAAAACCCTGGCCGACTCGAGATAAAGTGCAAAAACGGGACAATTCTAGATCATCATAGGTATGCTTGTGTACGATGAATAGAGATAAAGTGCTACCAATGCTGAGTACCTTAGAAGCCGTTGTGTTTTAGTGTTTCTACTCTAGCTAGGCACACATGGACAGAGACGTCCAGGGTGAAACCTTGTCGTTACGATGAAGCTTTGACCCAGGTCAGACATCCAACAGTTTAGTCCACGTCCAAAAGGCCGTTGGTATCTAAGACATCTTCCCTGGCCGATTCTATGCCGTCGCTTATATCAAAAGTTCCATCAAGCCCGTTCACATTTTCCTCGCTGGTTTCGTAATAGATATCTGCGACATCATCCTCGTCCTCTTCCCAGATCTGACCCCTGGCCAACTTCCTTTCAAAGATGTCGTTGACAGCGGTCTCGAGAAGGCGGCCAACGAGTGCTTTGTGATCGCGGTCTTCTCTCACCATGCTGTCGATCACTTCCTCCTCTTGTCTGTCGAGTGCTTCACGTTGGCGTCGGATATCATCGAGGTTCGTAAGAGTACGGTTCTCCAAGACGTTCTTGGTAAGCTCCATTGCCTTGATTTTCTCGTCGATTTCGGACATCAACTCTTCCAGCTGAGCAGCACGAGAAACGTCTTGAAGACATTTGGCAACCTTCAATGCGGCCCGCAAGTGCTGGCTTACGCCACGGGCAGTAGTGGGTAGTCTGTGTACAGCCGTATGTCTGAGCTGATGAGTCCGAACGAGGACTTCCTTGATGGATGTGCCGGCCGGCGTCGTCGCATTTGCGGGCAACTTCGGCCCCACCCTCTTGAAGACGTTTGTCCACTTGGTCAGCTCGACCGCCGAAGCACAGTCCCAACCTCGATCCTGGAGGACATGTGGGATCCATTTGTTCGCAAAGTCGAAGCAGCATTCTTCCAGTATTCTCTGGGTGGTTGTAAGAATTGTATGTTGCGTGTTGTAAGGGATATAGGAGGGGTACAGAGAAGGGACACCAGGGTACGGTGGCGGATGTATCAGGGTGCTTCCTAAGGTGTTGTCAGTAAAGTGACGTGTTTGCAGCAGCAACAATCATGACTTACCAGAATCGACATCGCCTACATCTGCCGACTCTTGGGGAAGTGATACAGCATGAACTGAGCTCAATGAATCTTTGACAGGATGGGCTGCGGCAAGAAAATCTTTGAGAATGGATGATGCCCCTTCACCGAGATATGCCCCTCTAGCAATTGCTTTGGGAAGAGACTCAATTTCGTCATCGTCATCGCCTTCCGACTGGCTCATCTCGTTCAAGGCGTTTGCGACCGACCTCACTGCATCGGCTTCTGATGCTTCTCGCTCAGCGTCTCGCTGCGGAGTGCTTTCAAACAGGCTCGGAAATAAGACTTTGGCGCGGAGATCAGATTCGAATGCCCGGTTTTCCAACAGGAATTGCGACATGAGAATGGTCTTTTCCTCGCCAAAGCTCGCAAAGAGCAATGTCAGAGAGCCCCTGTTCTTGATCAGGACCTCTCTGACCTTCTTCTTCTTGCGCAACTGGGCATCGGTGCCGCTGAAGATTGCTCTGCACGCGCAGTACACCCGCTCAAGGTCTTCGTTACTGTAGCTCATGATTGCAAGAGTTTGGAGAAATGTGACAGATACGAGGCAGGTAGAAGAAGCTATTGAATTGGGGGCTGAGCCGTCTTCATATAGATATGGTGCCCAAAAATGCCAGGGGGAGCTGGTTGGAAACCCAACTGCATGTCTTTCTTAGTAGTCGGCCTCCTGCAGCGACCGTCCCAACATGTCACGTGCATGATCAAGAAGTAACCGCGATTGCGACTGCGTCCTTGGTTCCACACATTTTGAAAACGAGGTCTTGGTCCATTGGGCTTCTGTGCATGCCGTATCGTCGCTATAGCAGCCTTACTCATTCAGGAGCAATTTGGACAATTTGACGTCAGGTTGTTTCCTCGTTGGTTCATTTACTTTGTCAACAACGGCCGTATCCAATCACCGTGATACCTAGTCCCGATAAAACCCACAGCGGAATTGCGCAATAAGAATCAGGTCAATATGCACATCAGGTATTTGTGCATGTCTGAGCGGGGTGCTTGGGAACAGAGGTTAAAAGGTCCTCGAATTGGAGTCCAATTACAGATGTACTCAAGGCTGCCGTCAACCATTCTTGCAATGAGTAGGGAAAATCCGTGCAGCTATTGGTCAAGGAATAAAAACAGAAGCTATTTTGTGTCGGAAGTCTTCTGTCCCACACTTGTGAGGTCTATCTATGAGGTGGTTGTGGAAAATACGGGAAGACGAGAGAAAAGTTGAGGCTGGCGAAAACCTACTTAGTCAAGACACAAGTTCTGAACAGCTCGACCACCGAGTAACGCCAAGAAGCCGGTGGCCAACGTCAAAATATTGAAACGAAGGTGGCTTGTATTGTTTGTTCTGCCAATTTCTGGCAAAATGAAACCAATAACTTGCGCCCTTGGGTTGCAGTAGTACCTATTCATTCAAAAAAGAGCGGCCTCGACATTCCTCCCTGAGAATACGAAGAAGCATGAAGATGCTTCCCAAAACATGGCGATGGCTTTGAATGGCATCGCTTCAATGCTTGGAAGTTCAAAGAGATACTGGCCCAGAGAACCCAGAACACGACTGAAAATAACGTCATCACTGCAGCGCTCGACAACATCAACCCAACTCTTGCATCCGCAAACGCCAACGCGACCTCGACTGTTGCCTCGGACACCGCTGTATCGGCACCCAATCTCTCACTTAGTCTCCCAACTTCATTTTATACACGTTGATGACCTTCAGCGACAGCAATGCAAACCTTCAGACTGATCCCGGTACCGATATGGGTACCGACTAATTCGATGGTCTGAGTAGCTGTTCTGCCACACTCCTATGTGGCGAAATCCATTACTCTACTACAACCATGGGAACAGAGGGCCGTTCTGCAGCGAAGAGTCTAGCTCAACGAGTCTCAAGGCTTGCCGACACTACGCGGTTTGGACTTGCATTAGTCAACTGATGAATGAAGGAGAGATTCTAGGTTAAATAACGGATCTTATTCACAAGCTTGGCAAATGGACTTGTCTTCGGTCGCACTCAGGTTTAGTCCAGATGAAAGCAAATGTGTTCGGCGACTGTATCATCGCCTCAACCATACCGATATCCCAGTCCATTTTGAAAGGTTTTATGGTCTTCAATAAGCTCTCTCGAAGCCTTCAAGAACCTGCATCATTGCCCCGAGTTCAACATTGTAAGCAAAAGCGTTGGATGAAGTCCCAAGCACAGTGGGATGTAATGCTTTTGATCCTGACTTGAACATGGACGTTTCTCGCGTGAGTGCATTTAAACGAAATTGACAACCGTGAGCTGTAGACTTAGTCTGTATCTACCTCCTTACTCGCCGGCCTCGACTTCAACAGCCTGCCTGCGTTCAGCGACCACCACAATCCCAGTTCTTTGCCCGGCGTACGATCCCGGTGCCGGAATGTCCTCCCACCAGCTTCCTGCGGCACGAACTCAAGCCTTTGACCTCTAGAGAATTTCCCAATGTGTTCCACACACCGGTCTATCGCCATCTCAAGGCACTTTGTGTACAGCGTATCCTCGTTATCCTCAGGATCGATCTCCGGAAACACCCTGTCCAGCACGTCACCCCCGTCCAGCTCCGGCGTCAACTGGTGCAGCGTCGACGCAACCTTATCCACCGCACCGTCATACAGGGCGAAGAATACGCAGTGGTTGCCTTTATACTCTGGCAAATGACCGGTGTGCATATTGATCATCAGCCCCGCGCGCGCCATTAGCTTCTTGCCAATGTACTTGGTCCCCGAGACGATGGTCAGCTCCGGTTGCCATTTCTCGGTGGCCTCCCATACCGCGCGGCAGTTGACGCTGTCGACGACGAGATCCGGTGCAGGCGAGACGTGGCCTGGCGGCACGAGCTTGTCAAAGTGCGCCGCGCGCCGGACGTCGTGGCCGAAGAAGCCGCGTCTGAGGCCGTGGTACTGCTGCCAGCAAGCGTCAACGACGCGACTCTTCTTCATCAACTGGCGTACTTGACCGTCGCTTGTCTCTTGTACGCAACGGTAGCCGGGGAAAGCCTGGTCTAGGCGATAACGCAGGTAGCGGTGCTGCGGACCGTCGGAACAGACGAGGAGAAGTCTCAATGGAGGCTTCTGGGCCTGGGGACTTGTCAAGGCCGGTCCCGGGCTCGGGGTGTGAGACTGGTAGTTGTTATCAGCGGGAGGCAGCTTGCCGCGGTTGGGGTGGAAGAGAATGTGAACGGGGTCATGTTCGCCCAAGAACGATCGCAAGATCGCGCGGGCCATGCCGGGCGCTTGGGCAAAGCCGCCCGTGTTGTTTCCACCGGTGATGATGAGCTGACCGCCGCTCGCGGTGGGGATCCTCTCGAATACGCCAAGACCCGTCGGTGTGAATGGCCGGACGCAGAACTTGCGGTGCCCGCCGGGGTACATGGCGTTCGGGCCACGGCTTTTCGCGGCGGCGTATCCTTGCGGGAAGTAGATGCGCGCAACCTCCTCCAGCTCGTCGTAGAGAGCCTTCATCTCGGGCGAGTCTGGGTCGGGACGGCCCAAACCGACGTAGCCGTATGCGCCGCCAAAGACGAGTATGTCCTCGCCAGTTTCGCGGTCCTTTGCCACAGTGATGTTGATGTCTTCGACCTTGTGGCCGCGTCTGTGGATCTTGATCGAGTTGCGCATCTTTGGGTCCAGGTTAGGGATCTGCAGCCAGATACCGAGGACGCCTTGGATCAGATTCTCGCAGGCCGTTCCGTGGAGCAGTGAACTGCCGGTCGTGCCGGGGCTCAGGATGAAGTGATCGGCCTTCAGGTCTCCTTTCTGTGATCGCAGAACAGTCACCTCGCCTCCGGAGTTGCGCTGTATACCCTGGACCTCGCAGTCCCAAGTGAACACGGCGCCGAGGCTGGAGATGTGGTCGATCAACTTGGCGACGAACAAGTGAATGTTCACTGTGAAACCGTCCACAATGATACCTCCCGCAAGATGGTCCGTCTCAGCAGCCGAGCGGAAGGCAGGATACGTTTCCAAGAATTGCTTGGCAGAGGGTGCCTCCAGAAGCGCACCGAGTCTCCGATTAAGCTCGACAGACGCATCCAAAGCAACGTCCTCGACGTACAAGCGTATAATGTCTTCGTGGAGTCCCACGTTCTCGAAAAGCTGAGGTTCGTTTTTCATAAGCTCCCTCCAGAGCTTGCCGGACTCAACGTTCACCTCGTGGATATTCTTCTTAAAGGTCGCCGCCATCCAGCCCGGGACACGCTCGAAGGCGCTGACCCAGGCATCCTCAGCGGCGTTGAAATCCTCGGGAGACTTGACGCTCCACCCACCGCCGCGGACGGTCTTGCGAAAGATGGACTGCATGTCTTGGTAGATTTCGCTGTCCTGCTCATTGTAGTTGTCCGCCTCGGTGTTTGTGAACATGCGGGCGTTGTGGCCGCCGCTCGTGACTCCCAGCATAGTCCAGTCTTTGAGCTGGCAGGCCCGTGGGTCGGGGCCTTGGTCCACGATGCGGACCTTGTAGCCATGCTTGGCAAGGAGCTGAGCGGTCATGAGGTTCATGATACCAGCGCCAATGACCAAGACGCTAGTTTGAGTAGTCGACAGACCCTTAGCCTTGGCGTTGGAGCTGACCCGCTGGGTATCAGTATCGGCATGGGCTTTGGCGTAAATCATCTCTGCTTCACGAAGTATGGCTTCTTCCCAGTCTTTGCTTGACAGGCCTTCCGTCTTCTCAGGGAAAGCGGCGATCTGGAATACACGACCCTTTGCAAGCTCCCATAAACGAGGAATAGCTTCGGCGTCTCGCACCAGCATGGACTTGGGGCTATGGCGGACTTGACCCAGCCACTGGTCCATGAGATCGCTGTTGATCTCTTTGCCGTCGCATATCCATACATCCAACTCATCGTGGCTGGATGAAGGCGTGGAAAGATCAGATTGGGGGTCGTGCAAGCTGATGAAAGTGGACTTCTTCGTCCCAGCACGAATTGAAAGAAGATCTGTGGTGACAAGAAACTTCATGGCTGCGTCTGTCGTTTCTTTGATGAATATGCACCAGAGAGAAGATGTTGGACAAAGATAGAAGAAGACATAGGGCTTAGATGATTCGTCTGGACAGAAAGCAAACAATGGTATCTAGACCGACCCTTATATAACACGTCCATAAAACAACCACCGCAGACAGCCCTGCCGCGATATCGTCAGTCAACCTCCACGTAGATCCTCAACGCTTTCTGGGCCACGACTTCGGGGCCTTGAACGAGAGAATTCTGTAGATGCGTGACGCGGGGACAAGACCTCTCGTCAACTTTCCACATCATCCTTGGCATGACTGCAGCACCGTTGTCGAAGCGCATGCAGAAGTACAGTGCCACCCCAAACACGCGGCTAGACTCTCCAAGTCATGTCGTAAATTTTTCGGGTGGCTAGTTCTAAAATTTCAGTCCCGTAGCGGATTTCCACCTGCTTACCGCTTAGCTCGGCGAGTCAAGCCGGAGTCTCAAGTTTTCAACTGCAGGTTAATTGACATTATCCCATCGACTGCGGGATGGCGTCAGTATGTGCACTCTCCAGTCTTCTCTCTAATTGTGTTCCTTTCTGAATCATAGATATAAATGGGATTAGACCGGATAGATTTTAATTCGCTTTTACCCTGTAAAGGCATGTACTGACGTTCTTCCGTAGTCGAATGGATATCAGCAGTATCAGATTTGGCTCGTAAGGACCAAGGTTTCCTCTAAAGCTAAACTGCTAGCTTTCGCCCTTTTGCCAAGCAAAATCGTGTGTCGGATTGCTGTAGTTGATCAATGTACATGGCATACGTTTTAGGTAAAAATTACCGATGTTTTCGTCTCTGTCGAGCACTGCTATCCGTCTGGTGCATTTTTACGAAAACTCTCTGGGTCAGAGGTCCGAGGGGATCCATCTACGACAAGGGCTCATGTCGGGAATGCTTGTTTGCTGCCAAGGCGACGTCAAAAGAGGCATAGTGGGTGATGGTGAATAAGGACATTCCCCTCATTTGTAATTTGCCATGCTGCGGCAGAATTTTCAAGACATCTAAGAGCAGAAACACAGCGCAATACCCCAGGCCACGTCGACGACGCACAGGTGGGAAGTCGTCACGCCCACTCGGAAGACAGTGCCGGTGTTCATGAATCGAATCAAGCCTCAAGGGTCTACAATAGACTCAAGGGTCTTTTGCCAAGTATCCAGTGGGGCGTTTGCGAACAGGGGTTCAACTTACCATTGTATGCAAGGGCAGATCGCCAGAAAACCAGACAAATACCTAGGTAGTTTGAAGAGCATTCAACGAGGTTGACAAGGTACTTGACTCTAGATACCTATATAATTACGTATGGGAACATGGTTGCTGACTGGTTGCGCCGCTTCACGTGGCTAATGCCATTGGTCGCGTTGTGAGTTGACGCCGCGTACGCAATTCCGTATGGATCTCGTGTGATTGCACCTTACATCGGACAGGATACGCGAGCGAGACCGTGTAGCCCAAGTGCACCGTTAGTGACGTGACGGGCCGACCCCTACTTCGTGGCCCTGCTCTGCCGGGGTTGAGCTCCTCTTTTTGCTTAATTTTGTTACTTCCTTGTGCTCTACTTCCAAGAGCGATTTTCGTTGACTCCCTCTCATTGGTGTGGTTGGTTGGGGGAGGATATCGTGAGAGCTAGGGGCCTCTTTTCCTTCTGGGGCTGACTCGAAAATTTTGCTATTTCACATAGAATCTGCCATCAAATCGGTTAAAGTCTCTTTTTCGCTCTTGGTGGCGCACTAAGGAAGTATCTCTCATCCCCCTCTCTTTGTCGGTCTGCTCCATCTTCATTCTCGAAAGAATATACGTCCGTGATTATTAACGCCTCACTAGGTGTCTGGCTCGACAAGGATCCCCATCTGCCTTTTGCTCCAGTCGGCAGCATGGCAAACCCGCAACAAGAAGTCGACCCGCCCGACTGGAGAGGACCAGACGACCCAGACTGCCCTTACAACTGGCCGTTGTGGAAGCGCATCTACAGCACCAGCATTCCGGCTTTCCTCTGCGTCAATGTGTAAGAGCAAAGATTCTCCCAAGTCAAGGCTCTGATTAACTCAACTTACTCAGGTCCTTTGCGTCTTCCGTCTATACCTCCGGCGCCAACGACGTGTCTGAAAAGTTTGGCGTCTCGAACACGGCGTCTCTACTCGGTCTGTCTCTGTTCCTCTGGGCCCTCGGTCTCGGTGCCATCATTGCGGCACCCGTGAGTGAATACTATGGCCGCAGGATCGTCTACCTCAGCACCGTCCCAGTCTTTGGACTATTCATCCTGGGCTCGGGACTGGCGCAGAACTTTACGACACTGATTGTTTGCCGCTTCTTTGCCGGCTTCTTTGGAAGTGCCGTCGTCTCTGTTGGTGGCGGGACCAATGCCGATCTCTGGCCGCCTGCATTGGCGGGATTCGTCTATCCCTTCTACTTTGTATCCCCGTTCCTCGGACCGGCTTTTGGTAAGGAAACGTGTATTCCGTTGTTCCCATCTTCACCTCATTCTGACTGCAACTCCCAGGGCCTGTGATTGGGGGCTTCCTTGCCGAAAAGAAGGGCTTTCGATGGCTTGAATGGGTCGTCCTCTTCATGGTAGCCTTCAACTACCTGTATGCCCTCCCACAATTCGAGACCTACAAGAAGACCATTCTCCAGAAGCGTATGCGCGCCGAGAAGCAGTCTGATGCGCCTCGAGCGGACGCGCCCAAGGTCGCCCTTCCCTCGAGCGCGATCCTCCAACGCATCATTCTCAAGCCCTTCAAGATGCTCTTCGCTGAGTCAATTGTGCTCTTCATGACTATATACATGGCCTTCAACTTTGCCGTCTTTTACAGCTTCTTCGCAGCGTTCCCCTACGTCTTTGGAGGACGGTATGGCTTTACCCCAGGTCAACAGGGTCTCACCTTCATCTCCATCGCGCTGGGCTGCGTCATTGGCTTTCTAGCTGTAGTCTACATTGACCGCAAGACATATCCGGCGCTGGAGGCCAAATACGGCGTCGGTGCGGTGCCCCCGGAATACCGCCTCTACGGCGCCATGGTCGGCTGCGCACTCAACCCGGCCAGTCTGTTCTGGTTCGGATGGACAGCCGATGCGGGTGTGTACTGGCTAAGTCCGGTTATAGCCTCCGTACCGTTTGCCGTGGGTAACATCATGGTTTACAGTAGCGGTGCGCTGTACATAATGAACTCCTATGGCTCGTTGCACGGCGCGAGCGCTCTCAGTGCCAACAGCCTTTTGAGATATGCGGGCGGGGGTGCGTTCCCGCTGTTCACGGTGCAAATGTTCTCTTCCATGGGAATTGGATGGGCCAGCAGCCTGTTAGGATTTGTCTCGGTCGTTTTGGTGCCGGTTCCATGGGTATTGTACAAGTACGGGAGCCGAATCAGGGCTCATAGTCAGTATATCTCGATCAAAGAGCCGGCGTCAGGCAACCAGACTTCATTGGAGGAGATGACGAGCGAGGATACGGAAAGTTGATGGAGTGACAGACTAAGATAGTCTTGGAAACACGTTAGACCCATAGAGAAGTGGTATTGGGCATTCCAGGCAGCCCTCAGCTGTTACGATGTGTGACTTGGGACAAGAAGAGGAGCTTCAGTCAGCAACGGCCACATAACACTAGTAGCTTTTGAGAAGCAGTCCGCATAGGACGCGCCCATTTCCGTAGACGCATCCCTGCCTACTCGTGCAATAAATTCGCGCCCCCACGATCAAGGGGATGTCTTGTCTCTCGTGTCAGACAGAGAGCATCGCGGGGTCAGCACAGCCCTACCGCCATCAACTCCCTCACCTCGGGGGGTGCTCATGTCCCACCTCGCCAAACAAATGTATAAGTCAGTGGCGCTTCTCACAAGAATTGTGCCTGGTGGAAGACCAAATCACACTCCTTGCCTCTTCCGCTCAACTTCCTTGCAGAGACGAGTCATTTGCATCAAGCCAGCGTAAGCACTGCATATGATGGGCTCCATACCACAGCCAAACCCGGTTCGACTAGCTATCCTTGTTGCAGATGAGCCACTGCCTAGCGTGGTGGCAAAGCTGGGTCGCTTCGACAACATCTTCACGACACTGCTTAGGAACGCATGCGAAAGCCTTCATCCACCGCAGGCGCTCGAATCCCAGCTTACGCTGACTGCGTACAACTTGGTGGCCGGACACGGCGTGGACGCCGCTTACCCCGACCCTGCGGATATCGATGCCGTGCTCATCACGGGATCCCGGCACTCAGCTTACGCGGACGATGAATGGATCCTTAGGTTGACGGCGTTCACGCAGAGGCTCCTGGAGGAAGGTCGCGTTCGCGTCATCGGCGTCTGTTTTGGGCACCAGATCGTTGCCCGCGCCCTCGGTGCGCAGGTTGCGCAATCTCCCCGAGGATGGGAGCTTTCTGTCACAAGACTTGAGCTGACTGACGAGGGCCAAAGTTTGTTTGGATCTGAGAGCCTGGTTTGTTTCTTCTTCCCCCAAAGGATAAGGGGGCATGGATGACTGCTTGCGTTGCAGAATCGAACAATCCACTAACCATGGGGTATTACAATCTTAGAGCATCTATCAAACACATCGCGATGCAGTCATGGAGTTACCTCCTGGCACAGTCTCGCTAGCGCGTACCGAGAAATGCCCAATTCAAGCATTTTACATCCCTCAGCAGCTCATCACTGTGCAAGGCCACCCCGAGTTCTCTCCGTTCATGATGGGCGAGATGTTGCAAATCCGCCACCAGGCTGGCATCATCCCCGAAGAGCCTTTCAAAGACGCTATGGCAAGAGTATCGGATAAGCACGATGGTATTTCTATCGCGCGAACGTTTCTTCGGTTTTTGAGGGAGTGATAGAAAGCCGTCATTATGGGCTGGTCGTATGCATTTCCAGACTACGGAGCTACTTTGATGTTGGAACTGAGTAAGAGAGATCTCTGAAGTCGATAACAGAGAGCATGAACTTTAATTGGGATTTTTGGTACTCATGTCAAGTTATAACAGTCTTTCATCTTGCAACTGGGAAGAAGCTCACCCATGACTTTCCACAACTTATCGCATTACATCCCCGCCCACTATCAAAAGGCCCCTTCCGGAAGTGCCTACAAACACTGAGAGTACCACTGATTCGCAGAAGTGCAAGTGTACGGCGACACGCACTGCGTAGGGCCGGTCCAACCTTGGCCTCCGCATTGCCCGTACTGCGCAACCAGGTTAGTCGCCGTGGGAGCGGGCGCAGAGGTTGTCGAGGTCCGGATCGTGGAGGAAGTCGCCAACGTGGTGGACCTGGCGGTGGAAGTTCTGGCGGTGGAAGTTGACGAGGTCACAGCGACCGACGAGCTGCTGCTGCTTGATGCCTTGTTAGTTGATGTCGGAGCAACAGAGGTCGACCCACCACCAGAGGAAGCAATGGCGCCAGAGGCATAGAAGACGCCGCGTCCGTTTGAGCCGACGTAGACCAGGTTCGCCTCATTTCCGGAGCCGGCCAGCTTGGCGCCGTCGATGGCACCGAAGCTCTGGGAGCCCTGGATGTCCGTCCAGGAGGCGCCGAGGTCGGCGCTGCCGTAAAGTCTGCGGCCAGCGGAGCCGGTGCCGAAGGCGTAGAGATTCCAGTTTGAGCCGGAGCCCTTGCCTAGGGCGACTTTATTCGTGTTCGTGAGGGCCGTGGAGACCTGGGTGAAGGAGACGCCATAGTCGGTGCTGTGGAAGATGCCAATGTCAGTGGAGACCCAGACGTCGCCCGCCTTGGCCGGATGGGCTTCGACGTGGCGGATCTGGGAGGCGGAGCCGAAAGAGCCAGAGGTAGCAAATGTTGCGCCGAGGTTGGTGGAGCGATAGAAGCTGGCGCCGGAAGCACCGTAGAAGACGGTGTTGTTTCGCTTGTCACTGGCGATGATGGCGCCTGCCGGTATACTGGTGACGACGGCAAGGGAGCCTTGGTTCTGGCTCCTCTGGACTCCGAGAGTTTCAGTCGACCAGAGGATTGTGTCGGCGTCGGCAGAGTAGGCGACGGAGCCGCCGTATTGTGTTGTCCCAGCGACGTAGTTGATGCTCCAGGTGGCACCGCCGTCAGAACTGACAGCAAGTTGCTGTGTGCCTGCGGTATTGCCGACACGAACGACGTTGGCGACCTTGTTGCCGGCATAGTCTACACCCACGGAGCTGGCCCACATCGGAGTCGCCCAAGTGGTCTGGGGCGATGTGTCGAGGTCACTCTCAGCCTTGAATGTGAACCCGTTGTTGTCGAAGGCCGCTACCAGAAGGTCTGACCCACCAGGGGCGCTGGCGAGTTCCTGGATGGCCATCTCTTCGATTCCATCTGCGAGGGACTGAATATTCACTTTGACACCATTGTCCCAATTAGTAAGGTCTCGACCGCCGAAGATTGTAAGCCCAGTTCCCCAAAGCCAGTGGTTCGAGTCGAGGGGATCTATCTCAAGGGACTCGATCATCCAGCCCAAATCTTTGGTGTCGACGTCGAGGAAGTTGGTCTTAATCCAAGGAGCCTATTTCAAGTCAGCAAAGGAGCTCTTGACGATCTCTTCAAGAGCCCAACTTGGAGAAGTCGCTCTTACCTTGGGGCTGGTTTGTGCATAACTCAAGTTTTGGTTGCCGTCGCTACCCCATGTCCAGATCTTCTTCCACGTGGCCCCAGAATCAGTTGATCTGAACAGTTGCGCATCCGGCCACCAGCTGTTGAGAGTGGCAACGACTAAAGTACCGGGCTTTTGCAAGTCAAGACCCAGTCCGCCTTATCAAAGTCAACGCGAGGGCTTTTACAGTATAATACCTAGACGATAGAGTTGTCGTCGAACAGGAACGGGTTTGTGAAAAGGGGGGGCTGGTAGCTTACCAAAACCAAAGTACAAGTCGGGGCCGGGCGCAACAGGAGTGATATCCTTCCAGGTGTTGGCAGTGAGGTCGTATCTCCATACGGAACCTGAGGTACCATCATAGGGACCAGTGCCATCCGAATAGGTGATATAGAGGGCCTATCTCCTTTTATTACTTGACTGTCGTGCGTTGAGCCAGTGTCAATCATTACATACCTTCTCTGTGGGCTGAATCCTTCCCTTGTGGGGGAAATATTTGCCGGGCTGGCCAGCAACGGCTGACCAGGTAGAACCAGCGTCATTCGACACATAGATAGATGAAGTAGTGTTCTCGGCAACACCAACGAAAATTCGGGAGGTAGCTCCGTTGAGAGCGGCTGAAGTCGAATCAAATGTCACAAAGTCGAGTCCCTGGATGTCGCCGCTGTACTCGTTGTCGGCTGGCCCGGCACGGAAAGTGCCGACTGCGGTGAAGGAGGAGACCTTGGAGAAGCTCACACCTGGGAAGTAGATGTACATCAATCTTTTGCACAAAGAATTAGAAATTTCGCATAGAACCTACCTCCGTCGGTGCTTTTGTACAGTCCGTTACCACTTCGGGCGCCAAAGTAGATAATATTGGAGTTCTTAGGGTCTACTGCAAGACGCTCGCCAGTTCCTCTTCCGGGCATATTGCCACCGACCTAGATAAATGTCAGCTCTTGAAGATTTCGAACGGCAGACCAGCTCTCGCCTTGAAGGGCAGGTTAGTGAAGGACCAGGTCGCGCCCTTGTCAGAGCTACGGGCAATTTGTCCATTATTGGGATCCCTAGGGTAAACGTCAGGTTAAGGATGGATGAGATAACCAATGGTTCTACTTACCAGCTATTGGTGTACATGCCAACAGCGATAAAGACCTTGTTGGGGTCTTGGGGATCCAGCGCAAGCGCATCCACGCCCCAGCGGTTCCAGTGAGAATCGTCCGCAAAGTTGTTGGCATCGGTCACCGCAGTCCAGGAGTCATCGGCGTTGAGACGATATAAGCCGCCAATGTCAGTCCTGGCATACGCTACACCCTTTGTTGTGGGGTGGAAGACGATTGAAGGGACGAAACCACCGCCGCCGCCAATCTTGACATTATTCCAGGTGAAAGCGGCTTGGACAGGAGCCGCGAGGGCAGCCAGGAGAAAGTTTGCGTACTTCATCCTGGGCCAAAACTTCTGCCTTTGAGAGACAAAAGTGGTCGAAGATAAAGCTGGTAGTAAGGTAGCCTCTGGATCTATACCAGGAGGTGATAGAGGATCTTGTAGGGATGGGGCAGAAAAGAAAGAAGGTCGACAAGAGCGTGGTTCCCGCCAGGACTATAAAAGAACGGGTGGTCAATCTCACTGACAAAATATCGGAAATCCGGCATCCCTAAGAGCAGGCAAGGTCAATTCTAGACTGAATGACAATAAATAATGCTGACATGTGGAGGCCAAGCGATATCATCGTGATTTCGCGCCGGAAATGAGGATAGTCAAGACTGCGAACCAAAAATATCCATCAATCAACTTTCCAGAGTCAGAGCCAAGTCAACTGAGGTTGCGACCCTCAGCCTCCCGACGAGCCGCCGCACTACTCCCGTTTACCGTCGAAGGAAGGAAAGCTTCCGCTTGGAAGCCTTGAAGGAGGGGTCCCTGTGAGCACAAAGCGGACGGGGTCATTTGTACACGCAGGTCCCAGGAACAACGTACATGGCCAAGGGCTCCCTCATCCGCTCGGCCCAAGATCGTGACTACCCAAAGAGGAAGTCAAGGCCTATCATCCGTATCATCACATGATGATTCCTACCCTCCTTAGGTGGGATGACCTTGGTCTGCAGTCACCGTGATGGCGTGATGCAAGACAGACAGCTTGGCCCTTGGACTTGGCTCTCCCCGTACCAGAAAGACATCAGGGACGCGTCCCGCCTTTCCCACGAGGTTGGCTCGCTTGCGTTAGCCTTGGTACATCGGCAGCTTCTTTGGTCTGCAGACTGCAAGACGGGCCCAGTCCCAAGATTCGGATCCCAGAGGATCTGCTTCCCCATGGGCGCATTGTGGAGAGCATGGGACCTGGCCAGAAGCGGGAAGCGGTAGATGGCTGAGTTGGGAAGGGATGAATCGGGAAAGACGACGAGGGTCTGTCTGCCCAGGCAGCGGGAATGGAGAAGTTCCATTGGCGGATTCCATCGGGAATGCCAGATGGCGGGGTGGCATGGTTCGGTGTGACATTAATACCAAGTCTCAAATGATGCAGTGACAAGAGTCGGTGATTCCAAGTGGAAATCGAATGACGTGATGGAAACTCCAAAATGGTATCATTCTTCAAAAAGATCCACCAGATGGGGGGTCACCCCAATGGCTGCTATATAAATTAGGGGTATTTGGAAAGAAACAACAAGGATAAGTGCTTAAGTAGGGTGGCAGGCTTTGCTTTGTATCATCTATTCTTTCCATTATACTTTCATTTCTCATATTTTCTTCTCTGCTCCTGCTTATAATGACACAGCAGTGGACGGTAACTCAATTAAGTACCGACCCACAACACTGATCCCAAGGACATACTGTGTCACACGCCGCTTAGATGCCAGAAGAGGTCCCACCCACGTTGACGACATTGCCAGCCTCATCAACAGCAACCTTGGTCTTCTTGGTAGACTCTTTCCTCGGGTTGGGGGCGTCAAAGATGGACTTGAGCTCTTCCAGTGTCTTTCCGGCCGTCTCAACGAAGAAGAAGTAGATGATTGCCATTTCAATGCACTGAAATTGTCAGCAACGGAAAGCTCAAGGTCGGAGGACATCAAACTTACGATCCAGGCAATGTAGACAAGGTACAGCTTCCAAGCAATCTTCTCCATACCGACGGAAATACCATAGGTGTTGATCATAATGGCGACGTTGAGGAAGAGGAACGACAGTCCGGATCCCTTGGCGCGGGTACGGTTCTCGAGACACTCGACAGCGTACAGCGTCTGAAGCGGGGTGAAACCCCAGGCGAAGCAGATGCCAAAGATGTAGATGGAGACGATGACTCCGTAGGAGAGGTTCTTGTGGTTCGCAGACTCAGCGGTGAAGGCCGTGAGCATAACGTACGAGGCGAGCGAGCCGGCCAAGCCAGCCAGCATCATGAAGCGGCGACCGAGCTTGTCGAGGAGGGTTGCGCCCCAGATCGCGGCGATCATTGAGAAGATTGGGTTGATGGCGTTGAGGAGGAGTTGGGTGTTGTCGTCGGTGATGCCGGCCTGCTTGAACATCTCGGGCATGAAGTAAGATACGACGTTGTTTCCACTATGGTAAGAGCACGGTTAGTGACCGGTGAAAGCTCCGTGGTCGCCAGTGAAGGGTGTGACTTACGACCACTGGCCGATGAATGCCATGGCAATGACCATGAAAAGTCTGTATCGGCGGGCTTTGGTGTTGAAGAGCTCCTTCATCTGCCACCACGGGTTTTCGTCCGTGGTTGAGCGATGATCTTCGACAATCTCGTGGTACTGGAGCTGCACGATGGGCGAGTTCACGTCGCCATCACCGTGATACTTGGCCAGAATGGCGAGTCCCTCCTCTGCACGGTCTTTCGAAATCAGCCATCGAGGGCTTTCGGGGAAGAACATGATGCAAAGCATCACTACTCCGGGCATGCCAGCCTGGACGATAGTAGGGATTCGCCACGCCCAGCTTGATTTGACGTGGAAGTTCGCTCCGTACTATCATGGTCAGTTGAAAGTTGGCCTCTTACTCGAGGCGGTGCTACTTACGGTAGTCCAGCCAGCTAGAATGTTTCCAAGCCACCAAAAGTTGTTGTAGAGACCCGCCATGGTTCCACGGGCCGAGGGGTGCGCCAGCTCAACAACGTACGCAGGTCCAGCGGCGGAGGCAACTATGCAATGTCAGAGAGTCTTCGCGTCTGCTCTTGGAAAGGATTGCAACATACGTGAAGCTCCAAAGCCGAGGATAAATCGGCCCGCTACAAACTGTCCCAGGTGATTGGCAGGTGCCTGAATAGCTGTGCCGACAAGAACAATGAAGCAGCCGATGAAGATGCAAAGTCTTCGGCCCCAGTTATCTGCGATGAGACCACAGAACGGGAAACTGCAGATCTGACCGACGTTGTAGATCATGAAGACGATGCCAGTTGTGGAACCAGCACCCGAAAGTCCGAAAGTCTGCTGATAGAATGGCATCGCGTTGATGGCTCCCATGAGTGACGAGTCTGGTAAACTAGCATTAGCTAGTGAAAACATGAGAGCTCGACTGTATCGTGGGCAGACTCACCGAAACCGTTCATGGTCGACACCTAGTGAAAGCAAACGTGTCAGCTCAACTCAGCCTGGGACCAGCAGCTCGGTAAACATTACAAGATAGCCGATTGCCATGATGCCATACAACTTGATCATGTTGGGGGACCACCAGTTGATTTTCTGCTCCGCCATGGCGGCAGCCAGCGCGACGGAGGCGGCATTGATTTCCTTCACCTCACCAAAGGCGGCCTTTTCGTCATACGGCGCATTGTCGTGTTCGACTTCCGCGTGGCTTTTGGATTCGTCGAGTTTTTCCATTGTGGCTCGGGGTCGCGCTGAACAGCAGCGCACTCGTTTCTATTGTTTCGCTCGGGAGGAGGAGGACGACGAGGGGCAGAGGACGGAACAGGCGCGCACGAGGAAGAGACAAGAGGGATAACCGATTCCTTTAAAGAGGAGCAAAATCTGGCCAAGGCATGGGATCAACAGACAGGGACGCTTGTCAACGATTGTCCAACAAGGGTTACATCAAGTCCCCATCTTCTGGTCTCCCAACCCGTACAAACTCGACCCTGGTCCCTAGGATATGGGGTAAACATCGATGATTATTCCCCACCTACCAGCCAGGCAATGGGCTGGTTTATACGGGGATGACGGAGCCGTGGCACGTGGGCTATAGTTCAACGGAGTCTTGCGACTTTCGATGGGGCTCGAGAGAAAGACAATGATACGATGCGAGTCTCGCTCGTAACTAGCGATCCAACGGCTGCTCCAGCAGTCATAGAGACAGCGCCAACTTTGAAAGACGGCTCTCCTCCGCACGCTTCGCCTCCTCACGGTTGCCCCATCTCGCCGGGTTTTAACCCCAGCTATGGGGACAGTTCGAACCCTAGCGTGCCAGAATGCGACGTGTGATTTCTGTGGTTATCCATGCCAAGTTCATATGCACGAGAAAGCACGAGATGGGCTGCTGATGAGGGCATGAGGGGAAGCCAGCTCAAATTGTACATAACACGCGCCGGTTCCCGGTTCAGATAGTGAGCAGCGTCAGACAAGGAAAGTTGAACCAGCACAAAGATGACGCTGGCGGCAGGCAAGCCGGTTTAGTCCCGGCACGATCACCGGCATAACGTCCGTCAGACGACCTACTTAGCTAGCAAGTTTAGGTCGTGACGGATGCGGCGCAGCAAGATCAAGATCGCGTTGGCGCGAATCAAGCATTCGGGATAGTCCTTTCAACGGAAGAACGCCGAGGCTAACGACCCATGGCAAGGTGGTTGGGCAACAAAAAAGAGGAAAACAATAAGAAGAAAAAAATAGTTCGGGAAAAGGAGGAACGAAGTCCGATGGAGAGACTCCCCCGAACCCCAGACGGGGGCGAAGGCCGAGGCCCAGTTCGGCGCTAGCCCCGACTGGGGAATTGCGGGTCCGGGGATTGGAGTGGTGGACCCTGGCGGAACGTACCGCATCATGAGGAGGAGCAGAGCCTGTAGAGGATTGGTCGCTGGCCACGATGCAAGAATGGAGAAATTCTGGGATGGAGCCCAGCATGACTCAGGAGATGGTCTAGAGCAGAGAGCGAACGGCTCGTGTAACGCACAGGATTCGGAGGGCAAGATGACAAGAAGTTGAAGTCTGGAGGTACGTCCCGTAGTACGTAGGGCGGGAGTATGACATCTACCACTCACAGTTCCCATACCAGCAGGATTCGCGAATATCCGAAATGCTCCCGGCCGGCGCTTGGGCTCAGACACCAGGCACCCAGCGCTCAGCGCCCATGGCCCTCCAGGTGTTCGGTCGATATCCCAAGAGCGAAACAAACACTGACATGTCACGTGTATCTTTGTTTTCTCAGAATGCACCCACTTGGCACCCAATCCCCAGGCCCCCAGTTTAAACTCCAATTCTGAAGCATTACCTAAGCCTCCGATTCTCCTCCTGGCCAATCATGAGCTACCCCGCTCTCCCCCTCCCCCTAATCCTGCCCCTTGCAGCTAGTCCCTCGTGATTCCCCCGCACTCCCTGACGCTGCACCGTCTCAGGTGACGTTCCTGACCTTGGAATTCTGACACCTGGGAGCGAGCTCGGCTCGTGTCAAGATGGCGCGGGCGCCAGAGCTTCGGTGCCATCGGTCGACCCAGCTCCAATCCTCAAAGCTCCAATCGCCATCCTCCTCCTCCGCTTCCACATCCGCCAGGGCTGCTCGTGAACCAACCTACCTGAGCACCTCATCGCTTTTCACCTCCACTACAAACAGCCCATCATCGTGTGTAATTACCATCTACCCAGTTCCGTATACTGACTTGCGTGCCCCGTCAATACCTACCTCATTTCCGTCATCGTGTCTCCACTGTCCCCCGCCTTTGGCCGTCCCTTGAATCCACATCCGCATCGTCCTCTGCCTCGGTCGCCGGTGCCGAACTCTGTACCACCATGTCCGAGATCTCCGATGACTACGTCAACATCTCTTCCGAGACTGACCTCCATCTGAGTGTCTACATGGAGAAGCTTGGCCGCCGTCGCCGTCTGGGTAGCTCGTCAAGTGAGGGCTCATCCACCGCCAGCCCCGCAAGAGAAGAGACTACTACCGCTGTCGTCGAGGCTCCGATACACTCGTTCCCAAAGAGCCTCCCCGATTGGAGCAATCTCAAGGTGCTCCATCGCAACACGCTCCCGCCCCGGAGCTACTTTTTCCTGTACAACACCGAAGAGGATGCCCTCACCAGGGATACCTCCAAGTCCAAGTCCCTACTTCTTTCCGGAAAATGGAAATTCCACCTGACTACATCGCCTTTCCATGAACCCCGGGACTTTTACAAGGTCGATTATGACACCTCAGAGTGGGACGACATTGTCGTACCGGGCATGTGGCAATGCCAAGGCTACGGCAAGGGCCCTCAATACACCAATCTCAACTTCCCATGGCCCGTCGATGCGCCCAACATTCCCTATGATGACAATGAGTGCGGCCGCCATGTGACGACCTTCAAAGTGGGTGACGACTTCGCGGATCATCAGCTAAGACTCCGCTTCGAGGGCGTCGACTCTGCCTTCACCGTCTGGGTCAACGGCAAGGAGGTCGGCTACTCCCAGGGAGCCCGCAACCCTAGCGAGTTCGATGTCACCGACTTTGTCAATGTTGGTGAGGACAATCTTCTCGCCGTCGAGGTCTACCAGAGATGTGATGGCACCTACCTCGAGGACCAGGACCAGTGGTGGCTTAGCGGTATCTTCAGAGACGTCTACCTACACGCCTTCCCCAAGTTCCATCCAATTGACTACCACGTCCATACACTGCTGGACAAAGACTACAAGGATGCCACCTTGAAGGTCGACGTCGAATTGAGTCAGGGCGCCTACGTGGATATGAAACTCCTCGACGCCGACGGCAAGCTCATCGCCAAGGATATGAAGATCTTTGACCGGCACAACAGCTTCGACATCCACGTCAAGAATCCGCACAAGTGGACGGCCGAGACGCCGTACCTGTACACCCTGGTCCTCAACTTCAAAAAGTGCAGCCTGGTCCAGCGCGTGGGCTTCCGGTGGGCCGAGCTGATCAAGGGCGTCTTCAGCATAAATGGCGACCCCATCAAGCTCCGCGGTGTCAACCGACACGAGCACCACCCGGACTCGGGCCGCGCCGTGCCTTACGACTTCCTCAAGCGCGACCTGCTCCTGATGAAGCACTTCAACGTCAACGGCATCCGCACCTCGCACTACATCAACGACCCGCGCCTCTACGATCTCGCTGACGAGCTCGGCATCTGGATCCTCGACGAGGCGGACCTCGAGTGCCACGGCTTTGGCGTCCTCGGCAACGCGGGCGAGAGCTGGGCCACTGATAACCCGGACTGGAGGGAGGCCTACGAGGATCGAGCGAGGCAGATGGTCCAGCGCGACAAGAACCACGCGTCGGTCATACTGTGGTCTTTGGGCAACGAGTCCTTTTACGGACGGAACCACCAGCACATGTACGACGTGATCAAGAGCATCGACAAGTCCCGCCTCGTGCACTACGAGGGCGATGGTGGCGCGCAGACAGCGGACATTTACAGCAGGATGTACGCCTCCACCGAAGAGATTGTCAACACGGCGTCCCAGAGAGGCTGGGCCAAGCCGCTCGTGCTTTGCGAATACATCCACGCCATGGGCAACGGACCCGGCGGTATCAAGGAGTACATTGATGCCTTCTACGAGTACCCGCGTCTCATGGGAGGGTTCGTCTGGGAATGGGCCAACCACGTAAGATGCCCTCTCTGTTCACATCCCTTCATCGCATACTAACAGTCTCCAGGGCCTGCGTGCCAAGAACGAGGATGGCGAGGAGTACATGGGCTACGGAGGTGACTTCGGTGACGACCCCAACGACTTCAATTTTGTGTTTGACGGCCTATGCTTCGCCAACCACACACCCACCCCGGGCCTGGTCGAGTACGGCAAGGCCATTGAGCCCGTTCAGACGCTAGGGATCAAGGACAACCAAGTCACCATCATCAATCGCTACGATATTGTGTCCCTGGACCATCTCACCGCCACCTGGCACATTGTTGCGGACGGGATGGTCATCGGCGGCGACCAGGAGGTGGAGATTCCCAAGGGTTCGTTGCTCCCACTTGCTTTCCTGAAACTAAATAAAGTACCCTTATCCCACTAACACGCGATAGGCATCAAACCTCACACCAAAGCCCACCTCAAGATCAAAGGCCTCCCAAAGAACCTCACCGCCGAAGCCTACCTCCACATCGATTTCTCCCTCACCAAGGCCACAAACTGGGCCAAAGCAGGCCACCGCGTCGCCTTCGGCCAGCTCCCCCTCTCCAAACCCCCCTCCGTGTCCACAATCCTCTCTTCCCTCTCCAACCCCTTCCTCGACCCCGTTCCCACTATCCAACAAACCTCCCCTTCCACGCTCTCCATCACCTCCCCGACAGGCCTCTCGACCTGGGGCCTCGACCTTCAACTCGGCACCCTCACCTCCTGGCGCAAGGCCGCCCGTCCGGACCTCGAGCTGCTCACCGAGCCGTTTGTGATGGACTTTTACCGCGCCCTCACTGACAACGACCGCGGCGGCCGCTTCGGGCAGCAGTGGGAGGACCGCAGACTCCACCAGACGAGCCACAACGTGAAGCGCGTCGAGTGGCGCAAGGAGAAGCACGGCCTCGTCGTCAACGTCCACTCGCGCATCGCGCCCCCCGTCCTCGCATGGGCCGTCGACACCTACACCACCTTCACCTTCCACGGCGAAGCCGTCTACGTCAAGATCAAGGGGAAGCCCAGCGGTCCGCTCCTGCCGGACACATTTGCCCGCATCGGCTTGACCTTTGGCCTAAAGGGCGTCGAAAAGGTCGCCTGGTGGGGCCGCGGTCCCGGCGAGAGCTACTCGGACAAGAAGTTGGCCCAGGCCTTTGGCAACTGGGAGGAGACGGTCGACGACCTCTTTGTGGACTACGAGTTCCCGCAAGACGGCGGAAACAGGACCGATGTCCGGTGGGTCGAGTTCCGCGGACAGCTGCCCGACGAGGAGGGTGGCGTTGTCGACGAAAGCGAGCCCGCCGAGCGTCTCATCCGCGCCCGGTTCGGCGACCTCGACGGCGCCTCGTTCTCTGCCATGCACTACACCACCAAGGACTTGGACGAGTGCAAGCACCCGTACGAGCTGTATAAGCGCAAGAGAGAGGACACGGTTGTGAGGCTGGATTGGGCGCACCATGGTCTTGGTACAGGGTCCTGCGGGCCGGCGACGCTGCCACAGTATGAGCTCAAGAGCAAGGATTTCGAGTTTGAGCTTGTTCTGGATTAGGAGGTTGGATCGATGTATGAATGTGTAGCACAAAGTAAAGACTGACATGAAATTGTAAAACATGTGCTGTGTTTCGAAACGAGCAGGAAATCATTGCCCTGGTGACACGCACGGAAAATCTTGGATGCCGCGAATGATTGCCGATACTAGTGTATTATATTAAGTATTATAAAGGGCTGGGCCCGTGTATGCGGGCAACATTGGTATTCAGCACATTTATCAGACTGGACTGTACGTCCAACTTGGTGTTGCTAACAAAAGGTGCGTCACTATAACTCCCCGACTTGTAGCTTGTTTGCACTTCAGTAGTACGGGCCCCGGGAGGTAGGCATCCAGCCTGCAAGAGGTATGGGTTCGTACAGTAACACTGCACATTCGATCGCGTCCCTTTGGCTCTAGCCACATTCTCCCAGACAAATCATATGCCCGTCTGGTGATCAGACATATTGGTGCGCCCCAATCTCGACGTCACTCTCCACCAGCATCAAACCCTCCAGGGGCGTACACTGGCTGTCCCAATCAAGATGCCAGTCCCGGTTGTTGTGCTGAGACGTCCACCGAACTCGCAGGAAGTGATGTTCTCGTCCCTGTTGCGGACAAGCGAAGAAGAACGACTGGTCCGCCTTCGAGACGTCGTCGAGGTTGATGAACCGCAGTATCTGAATCTCCTGGGACGAGTCGGCAGCCTTGATCGTCACAGCCCTGAAGCAGTTGAAATTCGAACCTTCTGGCATGGAAGCGGCCGAGGCGTCGTCGCCGACCGTGTAGCTGATGACACCGTACGGATCGAGGTAGACTCTCTGTCCTTTTGACATCAAGGTCTGATAGTTTTGGGAAAGGGGGTTTTGATTAGCGAACAGAGGAAGCGCGAAGGGGAAGCGCAAAGGGGGGGGGGGGGGGGGGGGGGGGGGTGTTCTGAAAAAAAAAAACTGTGTTGGGGGGGGGGGCCAGCTCCGGGGGGGGGGGGGGGGGGGGGGGGGGGGGGGGGGGGGGGGGGGGGGGGGGGCTGGGGCGTTGTTCAAAAACAAACCTTGAGCTGGCTGAAGCGGCCATCTACGACGGTGGTGTTGCCGGGTGGGCAAGACGCTCCAGAAAAGTCTGGACAGTACGTGTCGGGCCTGGAGAGGTTGACCCAGAAACGTTGTTCTCCGGCGTTGACCCAAAAGTTGTGGAGCTTTGGTTCTTTGGGAGCGTAGGAGCGTAGCTGGAACGATGTGGCAGCGGCCAGAGTCGTGTAGGTGGCCAGTAGGGAGACCAACTTGGTGAACATTGTGTCGTCCAAGTCTACCTGTATCGATTGGTGTCGTAGGATATGTGAATTCGGTCAGCGAAGTGATGAAGGGTGATGGTGCGTTGATTCTGGGAGGAGGTGGAAGCGGGAGGTTGAGAGCTCGCGGCCGTAGGCCTGGCCTTACTTCCCAGCTTATATAGACCGTCAAGGTGGGCGCAATGAAAGGTGGAAGTGCGAGATTGAGGCCGTATGCCTTGCCTCAATTCCTAGTCCGCTCTCATAGACCGTCAGGGTAAGCCACAGCCAGTGGGTTATGTGAACGCCAAGTGGCGGCCACAAGGTTAAGGTTCTAGTTGTGAGTTATTACTGGCCGAAGAAATGGAATATTGCCGGGATAGCAAAACTTATTTGCAAATCAGACGCACTCGACATACCAACCAATGCTGAAAGATTCTTGGGTAATGGTGACTTTACTGGAGCATGTTTTTAAAGTGGTCATTATGTAATGAATGCGGTTTTTATATAGTGGAGATTGAGGTAAGAATCTATGGCTCAGGGAAATTCAACGCTGAAATGGTATTCTGTTTGCTTTATTCTATCTGAATTATTTGAGGTCGTGATACCAGCATACGTAAGTTGTCGTCAAGAAGAACGTGTCGACTGCAGTCTTTGCCGATCAAGGCAATCCTTAGTCGCCGTACCTGAGTTGTCATCCCTGACACTGAATAAACAGTGATGTGAATGCAAGCAATCCTTGCTATCCATGCGTTCCGTGGATGCAATCGCGACCTCAGCTTGCGAAGCACGCCAGACAGGTCTGCTCTGCATGATTAACAATGTAGACCGACAGGGCGGTTTAGGAGAGGTTTTCAATTGCATCGCCAAGCCCTCACACATAAAAGGCAATGGTCACAAGAGATATCTGGGCATACGATGCATCGTAGCAGGTTCAACAAACGAGAATGTGATTAAATCAAGTGTAAGTAGCTACGCAACCGCTCATCTACCCGCTCTAACCGGCCAGCACCAATGCATCCGAACGCCTGCCCATTCCAAAACCCTGTCTATATCATGTCAAACACTCTATATCTTTTATAAAGACTCCTCCTTGTGAATCTCAATGCCCGGGGGCGCCCCAACCAACGCCTTGCACTGCGCGTAAATGACGAATTGACCAGCCACCAGACCGCAGGTCATGAAGATACGGGGACCCAGCCCGGTGAGCAACAGCCGCTTGGGGCCAAACTCCTTTGCAAGCTGGAACATGCGGCTCGTGGCGCCCTGCTTCGGGTCGCCGGCACCCTTGTTGATGGCGGAGAGCAGCGTGTCGGCGGGATGCGACAGCACGGCGGCGGCGACACCGGCGACGACGCCCGACGCCAGCTCCACGCCCGTCGACTGCAGCTGCGTCATCTTGGCCTTTCTCTCAGGACCCATGCTGCGGTAAATGACCTCGACGGCGGCCTCGTGCACGGAGAACTGGCCGACGGCGTACGGGACCTGCTTGAAGAGCAAGGGCACGAAGCCAGAGTAGAAGCCCTTGACCCCTTCCTCGCGGGCGAGGCGCATGAAGCCGGAGCCCAGGCCCGTGGCGAACCCCCGCTGGGAGACGAGTCGGATGCGCGTGGCCTCGAGGGGGCACAGGAGGATGTCGGCAAAGAACTCGGCGGTGGCGGACGCGCCGAGGTAGATTGCGGTGCGCTTGTCGACGGCCTTGTCGGGTCCGCCGGCGAGGGTGATGAACTGCTTCTTGAAGAACTCGTAGCCGGCGAATTTCGCGCCGCCCTGGACGAGGTAGCCGACGGCGGTGGGGCCGAAGCCCGTGAGCAGGGCCGAGGCGCCCTCCTTTGCGACAATGGTGCGCCCTGCGTTGATCATGTTGAGGCCCTTCATGGCGTCGTCGACCTGGATGCGCGTCTTGACGACGTCGATTGGCGTGGCGGCCTGCGGTGAGTGTGAGCATCATGCTGCGGTGCGCGTGAGGTTCCCGCGGTTCCCGCGAGAGCGGTGGTTTCGGCTTACACCGTGGGTGAGGGTCGCCGCGAGGGCGCCGGCGCCAAAGAACTTTCCATAATCGACTGGTGAGAAGGTCGGGAGTTCCGACTGTGATGATTTTGATTGGGCCATGTTTTGTTCTTTTTTCGATACGAGTGTGGTTTCCAGGTCTGCTGAAGAGAAACTGTCCACGACTGAAGGAAAAATACACGACCAGCTGGAAGGAATGTGGCTGGCATGGAATAATAAAGGTCTCTCGTCCGTCGTCATTGCTCCCAGCCAGCTCCATTGCCCTTCCAGGTTCCATTGGCAGGGGTGCTGTGGAACCGAGGTGTGGAGCTGAGCTATCATTCATTGAGCGCGCCATGACGTCGATGGCCCGTTATCTCCCCGAGGCGGCAGGGCCTAGGGCAGTGACGGAATGCCCGTCGGACCTCTCGGGAACCAAACTACACGTACCTAAAGTACCTTACCCAGTAATTAGCTGAACAGTGAGCTGCCAACAAGACTCGCGCCAATCCATCGCCCATTCTCGGCATTGAGCCCTCTGGCTAGAGAAAAATTCTACCCTTGACGACATTCGCACTTAATTACCAAACACACACTCCGAATTCCTTACCCACTTTTTTTTCTGTGTGTGCGATAAGCTCTCCGCTTGCTACAGCCTGCGCAATTCCGTTCGTCCCGACGTGTGCGGCTACTCCCGCGCCGCGATTTCAGGCGAGCCTCCGACACCGACCGACGCTGGGGGGACCACGTCGATCTTCGGGGTTCAAGGGGCAGAAGCTTCGGCATCCCCCTGGCCACTCATTTTCATTGCAGGTGCCGTTGATCTGCCGTCATCTTTCTCCAGGCACGCGACATCATGGACGGCTATCCAGTGGACGGTTATCCAGTGGACGGTTATCCAGTGGATCAGTGCTACTCTTCCAATCACCTCCTTGACCACAGGTTTCTCTGTCTAATAGGATGAGCGGACCGTTCTCTTTTTGCTTTTCTTTTCTCCGCTCTTACTTGTTGTTTTTCTCTTGAGCTATGGGACAGACCGGGCTTCGAGCGAGTCACGGATTATCTTCTCATAAGATGATACACATTCTCTCTCCCTCCATTCCCTTGCTTCTCAGGATAATAAGTAGAACCATCAAAGCCGCACAGAGCCGGCAGTCCTGGCAAGCAATGATTTCGAGCAGTAGTGACTAGCGAGAAGCAAAAACAGGTGTCTTTAGTCCCATTTAGAGGACATTGAGTGCTCAACTCCTGCGACTGGGCTGATAGGACTTTGAAGAAGTATTCAGGGCTTCCGAGCTGACACCACTTTCTGACCTATACGGCGAGTAAACGTTTAAAGCGACTCGACCAGTCAATCAGATCAATCGCAAGGCTTCTCTCTTCATATCTGTCAGTACAGCTGCGTGATTACTAGCGCAGTCCTCCCCGAGCTCTGTGTCAGCCAACGACTACGCGGCCCGCCAACACCGAACATGGTCCTGCCCGGAGGTGTGCAAAGTGACGAAGCGGCCGATTTAGCGGGGAATCGCCTGATTCGACATTGCTGCGGGGACCGAAGTACCCTAAAATGGCAATCTTAAACGACACATGCCCCCCAACCAACTTCTCCCAATTCACATCTTGTGCTGTCGCGCTTACTCCGCAGCGAGATAGCACGCATTGTACCAGGTGAGAGGCTGTTATCGAACATCTCTATTTGGGGGTTCCTCGGATCGCTTGCCTTGTGTCTATGGTCGATCACGGCATCCGAAAGCGCAATGTCACGACTCGCGATCGCACCGGCTGCGTGACCTGTCGCTCCCGCAGACTGAAATGCGATGAGAAGAAGCCCAGTTGCAACAACGCAAGTCTTCTGTCTCGCCAGTCCTCTCAACTCCGTTTCTGACTCTGTCTGTCTCAGTGTACAAGATTCAACCTTCAATGTGGTGGCTACGCAACACCCATCAAGTTCAAAGACCAGACGGATCTGCTGAAGCGGAAGCATGGGAGAAAACGCAAGGATAAAGCCCAAACGTCAGCTCCCAGTGAGCCATCATCTTTCTCGCATGCCCCGAAAAGTGTAGATCCGACATTGCCGTCGCATCAACAAGTGGGTGACTTCGTTGTGACTCCAGAAGATGAGACTTTTCACTCTACCGACGAAAGTCATCAAACCTTCAACGACTCACAAGAGTTATCCCACTATGAGGCGGCTACGTCACTAGCCCTCATATCTGGAGGGATTCGCCAAGATTCACTGGTGTCTAGCACTGGACATGAAGCAGGAACGCCCTCATTCTACACATATTTTGGAGACACGACTGTGCAAATCGATGCGGCTCTTGGTGGACAAGAAGATGGCAATACGGATGAGGGGCCCAACACAACTTACCAGGGAGTGACGACTTCCAGCTCAACGCCGGTATACCCGCGTATTGACTCTCCCTTGCTGCGACAAACACGATCAGAACAAGCAAATCGGCAGTTGACTTCGGCTCCAACCATTCCAGCCGGCTTGTTGGAGAGCGCCAAGTTTGCCGAAGACATGGTTTTTTACCATCATTTCACAGATGCTTCGCCCTATGGTACCCTCTCAATCTTGTCGCTCAATGATATTCTGCACGCCGAGCAACTCGACAAGGCTTTCTATCATGCTGCGTTGGCCCTAGCGGCACTAGATATCTCGCAAGCAAGGCCGAAGGAGGCGCTGGGCTGTAAGGCGGCACTGCAGGCGCTTGATCACTTCGTCACAGCTCTAGGCACGGTACGTATGGCGCAACTCGACGACGAGGGGGTCGCTACAGGTGGTCCGCCAAACCAAGATAATGCAATCTCTTGGCTGGCGACCCTCTTGCTGCTGGCCAACTTTGAACTACAAAGAGGCCAGATGAAGCTATGGTACATTCATAGCCGGGCTGCGGTGACATTTCTGTCCCAACATCTCCATCGCGTGCAGGAGTCTCCGGTAGGAGAGTCACTGATCCGATCGTTCTCGAGAATTGCCGCTCTTCTAGACATATTCGACAGAGCTTACTCTGTACGCTACAGCATAGCATCTCCGGACGTCTCGAACTCTCTGAGCAGATCACTAGTCAACTCACCGCACTCGGCAGATCGGCTGTTCTACATTCTGCCGCGGATCATCAAACTCGAAGAAGAGTGGAAGAGTAACCCCCAGCATGATCTCCACTGGCGAGAGCAAGCGGAAGGCCTCATCCAGGAGTTGAAAGCTTGGCGCAGGACTTTGCCGGATTGTGACGTGCCGCCTCTCCATGAGCACACCGCAAACCCCTATGGCGACGAAGCAGAAGGACCCGGTCTCTCCATCAGGCCACTCAGCATCCCGTATGCCCCCGAGCCCGTCAAGGCAGCGACAACCTTTATGCACTACCTGGTATCCCTCCTGCGATTAGAAACCAGATACCTCCCCGGCGCAGTGCGCCAGCTGCCCCCCCACGCACAAAAGATTGTCCTCCTCGTCTGCCGCCTCGCGGCGGGGGTCCCCTACGCCTCGTGCGCGGCAGTCAACGCCTACTCCCACGGCATGGTGGCGGCGATGATGAACTGCTACTACATGTCGGAGGAGCGAGAGGTCAAGGACTGGGTCAAGAACTGGATCGCCGGGTTCCCGCGTGAGAGGGAGGGGATCTGGAACGTGCGTCACGCGCACCGGGTGTTGAACTACGTCGACCAGGAGTACACCCGTCGGGGCTCGCGCTACAATTGGGAGATTATCAAGGTGCGCTTGATCGACCTGGAGACGGACGCTACGCCGAGCGAGGACGAGGAGACGGACCCTGACAAGTTTTCGGTCGAGATATACTCGCGATGTAAGCGGGGCTGGAGCATCGACTTTGTAGAAATACCATGAGAGGAAATCGGGAACGACCTGCCTAGTTGTGGATTTGCGGTTCGCCAATGGTGATCGACATTCTAGTGATGGAAGGATATCGGAATGTGGACTTGGCACCCGATGGCCTGCAGGTCCCATCGCTGAGGATTACTACTTGAACTATTTTACAGCTTTGCGTGCGCCGGCCGGCGTGGCTCCGATCGTGGGCCGATCGGTGTGGGCACTTTTAGCGTGCTCGTTCTTATTAGCCGTATCGGGCAATTTCAACATCGTTCACACTAAACACTTCAGGCTCACCTCTGGAGAGCAAACTGGGTGGTCATATCAGGTAACGCAAGAAATCCCATAATCATCTACACGATTATAAATTAATACACCCTCTTTACGCTTCAAACCAAAAAAAAATCCAGATACACGGCAACAAAGATCGTCCTCGGTGGAGCAAACAAGCCCTCTCAACGTCGTACTAGATTCTGTTCATTTCAGAATCCATTCTACCTTGCTTACGTGCCTCGAGGCCTCCCACATCCCCTTCCAGATTAACAAATCTTTCAAAACTCCAAAATGAGCCCCAGCGCCGTGAGTTCGACTTGTGCTTTACTGCCAAAAGCTGGCCAACTCGACCATGAACACCGATACGCGGAGTTGGATGCCTCCAAGATGATGAAGACCCTTGTTCCCGAGGAAGATCAACTGCCAGTCCCGGGTGCTCACGACCCTGTGCGACTCGGTCAAAATTACACCACGGCGCACATGGTTCAAATTCCTTGGTCTATGGAAACAGGTTGGGGAATGCCCGAGATGGGCCCCTACGGCAAGATCGCCTTGGAGCCAACGGCAAGCGTTCTACACTACGCCACGGAGTCTTTCGTGAGTTTGATTGCTGCTCCCAAGATCATACCACAAACAAGACTCCTCTACTAGCTATGATATTCCCATGACTTACCTTGGCTCTAGGAAGGAATGAAGGCCTACCGAGGCTACGACGGCAAACTCCGCCTCTTCCGACCAAAACTCAACTGCGCCCGCCTGCTCAAATCCAACGCTCGCGTAGGCCTCCCCTCCTTCGACCCCAGCAGTCTCCTTGACATCATTGCCAAATTCCTCGGGAGCGAATGCCGCCGCTGGCTTCCCGAGCCAGGCACCAACCTCTACATCCGCCCGGCCATGGTCGGTAGCGGCTCCGCGCTGGGCATCAACCAACCCCCCGAGGCCCTCTTCTTCCTCTTCGCCGCCCTCTTGCCGCAATCTTCGACCCTACGCCCGGCGCCCGGCATCAAGCTGCTGGCGAGCAGCCCCGAGCACATCCGGGCGTGGCCGGGCGGCTTCGGGTCCGCAAAAGTGGGTGCGAATTACGGGCCTGCCATGGTGTCGCATGCGGCGGCCAAGGCGCAGGGGTGCACGCAGACTTTGTGGCTTTTTGGGGAGGAGAGGTTGGTTACGGAGGCGGGCGCGAGTAACTTTTTCATTCTCTGGGAGAAGAAGAGCGGCGAGGGCGTTGAGCTTGTGACTAGCTCTCTGGACACGGAGGTCATCCTCGACGGCATCACCCGACGAAGTGTATTGGAAATTGCTAGGCAAAGGCTGTCGCAGGGGTATTCATCAGCAGCTTCTAAGCTGGCCCCTCTGGAGGTTGTAGAGCGCCCATTTACCATGGGTGAGGTTGCCGAGGCGTGTGCAGAAGGCCGGCTTTTGGAGGCATTTGTTTCTGGCACTGCGGTGAGTCTTGCGTCTCTATCTCTTCACCTTGATTTACCGAATTCCCGCGGCTAATGATTTTTTTCACAGATGTTCATCACTCCTGTTTCCATGATTAAGTACGGCGATACCGAGATTCAGTTTCCGATCACGGTCACTGCAGAGGGACAAAAGACGCCGCGCTCCCCGTACTCCACCGCCATCAAGTCTTGGCTGGAAGACATTATATACGGCCGTGTAGAGCATGAATGGGGGTACGTCGTGACTGAAGAATGAATGTTTCATTTAGAAACAGATCTCGGCAGTTCCACGGGAAACATATGCTGAGAAGGAATGCATTGGCTGGGGAATAGTCGTTTCCCTGGAAAATCAATGCTTTATGTGTCTGGACTTCCAGAGAAACCTCCACGTTGACGCAGTTTCTTACTTGCAATTATGTCGCTTCTTCGTCCACCAATACCAAATTACAAAGGCTGACCGTTTCAATGACCCCATGCGACAGTACGGGCAATAACATTGGTCACATGGCTGGCCGGTCATCATCTACTCGACCAATGAGGGCGTCGTTCATGAAGAGTTTTCAGGCATTGAAGACAGTCCTTTATAATTGATGGTACCTTAAAGTTGAACTCGAACCTACTTAAGACGCCGGACCCTCAATTTTCGACAATTCCCCTTTCTCCCAGTGCAAGCTGATCATGTGAATGTCTCTATTTCCTGCGAGGATCCTCTACCTATTGGTTGAAATATCACTCAAGACCTCGTCAGAAAAAACCTACGGCAAATCTGTAGAAACAAAGAACTCATCTACACATTCCAGGGCCATCGATGCATGTTTCTGTCTCTTCATTAGCGAAGCCGCTCATGCCGTGACACAAGTTCAAGCAACCACATGCACATTTATTGAATCTTGTATGAGTCCTCTGAGATGCGGTAGGAGTGCCACACAATCGTACTCCAACAGTCTCGTATTCACACCCGGTCTATGCATGTCAGTTTTGGGAGTACGGTTAAAAGCAAAGATCCGACACTTACTCATTGTAGTATACATCAAGCCCGTCTGCTGCCACGGCACCGCTCTCGATGGCATCGCACAAAGCTTTCTCATCTATGCAGCGACTCCTAGCCATATTGACAATCCGAATGCCTCTTGTCATTTTGGAGAAGATACTCCTTGACAAGAGGTGATGCGTAGTCGGAGATTAAGAGCACGCCTATACTAGACAGTCAACTGTAGCGACGAGGCCCTCAATATTGTCGTGAAGTGTCATTGGTGGCAACAATTCTTTAATTTAGTTGTTACCGTACCTCAGTGCTTCCAACGTTTTCCGAAGATTAGGCCTGTCGATGCAGTGAATCTCCATTCCAAGGGCAGCCGCTTGCCTTGCGACGGTTTGGCCGATGGAACCCATGCCGACAATGCCGATCTTCTTGCTAAAGGAGTCAACAGCGTTTTGCGTTGAGTGTATCAAGTCTGAAATGATCTCATTGTGAAGGAACATTCTTTCGTAGTTATCGAGCTGACGGAAGACCGAGATGATGAGGTATACCGCAGCCACAGCAGTCGCCTCATTACCGCCCCCTGTGTGGAAAAACTCCATACGACGAACCGTTGAGTCCTGCACTGTCTTCCTCGTCGAAACCGTGTCCAGATTTGACAATTATTACCTTGAGGGCGGGCGAAAGATTTGGAGGGCTTGTCTGGTCCAGCCTTGGCCAAACTTTTCGATGCCAGGCGGAGCGTTGATGCCTATTCGCATGATCCCCATCGATTTGATGTCTTTGCAGTTGCCGGATATCATGGACTGGTAAAACTCTTGAACTTTCGGCAATTCATATAAATAGGTTTCATACCGAGAGCTAAAGTCCGCCCAGATTTTATCAGGTATGACAATGCAGGGTGAGCCAACGACGAGAATCTTGCGTCTCCGTTGCATATTTGATCAAGTTGATTGTGTCTAAAAGAATGACATTTCTGAGAAGCAAGCGCACAAAGACTGGTGGAAAGACCAACTTCTTACACCAACTCGCTGCGCTGCAAGATTATATCGTCGCATTTGGCTGTCCCTCATTCAAATGTTCAAGTCGGGTGTTAGTCAGCTCTTCTCGTTCTTAATTTCTCTTTTTGGCAGTATTCTGAGAAGGATCACGACACTCGCCCCCACGCGTCTCTTATTCGCATCCGATCTCGCTTAACGTGGGTCCCGGTGCGGCTAAACTCAACTAAGAATGACCAACTTCCCCTCTTTCAACACCAAAATTAGCGCCCAGAATCAGTTCATGAAGTTGGCGATAGTGCTAAGAAGCTTGACTGTCGTTGAAGACCCAACTTTTTCTGACCCAAAAATTTGCCTGAGCTGCCACAATGGCTTCCGCCGCGGCGAACAATACCAATGAAGCACTATCTAGCTTCTATGCAAAGTGAGTGGAAGCTGAGATCCCGGCAGCTTAAGCTGGCTAATTCAAAAGCAAGGGTTGATGAGCTTGAGAATGTCTTCATCGATAGTGAGTCAAGCCCATTGGTTTGAGCTTCCGTGGGAAGGATCGTCGTTGAAATTGGCTTTCTGTAGGACTGGGAGATGCAATCAAGATCCCGTCAATCTCTGCTTATGCAGACCGAAGGAAGGATGTGTTTGAGGTTAGTTGAATTTTCACTAACTCATATTATGAATGATCAACGCAAACAGATGGTGGTATCTAACCTGAAGGCAGATGAGCGAATGGGTTGCCACCAAGCTGAAAGCTGTCGGTGTCGATGTGACACTGAAAGACCTTGGCAAGCAAGAGGGCACAGACCTTGACCTTCCTCCTCTGGTGCTGGGACGCTATGGCAGCGACCCCGAAAAGCCTACGGTGCTTGTATACAGCCACTACGATGTTCAGCCTGCATCTATCGAGGACGGATGGAAGCATGAGCCGTTCGTGATGACAGTTGAAGAAGATGGCAAGATCTGCGGGAGAGGCACTTCAGACGACAAGGGTCCTCTCGTTGGCTGGATCAACATGATAGAAGCTTTCCAGAAAGTTGACGTGGACGTACCGGCTAACTTGGTCTTCTGTTTCGAAGGAATGGAAGAGACCGCGTCTTTTGGCCTTCGGCAAGGCCTAGAGGACGAGGCGGACAAGTACTTCGCAGACGTGGACGTGGTCTGCATAACAGACGTAGTTTGGTTGAGCGATGAGCAGATCAGCGTTCCCCAAGGCCTTAGAGGCATCATCTTCTACCTTGTCACCATCACGGGTGCAAAGGTGGACGCCCACAGCGGCGGTTTTGGTGGTCAAATCTCTGAGCCAATGACCGACATGGTTAACATCATGTCTTCTCTGGTGGATTCAAAGGGCAAGATTTTAGTACCTGGGATTTATGACAACGTCCAGCCTGTCACAAAGGAGGAGTACGAAAGCTACCAGAAGCTGAACATTTCGGAGGACTCCTTGTATGGTGGCACGGGGGGCAGAAGCATCCATGACAATCAGGCCGATGCCCTGATCGCTCGGTACGTTTATCTGCACTCACTATAACTTCTGATTCGCATGCTGATTAAATTTGTCGCAACGCAGCTGGAAGAAACCATCTCTTAGTCTGCACAGGATAGAAAATGCCCTACCTGGAGCTGGGGCCGTCACATCCATCCCTGCCAAACTCGTTGGAAAATTCAGTATTCGTACTGTACCCTTCATGAAGTGGGAAGACATTGATCAGCTAGTGCGAAAACACATCAAGGACCGTTTCGAGAGTCTGGGAAGCAAGAATGATCTTGAAATTGAATGCCACCCGAACGACTGGTTCTACGAAGAAGCGAGCCACTGGAACTACCAGGCCGCGATCCAGGCAACGCGGAACGTGTGGGGCGTCGAACCTGCTCTGACCTGTGAAGGTGGAAGGTAAGTCATGACCCTGAACACCGACATGATAGACCAGGATTAATCATGTCTCAGTATTCCCATCGCATTGGACTTCAAGAAAACCTTGAAGAAGAACGTGCTGCTACTGCCTGTTGGGCGGCCTACCGACGGACAACACTCGACCAATGAGAAGCTGGATAAGAGCAACTAGTAGGTCTACATGCAACTCCATGGATTGCAGATTCAGGGAGGCTAACATCCAATAGCATCAACGCCATCAAGCTCTACGGTTCTTATCTCAAGGAGGTCGGAAACTTCTGGCGTCAAAGCAAACAAAACGTGTAATCAATCTTTAGGCAAGATGATCACTTGCGATGGCTCCGCAACTAAATAGCTGTACCAGTCTTAAGTGGTGAGAAATCTCACGTGTCATCTTCTGACTCGTAATTTTGCGAGTAAAGGGCTGCTAGCGTGTGGTGCAGAAAATTTCCGTATTAGGCAATATTGAACGACCATACGAGGTGGAGCTGAATGCGGAGCGCGACATATACGAATGAAATATATAGCATCGCTCAATTCCTTATGCTTCATGAATTTCGAGAATGATAGACTTCATTGAACACTCCCCTGTGTTGCATCATTAGACGACAATCGAATCGCGTTGGCTTTTACTTTAATCCGCCGAGACGACCTCCGGATGCGACAACATTATGTGTCCAACCCACCGTGTGACCGATGTCAACACCAATTCCAACTTCCGCGATATTTCCACCAACCACACGGCCCTCGACTTCACTATTGACTTTGATCGCAAGATCTTGAGTGGAAGAACCATTATCATTGGCGAAGCGAGGGTGGAAGAGCTCACCAAAGTCGTTCTAGACACCAGTCACCTCGTCATCAAAGACGTTAGTCATGCCGGGGAAAGTCTTGTGTGGGCCTTGAAGCCCGAGAACGAAGAGAATGGCAGTCCGTTACATATCGAACTCGGGCGATCTTTCAACACGGGGGAAACCATTGAACTTGCAGTAAGTTGAGTTGCCAATACCGCAATTACATCATCAGTGGTTCAGCTTGCTCATCAAGATTCCCGCAGGTGGATTTTGAGACCACCCAAGAAACGACCGGCCTTCAGTGGTTCAGCCCCTCTCAAACGGATGACAAGGAGTATCCCTTTATGTGTAAGCGCTGTCCGTCAAGGCAACTTGTCAACTTCAGCTGATAGTCGATAGTCTCTCAGTGCGAAGCGATCCATGCCCGCTCCGTTTTCCCGTGCCAGGACACGCCCTCCATAAAGAGCACTTTCGACATAACGATTCATTCTACACTCCCTGTAGTTGCAAGCGGCGTTCCCGAGGTCGAGCTGCTCTTCCCGTCTATTATAGACACGACTAAACAGAAAACGTACAAATTCAAGATGGAAATTCCCATCTCGAACTATCTTTTCGCCGTGGCCAGCGGGTAAGTCTTCTGAGGATCAACTTGACATAAGCTTCTCATGACTAACAAACCTCTCGAAGAAATCTGGCCGGGGAGAAAATTGGGCCCAAAAGCTATGTTTACAGCGCCCCCAACGACTTGGAAGCCTGCAAAGCGGAATTTAAGCCCGATTTGCAAGCTATTATGGAGTCTGCAGAGGTAAGAAATTGATTCAGAAGGTACGGAAATCAACTAAAACAGCTTTCTCCATGCTAGAATCTCATCTTTGAGTATCCTTGGCCGCTCTACAATCTTGTCGTATTGCCGAAGTCTTTCCATCTCGGCGGGATGGAGAACCCGCTTTTCAACTTTTACAGCGCCACCGTCGTCTCTGGAGACCGGGAGAACATTTCTGTAGTCGCACACGAATTTTCACACAGCTACAGCGGCAATCTTGTCACCAATGCATCCTGGGAGCATTTTTGGCTGAACGAAGGATGGACGGTTTGGATCGAGAGGAACATTATGCGCGAACTCAAAGGGGACGATGAGGTCGAGCTCCAAGCAATCGTCGGATGGCAAGACCTCATCCAGTCCATTGAAACATATGGCGGCAACGAGAGTGTCTTCACTAGCCTAGTGCTTGAGTTTGAAGGCAAAGGACCCGACGACGTCTTGTCCAAGATTCCGTATGAGAAAGGGTACACATTCCTGTGCTACCTCGAAAAGACCGTTGGGCGAGCAAAGTGGCTCAAGTTTGTCCCACATGTAAGTCCATTCATTTACTTCGAACTATGCGGAAATAACCTGTTAAAACTCACCTTTCAAGTACTTTCGGACATTTTACGGCGCTGCCCTTGACTCAGACCAGTTCACAGATTGCGTTATCAGCTTCTTCTCGCCTGACACCACTGCTACTTTGGCACTAAGCGGCGTTGACTGGCAATCATGGTTACACAAGCCGGGCGCGCCTCAAAAGCCAGATTTCAACTCCAAGCTTTATAAGAAGGCTGTTCAACTGGCAGATCAATGGGGCAGCCTCTCCGATGACTCTTCCTTCCAGCCATCTACTGATGACGTCAAAGGCTGGACAGCGGGACAAGTCTTGGTTTTTCTCGATCTGCTCATTGAAAGCCCGCAGTCAATCCCACTGGACTATTGCAAGCTTCTTGACGATCTCTATGACGTGGGAAAGTCTGGAAACTTTGAAGTTGTCACTCGTTACCTTCGTATCGCACTACAAGCCGGTGATCGTAGGGTTTTGAAGCAGACCGAGGACGTTCTGGGGCAGACAGGCAGAATGAAGTTTGTGAGGCCATTGTAAGTTGCTTTTAGTCGAGGGCGACTCAACAGCAGTGCTGATCATCTACAGATTCAAAGAACTGCTGTCGGTTGACGAAGGACTGGCATTGGAATTGTTCAACAAGTATCAAAGCTTTTATCACCCCACTTGCCTCAGAATGCTAAAGAATCTGTGGGACGAACAACGGCCAAACGACAACTAGCTTATTGGCCCGACCAACAATCAAGGCATTGAAGACGTGGCGCCGTTATCCCACGACGGCGATTTTCCCCACCATCACATAGTTCTATGTAGATTTGCATCAAGCTTTTGAATTTTGATTCTCTGCTATTGAATCACCTGAGTATATGGCATACTAAGCATCGTCATATCAACTGAACAACATTTCAATTTGCTGCGGCTTCATGGATATCATCGCCTCTTGAAATTCAGCATGGCGACTGAGCGAAGTCCAATTAGACATGCGATCCGTGGAATTGAGTTTGCACTACGAAGCCACTCGGCAGAGGCCCTCCTCTTTTACCCTCTGTTCCTGAACCAACGGCTAGCATTGGCAGTTCAGTCGTTTGTAACTATGTCCTTATTCTAGCCGCTTCCAACTCTTGATCCAATATTCTTTCTGGCAAAAAGTGCCCATAGAACCCACTGACGCTCCGCGACAATCCCTCGGCTCCCAACATGCGTCCAACTAACTCCAATTTCATCCGATTCAACCGAACACGTGATTCAGGCGTCACAGGCTCCTTGCAACGTTCCCACGTCTCTTCGCGTGGCTGCCAGTAGACTGTGATGAAACTCCCAAACGGGCTGCTCAGGGCGTCCTCCTCCTCCAAGACGACATGTGAATCCTCGTCAGGGTGGTCCTCCAAGTAGCCCAGGGCCTCCTCCCATCGCTCCTCTAGGCGATCAATTACGATGATCCCCCAGGCGTACCATTCATCATGAATGCGCTCTGGGAGAAACCACGACTTGGCATCCACTAGATTAGCAATGGTAAGACGGCTATTCCTCTCCTGCTCAAAGTGGCGAATACAGTCCTCAGCGCGGTCGCGGGGCGTCAGCAGGGCGGGCTCGGTAGACGTTATGAACGCGACGACCTCAATCCTGTCCGGGTCGTTCTCAGCTCTCCTGCGTTCGCTCATGGTGCGATCGAACATGGCACGCGCCAGCCTCTCAGCCCGGGCCGCGTTCGCGCCAGGCGCAGTGTCGTAGATGATCAGACCGAACGGGGGCCGTTGGTCAGCGACGTCGGGGTTTCGGCTGGTTTCCAAGACAGAGTATGCGGCGAAGGCAGGTGAGCAGTCATGGCTGGGGGCCGGCTGGACAACCGTCAGTTCTCGGGGAGCTTTTGTGGCCATTGGCGTCCGGGGAAGCGTGGCTCCCTGCGTCTCCAGCTCCTCCACCCTCTCATCTTCATGGTCTTCCGGTTCCGGAATGCTCGGGTCCTCGTCGAGGATGCTTAGGCGTTGGCAGGCGAAACACATTTGGAGGTTTTTTTTTGCGATGGTCTCTTGCTCTTGTGTGATGCGGTTGATGGTTTGGCACCTCACCAAAAAACAAAACAGTTTTAGTCAGGCGGAAGAAGCAATTGCTTAAAGTAAGGTACTGGGGTAAGCAGAGTGTTTACTGGCTGCGAAGCAGTACACTGTGCTGTGCTCTATTAAAAGTGATTGCAAGGTGGAGAGAAATGGGCGCGACTTCACATTAAGACACCATACAGTACAATCCAAACCTGGCGTATGCCACTGTATTCAGTGCGCTCCGTCAGCTACTAATTAACGCCTATTATACCCTTTTCCTGCCACAGCAGCTTGATGGTAAGAGATACGCTGATTCCCGGTTTTGCGGGTGTAGAGATGCCCTCAATTAGACAAGTGTCCCTCGCTGTATAGTAGAACGTAGAATACTTTGGAAGTTTCGGCTTTCCAAAGCTGAAAAATGGCATACTATAAATCGACTCTCCTCGAATTTTTGAGTGATATATCTGCCTATCTCCCAACAATGACTTCTGTCTTACAGCTTTTTCTGAGGTTTTACTGAGTTAATCTCAATCCTCAGTGAACTATATACATCAGATATTTGATCGCAATCGACGCTATTGTATCTAAAGCTGCCGCTTACGATATGGATGGCGATTCTCCTCAAGTATGATCGACAGTCCCGGGCAACCGGCTGTTTTCTTTCATATTGTATTCCACGGAGTATCCTTGTGGCTCCGGCAAGCTGCATTAGCACCGACACCAAAACATGCCCCGGATATACCATACACCAGGAAATAATATGTCGCTCGGCTTTAGGTGCCATTTATTTCTATAAACCCGACGGCTGTTTCCGTCTGGCTCCATTGGAAGTGATCTCAATGCCACAAAGCGCCCGCACTAGCGCCGGTAGTAAGCTGCCTCGCGATTCGGGGATATCAAACTCAGCTCTTCGATAAGCCTTGGCGAGATTAGATTTCAGTGTGTAAAGCTTGGTATCCAAGGCATCACGGCTTGCAGATTTGTATGAGAACTGATTTAGAATTAGACATCTCGACATCCTTCATTGTTCAAAGAAGCCAGTAGGTTTCAGTTTCTACCTATCATGTCTTTTCCCCACAAACAAGTCCTTCTCGTAGGGGCTACATCGGGCATCGGAGCAGCAATGGCGGATAAGCTCATCAAAAACGGTGCGAAAGTCATCGCCGTCGGTCGGCGCCAGGAAAGACTGGATGCTTTTGTCAAAAAGCATGGCCCTACTCAAGCAGCTTCTATCAGGTTCGACATCACGGACAGGGCAGGCCTCGACGATTTTGTAAACAGGTCAGTACCTAGCTCAAGGTGCAAAGGTGCATGAAGTACTCACAATCCTCCGGGACCCTCCTCTACCTCACAATGTGCAAGACTCATGCGCGAACTTGATGCCTGCATCCGGAAAGCATAAGCGCATTATCATATTGACACTTACACAGGGTTGTTAACAATTTCCCCGATCTGGACTGCGTGTTCATCAACTCGGGTACCCAAAGCCAGATCAAATTATCACAGCCCAGTAGTGTTGACCTTGACGCCTTTCGTGAGGAGATCAACACCAACTTCTTGAGCGTCGTGGACATGTCCATCAAGTTTCTCCCGAAACTCCAAAACAAAGCGGTCCCGACAAGTTTGATCATAACCGGCACGCATCTTGCGCTGATTCCGGCGGTCACTATACCGGCATACTCTGCGTCCAAAGCAGCTCTGCATGCTTTTGTGTATTCTCTGAGGCAACAACTACAAGGTTCGAGTACCAAAATCATAGAGATTTGGCCTCCCCTGGTACAGAGTTAGTCAGCAAACTTTCGGTTCGAAATATTCAGGGCAGCGCTAACAGTTTTCTCGCAGCCGAGTTACATGATTACATGGGTGAGGAGACGGGTCGATCGATGGGAATGCCTGTCGACGAGTTTGTCGATAAGACATATCAGCAGCTCGCCTTGGGAACCGAGCACATTCTCGTTGGTTCAATTGGCCCGGAAGAACCATTCTTGGAGCTTGTCAAGGTACGACAGCAGCAGTCCGATGTACTTTCCAACTTCATGCTCTCGCATTTTGAGCTATAAAATGAGCCGGAAGCTCATGGGTAACTCTTCATATGTCATGCTCGTTCCAAGTAAAATGGGGTTTCCTCCCTTATTCAGGAGGGGGTTTCTGTCAAATCGGAGCAGTTTCCAGGCGAACAGCCGTATCCAAGACGCCAAAGTCTTATACTCAGAGCGGGTGTTGGACAATTTGGTACTCGAACAATGCCTACTTTTAAACACCGTTCTTTTCACGGAAATAATCCCAAATGTTGGTGTTATACCTAATTTGCCCAGGAGTCTCTTCCGCGGGCAACGGCTTTCGACACTCGTACTTCAACCCTGCTTCTGTTGTCTCGCATCAAATATTACTAACATCTGCAATGTTTCTCTCGCTTCATAACCCCTCTTAGTCCATCATCCATCGCTGTATCAGCTTCACATGCATGAAAGATGGGTCAGTATCATGATAAGTAGGTTTGGATTCGCTCGTCTCATGAAATCAATCTTTGAATAATACCTACTTGGGCTACGTAATCTATGATCTACCGCCGAAACCGTAGGAGAAAGCAAAAATGTGATTGGTACAATGCTACATCTGGTCACATCCTTTTCAGCTCATGATAGTCGCTGGTCTCATTAGGCCATCATCATCTATAGCATTGCTATCGAATTCCTGTTGCCTACTTTCACACGATAGGGCGCTGCGCCATTTGCGCAATCAGAGCACCGATTTCTCATGCTTCACGTAACCGCTCTCCCAGAAGCCTGGCCAATAATCAGGAATCTCCTCAATGATGAACCTTGAAAGAGCTGCGTTGGTCTCAGCCGGCTTCTCCATGTTCACCCAATGTCCAGCTTGCACAGTAACTTCGGTGAGGTTGCTACAAGCCTGGCGCATCGGCTCGGCAAACCGAGTGGTCTTGGTCTCGCACACGTAGTCGAAGGTCGCGTGGATAAGCAAGGCAGGCTTCTCGAATTTGCCGCCGTTTGGTGCCTTTGAGTTGAATTCGTAGTTACGCTCGTGGTTCAAGTAGTACGCCGACCCCGGCCAGTATCCCGTCTTTCGCATCGCCTCGGTGAACTCATCAAAAACCTCTCCATCGAGGAGAGGAGCCGGAATCTGGTCTGGAGCTGGAGGTTTTGGGATGCCGCCGAACCAGCCTCCATCCTTTCTGATTGTAGCGCTAAATGTGGGCTTCTGGGGGTGAATCGGCTTGCCCTTCTGCCACAAAGCCTTGTTGATTCCCTCAATATCCTTCTCGAACCATTCGACAGACTTTTCGAAATTTTCTTCGTAGTGGGCCATGTAGTCCCACTGTCCATAGGGATATTGGTCCTCAGGATAGACTTGGCGATTGATAAGAGGCAAAATGTTTTTCAGTCCCAAGTCGAGCGTGCGGTATGGAACACAGACGTTTACCAGCGCCTTGACAACTTCAGGATGCTGGGCTGCAACGGTTGATACGCACGGAGAACCCCAGTCATGGCCGATCCAGACGGCCTCCTTCCGACCGGTGTGCGCGAGGAGTGCCAGCAGGCCTTCGAGGATGCTCTGCTGGGAGTAGTCATCGATTACTTTGCGTGCTGTCGATTTGCCATAACCGGGCATATCCGGCGCGACGGCCCGAAATCCTAGCGCGCTAAACACCTTCAGCTGGGGTTCCCATGCTCGTGCAATCGCCGGCCAGCCGTGAACGAATATGAGGAGGGGTCCATTCACTGGACCATAAGCGAGATAGTGGATGTTTTTGTCGTCGGTGTAGCCAACGTCATATTCCTCGATGGTAGCCATTGCAAAGATTGGGATGAATTGACTCCAGGTTATGTTTCAGCAGAAGGCGTCGGAAGCCTGGTTCTTATACCTCAACGAACTTCAAAACTTCGCAAATGCCTGCCCGCTTTCCGTGGAACCTGGTGTAACTAGAAACAGGTAGATCACTTCCCAAAGGATTATCAATACGGGATAGATCAGCTGAGTAAAGCGCTCCTGCATACATGCTGCATACGTGTAGGCAACCCATCTGCGGCCTGCGTGACTGGACACGTTGTGTTCCCGCTTCTACGTGGCTGACCAAACGTTGCTCAGTGGTCAAAGTCCTTCTCGTCCGCGGACCCTGTTTCGGTTGGATTACTAATACCGGCATTGATAGGCACGTACGCACGCGGTGGTAAGAAGATTCCGCCGGTCCTCACCCGCTCTCTCTATTCTCGTCAGCCTGTCAACACCCTAACAAGCCGAAAAAAATCAACATAAATTTTATAGCTGTGAAGGCACTCCCTAGGTATTTTCTGAATATTTTTTAAGTAATTTATTTAGGCGATTTAGAAGGATTAGCTTCGTTAATGGCACTCAGAGACCGGCGGAATCTTCTGACCCCCGCATGGTTATGCCACCTTCGAACCCCCGCAATGCCAATCCCTGCGGTGTGCCAAGAACTAGGCAGCGTCATTGTCTCTGGCCTCGGCTTCGGAGGACTTGTATCAGCGCAGGTAGTAAACATATGTCGCAGTGCACCGCACAGTATATTGCCAACGGACACCGCTTACCACGGAACGACCGCTCCGTGGGTTCGCTCCGTACAGCATATAATTCCGTGATCCCGCTTAAGGGTTTTACTTGGCTTAATCAAGCCACTTACTATTATACATGCCTTCCGCTCGGTACCTCGCTTTGTGATACAATACCTTTGCCAGCAGGGCCAGGACCCTAAACGAGGGCTTGTAATTATGCTTGGTCTAAGTACATATAAGGAAGCTCGTAATGGACCAGCAAATTTTCGGGAAACGCCCTAGTGAATAGTCAGAGAAATCAGAGCGACTACTGGAATTATGAGTCGTCCATTGATCTAGGAATCATCAAACCAGTCTTTTGCTGGGTTTTGCCCTTGACTTGGGCTTACGGCAATTTGAACTTTTTGGGACACAGACCGCAGCCATCATCAGTCTTTTTAAATCTCCCTCATATCTTGTTGAATTATGGCCATCGCACTCTTTTGCTTCAGCGATACACAAAGAACGCTAGTAATCAATACAACTTTGAACAATCTTGTCCTTCATGTTAATGAATCATGATGCTTCATATCGTACAGCCTGATCGCAATCGTGAAGAGAGTGAATAGGGACAGACATTGAAGAGGGCATCATTTTCCCTTCCTATGAGCCTCAATCCTCTGCTTAAATAAGTCAGACATGGCCTTCACTCGCCACCACTCGGGCATACAATCAAAAAACGCCATCTGGACTGCGTGAGTAAACCACGGTGTCATCTCCAGCATGCCCCTCTGAGCTGCTCTGCCCGCTCTCTTCAAAGCCGCCTTGGCAAATTCCCTGCTGTTGGGGGATCCTAGCACCGTAGCGAGAGCGTTTGATTGCGTCTTGACGTCGTCAAATACGAGGCAAAGCACATCGACCTTCCTCTTCTCAGCTCTCATCTCTCTCGCAATGGCGTTGCTGAAGGACGAGACGAAACCCTTGGTTCCAGAGTACACAGCCACACCAGGCATTCCCACCCTCCCATCCGAGCTCACGTTGAGCACCAAAGATGGACCGTTCTTGGCAAGGATCGGGACCATAAGCCGGGTCAATTGTGCCATGAATCGCGCGTTGAGGTTGATGGTGTTGTCTACCTCTTCGGCAGTGTAGTCGTGTAGCGACCAGATCGCGGGCGGTCGAGCGGGCACGCCCCCGACATTGTTGACCAAGACGGTGATATTCAAGTCATCCATCTTGGCAACGGCAGCTTCCACCTTGTCGGAGGTGCTGGTTTTGGCATCAAATACGAGAATGCGGACCGCGATCTCGTTCTTATGTCGACGGAGACACTCGGACTCGATGAGAGCACGCGCGTCTTCCAAATCATCCTCGTTGTGGCCCAGTAAGACGATGTTGAAGCCGCTCAGCGCGAGCTCCTGCGCGCAGCCTAGCCCGATTCCCGCGGACGCGCCGGTGACGAGTGCCCAGGACTCATGCGAACCTTTTTTCTGATAGCGGGTCAACGGCACGGAGGGGAGTACCCATATTGCAACGAGGTCGTAGAGTTTGTAAATAATGTAGAGAACCCACACAAGACCAATGGCCTTGAGAGTCTGCTCAAACATGGTGGCGGGCGTTAGCTTGAAAAACCGAAGGCCGAGTTGATGTGATGGAGTTGGAAGAAGAAATCTGCTGGTTTCAACAAGGATCAGAATGAGGCCTTTTAGCGGAAAGTTCCAGGAGGGCTATCGCCTAGTCACTCGCTAATTAAGTTGTCTCCGCTATCCTAGCGGCGTGGGGACAAGGGCCATGCCACGGCGTGAGCATTGACTATCCTCGCAAGCTGAGCAAACATGAAGATGTCGAATTGACCTCAACAAACGTCCGATTTTCCCACATTTCATCTCATGTCACCACATTTCATTTGAACCTAATTCTGGAACGGGATAGACTCAGTTTTGTCTTGAATGTGACAACTTTCTCTCTAAACATATCGAGTACAGTTTAGTGCTCATCCCCTATGAGTGAAAACACCAACTAGTAAAAAAATATCTTATGATTGGCCGCCAAAGAAAGCATTACAATTGCCCAAACGGGCATCCGAAATGCCCAACCTGGTGAGGCGGAGAAGAGAACAGACAGATTCAGTGAACCTGAAAAACTATTTAATTCGCTCTTCCAGGGAGCGTTTCGGATTGCCCGCAAGACATAGTATCCCGAAGGGCCCACCTAGGTAGTTTCTGCAAGTTTTGCCAGTTTCATTTCCCCCGCTCTTTTTATGGTGTCTTCTAAAATATATTGGCAGCTCAGCTTGTTTGCTTTCACCTAGCTAGCTCCCTTGATGTTCTAATTCCAGGCTTGCGCACACAACGAGTGATCCTAATGGCCTCAGCGTCCTCATAAACTTATGTCATTTTAGAACGGGCCAGAGTAGTGCACTCCGATAAGCTGGTGTCAAGTACGGAGGTGCCGTTTCAAAGATTCTGCTCAGGCTGCTCAGAAAATTGAAATTCCAATAAAGATAAAAAGCTTCATATAAATTCTTGACATAATAACAAGGAAATCTAGAGAGACCATTTGTAACGGATATATAGGGGATATTCTGGCCTACCTTCTAGATACCAGGTAGACTAATATGTTAATAATATTGACCAGCTGATGACCATATACTGCCATAGCAGTCTAGTAGAATTTTTTGAATGGTACTTCCGTATGGGCAGCTTCATATCTAGTCTATCAATGGACTCCATCTTCCTGCACAAAAGTGAAGACCGGGATCGCCAACGAGATTTTCCACATATGAACACGAGTCCACTTAGAATACCTTGCTTTTGCTGATCGTACGAGAACAGTCGGGTATGAGTGCCATCCCAGTTAAAATTCCTCGGCCTCAGCACAAGACCTTGAGCTACTGGGATGCACAAATTGGGGGAGTACGCCCATTTCAAAACGTACAACCCCATATCATGCTTTCATGAGCAGAGCAATAAGCTTTGGAAATAACTAACATGATGCTCTCCACCAATATTCAGAAGTTCGCAGCGTTCCACTAGTACACAGTAAGCTCGGACTGGCCATGTTGCTCCATTGGGGCCTCGTCTCCTTGTTTATTTTGGTTTGTCTTCTACTCCATCCAGGCAGACCCGACGATTCATGTGAATAGCTTCCGGTCAAAAGAATCAGAGCCCTCACTCCAAAGGGGAAATTGTCGCTTTTTACTCGATGGCCTGGAATTGTCGAGTAATTTTCGGTCTTGTCAAAAGAAGCTCCTAGTTGTGAGACGGAGTAATGAGAAACTTTGATTGCAAAAGTTGCCGACTGGCAGCTCCATGTGCCTTGTATATATATCGTTCACCTACAATCATTGATTCATCGGTAGGCACCTCGCCATTGCGACGACTTGTGCAATTCTTAAGGCTAAATCAATCACAATGAAGTTCTTAAGCCTCCTTCAGCCGCTTGTAATCTCTTTACTCTCAAGCCCTTCGCTTGCTACTGTTTGTACTCCCTCTTCTGCTCCTGTGCAGGTTGTCACTAACATCGTATGTAGCTTGCCGTGAGAATCGATGATTCGCGCTATTATGTTGATCAATACTGAGTCGTCTCCAGGGTCACGCCGCTTACACAGTTCGAGACGAGGGTAGAGAGACATTGGTATTTACTAATGGCTATGAAGGCGGTCACGATGCTGTCACCATGGTCGCCATTACCGATGACGAGATCCTTGTCAAGACAGCATACAACAGCTATGACACGACACGTAATCGACTCTACCTGAGCCAAATTCTGATGGCATTGTGGAGACGAGAGGGTAAAGAAACGTCGGATTTGACATACCTCGGCTGGGAGAACGTCAACAACGACGGAGTCACCGACGCACTCGAGGGCGCTAGAGACTTCCTGGATCTTGGCTCCACAGAAGGCTTTACTCTGACATCAAGCGGAACTGATGAGGATATCTGGGATTTGTTTCGATACACGTCATTCGGAAAAGTTGCGACCAGGATCTGCGGCATAACTGGGAAAAGGGTCAGAAAGATTATAGTATCTAACAACAGAGGAGCGGACACAGTCACTTGGGTAATGGCCCTATAGCTCTGTTCCGATTTGATTTCTCAACCCAATACGGCTGAGTAACTAGGGAGGCTGGCGTGGATTCTTTAGGGGGCTCACTCAGCTATTGTACAATTTACCACATCTCACCATCAACACCTATTGCGTTATCTATTTTCATTGAGGGTAAGGAAAATAGGTTCAACTGCATTCGGTTCAAGTCAAATTCCCCCCATGTTAAAGTGCATACGTGTTACTACTTCACCACTACTAAGCCGAGCGTCCCCTGATACACGCTACTTCGTCTATACCATTGACACTAGATCATATTTCGTAATAGCTATGTATGTGGTGCTTAATAAAGGGCTGGAGGAAACTTATTGAGAGTTGAAAAGAAAGTAATATGCTTTTAGTATGTGTTTCTATAGGGTTGCGTAGTCTCTCATTGTCTTGCTAGATTCCTAAATACTTTATACACTGCATTCCCCCTTGTTTACGGTGAAAAAAGCTCTTTGGGATGCCTCTTCAACAATCAAACCGCGGCGAACAGACCCAGAATAACAATCGATAATGTAACCGAACTTGCCGCCTCATCCGTCTTCTGAATATGACTCATTGGAATCGTGTTTTCTTTGGACCTTGATGCTATGCTCTAGGAAGACTGAAAGGGATGACGACAGGGCGATCCCAAACGGTCTTGCCGTCATCCGTGCCGCCAACTCTCAATCCCATATTCTCGTCAGCCGGTCCATCTCGAAACACCAACTACTCGAAACCCCAACCGTGCTCCATCTCTGCTCTCTCTCAACTAGTCGTCCGAAAGTCCCAAAAATGCCGCTTTGGCATCCGTGGTTCCGGGCACTCCCCCTCAAGACTAATCAGTAAACACCTTCTGGCCGCCCTCTTCCCTGCGATAAATGTTGAAAGTCAAATCTGCACGCCCAAGTCCCCCATCCGCGGGGTGCGGTCCAAGACACCCGCCGAAGCTGCCGGCCATCGATCCGAGATAGACGGCCTACCCGTTGCGACCGAACCGAGTGACGTACTCGCGTAGACTGTCTCCTCAGTGTCGGTTTCAACTCATCGCAAATCGGGAGGCTCATACTGAGAGGGAGAGGGGGGAAGAGAGAGAGCAATGATGACGGTATGGTATTGCTATAGACTTGGCAACCCAGGAACACTAGATTCAATCCGCACCCTCATGCCTCCCACCTCCGTTACTTCAGTTAACCCAACTCACCTTTTGTCTCCAAGTAAACTACTCCGTAAATAGCAAAGACTCTTGCTTCCAAGCGCACCTGAAAGGGGCCATACTAGAAAATGGCGCGGAAGATCAGTATCTCGCCAGACGAGAACTTGCCCAGTCTAGATGCTCATGAGTGGCCAATTGCAAGGATCCCACGTGGAGCCAGTCCGTTCAACATGGAGCACGCCCCGGGCAGGCCGGGAGTGTTCATCGCTGGAGCCACCGCGCCACTGTTTCATGTCAACCGAATTTTAGCAGTCCCTTCAAGTTTTCACTTACCTGGCCTTTACGGATGCCAAGAAAATATCGATTTTGGACTTGTGGAATGGTGGGATAGGGGAAAAGGAAGGGGGTGGAAGGATTCGGACAGACGAAATCCAGATGATCAACAAGCGGCGGTTGACAACGAGGGGCTGCGATGAAGGTTAAGAGTTAGACAAGTGTGTTGACGAGTTGTGCTGCTGCGCAGCAATTTCGCATCCATTTGAAGGTTGTTCAAGAAACAAAAGACTACCACCCAGCAGCTGTCAACACCTTCATCTCGCTGCTTTTCTAACAAGCGTTTCATGGATCCAAACCGATATCGTCTATGGTAAACAATGACAAGAAGAGAAGAGAACAACAGGCAGTGGGGCTAAACTCCCCAGATGCAGTGAATCAAAAAGTATCGCAATGACCATGATCATTTTTCCCCCTCTTTGAATCTGCTGCGACAGCTAAAAGTTTGTTGTGACCATGCTGTTGGAATCCAAAACCCAGGGTATCCACCGACCCCAGTATGAAAATGCCAATACCCGTGTCGAAGACAAGAGAACAAACCAGAATTTCCCCAACGCCGTTTGGTGTTGTGCCGACACCATGCATGCAATCAGCGCCTAGTCCTCGCGCTCCCTGTCGCTATCATCGCCGCTATCGGTGAGGTCGACTGCCTTGGTGGCTTCAGCCTCGGTCATCTCTCGCCATGTACTCCAGCTCAACATGCCAAATGCGATCATGATCATGACACCGCCGATGAGAGCTGCAGCGCTGAGCGGCTCGCCAGTCCGCAGCCAGTCCGTAATAGCAACGATGAAAATCGTCAACAGACTTGCAACGCTGGACAAGACAGGGCTAGTCAGACTGATCAAGACTAGAAAACTGCCGGCAAAAGTCGCATTCATAATGACACTGCAGAGAAGCATCCAAGCCGTGTAGCCAGTCGGCAGGTCAAACGTCTCGACACCAGTCCAGTGCAGAATGGGAAGCGGAATCCATAGCACCGTAAGCGTGAAGACACCGATGCAAGAACCGATCGTGTTAGCGAAAATCATGCCGCGGTTAGGAGTACAGCCTTCAGGCGGGCAGGCATATCGCTTGTAGAGCACCTCGTAAAGGCCGTACAGGACGGAACCAACGCCAATGATCAGATTGCCCGTGAGGCGGTTGCCGGCCTCTTGCTGGTGAGCGGCATCGTCCTCGCCCGGGCTAGTATCACCGTACGCAACGATCAAGACACCAGCAATGGCCACGATAACGGCAAGAGACTTGTCCAGGCGCAGAGGCTCCTTGAGCAGCGGAACAGAAAAGACGTAGGCGAAGAAAGCCGAACAGTTGTAGATGGCCGTCAAATCCGAGGGCGTCGTCAAATTGACAGCGACGTACCAGCTCAGGCCACCGATTGTCAACGCAGTAGTTATGAAGGCGGTGGTCTTGATGATGTAGGTCCATGGGGATACGCGGGGCTGTGGGCTTGGTCGAGCGTAGTCGAGGTCCTGTCTCTGGACCATTATGGCGGTGGTGTGAAGCAACTCGGTGTGTCTTCGCCAAAAGGATGGCCATGCAACTTTGCGCTTATTGATTCGCAGGATCAGTAACTGGATTGGCCAGAGCATCGCCCAGGAGCCGTGGGTCAGGTAGAGCATGCAGTAGGCCTTGTCCCAGTGCAGTTCCTGTTGGATGTAGGCTGACAGCTCGGTCTGGACAACAAAGGAGAACAGACTGAGAACGAGGAAGAACGCCGCGTAGATATATTTCCTCCGCGCGTTGGCTGTGATGGTCGAGGGAGAGTGGGCTCGCATGGTCGATCCGCGAGAGAAAGCCGGTCGACTCGGGGTCAGCAAGGGGCTGGCTCCTCGGGAGCGAGTTGAATAGCTCCTGCCACGGTGGTCTTCATCTTCGTCGTCCTTTGCGTTCAGAAGAGGTTGTCCTGAGCGGGAATTGTGGTTTCGGAGGAGGGGGGGTCGTTGGCTGTCCATGTCGTCGTCTTGGTCGTCGTAGTCGTTTTTGAAGTAGTCGTCGTCGCCGGATCGCAATGCATCAAATTCGGCCAGGCGCTGGTCGAGCCCAGGGCTCACTCCAGGGCTACTGGTACCACTACCGATGTAATCTGAAATGTTGGAATCGCATGTGGTTGCGCTCAAAGGAGGGTTATGAGAATGGTCGTGTCGCAAATGGGGGAGGTTGAGGGTTCCGTCCGGCCCTGTGTTGAGTCTGGGAGGCATAAGAAGGGATGAAGGCAACGTCAGAATGGAAGGGGGAAACTAGGAGATTATAGCGAGAGATAAGAGGGACCGAGAAAGAGCACAGAGAAAAAGGCTAATCAAGAAGGAGTGACATGAATGGGAAAACCAAATGCTGCATGAGCTGCAAATAGGCTCGAGTAAGGAAGGGAAGGGGTACGCGGTAAACGTAGTATGCGAGCCGACTGCTTGGACTTGCTGCTGGGGCTCTTTTGGGTCGGGAATGGATGTGTACAGTTGGACACTTTTTGGGAGTGGATACTGGGTGGACTGGCGCAAGTTGCAAACGCAGGCCTCGGGACGGGATGCAGGAAGATGCGGACGGCGACTCGGGATTGTTGGAAGGGAAAGGCAGCCCGACATTGCGCATCTCGTTACAATGGGATGGAAGGTACGATAAGGTACTGGGCAGACGACCAAAAGAAAGTACTCAGTAGGTATCCAATCACGCGATTAGTGGTGACGAACTACATACACAGGACTTGACAAGGTGACTTTCTATAGGCCCATCGCCCATCCCTAAGGCTCCTTATGTCGCTAAGATTCGGCTAATATAGCTGACTTCCTGCCCACACTTGGCACTGGCCAGGCTGGCGGGCGTGGCCCCGCGTGGGCGGTTCGCGCGAAAGGGTCTTCCCTCCATCTTTTCCCCCCACTACTCCCCTCGGTCTCCTGCACACGCAACACGTCCATGTCTCCAACACCCAGCCATCCAACCTTACGCAGCCTCTCCGCCGCTATTGCTCCCACACTATTCCAGTACTTGCGGATGCTAAGGCAACCGTAAGAGAGGTCAAGGACAACTCGTCTGGTCCCGTCGCCAGTTCTGCTCCTGTCTTGCGCACCGTCTTCTCTGCCCTACCATTGTACCGAATCAAGTACCCAGATACCACACCCTTCTGCCAATTCTCGCGCACGTCACAAGTTGCGGTCAGAAGCGTCGTGACAAGCCTGTCACCTGCGTCCGATAACTCTGGCGAGGTCAGCCTCAAACATGTCTTAGCGTGCCCGGCTATCGTAGCAGGCCACTGAGGCGGCACAACCATTCAGCGACAGCGGGAGGGCCTCAAAACCACACTTCCCCTCGGCCCATGTTCCATCCTCCTCCGGCCTGACGCCATCACGCATCCAGTCGCATGACTGGACACTCGGACATTGGCCCAGCTGCCACACCTGCAAAAGCAAACCCTCACATCTCGCGCCAGAGATCGCTTCAAGAACAGGGTATATTCATGTGCGTCGATTTTGACATCTGATAAGATCATTTTTTCGTTATTTTACAAGGCCGCAAGGACCGGCTTGTCTGCCTTTCTACGACATTTCGCATCTCGCTTCAAAATTCTGCCCGTCCATCGTAGTTCAGCCCGATCACTTGGCACCGGCGCTGAACAAAGCATCCCGGGTGTCGTACTTGTACTCGAGATCCAAGTGCCAGTAGTTGGTCGTGTCCGCCTTGGAAACAGCCCACGCCTGATCAAGCGCCTGGACAACCTGCTCCGGAAGGGGTCCCTTTTCGAGCTGGTTGAGGTTGTCCTCGAGCTGCTGCACGCTCGATACGCCAATGATGATGCCGTCGTTGCCATCCTTGATCTTCAGGCCCGAGTGATGCACCGTCCATCGCAGCGCCGTCTCAATCATGGTCAGCCCGTTCTTCTCCACCGCCTGCTCGATTGTCTGAAGAGCCTTGAACGTGCTCTCGCGGAAGTAGCGCTTGCGGTAGTTGCCCCCCGTGCCGTGGTTGTCCGAGAAGCGGCCCTCCGTTGGAACGATGTCCTTGGACTTGATCTTGCCCGAAAACAGACCGCCGGCAATGGGGTTGTACACGACGAGGTCGAGTCCATAGCGGCGCAGAGCCGGAATCAGCTCGGGCTCGATGCTGCGTGTGATGACGTTGTACATGCCCTGGTACACCGTCGGGCGGACCCAACCGTTGTACTTGGCAGTCAAGACCACTTCGGCCACCTCAAACGCGGTGAAATTGCTAAGGCCCAGCTTCACGAACTTGCCTTGCTTGTGGAGCTTGTCCAGAGCCTCAAGTGTCTCTGCAAATGGGGTTGCGCGATCCTGTAAGCCACTATTAGTCACTATCCGAGACCATACTTGGGACACCAGCTAGTACCGCAGCATGGAGGTATAAGATCTGTCAACGTAACATTAGTTTGACCCCTGACTAGATACGTTTTCTTCTTCACTCACATCGACGGAGTCGGTGCCGAGCTCCTTTAAGCTAGTTTCGACGGACTCGATCACCCTGGCCCCGGCATGATCGCCAGGCTGTCCGGGATACTGAACCTTTGTGGCGAGCGTCAACCCCCTCTCCTTCCACTTGGCCTCGCGAGTGAAGGCCTCCTGCTTCCTGCCAACGTACACACGAGCCGTGTCAACCTCGTTGTAGCCGCGGCTTTGAAAGACATCGAGGGCCTTGTTGTAAGTCTCCAGATCAGTGATTCGGGCGCCGGCGGATTCATCAGGTCCGAAGGTCATGAGACCCAGGATGATGCGGTCCTTCGGGTTTGAAGCGACAAGAGGCATGACGGAAGCTGGGTATCCTTGAGTAAGTCGATTAAGGCAGGGTGGAGAGAGCTGAATGTCGGAGTAACTATATTGAGAAAACGTACGAACCTTGAGAAGGTGTTAAGAAAGGGGAGCGTCGAGTTTTATATTAGGCTTCTTGTTCCGGTGTGGATATCGCGAGAATGCCAATGGTTTAAGTTGCGAAGCGATGTCGTGATCAAGTAGGCTCGACAAACTGCTTCGGAGTGGGCTTCTTGGGAGTCAGACGGCATGGACCCCACCATCTTGGCGGGGTAGGCCAATACGTGCGACATCTGAAGACGTCACGGCGCCGATGCGGCCAGCGAAGGAAGGATTACTAATGATAGGCATGCGGTTAAGCTGCAACTCTACCATGCCGAAACCCCCGGGATCGGATAGGAGTCAACCAGTTACACGTCGGATCTTTGGCAAACATTCAATACAAAGGTTGTCCGCCGGCAAACACTCCGACATTGTTTGTTTGAACAACTGAGCTGTTGTTGTAAAGGCGGCAGGCGGGCACTTTTTGTCTGTAAGAGAATGGAGCCTTGACAGTTGTCACATACCGGGTCGCATTTCTTTCTCCAAGCGGTAAAAAGGAAGAAGGAAACTCATGAGAGAATACTTGTTGGCAAGTCACCGTGGTGACCTTAAAGAGCCACAAAGAGGCCTTTGGGGAGGATCCCCAGGTCTTTGCCGACGGTACGGGGTAAAGTGAAGCTCGGACCCACATTGACAAAGAAAGACACGTGACTCCTGCACTTGTTTTGAAGGGCTCGAAGGAGGCGCCCCTTGGCCCCTGTATTGACGCTCGGGCCCTCTTTTGAGCGCAGCTGCTTTAAAGTGCCTTTCGCGTAAATGTAATCTGAAGAAGGCGCGTCTCGCGTCGTCGACGTGCCCTTTCCCTCAACCCCCAAAGTGCATCCACTCAACCTGGTGAAATTTCCGTGATACCGGTCCTCAACCCGAGCCTCACCGACCCTCGCCTCCACAACTACCTGTCCTGCCCCGAACAAAACGCCACATTAACTGCTCCAATCGCCCCCTCTTTGAAAGTCCTCTCTCGTCGAAGTCCTGCCGCTGATCGGAAACGCTGCCAACGTGCCTCCTGACGCATTTACGAGTTGTCCGCAGGGCCTGTCCCTTGCTCCAGGTCACCGACGATGGTTAAGGGCAATGCGCAACCCGGCGTTTACAGCGCCACATACAGTGGTGTAAGTGCTTTTCTCATGGATTTGGTGAAGTCTCTGCTCAACCTCTCGGATTTCCGAGACACTGTCATCCGAAGCACCGGGTCGGACTGGACGCTTACATTCCCTTCGGGAACGGGGATGGCTTCAATCGTCGGGGTCGGCCGAGAGATGCCCCATGCCAACCCCGGTTCTGTATTTGCCACAATTACGAGACCGATGCTAATTGATCGATCCTCTAGATTCCCGTCTACGAGTTCCAATTCGGAGATGACCTCAAGGAACATGTCATGCGACGGCGCCAAGATGACTGGATCAACGCAACACACATTCTCAAAGCCGCCGGCTTCGACAAACCCGCCCGGACACGCATTCTTGAGCGTGAGGTACAAAAGGAAAAGCACGAAAAGATCCAGGGCGGATACGGAAAGTACCAGGGCACATGGATCCCTCTCGACAAGGGCGTCGCCCTCGCCCAGCGCAACAACATCTATGACCGTCTGCGCCTCATCTTCGAATACACTCCAGGCGAGCAGAGCCCACCCCCGGCTCCAAGACACACAAGCAAACCAAAGGCACCAAAGAAACCCGCAGTGCCTAAATGGCCAAGTACGAACTTCACACAGCAGCAGCAGCAAGCAGCATCACAGGCACAGCCGTCTGCCAACCAGATGCAAGGCGCGCCGCCGCCAGAAGAGTACGAAGTCGGCGACTCGATGATGAATGACGATGATACCCCTGACAACCTGACCGTTGCTTCCGCCTCGTATATGGGCGAAGACGACCGCTATGACATGACCCACCAATCCACCGGCCACAGGAAGAGGAAGAGGGAAGAGGCCATCCAGGACTTGACGCAGCAGCAGCATTCCGTCTATGGAGACGAGCTTCTCGACTACTTCCTCCTCTCAAGGAACGAGAAGCCAGCATACCGGCCTGAGCCACCGCCAAATTTCCAACCGAATTGGATTATCGACTCGGAGGAGCATACGGCGCTTCACTGGGCGTCGGCTATGGGCGACGTGGACGTCATAAAGCAGCTACGGCGCTTCGGTGCCAGTCTGAATGTTCAGAACGTGAGGGGAGAGACTCCTTTCATGCGCGCTGTGCATTTCACAAACTGCTACGAAAAACAAACTTTTCCTCAGGTCATGAAGGAGCTATTCGAGACCGTTGATGCGCGTGATGCGACGGGGAGCACGGTCATCCACCACGCGGCAGTGATGAAGAACGGCCGAGTCGTCAGCCACTCGTGTTCGAGATACTACTTGGACAACATCCTGAACAAGTTACAAGAAACGCACGACCCTGCCTACGTGCAGCAGCTCATCGATGCGCAAGACGAACAGGGAAACACCGCCCTCCACCTGGCGGCAGAGCGCAACGCGAGGAAATGCATCAGGGCACTGCTCGGGCGACAGGCTTCTACCAGCATTCCCAACCATGAAGGCGTACGGGCGGAGGACCTCATCGCCCAGCTCAACGCCACGAAGAAGGAGCGGGGTCCTCAGCGATCATCGTCACCCTTTGCACCAGACTCCCAGCGTCACGTCTCATTCCGCGACGCAATGCCAGAACGCATGACGACGAGCAAGAAGCTCAACCTCTCGTCCTTCCACTCAGAGGCCGCGAACACGGTTCAATCACGCATCACCCCGCTCATCATTGAAAAGTTCCAAGACCTCGCGGGGAGCTACGACGAGGAGCTGACCGAAAAGGACCAGGCGGAAAAGGAAGCCCGTCGCATCCTCTCCAATACCCAAGCCGAACTCGCCGCGGTACACCAGCACATGGCCGAGCTCGAGGCCCAGCTCGAAGCAGACGACGGCGCAGCGGCGATCATCAGCGAAGCCAACCGCGCCAAGCATCAGGTCATGTCCCTCATCACACATCAAAACCGCCTACACGTGCAGCAGGCTGTGGACCAGGAGATCAATATGCTCAACGGCGACGCCAACGAGGCCTCGTACGAGGATCGTCTCGAGCTGGCGAGGCAGCTGCAGGCCATGCTCTCGGAGCAGAGACAGTCAGAGTCTGACTACGTCGAGGCGCTCAGCATGGTTGGCACAGGCGAGAACATTGACAAGTACCGCCGGCTCCTGCGCAAGTGCCTACCCCCAGCTGACGCGGAGAACCTCGACGAGAACCTCGACAACCTCATCGAGATGATGGAGGAGGATCGTGACCTGCCGGGCGACGGCAGCGGCCTCGAACCCATGGACGTCGGGATGGGCGGAATCGGGATCGGTATTGGCATGTGACTACAGGCCACGTATCTTGAGCAATCACCGGTTGCCTAGGTTGTCAGATGGATGTCCAAGGACGTTTATCTTTTTCTACAAAGGGTGGTTTTTCGGCTTCCCTATTTGGGGAGTTCATCTTTGTCAGATTCAATAACGTTTTCGATCATGGGGCGAGGCGGCATTTCGACTTGACACGACGCGAGCACAATTGGTGGTGGCCTTTTTTTTTTCAAAAAACAAAAACAAAAAGGGGTTCAGGATTGATGGGTTCTTTGGCGGTTCAGGCATGATAGGGCAGGGCAGGGCAGGCAAAGCAGGCTACTTGTGTTTTTTTGTGTTTCTTGTCGCGATTTATCTTACTTTGAACTGGCGTTTAAAGGTGGACGAGGAGAAACGGGAGCGAAGATGTGAGAAGAGGCATGTTGGAGAGGGGTGAGGGCAGAAGGAAGAAGGGGGAGGTGGGTGTGAGTATTGGACTCTAGGTCTTGGAGTGTTTGTGTAATGTCTAGCAGACTCGATCAAGGGAGATCCGCAACGATCAGTAGACTTACTCCCATGCATTCAATTCCATGGGGAGTGAAAAACAAAACGCCTTTCATCATACGCCGAATATCCGGTTAGGGTACCCAGGTGCCCTTTCTCGGTCATCTGACGACGGCGACCGAGACAGGGATAGACGGAGGCGGCAGCCACCGTTCACGCCTGGGTGCGATCGGGACTCGAAACCTCGGACGTGTCAGCCTGGCCCTATGTTGAGTTGTTGTGGACGAAGAGGCTTCCGTGAGGCTGGCTGACGTCCATGTTGGTAGTGCTGTCAGTCAGCCAGCGCAACGCCATCATCCGTATCTTACGCCTCCGTCGTCTCCGGAGGGCTGGAGCACCAGATGCGGCATAACAAGAGATCACCATTCGCACATTGCTCACAAGCACACACGTCAGGGCGTTGAGAAAATATCACCCGTTTGGGCGGTACAGTGGGTGAATATGCCCGTGGGACCGGATGTGAGATCGCTTCATCGAGAGAGAATGGCGTCAGCTCAATGATCAAAACTCACCGCGACGATCATGACTCGACGTCGCGAGAAAGCCATCTGACAGTCGCGTGTCGCCCGAGGCGCCCGAAGCCGTAGGCGGAATTGCGCCTGTCCGATCCAACAGGTCTTGGCAGAAGGCTTCTTTCTGACTGCACTTTGCGTCTAGTCTTGATGATGAAGAAGGGAGGACAAATTTTGTCAAGATGCAGGGCTGACTCAACTTTGTCGTTGGCTTTCGGGTGTGGGACAGAGCCGCCAGTTCCGACGCTGAGGTAGCTTGGTCTCAAGTTGTGAGCGACGATTAGACCTGGGGATCCGGTGTGTTGTGATGTCCCAATCAAGTCGTTGCTGAGGGCATACTTACCTAAGAAAGACACTCAACATGGTTACACTGACGAAATGTAAGCTTGGCATGAATCATCAACCGCATTTCTTATGGCACTAGAAAAATGGACTTTTGAATCCTGGCCGTGGGCCAAGAGCAGGAGGCCACGGGCATTAAGCGTGTCGCAACAGCCAAGGCTGAGGGGATGTCGTAACCCAGCCTGTCGCGTTCCAGCATGAGGCTCCCAACGTGAACAAGTGCTGATGGCCTTCCGAAAGCCTCGCCCGTAGTGATGTTAATGACCCGTCGGATGTTAGATGCCGCTCTCATCCACCAGGCGATTACAAAAATGTAGACTGGCAAATGCATGGTCCTTCGCGTCGCCGACTTTTCATGGCAAGGAATACACGGTGTTGCGCCCGACTAGGCAGCGGATCAATCACAGATCAACAAGGGGACGCTCTTTCGCGCCGGGGAAATTCCCACAATCGACAAAAGAAAAGGCGGTCAGCGGAGCTTGCGGTGGTATCAGGGCCACAAACCAATGTTGATTGGGAGGGTCAGGTTCGAGGCAGTTTCGTGGAGCGAACTTGACCAAATCGACGAAGCAAACCAAATCAATGATGCATCCGCTTGATAGTCTGGCAAGCTATTCGATGCCGGCCAGCCAATGGATTGCTAATGACCAGGGGATATGTCAGGGCTTGGGGAGACTAGTGGATGGGGAATGATTAACATGCTGACGCCAGTGCATATCAGAGAGCCGGGATCTTCGTAAGGCTGAAGCGTGTGAGGGTCCCTGAATGGCTTCGCATTGTCTCGGTGGGTTAGGGGCCGGGGCTGGATGTGGGAGCATTATGGCAGGCTGTCGGCAAAGTGGCGTGAGTGGCTGCGATAACCGCGTCGGAGAGGAGTGACGTTCAGTTGGCTCGTTGACACCAGAAACGTGCAGATGGTACTTTGAACGCTTATGCTCCGGGTGATCAACCTCGTTTTGTGGCACACCTAGATGACGTTTTGCAGATAGCATGCAAGATGATGAGCAACTGCACCTCGAGGTTAAAACGAGACGGCGAAGGATAAGCACTTGGCCGAACTCCAATGCTTTGGGCCGGAGGATATGTGACACAATCTTATCACGAATCGCCAGACGGGATGGCGCGGCCGAGGGCTGGGCTGTCATGCAAGTCTTTGCATCTTGTCCAACGGCGTTTTTACGATGTCTTCTATAATACGAGACGGCCGATGGTGGTGATCTCGCATGCCTTCATTCTTGATTAATGGCGACGCCGGGTCGTAGGACGTGCCAAATGGTGGCCGCTTTCTTCCGGCGTTGATGGAATGCGCGGATCAGGCAGAAAAAAAAAACGGCCGCTGTTTTGGTTTGGGGGCGGCTTCGTATTCCGTCGCATATATCAGCAGGCGGAACGATAAAGCGAAAAATTAGCTGAATGCAGTGGGAGGTCAAATTGCAATGTAGTAGCATGTGCGCGCGCGAGCGGATGACGCGCAGCATCTCCACAATGAGCTGCTGCGATTTGTTGTCGTCGCCTCTGTAAAAATACGGGGTGGCCGGGAGGCGAGACCGGCAGAAGGTGTGACGACGGGATTCGCTAGGAGGCGAGAGGCACGAGGCCTTTGACGTTCTCGTAAACGCAACGACCAAGGCCTATCAAGGCAGAATTGGAAAAGGGGTTCGACGAGACAAGACAGGAACAAAACATCCGCATGCCAATGGCCCAGTGGAAAGAAGCCAGCCGGAACGGTGATCTGAAAGTTGAATGGCCCAGTCTGGTTATCGAGCGGGAGCATTGGGGGCGGATCTGAACTTGGCAACCTGGTCCAGACTAAGAACAGGAATAGAAAAGTTTCAGGAACGGGGGGCTCCAGCGGCGATCAGGCCGCGTCGGCTCCGTGGCTCGGCGCCCCATATCGGGGGAGGAAACTTTCAAGGACAGGCTACAGCTGCTGTGAATGCAAATCTGGAGGTCAAGTGCTGGGTGGGCGGTGGAGATGCACTTTGCATGAGGCAACTTGAGCAGGCCTTGTGTTCTCGTATTCTGCATGTTGCCACAAGGGCTGAGCCTGTATCTTGCGTCAGGAGAGTAGACGCGTAGACGTTGGCGTTCGAGGGGGGTGATTCGGTACCGTATGGCTGGAGACGAGCTGTGCGTGTCTTTCCACCTTGGAAAGTGCAGGAAATGGTTGGGTGAGGGAGATGCCGCGAGTCTTGAGTTGTGGCTGTGTTTTGCCGCTGGCGGCCGCAAAGCTGCATCTGGCAAGCAAAGGGGACGGTCTTCGAGGATCGTCGTGAGCTGGTTTTGGGGGCCGAATGGCGAAAAGTCGGTGTCGTAGTCGTTGTCGTTGCCGTTGTCGTTATTGATGTGAGTGGAGGTTGGGGGGAGAGAGGGCTGAAAGAAGAGGAAGCTTGCAAGGTTTCTTCTAGACAAAAATAACCAACATGAACAGTCAACGAGGCACGTGGAAGAGGCTGGGGCTTGGCACTGCATCTCCGGGGACCTGACAGACATCCGGGCCGATGGGACGGGATGGAAGCGGCAGGCACAAGACCGGATGGCAGGTTCCTTAACCTGACTTGAAGAGTTGAGATGAAGGAAGGTGGTCATATGCCTGTCTCTGCATGGAGTATCTGACCTTTGGTAGGTATCCAAGGTAAGTAAGGTATGTTTGTAGAGCAGTCTTTCGGCCGTCGAGGAAGAGGGAACGGCCTTCACATGTGCAGAGTGCAGAGATGCGTCACGTGCAATGGCAAGAATGTGGAAGGCACAAATGGCAGTTGCATCCTGTGTCGTTGGATCCAACATGTTTTGAGCGGAACGGAGAAAGGTGCACACAGGATAGGACGAGGCCGGGTCGTGGCTTCCCTTCCTTCATCGTCGGGTGCTGAAAATAATTACAGCGGTTGATCGATCGCCTGCACCAGTGTCCCGTCTTGACCATGGTGTGGACGGATGGGACATGTGGACACCAGTGGGACTTTGGCTGGTTGATTGGACCAGGCTGCCAGTCACTTTTGGGGGCGGCCTCCAAAAGGGGCAGTTGCGCCTACAGAAGTGGTGTGTGGCAGGTACGCTTCCTGCGGGTGTCTCAGGTAGCTTGCTGCTTCCCGTCGTGTTTTGTAAACTTCCAAAATTCTTCCAGACAAAGGAGGGGGTCCAAGACTTCCAGGGAATCGTTAGGTGCCTTGCCTTACGTTAGCTGCCTGCCTAAGGTACTTAGCATCCTGGGTATTCTGTCACTCTGTATCCCTAGGTCCTTAAGGTACGTAAGGAAAAGGCAGGTATCAACGCTTAGCCTGGAGTCTACACCTTGCTTTTGGCGCAGTACCTAGGACGGGAGCTGAGACTCCCGTCCTCTCAACGTCCCTACCTACTTTAGGTAAAGGTACCTCCATAGGTACTTTGGGCGAGGAAAGGGACTGCGTGCACCGGGCTTGACTCCGTCTCTCCGTCTCGCTTTCCTCCCATGTGCTTGCATCCATTACAAAGTGTTCCAGAGTCCAGACTGCACTGTGTGAATAAAAAAGATGAAATAAAAACTCCGGCGAGATTGCTTCGACCCTTGGGTCACACGAAGGGCGAATCAGAGGCCCCGGCCTTTTCGACACCAGCTGAACTGCGAGGACTGGAACTTTGCATCGCCAACGTGGAACCCCAATAGCATCATCACCTTAACCCCTCGACCCCTCGACCCCTCGACCCCTCGACCCCTCGTGCTCTCGACATGGACCCTCGACACGCCCAACGCCGTTCCAGTCCTGCGTCCCGGGCCCCGTGTCCCATCTCCCGTCCTAATGTCTCTCCCCGTCCACAACCGTCACCACACACCACCGGCTTTCCGTCGCACACCACGCCGTCTCTGGCTTGGTTCAGATCTCTCTTTACGTTCCTGGCCTGTCTCTACTCCTCCAGACTTTCGGCCTTGTCGCATCCGTGACGGGATACATACCCACAAGGCAGATGCTTGCTACCTCATCTTCTCTGACCTCCCGTCCAGATTGGCTCATCTAATGTCTCCGATCCTACGGTCACGGCAAACTGACAATCGGCTCGACAAGCTTGGTCTCGTCGGCCCAATAAAGACCAAGACACAACATCCACATGTCTCTCATTCGTCAACTAAACCACCAAACGTGGAGGCTTCGATGCCAGGTGTCGTGGGCCAGTCAGCACCACATGCTACCCTACGTGCCTCCATGCGACTACACAAGCATCTTCATCCCACCAGTCTTACACGGCCATGGTGATGCGGACGCTTGATCGGATCCTGAATGGCATCTTCGCGTCCATCAAACCTGGCAGGGCTCGGACTCTCACCGCGGCTGGTCCCCGTCGACCTGGCCCTGGAACTGGTCCTGTATGTATGGTTGAGTGAGCCTCACAACGTCGCGCCGCACCCGCGCCATCCCATCACCATCGTGCATTATCCTCTTGCGAGATTCCGGTACTTGCTTATGCGCCATGTCATGCAGACCCAGGTCACCAACCCATCACCGACCGACCCTCTTTCGGCATATCGATCTTCGGCAACCGTTGGCCGGCGCGACACAGCTTACATTTTTCTCCTTGTCTAGTCCCATGGGGACATTGTGCGGTGCCCAACAGCCAAGAGTCGCCAACCTACAGAACCCTACTCCGGCTTCTCGCGGTGCCTCTCCCCAAACTCCCATCATCTGCATCACCATGATCCTCTTCTCGGCCCAAGAAATCCCATTTTGAGGGGGGACGCATCGATCGACGCCACAGGGCTGGCTGACGAGCCAATTGTTCCATAGGACAGGCCCTAGAAGAGGAACAAGCTTGCAAGAATTCCATACCATGGCCGCACACTAGACAGGGCCAGGGATCCAAAGGGCGTGGCTATAGGGCTCACCTCAGCTGAACAGGTCCCCCGTTCCAGTCGCCCTCACTCGCCCACACACGCCACACTAACTCGCTTTCTGACAAAGCTCCTTGGAGTCCGAGCTCGCAGTCTCTGCCAGCTTGCTTTTGCGACGGGTGACCTGGTCCTGTGCACAACAAGTTCCCCGCTGCCGCAACACGACATCTGCTCTGGACCTAACTTTTCGACAACCAAGAGGATACAGGTCGCCGAGCCGCCACTGCCAATTGTGGTCTGTGTCCATGATCCATCAACTACTGTGGATATGTCAGCAATACCCCCGCCGCCGTCCAGGTCTTCTCACTTGAATAGCGTGCGACATGCTTTCTCTACTCCCTCGTGAGACACACCTGAGTCGCTCGCAGCTCCTGTTCAGCCCGCGTTGCTTCGTTGCCACAATACACTAGAAATCTCTTCATTATGACGGATACAGAGTACCAGTCACCATGTTGGATCGCCATGGGAGGTTGTGCTGTGCGAGTGCCCCGTCGCACCAGACCCAAAGCTCGGCGAAGTAAAGTCCCGTTTCGTCTAGCGGGCCCTCTGGACTACACGGCCGCCGACTTACACGGCCGAACCACGACCAGGGCCGGGGTCATTCCAGCTTGTCTCTCCTCCCTGTCATGCGGATGCCCACGGACGGGGTCCTTCGAAAGACGATCCTGCTGGGCTGAACGACAGGGATCTAGTCTGTTAGCTGCCCCTCCCCCTTGTCGCCTTTTTGAGAAAATCGACCCCAAATGTTGGTCTCCATTCGAATATGCAACAGGCGCCAACACGCGACGATGCAAGTCAAGAGTCCGAATTACCTAGTACAATGGGGTTGGAATGCGATCATTTTGGCGATTGCTTGTCATATTCGAGGACATATCCTCATCGACTACACCGCCTTGTTGGTATTCCCTCCAACGTCTCGTTCTCCGTTCCACTCAACAAGTCCCGCCTCTTATCAGAGCCGCGCCCGGGCGCGATGATGCTTTTACCAGTTCTGGTGCTGACACTGTCCCCTTCTCTGGCCAGTTAAAAATACGGCGTCGGTGGGGACCAACAAGACTCTGTCGCCTACCCAACCCAGGCATGTCAAGTCAATTACTCTCAAGCGTACGGATACATGATGACCGCATCTTCAGAATATCATGGCATCCATCATGCCCGGCGGCCACTTTCCCCACCCCTGGGCGCATCCATGGCCACCCCATCCGCGCCCGCTTCTGCAACACCGCTTAAGCTCGAGGCGTTTCCAGCTTGGAAGACGACCAGTCGACGTCGTTAGCCGCACACCTATGCACCTATACATGCGCCGCCTTGCGGCAAATCTAAGCAAAGGCTTGTCGCCATCGTGACTGCCCTAGAGCATTCGAGGGCCTGGTTAGTGCCATTGGTGTTTTCGGGACTCTCTCGCTTATTTCACAGAGGAGGCTGACTGAGAATGAAGACGGCGCTCTGAAAACGGGCCCCCCTAGGCTGAGCGTCTTTTGTTCCGCGCCAGCCCAGGATCTCGTCCGTCATCACACACCTCCTTTATGTCACACACCCTCATACCCTCAACCCCTTCTTACTTACTTTCATCTCATTATCTCATTCCTTCCACCAACCCTTCTAAGCGGGGCCAGATCTGGCGATAACGCTCAACTATCCCCATATTGTCTTGTCTCCCGCGACACGGCGCATCAAGCATCATGTCTATATATATGATGCTGTATCCTGCTCAGCTTGCCCGCCAATTCCTCCACCCCACTGGTGCTCTGCTTTGGTCTACGATCATCATAAAATCCTAGATCCTCATTCATTCCCCCTGAATTCTAACTTTCTCACGAAGGACTTTGCGTGTTACGCTCAAACAACAACACTTTGTCTTCGGGAGCAATTCGCACGAATAACCCCGTTGCCTCAACCCTCGTCTGTTGCGGCCTGCACCTGCCAAGCAAAGGAACGGCACCTCAACCCACCTCAGCTTGCAACCCCTTGGGAACTTTGGAACCGACCTTTTTGTAAGTCCGCCGTCATTCACAATTATTGGGTGATGCCGCTCCCAGTGGTGTGTGAGAGCCATTCAAGTTCGGCCGATGGGTTTCAGAGCTTGCGGCGCAATGAGCCTCGCGCCACCCTAGCGCGCGGCATCCACTCGAAATAGCACCATAAAAGGAGTCAAGCACTTACACGTCGATCATGTAGGCAGACATCCGCCAATCTCTCTCTCTCTCTCTCTCTATCTCTATCCTCCTCTCTTCGGCCACCCTCCTCGAGACACGCAAAGCAATCGGTCCAGCCCGGATCTTTACTCGGCAGCTTTCCCTGCCGACTTACGGCAGATACGGCGGCCGAGGCCCACCTTCACAAACCCCTTGTCGCTTATGTCCAGCAGCGCCATTTCATTACTCGCAAGCCACTGTTAGGTCTTGGCCAGGGCCACCAGACACAGGCATACCCCAGACGTGCTACCACACCGCATCCGAAGTCCAGCGGCGAAGGTACCTCTACCTCTCTGGTGAAGGCTGACAGAGACCCCCTTTACGACCTCCCAAACCTAACCAATTCCCATAATCAGCCGGGCTGTCTTTAAGCAACCATGCCTGCCCTCACTCATGCTGAGCTGGCCATAGGCGAGCCGCGCTCGACTGTTGGTTCTTACCACCACGTCTCTTTCTCTCATCTTTGCACTGGTCTCCTCATACTTGCCGTATTGGTCGTTTTGCGCTTGGTGGTATGTGGTGCTTTCTTGACTACGGTAAGCAACGAGATCAAAGAGGTCCGAGGACACCAACAATACCCCAAAGATCGACTTGACCACTTGGTCAACCAGCAACGGCTCCATCATCTCTTCGTCCAAGACGGGGGCTGGGTCATGGAAGAAAAGTCACGTGGGGTCAGCAGTAACACCCTAGCTTCTGGGGCTGAGCCGACTAGGAAGATCAGTCCGCAGGACGTGTTCATGAGGGGAAATGAAAAGGACTCGACTGAAGACACAGAGACAAGCAGTAGCGGCGATGTGCTGTATGGGGACCACATTCAGAGGGGCAAGGCTCTGGGTCATTCTCCTACCAAGTTCATGGTGTCGAGACCTCCACAGCCTCCTCCACTGACGCCCCTCGAGCTGTCTCCATCGGCCTTTACATATGATGAGCGCAGGAGGAGCTTTACGAGTGGCGTCTCAGAGCTAGACGCGTCGTTCTTCGAGCAACCAAACCCTGACTATATGTCATCAACTTCAACGGGCACTTCGACAGCAACGCAGGATACGCAAACTACGCGGTCCTTCCCAGCACCCCGCAGGAGATCTTATACCAAGACGCTGCCCATTGGAATCTCTTCTCAATCATCATTTCCAATCCTTGACGACGACATTGGCATAGTCTTTTCCCCCTCGTCGTACCCCCCAACATCACCTCTGCTCCCGGGACCACCCCCTATTCACGGTGAGATTCGTTATGACGAGGTCACCAAGCAAGAGATTCTAGTGCGAGGCGAAATCATCTCCTTGCTGGATGATTCCGGGGCTGGATGGAAGAGGCATACGAGAGTGTATGGGGGCGGCGCGTGCCTTGCCTGCGCAGCATCTGGCGACGATGGCCACCAACATGGCGGTTTCTATGGAGAAAACGTCTTACCAGAAGAGAAGCGCTACTAAAACAACAGCAATTGGTGCATTCAAGTCGAAATTAAAAAAAAATAAGAGTGGTCTAATCAGGGTCAGTGATACCATCGGGGCAAGTCCTTTTCCCCGGTACTTAAAGTGGCGATAGACGCAAGCGGAGCTTCATCAGCATCACGGTGGCGGCACAAAATGGGTTTGGTACACAATCTCATTGGAGAGGTCTTTTCATTTCCATTCTTACAGCATTTTACTTACGATTCTTGTTTTCTTGGCACTACCTATCCGAAAGCCTCATAGCCTCGGGCTTACCTGTTCCCATTTTGTTTCATGTTGTTTTGTTACATCTCATCTTGGGTATCTGGGAGGAGAAGGAAGAAAGGACTTGAATGCTTAATCCTTTGGATAAAGAGGCATGTACAGGTGGATGGACGTCGAAGTTTCCTTTTCTCTACCACAACTTCACGCTTCACGATGTTTACGAGTTGATGATGATTACGTCGCCGGCGCCAACCTTCAAATTGGCGTTGGACTGCTGCTCTGTGTGTGTGTCTGTAGTGTGGAAAGCGATGACATGTATGTATCAGAGAGGGTTGAGGGACAGAGAGGGAGGCTTGGAGTGTATGAGCGAGTATGTCTGCATATATGTCTAAGTCTTGGGGCGAATCATGAACATTCAATTCCCTTTTGCCGGCCATATCAAGCAATCATGTTAACAATGCCCATCCCTTCTTCGACGTGCCTGCGTTATCGTGATATTATTACTGCACTTGGTACATAATATCCTACCACATTCGAGACAGCTACATGGGTTCCATATCCCAAGGAGTCAATGCTCTGCTGTGAGTTGGCTCGTCTCTACCTTTCTGGGCAGGCAGACTTTACACACACCCCTTATTCAATGGATTCCGCAGACCGTAACGACGAGTCTGAGTAGAGATGGTCTCAATGGGAGTCTCAAGGTCAACAGGAGAACCTGTGGGGGAGCCACGTAAAAAGTCTGTGGATGGGTATTTGCTTCACGAGAAGAGACCATTTGGCAAAGCAAACAGATGGTTCAATATCATGGAAGGAGGAAAGTCAAGCTATTCATAGTCACCATCGCATACCTTTTCCCTGTCTCAAGTGAGGCTTGAAGAGTAGGTAGCTTGTTCGCTCTGAAGCCTATAGCTGGCTGGTGCATCCTCAAGCTTTGCGTTCAGCGCGGCTGGGCAGTGAACGGCTATATCCAAATACGCCCGTCAGGGTCTCTTGATGAGGTCTGTTGAGGATGCTGCCAAAGTCCCTTGCCCCCCGCCCCCGGGTGCGGCCAACGAAGATGAGGCTCCCTCTACCTCCATCTCCATGTCTAGTTGGTCTTTCTCTCTTCCCTCAGCTACCTTGCGTGTACTCATCCACCGATGCCAATGAGTCACGCCTCGGGTGGCACGTTATCCCAAAGGGGGCTCTATCGCAACCTGGAGACGAATTCACCAACTGCTCTGTCCTCAGCATCCCGGCGCCGGGCATTGTTGCGGGATACGAGCGGGTCTGATGGCAGTCAGCTCGATTCCTGAGATGGAGCTCGAGAGATCCCTCGACCCAAAAGTCCCCGAGGGCCAAAAGTCCCCGAGGGGTTAGCTTTGGTTCGAGAGTTTGCGAGTTTCCCTCGCAGGCCAGACCCACGAACTTCCCCTCCGGTCATCTTAATTCTGCAAACTGATGCATTCATTCCAACGAGACGGTCGATAATGGGGGGGGTGTTGCCTTGTGCGCAACTGTCTGCATCTCCGTGAGACGGAACATGGGGTACGGAGACCAAAGTCCCAAACCCCGTCGCGCTTGGGATGTAAGTCTCCCAAACTACACGAAGACTAGAACTCCGTGAGCAGCCCCCCGCGGCGGCGAAGGGCGCATGACGGTCTGCTGCCAAGGCTCAACGGTATCGGCGATATTCTGAAAGGAATCCCCGGCCTCGCTAGTGAACCAAGTCCCTCCTCTTGCGGCGGTGATCGCGTTTGGGATGCACTTGTACCTGGACAAGCCGGTTCTCCCACACCCAAAACTCTAATACCCATGACCCTATGCTGGGTTCTCTTCCGTCTCTCGTCTCACGTCTCACGTCATACTCGGGACATTCCAGAACAGCAGACGAACCCCGCCTGGCGAGAGCGAACGGAGATTCTCGAGCCTCGGGTTCCTATTAGGCTGCCGGTTGGGTGACTCAATTTCCACTTTGCACGCTACGGGGCGGACGTGGATCACCAAGAAAGGCAGTCGAAAGTTGATACCGTTGTAGGCGCTGCAACGGTAGACGAGAGTGGTCGACTGAACCCGCCTGCGCATAGCTGCAATGTAGCTCTACGGCCGAACTGCACTGGCCTGGCCTACCCCTCTCGGTTGACGTGTACGTGTGTGGCCTCTTGTCTTCCGTGAGAGAGAGAGGCTCGCCGTTGCGATAACCTCTTTCCACTGACGTCTGCCGTGTAACATGCCACGCACCGAAACGCCATTTTGATTGCAAATGCGGCGATGGTGGTTGCGTGTAGGATCCCGATCAGCAAACCCGCTGTGGGTTGTCTGGAGAAGAGAAGGGGTGGGCGAGAGAGAAGGGGGATCCTTAGGTAGTGGTGTATAGTTGTTCATCTTTGGTGCTCTTACCGACCAACCGACGCGTCGACACCCTGCCATGCACACAAGAATTGCTTCCGCCGTGAGACACCATCTCCAGTTGACGGCCCGGAGCTACGGCAAATGGAACGGCGAAAGGGACGAGCTGCAAGCTCAAGACAGAGATGGCGTTTCTGCGCATGGGCAGATCGTGATGTCGCGCCCACGTCAGCTGCCTTGCTGCTTACCACCCTCCCTTTCGCTGGCTGGCACGCCTTCAAAAACAGCTGTGCCTTGATATTTTACAACTTGGAAAGAGTCGTCAAAGCTTAGTGATCTTCCGCGAATCCTACCAGGCTTGGAGGCGAGTGCAGTCCTGACCTCATCAAAGGATCCCGCGGGAAACCTGATGTAGGGCCGCTGTCAAGGTCAGGAAGGCGGTCAAACGCATCGGTGAGCTGTCAGGTAACCACGAGCGGGAGGATTCCGTACTCTGGGTAGAGTGAGTTTTTAGGAAGAGAGAGCCGCAGGATCCGTCGTCGACAGTTACCGGGGTAGCTTATTGGCTTGCTATACGATGATTGATAGGAAGATTACTTGATTGGTTGATGAGCAGCCGTCGAAGCAGGGCTAGCAAGGAGACGAACAGCAGGAGGCATAATCTTACGCTCCGAGGATCTCAGCCCTATGCCATGTCCAGGCTGGGCATGCGGGAGTATTCCCTCATAGGTTCGGCGGGAGGGGTTTTTCGCCCTGCAGGGTCTTGGCGAAGCTCATTGCCATGCCGTTCGAGAATTGCGGCAGTTCAGGCCCCCAGCATGGGCAGAGATGAATGATGCTGGTCGTATCGAGTACTATCTCGGGCGTGGATACAAATACAATCCGCAAGACTCGTAATACGGCACTCAAGCCTTGTCTTCGAGACATCTTCTGGTTTCTTGCATGACTGTACTTTATTTCACGTACAGCGTTCGGCTTACCAGTAAAGCTGAGATTGCCATCCTTCAGAGTGAATTGTTGAGATGTTGAGAAGGCTGCAGACTCCTTTGAGATGGCAACGAGGCTTTGTCACGAGAGAGTTGACCGCAACATCCGGAGGTTCCACCTGGTGACTAGAATACCCAATTCTCACATCTATTCAGACACTTGGCTGACCGTTCATGCAGCCCAATAGCATGGCCTTGATCATCCTCAATGCGACCCTCTCTCAGGGATAACTCCGAGACCTGTTTCCCATCAAGCCAGTGGGAAATAATGGGTCTCAACGCTTGCTCCAAGAGCTACAGAGAGTTTGTTTCCGCGACGCACTTCTGAGGGCATCTTTGAGTGCTGAACATGGAATTCTCCGGTATCGATACCCCAACATGCCAAGCTCAGAGGTCATCGACTCGGAGCAATAGTGACGAGCCGCTCGGCTCACTGCCGTGTGCTGAGTTGCTCAGCTACATAGACCCAATGCTGTTGTACCAAGGACTGGTGACTTCCGAGCGCGTCTGCTCTTGTGTCCGGACAGACTTCAGAGATCCTCAATAAGTCATGAGGGTCGGTCCAGCACTTGCGGCGCTGCGCAACCCCTTCTTGGCGGTGAATCGTTCGCCATCAGTGTCCCGAAGCTGTGAAACGGCGTAGGCGGCTGCGCTCCAGCATAGATGACGCCAACAGCCTGACTTGGTCACTTGCTGGTAGCTTTCTCGGGCCAGTCGCCCCTCGCTGAACGGGACTGGACTCTGAATCGGGAATGACAAAAAACCATGCATAGTGTAGTGATGAGCGGCCTCCGTTTTGCTGCACTCGGGAGCGACTTTGGAAACCCAAAGATTGTAGTTGAGACGATGGCGCCAGGTCCGCGGCTATCATTTTCATTGCTGGCGCGCCTCTTGGCCAACAAGTGGCGCTTCAGGTTCCCGTAACCCAGCTTGTTTGGCTCCTCGGCGGTCAGAACGCAAGAGTATGCGACGCATCTCCCGTCCTGCACTTTGCGCGCTTGTTGGAACAAAGATATTTTCTCAGCTCAAGATACCGCAGACGCGCCATCTCGCCCAATCAGAAAGCTTCAATGTAGATCGCAGGATTTTGGCCACGGACACGGGGAGTATTCCACGACACATTCTGAAGTGTGGCAGCGGGGGCACTGGGACGCCATGTAGAGAAAGCTACGATCGGGTTTGCTTTCTGTCGTCAACTTTTCCAGCACCAATCAGATTATCAGTATCGTGAGCACCGTCGGCGGTTACGGGCCCAGAGAGTTGGGCCGACGATCGATGGGTAAAAGTTGGAGGGCTGGCAATCGACTCACTGGAGCCACGTAGGCGATCTCCAGGCCTGCAAATCCGTCATGGACGAGCATGCCAAAGAGGCTGCGACTATTGCGTTACTGAATTCTAAGCGCTCGCCGAGAAAGAGGGCTTGCAGAATGCAGCATGCAGGCGGTCGTCTGCGGGCAAGCTTAAGCGATGGTCCATAGGCTTGGATCCCATTTCGTCTCTCAGGATTCTTCCCCGCATAGGTGGGCGTGAACACTCTGCAGAGCCCGTTTCACGCGGGATTTCCCTGCCGCAGCCAAGTCGATTGATGAGGAGGCACACATGGCCATAGGTCGACATAGTCTGTGACTTGGAGATTTCGGCGTGGTCTAGCGCGGCCAAAACTAGCCGAGTATTCGTACACAGAGGAACGTGAGGAGAGGGCATTTGATACGGACAATGGCGATACCATTCATTGGGCTTAACAGCACCATCCTCTGACGAATCGCGGCAGCGGGCTAGAAGACCCCTCCCTTGAGAGCTGGCTCGCAATCGCATGATGGGACGAACTTTGGGGCAAGGCAAGGATCGGTTTGCATCGCTAATGACACAGCCTTGGGCGGCCAAGTCGGCAGCGGGTGGCTCTCAAGACCATGCCATGCCGTTTCTGTGCCATGATTTTCGCGTCCCTGCCCAAATCCCTCTATTCCCGCAAAGCCGGGAACGCCATATTCGCGCCGCGGGGTTCGTCTCCTGTCAGCAACGTGGGAAAGGATTGCGAATGAAATGAGGGTTTGGGATTGAATGGCTGATGTGGCTTGCGACTCGTGCAGGAAGAGCCACAAATTCTTTCATCGCGCAATTTGCGTCAGGGCAGACGCGTCTGTGGCATTGCAAGGCCCGTATTTTTCCAAAGCAATTTAACTCAAGGCGCGCCGGGAGGGGCACTACAGCCGCGAACGCTAAGTTGGCACGTTGGCCGTCGTGTCTCGTCCAGAACGGGCTGAACGGCTATCTACTAAGGCCTATAGGGCTTGAGCCCAAGTTGTCGCCACCTTGCACCTCTCACTTCTTCCTGTATGTCAGTCTGAAAGAAGGCCACCTCTGAGTATCGGTATGTGATGCGATGGTAGTCGGGCTGGACGCAGGCGGACAAGTTCGAAATGTCTAAAGTTTGACAACGGGCAATTGAGACGAAAATGCTCTGGCGACAGGCTTGCCCTCGGGAGGGTCCTTGCTGACAGTCACTGCCCCGAAGTGGACATACCTATCCCGTCGAGATCCGTCAAGAATGCCACCTTGTGGTACTTTCAGGAGGTTTGATGCCCACATCCTAGCGGGCGCACAGAACCGACAACGCCATTGGGACTTGGGAGTATTCCTTTGCGTGTGTGTCTCAGGTTCCTTGCCCCTTGCTGGAAACCTTGTAAGGCGTGGCCTCCCCTGGCATATTCGTACATGGCCCAAAGCAGATGGGGACCAAGAGGCGGTGCGAGAGAAAAGTCTCCGCGAGAACCTGGGGTGACCGGACGCAGTAGCAGGCAGGTTCGTATCCATCCAGTTCGTGGGTCCATCCCATATGGGGCCCATCGTAGCCATTGTCCGCCTCCTTGTCCGTTATTGTAGCCTTGGTCCGGGCGGTCCACGGAGAGTGAGGGCTCAAAACGGCTTTCGAGGCACACTTGGGTGCGCCAGCGTGTTCCGCCTTGAGTGATTGATGAGGCAGCACGCTTGTCATCCCAGCCTCAGTGGACACCAGCTGGCTTCAGCATAGTTGTAAAGGGATGCTTCGCCTGTAGGACATCTTCATGTTGATTGGGAAAAGCTTGAGCGCGAAGCTTCCCACCATGTTTGAGCTGAAGGAAAAGTCGCGGTGCAAAATAACCAGTCCCGCAGGTGGGGGGGAGTGGGAGAGAGACACTTGTGTCACTGCCTAGGTATAGGCTGCCTGGTGGCAACGAGTTATTCTGAGAGGCGACTGGTTGCGTGATGGCGGGGTACCTCGGCAGGTGGAGCCATGTAGCCAACGAAAGGCGGACGGGTGCCACTACGCTATGTACCGTGTTATCGGAGGGGGTGAAACAGGCTTCCCTAAGCTTTTTGATGGGAAACAGGCCAACAGACAATGAGTTGGGGAGATGCTGGAAGCGAGACACGAAAACAGCTGATGTCGCTTGCCTCGAATATCGCCCATTCGCAGGAGCATAAGAGCGGACGGCATCAGACTTTATGCTACCTTGCTTGAAGGAAACGAGCGGGAGGGCCGGAGAGCCAAAAACAATGAAGAGAGACGCGCAATGGGGTAGTGGGTATTCGTTTCTGGTTCAACCGCGGGTAGGCAGATTGCGGTGCATAAGATTGACCTCTTTTTGCGATTGCAAAGAAATGATGAACTCCCGTTGAGTCTTTGGCAATCAAGTTGAGAAACCTTGGCGGGGAGATGCGGCAACAGTGGAAAGTATCGTGTGGTGGACGGGAGAACCCCTGGACTGGAGGAGGTCCAAGCAGTCAAAGCTTGCCATGGGGATGGAGGTGCCGCCGCCGTGTTGTTGGTGCCAATCTACTGTCGTCCAGTGTGCGGTGAAGCGTTCTTTCTACCGATGTCATTCGTTCTTGAGCGATCGTCCGTAATGTCGCGGCATGATCGATGTGGTCGAAGCTGCGTCCTTGAAAGAAAGCATCCCGGCATCCGACCTGCGACCAGGATATTTTTGACTGTCGAAGTAGATGGCATACATAGTACAGCCGCCATTGTGTTTTCGAGGGCGAAGTGCAAAGATTCAGGGTAAACATCCCAGTTCAAGATGAGAAGAAGCGTGACAGGGCCCGATCGGGCGCGGCTGCCGTTACGGCTTACCAAGGCTCGCAGTAGCGGGCAGCCCTTGGATAAAGATCACCAAAGTATTGTTCTGCGGATAGTGTTGCGGGACAAGGGGCTATCTTAGCAGTGTTTGGACGGCTGCCGATACCGTTGCTGATTGACGAGACCGCGTTTTCCGGTAGGCGTCAGGGGGAAGGGGTTCGGCTCCGTGTTGATCAGCACTGAAATAGAAAACGGCAACAGGTCGGGGTCCTCGCATGGGATCTGATCAGTGGTGAACGCTTGGCTGGCCGGATTGGCTGGCTCTCCATCGAAGCTGGACCGGGACGTTATGCTATGGCGAGAAGGTTCCATAACACCGGTATCGTAATTTTGGCCGGAAGTGGTCATGGAAGCATGTTCGATGTAGCGGTGCGAGCGGGAACGAGAACGAGAGCTAGATCCAATAGACGGGGAGACCAGCGATCTGGGCTCCAGTGAGAGTTTAGCCCCTGAAAACAACAGCCAGAACTTGGAGCAATGGTGGGTGGTAGATGGGAGACTGGGTGCTGTGCATTGACGTGCGGTGGTACCAGAGGCAGCTTTTGGAGGCAGAAGATGGTACTTTAGGACACGTCAAGTTGCCAGTTGTGGGCAGCAGCAGTGTCACGATGAGACTGTTGTTGATCCAGTGATGGGGCCGAGGGGGTTGATGCTTGCTCGTGCTCGTGCTCTAGTTGGAACAGGCGTCGGGAGGAAGAGCCATTGCTCTACGTGTATGGCATGCGGATGGCGAGAGCTAGAGCCAGAGCCAGAGCCAGAGCCAGAGCCGGAGCCACAGCCCCAGCCCCAGCCCAAAGCAAGGCGATATTTTGTCGCAAGGGAAAGGGGAAAGAGATTCCCATCAGACGGAGTGGAATGCCAGAGGCGGTTGATGTCTTGGATGGAAGTCTGGGATGCTGGGCGGGTGAGGGTCTCCGTGATGGCGCGGGAGTCCGAGCGAGTGCCGGGGCGGAGGGCCGTGGAATGATGGTGCTCAGGGGATTGGTGCTGCTAGCCCCTACCTACCTTCTGGGTTTTGGTAATGGATGGTAGTGGTGGTGTGGTGTGGATGGTGGTGGTGGTGGTGGTATCCGTACAGAACTGTGTGTTTGATTCGTTGCAGGCCATGATGGACGGATGCACTGCTGCATGAGTTGTGCACACATCCTTGGGTCAGAATCTGGAACCAGCTGCAACGGCATCTGCAGGGCGGAGAGGTGAACAAAGAGCAAGCAACAAAACCCCCGGCCCCCTCAGGCAGGAGGCGGCAGTGACAGAATCCAGTGATGTGCAGCATGCAGCAGCCAGAATCGTAAGGCCAGTAGTAATTCTCTGATGTACTCCGTAGGGTAGTTAGAGCTGGCAGAGGTGTCGAGGAGGTGTCGAGGAGCAGTCGAGGAGTGAGGGAGGAGAGACCGAGAGGTACAAAGGACTTGCCCAAGGCGGCAGGCACATCATTGCAGATGGAGCGGCGAGTTAGCCTTTGACCTCGAGTCACGGCTTCTGGCCTGACCAGAGCTACGCGGTGATTGGCCAGGGAGGCTGTAAGTCATCACATCAACTAGCCGGATTGGGGTAAAAGTCAAGTACTCTGTATCGTCTCTACGTACCTAGGTAGGCGTGAGTCGACGCAGGAGCAGTGGGAGAACAAGAGCACTTGACCTGCCCACCTGAGAGGTGGTCCCTCGCGATACTCATTTGTCGATGCTGAGTATCCCGTCCTTTGTCTCGAGGGAGTCGAGGCAAGCCAAGTCGGGTGGTCCGACTGACGTACACGGGGTGACCGGTACGAACACACCGGGCAAGGCGTTCGGCAGACAGGTCGTGCCGGATATGACCTGCGCGGGTATATGAGGCATTGGGGTTTGCTCTTTTAGTTGCGGATAGGTAATTACCACCTGATAGAGTGTCCGTAAAGAAAGCGAAATCCTGAATAAAAGCGAGGGAGAAATGGGATCGCTGCTCGGCTGCCGTCAGTAACTATCCCTGGCCGTGCCTTGTCGCCGAGTCGCATTCCTCGAAAGCCACGACACCAGTGACCAGACAGTGACCACAGCTGGACCCATCATGCCGCCGCCGCATTGCCGAAGCGGTCTTGATCGATGGTGATACGGATACTGTGGCACTGGTAAAATTCGTGCAGTCTATTTAGTTTTTTCGCCTCAACTTTCTGGTACTATGTATTTGCTGGCAGGTGCCTTCCTTGTATCCTTCATCCTGCAGGCTGTGGTGGATAGATGAAAGTGGAGTCTGTCCATAATGGAACGTCCAGATGCAGATACAGCAGACTTCTCTATCCTTTCTAGTGCATCTTCATAAATGAAGAAAAAAAGTCAAAGGTGCGGTACGGGAAGGCACTTCAGGCAAGGCACAGAGGTACATCTGGATCTGGCGTGAATGGCGAGGAGGACCCATTTCCACGACCCTTGTCACGAGTTCCCGATCGTCCCATTGGTCCCATTGGTTCTATCTTGTCGCCGGTCCTCGTGCCCATCCTCTATGATTGGTCAGGCTCTCGCCTCGAGTTGGCAAAGTTGGGTGTGGAACAGGACCTGGGCCTTGGTTGTCTGGCGGCCTGGCCTTGTCCCATCTCCACCTCTTTTTGGGCTCCCCTGGATGGTGCTGCGTGCACCTGCTTGGTGCTGCCAGCCTGCCCTTTCACACCCCTGTCCACCCTGGATCCCCTGTCCTGGCCCCGTCCTGGTTCCCTCCCCCCCTCTCTCTCTCCTCTACAGTCCACCTCCTACCCACCCCCGTCTCCTGCCCATCCGTTCCCTTGTGAGTGTCTCCTGCTTGACTGGACTAGGTACTCTGTAAGGTAGACTCTCAAACTGGTAACAGCGACTGGCAGGGCTGCAACTGCAACTGCTCCTGCTTTGCTCTGCTCCTGCTTCTTCTCTTGCTGGGTGCCTGGGTGCTGCCGCTGCCGCCGCCGCCCACACCACTACACCACTAGCCCACCCCCCTGCCCTTTCCTGCCTGTGCTTCGTCCACTCCTTCCCTCCCACGGCGCCGCGGCGCCCACACACACACATCCCCATCTCCATATCTTGCCGTCCACTCGCTGCCCGTGTCCATTCTTTACTTCTACTATTGCTCTCTTCCTCTCTTTAGCTCACCGCCCTTCTTTTTTTCCCTCCTTCAACCCTTCTCTCCCCCTCCTCTTTCTCCCCCGCCGCTCTGGTCTGCGATTTGTTCGTTATCGTCGTCTTTTGGAAGGAAAGGAAAAATTCAAAGAAAAGAAAAAACCCAAAAAAAAAACTCCACAAAGCCCAAAAGCTCTCGCATTCTCTTGAGATCCGTCTCGCATCAGTTTTTTCGACCAACCACACAAATTCTTCAGGGGTTCTTGAAGGCCTGTTCACCAAGCACTCCGCAATTTCGCGCAACACCATACGCACAATTCTCCCATCCTCCGAAAGGGACGAAATACAAAGGAAGTAAAAGGAATCCGGACCACTCTCCAGCAATCGCATTGTGCATTTTGCATCTTGATCATCAACACCCACCAACCCCAATCCGAAAACACTTTTTAATCGACTGTATTCTACTTCGACTTCGTCCATCCGTTTCTTCTTCGCAACAAATACATCAGAGAAAAAATTCCACTTCTTAATCTTCAGCGCCGCTGCGTCTCATCCTGCGAAGCAAAGCAACGCAAATCTCTCGGGGACACCAGGTTCGCAGCTGCTCAGAACTCTGCGTTTTTTGAGGAAGCCACAAGTTTCCTGACTTTCTCTCGCCGACTTTGGAGCGACAATCTCCACGCTTGCGCCTTCGACCTCGGTCCAACAAAGAATTGATTCTTTGTGGTCCGCCGTTCTTGCCGTGACCAAAACCGCTTCGTACCCAGGGTCCCCAGGCACCCCAGCGCTGTCTACACCTTTCACCGACATCACGCTGTCGCCCACTCTTTCACCATTACAATCATTTTTTGTTCTTCCCTGAGCTCGACGCCCGGTTACGCGACCATCTAATCTCACCCAACACTCGCGCCGTCACCTCGATACCATCCAAAACAGCGCCAATTTTGGATTTCGACTTCTTGGCACCTTCCTCCACCCGCCTCCGTCGATAAACTCTCGCCGTAACTCCTGGGCTAGCTCCGGATTTCGCTTCGGATCGTTCGGATACACCACTGTCACCAACGACAGGACTGCCAACCGAGTACCATAATATCTCTCTTGACACCCTGCGCATTCTACCTAGGCTATCCTTCTTGTAATTCGACCCGGCAGCCCCAGCCGTTTGCAAGGCTTCCATACGTTCTTTCGCTTTTTCCCCCGTCCCGATTACTGGGACACTCCGGCAACTCCGGCAACTCATTTCCGTGACCGACATCGATTCCCGTCTGAGCAATGGACGCAGGCGGTCTCTCTCAAATGAATTCAACCCATCTTTCCACGGGCAACAGCCTCGGCATGCCTGGCGGAGGTCTCGCCTCTCGCCGAGGTGGCCCCGTAAAGCCTCTCTCGCTGTCTAGCGCCACTCCCGGTAGCAACGCGGCTGACAACGGAGCGCCCACCCCGCGTACCAGCCGCTCGCATCTGCTGGCGGGTCTCAGAACTGCACCGAAGTCGGCTACCGCTGCCAACTTCTCTGGTACCAACAGCGCTGCGTCGCCCACGTCTCAGTCTTTTGCTGCTAGGAGCAACAACCTGAGCTCCAACATGTATGCTCAAGCTCAGACCGGTCAATACAACGGTCCTAAGACAGCGCTTCCTCGGTACGCTGGTCAGCAGCAGCAGACATACCAGTCTGTTCCCTCCAGCCAACACTACAGTGCCGAGCAGGTTCTTGCTCCTCCCGAAATCCACTTTGATGAGCAGGAACAGATGGACCCGAACTTGTACGCCCAGCTGGTTGCTACCAACATGTACCTCGCACAGCAGCAGCAGCGCCTTCAGCAACAGCTGCTCAGTGTTCAGGCTGCCGCTCAGCAGTTTCAGGGCCTGAACCTACAAGGTGCTCAGCAACAGATCCAACAGCAGCAGCTCGCGATGTATCAGCAGCAACAGCAGCTTCAGAGCATTCAGCAGTCGATGATGGGACAGATGGCCCAGCAGCAGCAGCCACAGCAACAGGTCTACACGTACTATGACCCAGTCACCCGTCAACAAGGCTACTATATTGATCAGGGTCAAACCGACCAGCAAGCTCAGCTGGCTCAGATCTACGCTGCCTTGGCTCAACAGCAGCAGCAGCAACAGCAGCAGCAGCAAGCCCCTCGCGTCCAGGTGTCTCCCCCTCCCGAGAACCACGCAACTCCGTATCGCACTACGACCCCTCCCAAGCGCTATGAGTCGCCATCTGAGGTTGCTCCTCTACCTCCTCCGTCAGCCAATGCCTTCCGCCGTGGCCATAAGAAGGTCATGTCGCTCGCTCTGACTGGTAACAACCAGGCGAGCCTATCGCCTTCTCAGGAGCCTCCCAAGTCTGCTGGCCCCAAGACAGCCTCTTTCCCGCTGACTCCCTTGTCCGGAGGTTATGGGCCCGGTCAGGGACGCGCCGGCGAGCACCCCATCCGTCAGCCTCGCGGACCCCCGTCCATTGAGGAGCTCAAGGCCAAGCCCGTCGCAAAGATGGAGGGCAGCAAGAACTTTGCCACCCGCGCCCGCCGATCGGCCGTTCACAACCTCGTCCGTGCTGGACGTGAGCGCAGAAAGGGCCCTGGCAGTTCAAACGGTAGCATGAGCCCGGTCTCCGAGAGTGCCGAGGAGGAGTCAGGTACCCCCATTACCGACAACGAGTCCGACTCTGGTCGCAGTGGATCTGGCAGCCTTGCAGGCGATATCGACTGCTCCCTGCCCAGCTCAAGAACTTCCACCAATGGCAGCTGGGGAGCTATCGGCTCTGACCGCCCAAGCTCTCGTCAAAGAACTCGCAATAGCGTCGATAGCATTGGCAGCAATGAGAGCGGTGAGAACAGCTTCGCCAGCGTGTTCAAGAACTCAGCTCAACGCGCCGGTGTCGAGGTAACGGACGGACAGCGCAAGGCGCCCATGCTGGTTCTAACCAGCGCCGAGAAGCGAAAGAGCGGCATTTTGGCGTAGACTTGTGGGTCCCCGGACGTTACGACGACTATGCACACCAATGTCTTTCCTTTTTGACGACCTGCACGAGGGGAGGGTTGATCCTGAACCCCTTGCACTGCAGGATTGAACGATGGGTTGGATGGACCGGCGCGCTCTAACGAATCATTTGGGTGTTCTTTACAAGGGGTTAGGCGGCTCATTTCACGTTTCAGCATTCGAGGCTTGCTTTACTCGCAAATTCATTTTCACTTCTACTACATTCTTAACCAAGTTATCGGGTTATCGACAGCCTCTCACTACTGATACTCCTCGCATGACTCTGGACGAGCAACACCTCACAAGCTATCACAGTCTTGAGCTGGACGGACGGAGAGAAAGTTATACCATTGGGGCAGGGGATTAGGGAAAGATTTGGACCAAGCTTGGGGTTTCTTTCTTATTAAGTGGACGAGGAACCTTTGTTCTGCGCGACGGTACTCGAAACAATTTCCTGAGATGGAATGGGACGAGCCCGAACGACGTGAGATACTTGCTTTTCAGGTTCTCTTCATGGTCCTCGTGGAAATTCTTTACAGATAAGATAAACACACACAAGATCGCAGTCGTTGCGTCGGAGCTGACCGGAAAGTCAGCCCGATGTTGATGGCGGCTGACAGGCCAGGAATGTAGTTAGCATAGGATTTGACACAATACAGATTGATGTCCAATTTATGTTCCCACATGTTGGCGAAGTTGAATGTAACCTGTGAGATTCAATCAGGCCTATGCTTTGTTATTCCCTTTGAACGATCCCGCAATCTTATGAAACATCTTCTTTCTGTCCGTCTCAACATGCGCAAAATTCTTGGCCGGCCCGACTATGATTTCATCCTGCTCCCCATTTTCGAGCGCAGCCCAGGTCTCGTTGGTGAACTCATCCAGAGGCATGCCAAAGTTGGCCTGGCCCGCCGCGACGAGGTCAGGCTGCAGGGAGTGCAGTTCTGTCTGCACCGCGGGCGGGACGACCTCGATGACGCGGATGTGGGAGGACGCCGCGCTCGACTGCAGCTGGACGCGGAGGGACCAGGCGAGGGAGTGGAGGGCGGACTTTGTGGCGCAGTAATTTGGGCAGCGGGGGATTGGGACGAGGGCGAGGCCGGAGGAGACGAGAATTATGGATGCCACTGCGGAGCTCTCGGTGGTGGTGGTGGTGAGAGATTGGAGGTGCGGGAGGAAGTGGGTGATGAGGTGAATCGGGGCGAGGTAGTTGGTTGTGAGTTCTGCGGAGACGGAGGGGAGGGAGATGGTGGAGGGGTCGGTGAAGTCTATGCTGCGTTGGATGCCTGCGTTGAGGACTATTGTGTCCAGGGTTGGGTGGGTTGATGTTATTCTAACGGGGTTGTTAGTTGAGTGATGGTTTAGAGGGAGGATAGGGGGGTTAGGTAGGCCATGGTCTATTCCGGTCTTCTGGCTTGGGGAAGGGACATGACACGGCCGTACCGTGCTGCTACGATAGGGAAGATTCAAGACTCACTTCTGGACCCACGCCGGCAGGGCATCGAGGTCGGCGATGTCGAACGGCTCGGCGACGACTTTGTCAGCGCCGTGGGCGGAGACGAGGGCGTCGAGGCGGTCTTTACGGCGGCCGACGGCGATGACAAAGGTGCCGTTTGCGATGAGGCGTTCGGCGAGGGCGAGGCCTATGCCCGAGGTTGCACCTGTGATGAGGGCAGTTCTGGAGGGGAAGGGCATTGTGATGGTGGTGGTGGTGGTATTGGTGGTTGTGCTGATGATGGCAAGTGGCTTCCGGTTGGTTTTGGGGCTAAGCAGTTGGATATGAGGTCGTTGATGAGCTGCTAGATTTGTTTTGCCCCCGAGACGCAGTGAAAGAGACTCCGTTTCAATCTTGAGGGTGCGAAGAAGATGTAGTATCAGTCGAAAGAGCTGTGGATGGTTTCTAGGAGCTTGGTGTGTCTAGAGTTTCTCTAGAGCCGATGGGTTTTTGGGGATGAGTGTGAGGTGTGAGGCTCATTGTGATGTTGCCCCGCTTCTACGATCGCGGGGTTGGCGGGGCGGTGGCGGGGCCGGAGTAAATGAGCGAGACCCGCTTTCTTGTAGCAATAACGCGGGACGATGTCACGTCGGGATTGAAGATTCGTGGAGGCAGCGGGGAGCGGGGGTTGAGGTGTCGGAGATCGGGCGATAGGGGGTCTTGCTTTCGTCTGATGTTGTTGTGAAGACAGATTTGTGTCTACCGGACGGTTACTTACCGGAACCGACTAGGTTGAACAATATACAAGAGGGAAGGTTTTAAACAGCACTCGCAAGAAATGCTTTCTACTATCCAGTTGATCCCCGAGTATTCATATTTAAATACACCCGTGACGGTGGAGAGAGCGAACGGGAAGCAATGTAAGGCTGAGGGAAGAGCGCAGAGCTGAGCAATACTGTCTCTCTACCCCCTCTTAAGTCCTGGTATCTCATAATCTGTCCCTCTTTCTACCGGTTGGACTCCCCCTCGAGGGTCCGATCCTCTCCAATCCAAGGGGTGTAATACTAGAGGAGATGGCTACATTAGCAACTTCTAACATCGATTACTTTTACAAATAATATTAGGATCCTACGATGTCACTGAGAACGTGAAGGAGGATACTGAGGGGACAATAAGAAGGGGAAGTTGGGCAGCGAAATCGTATGGAGTATAGTCTCCAAGGTCCAGATATTAGAGCGGCTATTGGATTGATTCGAAAGTGAGCCATTCCAATAATTGTGATCCTATTGAAAAAGCACAAACCATGCGGATCATCGTGGACGGATGTCTTGCATCTTATCGTCGGTACCTTTGGGGACAGGAGCCGGCACGGAAGTGGAGAGCAAGAACTTGGTATTGTGGTGTCCGTGACCCAGGCCCGCCGCAAGGCTGCTCCTCTCCCGCTCGATGCAAGCGACGATGAACTTTTGCGGGAGGAGTTCCCGCCGTCTGTTGAAGCTGGTAGCCAGGATCCTAGCCCGCCTCTTCAACGTAGGCGGCGCTGAAGACGGACCACAGCCGCTCGGCATTCTCGTCGTCTTCAACCAGCGGGAGCGGGTGGTACGGGCCATTCTTGGAAAAACCCGTGATGAGGGAGTCCACCAGGTCGTCTGAAGATTGCCTCGCCTCTTACATGTCGCAGAGGTTGAAGTCAAGAAGCCACATCTGAAGAGAACATTTCGGCGATTCGCGCGCCGAGAGCATCCCGTCAATGTCAGTGGCGGGGTTCATGTTGCTCAGCTCCTCCAGCGTGGGTCGCAGGCTGTGTCTCCCGCGTGCTGGATGTACTTAACCATCTGCCTGATGCCGCCGAGGGCGAACTCGAAGTCGTAGCCGTCGATGTTATAGTCCTAGTGGATGGGCGCGAGGGTCCTGGCCATCTACTCGGCGTAGTCCTCTACCGGCATTCCCAATTCGAGCATCTGATCCAGCGAGAGGTTGTAGTTCCGCAGCGAGAATTTCCGAGGCGGCGGCGTGTTGGAGGCTCGTCGTCGTCCGAGGTAGATCCGGGCCACGGCATCCTTGTTTCTCGAGACGTCTCTTGTTGTCTCGCGCGTGTTTTAGGGGAAGAAGGTGTCGATGAGGAGGACCCGTAGTGTTTCTGGGAGTGTGGGGATGCGTTCGGTTATGATCGCCCCGGAGGGGATGTCGAAGGACTCGTGGGTCTCGTTGGCGGAGATGTGCTCGTTGATATCCCACCACGAAGACTGCTTTGGAGCGTAAGGGAAGAATTTAGGGATCAGGCAGTTATGCTTACCTTGGGGAGCAGTCTTGGGGTATCTGAGGCGAGGTTGTTTTCCCGAGGGCGTCGTAGACTCGGAGGGGAGCTTGGAAGCCTGTCCACAAGGAATCTTGGTAGGGCTTCCTGGCGACTTTGATGGCATGATCAAAACCAAACCAGTTGTATATTTTGCGGCATTGACCAAATTCTATCTCTTGGTAATCATCAGGCAGTTTCATGTCATTCACATTATTTTCCATTGTCGAGTGTGTCGATGGAGATTCTACTAGCCCACACGTCTTGCTGAAATCCCTGACGGCCGCAAAGATTTATTTTTTGAGAATCAAAAAACCACAGAGCGTTTCGATGATGATCAATAGGTATTTCAATTCATATCTGGAGGTATGTGTCAGGCCGGTAATGATCGAAGCCTGAATAGGCATCATCGGGGGGCCCGTAACCTTGGTACCACAAGGTGTCCGAACTGCAAATTCCAACTTCTGGAAACTAAATCTTGTCACTTTCAAAGCCATGAGTAATTCTTAAGGCTTTACTGGGTCATTAAATCCCTTTACTGAGCCATGGTTCATCGTCTCCTTTCAAAAATATCAAGTCGTAACTAACATCTAGTTTCCGGCCCTATCTCTGTACCAAACGTCGTCATCGTAATAATATTACGAACGATGATATAGGCCTAGTACCACCTGCCTCAACTTAGACTTGATGCGATCGTACGTGGTATCGCTTAGCTCTTGTTGCGCAACTTCAATGCACATGAGCGTGTTCTGGCGTTGCATCTTGAAGACTTCAATGGCTTCTTTCGCAGCATGCAATTCTTTGCTGAGACGTTCGTTCTCTCTAGAAAGAATCATCATCTCCTTCTCCTTGAGTCGGACAGATTTCTGGGACCGCTCCATGCAGGCGTCCAATTCCTTTGGTTGTGGTCAGTCAGTGGGATTTCCCAGAAGAGGAGAGTATTCAACATGCCGCTTGAAGATTTTGAATCTTGATATCCCTTTCCAGAATGGGTCCTGCCCAGGACTGTTTTATCCAAAGTTCTTGATCGGATTTTGAGGGATGCCAGGGCGTGGACGACCTTGGGTATGCGCGATACGAGCTCGCCATGACCTGGTCTTGTTCAGAACTTGGCGACTGCCCCAACTGGCCTGACATTGTGCCGTCTTGTTTGGACGCGTTGAAGATTTGATACGAGGTATTACTATTCAAATTACTGTGCATCCGAGGAAAGCTATTTGATGAGACCGATTGAAGTTTTAGAAATGAGGTGTGATTGACAGTGTTCTATCAGCATTGAGTTGTAGATGATGTTCTATAAAGTAGTCTATATATATATATATATATCTATATGTACCCAGCGACATGCTGCGCCCTACCAACTTACTTGGGAAAAAGACTTGCCTAGAAGCTTCACCAGACCTTTGACTTTAAGTAGTTTCCCAGGTTCTAAAAAAGTCGACTGCTTCCACAGCCTCTACAAGTTTGCAACTTTAATGCGGCCATAGATATCATACGTATTCTGAATAAATCTCAGAAGATTATGGACTTTGGGGACTCACATGAAAACCTTTCCGCAGTTTCATATGTGAGATTACGATTGTCCATCTCATTACGGTTCTTCTTAATCTAGGAAACACACTTGCCTTCCTTCTCGTCTTTTTCATACTTGTTCGGTAGAGCAGGCAGGCACAAGACAATTGAAAACGCAGGGCAGTTACAAAAGAGATAGTAATTGAAATGCGTGAGAAATCTGCAAGTACCATTGCTTATATGTCATCGTTTCTTCGTCACTCTTTGATGTTCTTTATGTTGATGACCGCTAGATTCACCTATCGTTGAGGTTCACCCAATGTTGTGACATCTGATCCCCCCTACTAGAATGAATCAGACTGAAAGAATTTAAAATAGAACCTTGATAAACCATACCGATTGATGTGGTCATATCTCATATTTCATATACAGAAGCAGGGTGTTGTGCCACAGAACCAGTTTGACTTCTGAGGCAAGCCTGCCCAGCCTTAGCCACAAAGTGGCTGACGGGGGCTCAGTGTCATCTGAACTCTGACACCAGTCATTTGCCACAAGAAAGGATAGCTTCGTTCTTCACTCGTCTCTGAGAAATACACACACACACACACACACACACAGAAACTCTGGTGCATTTCGTTTAGTACCAGCTCAGAGTCATCCATCGTCTGAGGAGAGTTCTGTCGCTAGAGGGTACATGTAAGAGTCTGGAACAATTCCACACACGCACGTGCCCACTACTGTAGACCTGCCCAGACGCGCCGGCCAGGGGCAACTCGGCGCCGTTTGTCGCCCTGAAACTCCTAGAGACTTTCAATTTCCCTTGCGCCCACCTCGAGCGACGCCTCGCCACGCCTCCATTTCCCCAAAGTCCATGCTCGATTGAGTATCGCCAAGATGGGAGATGGAGACGAGGCGCTCTTGGCTCTGCTCCGAGCGTCGCCCAGAAATAGAAACTCATCCAACATCCGTGACACCGTCGATATTCCCCGGCAATCTCTTGAACATTCCAGAATTTCGAACTGAGTGCCTTTCTCTGGCTGGTGTTCGCCGCCAAAATCCAGCCACGTGAGGGGGCCTGATTCGGCGTGCAGCAATACCTATGACGCCTGAGAGGATGAGGTTTATCGGAGATGATGACGGCATTTGCGCATATTGGATTACTCCCGTCAGTCAATTGGGTATTGCTCTTCTAAAAGCTGGAGTCGAGGACTCGAGGAATTCCCCAACGAAGCCTTGGGAGCAGTCAGGAATCATGTCTGTCGCTCACCATTACAGATCGACTCTTGCAGACTAACAATGGAAATTCGTGTGGCAGTAAGCGATTGAGCTCAAGAGTAAACACTTCTAGTAGCATGAGATTAAACTTCCTGATCATTGAGAGCTGTATACCTAGTTGATGTATGCTTACTTTTGAAGCAAAAGTATTTGAGCAAGGCAATTCATGGATCTGAATAATGCATGCTGTATTTTCAGACATGTGTTGCGAGGTGTTACTTATTAGGTAATATGTACCATGCTGGCATCGCAAAGTAGAAGACGAGACCTCCAATGCCAATACGTTAACAAAGGGAAATGCCAAGAGTTGAAATTTGCCCACTTTTGAAATAACACTCAGCTTCCCTATTCATCTATATATCCGCAAAGCAACATCCCACTTCCTTATGCAAGGTCCGTGCAGGATCCTGCAAGGCCGGACGTGACAAAAGCCGTCTGTCTCTCGGACTGCCCCCGCAGCCCTCAATAGCACAATTTGTAACTTTGGTGGATCGTTGCAAAGACTCTCACTTGAAGAGAAACGACTTTGAATAGTGTCATCAGACATTACATTTATTTTGAGTTGTTATGCGCTTCAAAAGATTCCCTCTTCTGCTGTGCCTTCGGAGGATTCCATCGCTTATTGTCCGGGACGGGCCGTCTGTGAAGTTGGGCAAATGCCGGGTGTAGGTGCTCTTACTAAGCAACACCAGAGACCATATCTTTGCAACCGCCCACTCAAAAGTTGACTTCATTTAACTCTGCAAGGCTCTGATCCATCCAGGTAGTCGCCTAGCCAGAAGAGCATCCTTCCCATCAAGCGAGCTGTCCGTAAGACGCCAAGAGATAGTAGGGTTGCAGCGGTTGAATAGGTAGGTCGGATGTGCCGGCCAACCTCCTAGAGGTGGAGAAAACTAGTGCCAAGACATTAAATAGAGTGCCAAGACACCAGATTTTCAACTATTCAACACAAGTCGTTTCCTCGCTTCCTTGCATGGGGACTCGTACTCGCACCTTGAAGTTTATACGGCCTACCTCCGGCCCTCTGGCCTTCCTAATACGCTCCGGTCTGTCATCAATCATGCTACCTTCCCGAAAAGAGGGCCGACCGAGGTGCCCCATAGCAAATAACTTAAGTCGCTTCGCCGTCCGGCGTTGTGCATCTCCGACGCGGGCCACCATGTTGCCGTTGGCCTTCCGAATCTGAAGATACAGCCGCTCCGAAGCCGATGATCTGCACCTGATTTAAGCATAATGCGGAACTAAAACAAGTGCGAAAGGCGTGATTTGTTGACCCAGTGCTGCGGCCAAGTGATCCTTCACTTCATCGATGAAATGACAAACAGGCCAACAACTCCCCAACCTGATCCTATCTTGTACTCCTTCCTATTTAGCTATATGTATACCATTGCATCGCAAGGTAGTCGATCGTCTCCAGAGGCACCTTGAAGGACTGACCCGGCTAACAGTACTGGCACATCGCGGGGTAGCTGTCTTCCGAAGTGCCTTTTGAGGAAGGCGGAGAAAGCCCTTGTGATATAACGGAAACCTGCAGTGACATGGCAGGGCTGATATCTTTTCAGGTGCCTCTTGAGGAAGGCCCTGTTGATACCATGGAAACCTGCCGTGACATGGCAGCGCGTATGTCGTCTGAAGTGCCTAGTGAGGAAGTTCCGCTGATCTCGTGGAAGCCTGCGGTACCATCGCGGGGCCGTCGTCTTCTGATGTGCCTTTTGAGGAAGGCCCAGCTGAAGTCAAGGAAACCTACGATAACATCACAGGCCGGATTCGAGGCGGATTGGGAAGGAGGAGTTCGGCAATAGCTGGGGCGATGTAGGACTATTGTTTTTGAATAGCAATACAAGACTGATGCTCGTCACGATCCTAGAGCTAAGACGAGTATATAAGTTTGCATCTTCTCATCCAGTCTAGAAGCTTTTTTGATCAGCACTCTAGAGTCATCTGACACTTCAGCAGCCTCCTGGACTCGTCTCACTTAGTATCCATCTGTTGTCTTCCTCCTCAGAACGCCAAACATGGAGCTCACCAAGTTCCTCGGTTTCCTCGCAATGGTCCTGCCCATCGCCTACGGTGCTCCCACCCAGGCCGCGACCAGCCTCCACCCCAAGATCCTGGCCGCCATGAAGCGCGACTTCGGTCTGGATGCCGAGGCGGCCACCAAGCGTGTCGCCTTTGAGCACCGCTCCACCGACGTCATTGAGCAGCTCCGCAACTCCGCCGGTGCCTCCTTCGCCGGTGCCTGGATCTCTGAGGACGGCACCACCCTCAACGTCGGTGTCACTGACGAGGCCCTGGCCACCGAGGTGACTAACGCCGGCGCCGCCCCTGTCATCCTGCCCAACCCCCTCTCCAAGCTCGAGGAGGCAAAGGCCGCTCTCGACAACCTGGATATCGAGGCCCCCGCCGCCGCCCGTGACGAGACCTCCGCCGCCTCCGGTATCGCCTCGTACTACGTCGACGTTGCCGCCAACAAGCTCGTCATCGAGTCCCTCGCCGGCAGCACCGCTCAGGCCGAGTCCCTCGCCACCCAGGTCGGCCTCGCCGCCGGTGAGTTCGAGGTCCGCACCGTCGAGTCGTTGCCCACCACCTTCGCTACCGTCCTCGGCGGTGACGCCTACCTCATCAACCGCTCCGCTCGGTGCTCCATCGGTTTCTCCGTCACCACTGGTTTCGTCTCCGCCGGTCACTGCGGTAGCTCCGGCGACAGCGTCACCACCAGCTCTGGTGCCTCTCTCGGAACCTTTTCCGGCTCCGTCTTCCCCGGCTCCGCCGACATGTCCTACGTCCGCACCGTCTCCGGAACCACCCTCCGTGGCTACATTGACGGATACGGCCGTGGCAACCTCCCCGTCTCCGGCTCCACCGCCTCCGCTGTCGGTGCCTCCATCTGCCGCTCCGGCTCCACCACCGGTGTCTACTGCGGCACCGTCGGCGCCCTCGGTGCTACCGTCAACTACTCCGAGGGACGTGTCACCGGCCTCACCCGCACCAGTGTCTGCGCCGAGCCCGGTGACTCTGGCGGTTCCTTCTACTCTGGCGCCCAGGCCCAAGGTGTCACCTCAGGAGGCTCCGGCGACTGCTCTCGCGGCGGTACCACCTACTTCCAGCCGGTCAATGAGATTCTGTCTACCTACGGCCTCACCCTGGTCCGCGCTTAAGCAGGCAATCATCGTGACCGTCGGTAGCAGCAATCTGAGCTGAACTTAAACTTCTGAGTACACTTGGGACTTCTGTATGTAGAGAGATGAGCATGAGTACATGAAAGGATGATGCCTTCCGTTGAGGAGAAAAAAAATATACTTACCATCTGCGAAAAAAATCTTCCTCCATGAAAGGCTCGCTGTTGTGATTTGTCTAATATAACCCTGAATGTACATGCATGTATTGGTGAAGTTCATTCGGCATGCCCCCGCATCCAGAGTTGAACGACCTCAGACCCCCACAGCCACATCCTAGTGGCTGGGTAGGTGTGGCTAGTCGTCTGTGTCCAAGGTTTGCCCAGGGAAGTCAAAGCTCCCCTTGACGATGCGATGAAGCGTACAGGCTGCAGGAGCATCACGTCCTTCAGATGCGTACTGCAAGAGGCAGGCAGGCAGACGAGACTCTTCGCCACCAGGTGGTCGGGAGTCATGATGACACTGCAGATGACCTGCTCACCTTCCCAGTCCTTGACAACGACAACTTATGTAACAGCACCGAGATCGACGCCTCTCTACACATCCGTGGCGACATGAACCAACCTCATTCCTTCGAATCCTAACGTCATGCGAGCGCTACACGTAGTGCAAGTGCTGTGCCAAACTCCTCGACGGCTCGCACGGCTCAGCGAGCGGGTATTTCATGCCGTGAACCAACGTCTTATTCATCCAAAACCTCGCTCAGGAGGAGAAAGTCAAGCCTATTGTGGATTGGATCGGCAGTGTTATCTACTTGAGTTTGAAGGTTGGAGGTTGGTATCCTCAACGGTTGAACTTGTCCGATCGAAGAGATCGAGAGACTGGATGTGTCGTTGCAGTCTTGTTCGTTTTGTTGGCTGAGCCACAGTTGATGAATCCGTGTTAGAGCCTTGGACGCTTTGCTTGATGCCTGTCTCACTGCGATACCTCGAGTCGATTGATAGGGGACATCATAACGATGGTCCTCATGCTGCAAACCTCGGAGCCACGGAGGAGATGTTGATAGTTTGATTGTTGACAGAATATTCATGAAATGGCAATGGAATTAGAAGTTTCCTCATGTACTGGGGACAGCCTCTTCTGTTTTGATCTCTGCGACGGGCAGTTGTTCACCAAGCACGTCCTCCAACGACAGCGAGAAAAGCCTGGTAAGAGTCTGGCATATCAAAAGTTTGACGGCAGAGAGACGCCAACGGCCGCGAGAATCACTGGAGTCGGGATACCAGATAGCCCATTCGGCTTACGAATTATCGACCGGTAGCTGAAACGGCCACGCATTGGATCGATATAGCACACCGGTCCTCTCGGCATCTTGGCTGTACCAGCGGACTGCGAGCCCCGAGAGTCATGCACCATCAGTCTTGGCTTTCGAAAATACCCATGAAGGAGCATCCAGCTTCGGGCCAAGAATGAAGTTGGACCAAGACGACCATTGGCATTCTATGGACGTGTTCGCGTCCCAGATGTCCTGTTCACCACATGCATCCACGGGTTATTGCTGAATTCCGAGACCGTCGTCTGCTTCTGCGTATGGCCATGCAGGAACTCGATTTTTCCTGGGATTTTCGCCGACACTAAGCTTGCAGTCGAGCTAAAAAAAAACCTCGAACACCCTAACAGTTGAGGGGGACTCGAACTTCGTCGGTGCGCCTTTACCTTCGCAGCCCCTCCTCCCACTCTCCAGCCTGCAACCCTCGGCGGGCGGCCACTCGGCCAAGGTTACCCCATCGCCAATCCGCTCGTAGAGTCTTACTTCTGCTCTCTGAAAAGAGCCATCGAAGAATACCGCGCAGTCCTGCCTCCAGATTTTGCTCCAACCCTGTGGATATCTCGGCATTCGGTGGCAGGGAGACTCTCGGCTCGGCTGGGAGGCCTTGGAGGTTGCCTTGACTCAATAGCCTGCCGCTGCCCCGAGGGTTCTTCAGACATATCTGATTAACGGTGCGATGAAAATGAGGTCCACCATGGATATCATCAGAAGAGTAGAGAGGATCAAGGCCCTGGCAGCAGATGCTTACTCTTCCCTTCGAGGGTCTCGCCTTCCCCTGGATGCACGGGCACCGCCGAACCGACGCCATTCAACGCCGACGTTCTCGGTCGATCTAGACCTGCTGCGAAAAATTTGTCTCGTGGAAGTTTGCCTACCAGCAACCTGTTCTTAGAGCTCAGCTGGATGTGAATAGAAGCTTCTTCTATAGCCGGCACCCGAGGCTTGCCCCGGACTCCGACAGCTCAAACTGGAAGCAACCCGGCTTTGTGCGCCATATCCCGTAATTCGGTATAGATCTGTGTGTCCTGACGGTTGAAATCTGATTTATAAAACGAGTAACAAGCAGCGTCTTGGCTTGTTTCGGTGCTAAAGAACTGTTATTAGCTTCTTCCTTAAAATGGTGGAGCTGGGAGACCCGATGCCATTCTGGGAGGGGCCTTCATCCAAACCAGGACACGGATCTCTGCCCGGCAGACCCACAAGATGGGGAAGGTTTATTGTCCGCAGAAGCTGGTGCTGGTCGAACCCGAACTCAGCGGACGGCTTCGTGGTCCTGTCAAGCTTGACGTCCGATGTGGACCCTGGGCATGGGTTGTTGCGGAGTGGGTAGACAGGGCCGTTCACAGTCGGTTCTTTTCCCTTCATCTTCAGTGCTACCGCTACATCTTCCGAATGCATTATCGTGGTGGTGACCATCTTCACGACCTCAAGTGAGGTGAGGCAGCTGGCATCCTCTATTGTTGCCCGGAGAAGATGGAGAGAATACGGGGCCATTTGCGATCCCATCATTTGTGTGAAGAGAACGCGTCATTGAGAGAGACATCCCACGTTGTTTCGGGGCTCTTTGGTTCAGATGGACCCTGGCCGCTGGTCTCAACGATCCACACTGCCGGTGTTACCAGGTTCATGTGCCTCGCCGAAGGGGGCATATCCGATAAGAGAGGGGGAGGCCGTGACAACATCGTCCGGAGTTTCCCTTGAGGCGACCGCATCATGTACCAGGCACTCTCTGCGCGGTGGAAAGGCACGGCATTGTCCTTCCGTCCCATGCATCTCCCCCACTACAAAGGCGAAAGACGAGAGAAGATGCGCAAGCTGCTTCGGAGAGGTCTGGGCATGTGGCGACGCGTTTGCCCGTCCAAGTCCCAGGTCCAGGTCTCGGTTCCCAGCAATCTGGAGAAGCCAGCGGAAGTTTCCTGGTTGTTGGAACATCAGGCCATGCCTAACGCAACCACGAAGCAAAAAAAAAAAACAAATCAAGATAAAATAAAAATAAAAATGGGTGGCGACTAGGACGCCTGTGGTCAAGATCCTGCTGTCTGAAGTTCAAGGTGTGACTGTTTGTGTGGTGCGTTCTTGGTGACACAGAGGCGCGTCTACGGACGCTTCTTCTTCTCACGCTCGCCACCACGCCGCGCCGTATGAACGGCTCTGAACCCCTGCTTCATTTGCACAGCACCAGGCATGTGAGCCTGACTTGCGGTGATTATCCGACGAGTCATCTTGTGGCTGCGGATAGCCCTCTGGCGTCCTCTGGCGTCCTCTGGCCGGATCGATGGCAAGTGACAGAGGGGATGCGGATTTGGCAGCACACTCTGAGGGCCTACGCCAGAAGGGAAGCAGTGGAGAGCTTCAAGGTGTTAACCCCCTCCCCCATTAAACGGGTAGCCGTAAATAGAGAAGGCGGAACACCGATGCTTGAGTTGTGCATTGTGCATGGACGTTGGGAAAGGGCTGGAAGTGAGCTGGAGGGTGTCGGGTGTTCCTGAGGTTCAGGAGGAGCGTTATGGTGTGGCGCATTGAGCTTCTTCTAAGTTCTCGGCATGAACTATTTTGATGGGCAGAGGCGTCGAGGGTGCCTGAGATGTGCTGCCAGCCTTGCCTCGTTGGGGAGAGGAACCAAGACGGTCCGCGCCCCCGGTCAATTTCAACGACAGCTAGCCGGTTCAAGCCACTTGTCTGACCATTGCAGTCCCGGGGGGGTTTTCTGAAATTGCAACCGGCATGGCGTTGCGCCAACCCCCAAAGTCACAACCGGCTGGTCTCGGGGAGGGGTTCATACCCCCTGCTTGGTAGCCGATGCTTTTTGCTCGCCTTTGTTACTCGGCGCGCTTTCAACTCTTCCCCGGGACGTTATTATGGGTGATAGCAAACCAATGCGGGACACCCTATCGAGAAGATCGGGAAGATCGCCGGCCGGGATTGCTGGGTGCTCGCAGAGCCCAATGCCTTTGGTCCGCGCCCGCCCCCCGGTCTAATAGTTTCTGCCTCTGTCGTTGCTTTTTATTTCATCTTTTGTTATTCTCTATATGCTGACATCATCCACTTTCAGCCGCTTGATCCTCTCCGTTCCACCACTCTCGAGGTCTAGCTCGTCGCGCGGCGCGCAGGCAAAGAGACACGGACCCTTCGGCCAGCTGGGTACACCGTTAGCCCTGCCCAGGGAAGTCAAAGAGATTGTGGGAGCAAAGACAGGAGCGACTAGAAACCAACCCGCGCTGCATCATGGGGACGATGGATTACAACGTGGCTAAGATTGCAAATGGATGTTCGTGGCTTTGACCCGGGCTACACACCTCCCGCAACTAGAACGACAAATGACTCGGCTTGATTGGGTCTGAGGTCTGGTCTGTGAGCCATGAGATTGCAAGCCGGATCTGCGGGCGAGAACCTGGCATCCGCTCTGCTGCTGCTGCATTGTGCACACTGCACTGCACTGCACATGCTGCTGTTGCTGTTGCTGGTCCTCCGCCTTGGACTTCGAGCTTCTCGGATACCTCGTCCCCCAAGTGCAGAGGACCGCGCCACGGCAGACGGCAGATCACCCTTGGCTTGTGCTCCCGGCGGCGGACTAGACATGGAAGGCGAGTGTCTCCCCGTGTCTGTTCCGTATATATCATGATCGTCCTCCGCCCGTCCAGATTTTTCCACTTTTGAGAGGACACCAGCTCATTATCTTTCCTGGATCTCAACCTTAGATCCTATCCACTCGCTCATTCTAGTTTCTTTCGTCCTTACAGCTGTCACAATGTCGGTTTTACGCTACATTCTTCCTACCCTGGCATTGGCGCTGGGAGCCATCGCCGACGCGAAGAGCTTCACGTTGGATCTCACTTGGGAGACCGCCTCCCCCGATGGATTCGCCAGGAAGGTGGTTTTGGTGAACAACCAGTTCACTGGACCGAGGATTGAGATCACCGAGGGAGATGATGTTACCATCAAGGTCAACAACAACCTGCCCTACGCCACAACAGTTCACTACCACGGTAAGCTTCGCATGTATATTGATCCAGTTGTTTACCAGTGACTGACTCTCCTGAAGGTATTGAGCAGCTGGACACCCCCTGGTCTGATGGTGTTCCCGGCCTCACCCAGAGGCCCATCCAGCCCGGAAAGAGCTTCGAGTACAAGTGGAAGGCCACCCAGTACGGAGCCTACTGGTACCACGCCCACTACGAGGGCCTCATTGAGGATGGTCTCTACGGCGCCATCACCATTCTCCCTGCCGCCTCCAACAAGAAGCCCTTCAGCCTGATCTCCTCCGACAGCGCTGCTATCCACGCCATGGAGCAGGCCGAGAAGAAGGTCGTTCCTCTCCTGCTCGCTGATCACCGCCACATGATCTCTGAGGAGGTTGACGAGCTGTCCAAGGCTGCCGACATCCAGTTCTCCTGCTACGATTCCTTCATCTTCAATGGCAAGGGCAGCGTCATCTGCCGCACCCCCGAGCAGATTGACGCCCTCTTGACACAGGAGCGCAAGGACGTTCTGGCCACCCTCGCCGGCGCCCGCATGACTGACAAGGCGTAAGTCAACATATCGCGCCGCTATCATGATGACGAGCCTCGCTAACAACATCTAGATGCATTCCCGCTGCCATCATTGCCCGTGGCCAGGGAGACCTGAGCAAGGTGCCCCCTGGTGTCTTCGACGGCTGCCAAGCTAGCGATGGTGGCCTCGAGACCTTCAAGGTTGAGAAGAGCAACTGCGATACCGAGAAATGGGTTGCCTTCGACCTGGTCGGTGCCTACCACCTCCACACCGCCTTGTTCTCCATCGACAACCACTCCATGTGGGTTTACGCCATGGACGGTGCCTATGTCACTCCCCAGGAAGTCGAGGCCATCCCCGTCACCAACGGCGACCGCTACTCTGTTCTCGTCAAGTACAAGCAGCAGGGCGACTTCACCATCCGCGCCGCGTCCGTCATCGCCACCCAGATGCTCAGCGGCACTGCCCTCCTCCAGTGGCGTGAGAAGGGCCAGCCTGAACCCACCATTGTCGCTTCGACCCCCTGGGTCGCTGACAACGGCCAGCCGACATCCAAGAGCGTCCGCGTCTTCCGTCAGGCCGCCGCCAAGCCCTACCCACCCATCGCCATCTCCCAGACCACAAGCGCCCTGCACAAGTTCGAGATGCGCTCTGCGGGCGGTTCCTATTTCTGGGCCCTCAACGAAAACTTCCTCCTGCCCACGGATTTTGAGAATGAGAACCCGGTCCTCTTCAGCGTCCGGGCCAATGAAAACGATCCTACTCTTATCTCTACCAAGAACGGCACCTGGATCGACATGGTCTTCCAGGCCGGCAGCCCGCCCCAGCCTCCCCATCCCGTCCACAAGCACGGCAACAAGATGTTCCTGCTCGGCTCCGGCTCCGGCAACTTCACCTGGAACAGCATCGAGGAGGCCGTCGCTGCCAACGGCACCCTGTGGAACCTGGTCGACCCCCCTCGCCGCGACGCCTTTGCTACCCCCAACGCCATCAGCCAGCCTACGTGGATGGCCGTGCGATATCACGTCACCAACCCGGGCCCTTGGCTGCTTCACTGCCACATTCAGAACCACTTGATGGGCGGCATGTCCGCCATCATCCAGGATGGTGTTGATGCTTGGCCCGTCACACCGCAGGAGTACGTCGACTACTCTTAAGCGAATGGTCATTGAGCTGTTCAGAGTGTACCACAAAACAAGTTCCCTAGGGGTCAATTAATGGGTGTAATGGGAATTCTAGAAGGGGGGTTCATGGCGCGGGGAAGCATCTGATTTGCATGGACGGCTTGTTTTGCCACTCTTTTCTGCACAGGAGCATTTTTGGACAAAATCTCTTTCCTTTCCGGACTGTCATATATTCACCACACATGCAGTAATCATTGAATCGATAATGAACAATTACAGTACCTTTTTATTGCCTTCTATTCCCGCTTGCCTTTGGTAACCATTGATGAATAGCTACGCTTACCTACGTGTTGCCGTGTGGTTTGCCTGACTTGGCCACACCACGCATCATGACCCGCTGCGCTGCACCTCATACCTCGACAGGTTTTGATGAGGGCTATCACGACATCATGAGCTCATGTCTTGGTTTTCGTCGCAGTTGATATGACGCGGCATCGTTCACCCAGAGTGTTCTGCTTCACCGTTTGTTTTTGTATTGCTCGACATGATGCTGTGCCACGGCGGCAGTACTACTCTAGAACATTTACCTCTCTTCCCACTCGCACAAGCTTCTGCCGCCCTTCCGAGCGCTGGAATAAGGTAAAAGCGAGGGGAGCGACCATGGCACTCATGGCTACGCGGCATCTCGTCGCACAGCAGTTGTGAGTCGATCAGCGCATTAGGGGCGCCCCAAGTCGTACGTGCGTACATGCACATATTATGCAGCGTGCATGCGCGCCTCTGTGGAGACATTCGACTCAACTGCAATCTCAATTATTGCGCCGCAAAAGATATCGGCTCCTTGCCGCTTCTTCCTTTTGCTTCCTCGGATCTCCTATTCTGTGCCCGGTCTTGCCGGTGATGGCCCCGTCATGCCATGTCGGGGACATTAGCATGTCTCGGCTTTGCGTATAACGGATCTGGCATGTCTCTCGTTTAGATGTTGGTTCAAATTGGGCAAAGATGAAAGCAAACAATGGCTTCTGAGGTCGGAGGCGCTTGTGATGGAGGCTCCTTGTCTAGCTTCTTGGGGAGTTGAGTGGTTCGTTGGGATGGCGGCGCTCGTTGGGGGAGGTTTTTTGGCTGATAAGAGACATCGCCTCTGCTAAGGAGAGATCAAGCGAACGGGAGAGAAAAGAAAGTGCGGGGGTGGCTGTCTAAGACAGACAGGACGAACGAGTGAGAAGTTGAGTTCTCTGAGATAGAGGTGCATGAGATGCCATGCACAGCCTGCTTGGCTATCTCTGTGTCGTATCACCACACGGTTGCCTCTGGCAGAAGAGACAAATTGCGCCAGCAGATACATGTACAGTCAAGGGGGGAAAGGGGGGGAAGGGGGCAACGTCTGTGGTGCGATCGCGTCGGGGATAAAACGGCAGCGTCCATTGGCGCAGAGCCCTCTGTTGGCGTTCGTATTCGAGAGTCAGAGGCGCTTGATGCCGAGTCGGCGGCTGTCTTGGTGACTGGTCCAAGAGTTGGCCTCTGCCCCCTTGGTGCTGGAGGGACCGCAGGCATGTTTGCTTGCTTTCTTTCTCACAAAGTCGTGTTTACTTTGGCGAAAGGGACTTACCTTGGCGCTATGTGGTGTTAATTTACCAGACGCGGTGTCATGTGACGCCCAATTTGGGCGTATTGCTGTGGCTGCTGGTGAGATGGTCCCGGCAGAACGGCACGAGCTGGCGGAAAACGGTGGTGGCTCACTGCTGATGAGGTCCGTCGGCTATCTAGTCTAGAGAAATTGATAGTCGTGCATGAGATGCGGATTATTACCATGTTCCAGAGAGATTTAATGTTGCCATATCAACCGCTGAAGCATCTTAGTAGATGGTCTTTTTCAATAAAGACCAAAGATGGTCTTGCCTGCCGAACCACGCCCGGTGGGGTTCTTAGTGGCCATTACCTTACAACCGTCACCTCTTTGTTCCCCTTGGGAGCTCCTCTGATGCTGCAATGAGAAAGTAATCCCTCAGTAAGACGGATTCTTTCCATACGGTGCCAACTGGCAATATGCAGAGTGCAGACCACTGTATCCCGCCCCGTTAAGCCCCTCTTGCCGAGCTGCTGCCGAATCTGAGTGGATCCTCGGGCCGGGTCACCAATTCAAAAGTGGGACATGACTCGCCGGGGCCCGGGAGCGACAGGCCGATTACTTGCTGTCGGAAAAAAATACTTCCAATGCATTTTATACAAATTAACTCAATAGCGCCCCGAGGGACTTCCGTGACGAGGCACAGCCACATACTTGAGATGACGATGGGATGGTGCACGCTGCATGGCCTATCACGCCGCGCGCTCTCCTTGGCCTCCAGGAACCGATTCCCACAGTCGCTGACCGGAGCCGCCGTTTATATTCCTACTTCAAAGAAGAAAATTCTGCCTAGTCATAGAAACCAAAACGCCTGAAAGTGTTGCGTTACCATGGATCTAGATGTTGAGCACAGATCACATCACCCGAGCTTGCTTCGCCATCTATGAAACCAACCAAAAGAAGCATTAGGATGGTCCTGTGCCCCCTATCTCCCTTGACTACCTACTTATTGTGGGCCACCTTGAGAACTGGATCTTTTCTCCCAAAGAGGCTAGTAAGGGGTTTAGCATCCCTCGAGATTGCTCTATGCAGTAGAGACAAACCCTCAGGAGATCCCCGAGAGAAGGGTGTGCTGGTGCCGTTGAACAATCCCGGTGCCTGCAGCTGGGATCGTAACCATGTTCTGGGGACAAATTTTCTCTCAATTGATCTAAGTTTTTACACGGAGTTGCCGTTCAAAAGTTTCTGCTGAGGCTACTTAGATGATGAATTTGATAAGGCAGATACCTCTAAACACATCCTCTTATTAATGAAAAGGACTCATAGAAGGGTTAACATTTTGAAAAGATTAACCTTAGGGGGCACATACGGGATATTCTAATCTACCTTTAAGGTATAAAGTAGACTCATGTACTGATCCCGCTGACCAGGTTATATTCCCTGCTCTGTCTTGGCTGTCTAGCAGAAACTTTTGAAGAGCACCTCTGTAACCTGATGATATCTGCACCGGAACTAATTTAAAGGCTTGTAGGGATTTGGCATGTAGTGTTGCAGTGCGACATCTACTCGAAAATGCAGAGATTGCAGCGATGATGATGAAGAGCTTAAGACGAATTAGCTCCCGTCGGATGCTCTTTGAGTCCGCAGGGCTGAAAAAGCACTCTGCTCTACTCCATTCGGGCCGCGCGCGCGCACGAGTCAACTCACACTGCCGTATCCGGGGCATACCCATGGATGCGGGGCCTCTTTGGTCCAAATCGTATGGTAGCATCGCGAGAAACAAAGTTGACATGCGTTGACGTGCTACGGATTTTATATCCGTAAATGCCTCTGAATTTGTAAGCCGTTAAAGAGAGAGTTGGTAGACCTGAAGATTGACATATAAGCTTCAAGATGTCCCGGGCTAGACAGGATGAGCTTCAGAGATCACATCCCACCACTTACTTTCGTTGATCAAATTTTCACCATCATGTCTGCATTCTTTACCTACATTTTGCCTTTCCTGGCCCTGCCAGCCGTTCAAGCTTGCCCGACCAAGCACCATCACAGTAGCACGGCCTGCGCCCAGGTGACTGGGAACCAAACCATCAATGCGTTCCAGCTGTATCCTGAGAACGCAGACTTCGACAAGAAGCGCTGTGTGGCTTACTTCAGGTAAGCTTCCCTTGACTATTCATATCATACCGAGATACTTCAATGGAAAAGAGCCCAGCGCTGATACCTGACAGTGTCCTCTATAACGCCACCGTGGCTTCCTGGAACCCTTCCACGTCCGAGATCAAGACCATCGAGATCCCAGGCCTGAGCTTCAACCCCGAATTCCACTCGAGCGGCGTCCGCATCGACCCTCTCGACCGCCTCTCCATCGTCATCAACGCCGGTGCCGCCTTCGATACCGCTGGCCAGAACATCACGGGCGACAACACCCTCGTCAAATACGACCTCACCAAGAAGCATGTCCTGTGGCAGCGCAACTTGACCGAGGTCACGGGCGGCGTGTACGGTGGATTCCAGGACACGGCCCACGGCCCCGACGGGACCACATACGCCCTCGGCACGTTCCCCAGCAGCATCATCCGGGTCAGCCCGGACGGCTCCGAGGCCGTTGCGTGGTACCTCAAGACGCCCGCCAACCACACCATCCACGGATTCTCTGGACTCGTCTCGTCCCCTGACGGAAAGTCGCTTCTCGTCGTCGACAGCTCCGACGGCCAGCTCTACAGGTTCGACACCGCCAACGCCAAGGCCTCGACACCCGTCCGCGTCCCCCTGACATCGGCGAAGACGATCGGCGCTGCGCTCGATGGCGTTTCAATCCCTTCCCGGTACAACGGCACCGTCATTCTCGTCTCTGATAATGTAAAGGGAACGGTGGTCCTGCACTCGGCCGACGCCAAGTGGGAGTCTGCCGCCGTCGTGGGAACAGTCCCCAACGCGTACCTGGCTGATGGAGGCTCGACGACGACGACTGTGCAGATTGGCGGCAGCGTCTACGCGTCAACGGAGTATTTCGGAGACGCCAAGGTCGCTGGCACACTGGCTGGGAATCGAACGGAGTGGCCGTTGATTGATATCACTGCCAATATCAATGGATTCCTGTCTGCTCAGTAAGCTTGAAAGGGATTTACCATCCTGCAACGATATGGAGGCTGTAACTGAGCTTTCTGTAGTGCACTCTTGAGACAGGAGAGGCCTTGAGGACAGCGCCTGCATCTGTCATGTATCTTTTTCCATTCTTGTACATACTTTATCAATCGAAGCATCTATACATTGTACAATCCCGGGCGTCGTAGAAATTTTAGTCTCTTGTGTGGTTTCCGGAATACGAATATATCCCAGGGTTTTCGTGGATTCTGCAGACTAAGCCTAGTCTTGGAAGAAGGAGAATAAGGAGGAGTATAATGATAAGGATAATTAATCCAGTTCGTTTAGGGAGTCTTGATGACCATCTCAGTGAGACGACTTGGATGGAGACGGGGACAATAGTCGACACGCGTACAACAGCTGATCCAAGAGAATTGGTCTATCAGCCCACAAACGTTTTGCTGGTAATCCCTTTGCTGACCACCCCTCTAGGATTGGCATGCACTTGTATTTACGCTGACACAGACAGGGATAGGATTCGCTAGCTTGACGCCCGTCAGCACTGAATGGGGATATAAAGAAGAAGTGGAATCAGGCATGATTTCGAACATAAGTTCTTCCTTTGCTCGAAACAAGATAAGTTGGATACACCGATTGCCCCAAGCTTTCGGGACTTGCGTTGCTTCCCCAACGATTTTCGTGTTCGTGCCAGTTGTCCGCCCGGGATGGAACGGCACAGCAAGCGCGTCGCCATCATCGGCGCAGGTAGACCACTCCAAACCGAGCCCTCCTCAATGAGACAAAAACTAAAGCCGTCCAGGGCCTAGCGGTCTCGTCGCCGTCAAAGAATGCCTCGCGGCGGGCCTGGAAGTGCAGTGCTTCGAGCGTGCTCACGCGCTCGGAGGACTCTGGCTCTACAATCCGGACCCGGGTGCGGACGCAAGTTCCGCCATGTACCCCGGCGTCATTCTCAACTCCAGCCGGCTGACCACGGGCTACAGTGATTTCCCGATCGATCCGTCGCGGTACCCGATCTATTACTCCCATAGGCTCCATCTCCGGTACCTGAATGAGTACGCGGCGCACTTTGCTCTTGAGAAACACATCCGCTACGAGACGACGGTTGTAGGATGCGCGTCTCGCAAGGAGGGCGGCTGGGAAGTGCGGGTTCGGAGAAGAAACGGGGAGGACGGCAACGGAGAGGAAGTGTTGGCTTTCGACGCTGTCATATGCGGAACCGGCATCGCCAGCAAGCCCTTCATCCCTGAATATAAAGGAAGAGAAAATTTCAAGGGTGAAGTGCTACATAGTCATGCCTATCGCAAGTCGAGTGTATACGAAGGCAAGAAGGTCATCGTTGTCGGTCTTGGATCCTCAGCCATCGACGTTGCGTGTGAAGTTGGTCCGATAGCAACACAACTCACGATCGTCAACCGGCGAGGCGCGTGGGTCCTGCCCCGATTCGTCTTGGGGAAACCGACGGAGGCATGGGATAGTACGTTCTTCTCTTTCAATCTTTTGAGTACCTGGTAGGACTTCCCTGCTAACTTCGTCTCAAAGGCCGAAGCAGCCAGACATGGCTTCCCACGAGCGTCCAGGAGTGGCTCTTTGAGAAGATACTTGAGCATGCTGTTGGCAAGATGCCACCGGAGCTCCAGCCGGACCACAGCATCATGGCACAAAACGCCACGCTGCGAAGTGACTTTATCGAGAAATTGCAGACCGGCGTCTTCTCCCTTCGTCGCTCCACGATCGCCTCCTTCACCGAGACCGGCGTCATTCTTGCCAATGGCGATTCTCTCGAGGCTGATGTCGTCATCCTCGCTACCGGATATCACATCGTCGACCAGCCATACCTCCCCCCCGGCGCGCTGGCGAGCAAGGAAGCGCCCGCCCCGCAGGTAGACTTGTACAAGCTAGTCGTATCGCCCACTTGGAAAGACCTGTATGTCATGGGCCAGACTGAGCAAGCCGGACCCGTGACGCCGGTCTCCGAGGCGCAGGCCCGATACATTGCCGCAGTCATCAAGGGAAGCGTGCAGTTGCCGAGTGAGGAGGACATGATGCGGGACATCCGCGCATTGAGGGTTTGGCAGAAGAAGCATATGATTGACTCGGATAGGCACGCCTTGACTGTCGACTTTGTAAGATACATGGACGGTCTGTTGGCACCGCTGGGGGCGGCACCGACATTCGGAAAACTCTTTGGACGGATTTTCACCAGTGGTAAGCCACTACGGGCTTGGAATATTCTTTCTGCTGTTTACTTTGGAATCCCGGCTCCCGCACAGTGGAGATTGTTTGGTGAAGGAAGCACGCCAGTGTTGGCCGAGGAGACGCTACTCAGAACTGATGCGAATACGGGCGAACTGAGTGAAGGAGAGAAATCGTTTCTTTGAGAACTACCAACCTCAAATCAAGTTCTTTTCCCTCTCCTTCTTGAAGGTAGTTGATATCGAAAAGATCCATGAGACAATTCCTCAATCAGTTACCTATATGAAAGGTAGGTAAGTACCTTGCGCGAGTTCCGCGGCAGTTGAAACTTGAGCGCTGCATGCTAGTTACGGATTCTCATGTATCTGCCATTCTGCTTGTATCAATCATCACCACATCCCACAAATTACTTAAACAACGTGCATACAAAGCACCGCTAACATCGTGCAGTCAGTTGTCGAATCCCAAGGATCATTCTGTATAACTGATAGTAGTGGGCCAACGACGTATTACCTTTCGAAGCTTATAAGAGACCTCAACTAAGATCAGTACATTTACCCCAAGACACATTCATTTGAGTAATTAGAATTATTAATCGCCATCACTAAGCCTTCGTTGAAAGTAATCTAATCAACGAGAAAAGACGGCGGTACACTTGTTCTTTAAGTATGTCCATCAAATCTTCGAGATGAGCACAACACGGCTGTCATAGTCACCCTCAAATGCGTACTGCACTCCAGTACTCATCAGCGTAGCACCAGAGTAGGTGCCGTTGTGATCCAGCGAGTACTTGGCCGCCGGGTCCAAGCCTTGAAGCCGAAGCCGTGGCAGGGCATGGTTGTACAACGCGCGCACCTGGAAGTAGAATAGCACAGCCTGTGACCCCTCCTCGGAGATGACCATGGCGGCCGGCCAGTTGGACTCCTCTGGCAGACTGAGACGCCAAAGGTCGCCGCCAATTACAATGGGATTAACCACCTCGCCCAGGGCCAGAAGCTGAGGAATCTGTGTCTTGTCTTCGGCGGAGATCACGGCCGGGTTCAGCTCGAGTCCAAAGGATCCGCCCATCATGGCGACGTGAGCACGGAACTTTATGGGAATTGTGCGGCCGGTGAGGTGGTTGGGCACCGCAGAGACGTGGGCTCCCATGGCAGAGAGCGGGTACGCCAGGGAAGTTCCGAACTGAATGGAGATGCGATCCAGAGCGTCGGTGTTGTCAGATGTCCAAATTTGAGGGAAGTAGTGGAGGACGCCGGGGTCGAAGCGACCACCTCCGGATGCGCAGCCTTCCCAAAGCACATTTGGGAATCGAGAGGTGAGAACCTCAAAGACGTGGTAAATGCCCAGCATGTACGAGTGGCCGATGCCTGGGACGGGGGTCTCGTGGAAGCCCCTGTTGTTGTCCCACTTGACGTACGAGATGCGTGCGCTAGACAGGATCTTGGACACGGAGTCAATGATGAACTCCTGGACCTCTGGGAGCGCCACGTTGAGCACAAGCTGGTTCCTCCTGAGCGTCCGAGGGTAGTTTCCGGCATGGAGAGCCCAGTCAGGGTGCTCATGGTAAAGAGTCGAGTTGGGGTTGACCATCTCAGGTTCGAACCAAAGGCCGAATTGGAGCTTATCCGACGTATTCGTGACCTCGAGATTGTTGACTTTATCGACGAGGGCTGGAAGGCCATCGGGAAAGCGCTGCGGGTTAACTTCCCAGTCGCCGAGACCGGCTGTGTCGTTCAGCCGGGGGTACTCCTGACCGAACCATCCGTCGTCCAGCACAAAGAGCTTGACGCCAAGTTGAGCCGCTTCCTGGGCCAGGTCGTAGACGGTGCTCTCGTTGTAGTCAAAGTAGAGGCCCTCCCAGCTGTTAAGCAGTGCTGGACGAGTCTGGTTGACGAACTGGCCTCTCATGAGATGGTTGCGGTAGAGACGATGGAATTTCCGGGACACGCCACCGACTCCGGCATCCGAGTACACAGCGACAACCTCAGGAGTAGTCAAAGTCTCCCCAGGTCCAAGAGGCCACGAGAGTTGGTAGGGGTTGAAGCCGAGCATGGCACGAGTGAAACCCTGAGACCCTTTCTCGACGTCGACGGAGAACGAGCCTGTATAGACAAGGGAGAACCCCCATGCCTCGCCTTGCGACTCGGTAGTTTCCGGAGAGACAAGCGCCAAAAAGGGGTTGTGGAGATGTGATGAGTACCCAGTCGTGCTCCCAAAGCTTATACTCAGGTCAGTGAATGTTTCCCCATGATCTCACTTGCACTGATAACTCGCTCACCCTTGAGTACCATAGCCAACTTTTCTTCGGACTCTCATAGCTTCCCTGGCCCAGTCTCCTCTCAGCTCGATCATCTCCAGGTCTTCAAATGGCAAATCGACGCTAAGGCTTGCGGCCTTCGCTATGGTGATGTTAACCTCGCCTTCGTTGGTGATGTTGACACTTCTAACAATGGCGTCATACTTGGGGAAGATCGAGTATGAAAGATCGACGGCAATGGAGCTGTAGTTGTCGTAAAGCGAAACGACCAGAGTAGAGACATCATCGTCGGTCCCAAATGTCGCCGGAAGACCAGGCAAGCCAGGCTTCCCTGCCGTTACTCTGTACGATCGGTACTGGAGATCGCTGACCGTGTACCCTTCAGACTGGTGGATTTGTATTGCAGGGACCCGGAAGTCTCCACGTCCAAGGTCGGGGTACTCTCGTCTAACCCGGCCGATCATGTCAACCCAGCCATTGATTTGCGGGGGCAGCATTTCCATGCTCTCTGTCGCAGACCCTCCAAAGTGGTCAGACAAGAGGTCGCCCGTCAGCTCATCTACATGGAAGCGGTAGGAGGAATGGTCGCCATTTAGGGCAAAAGACGTGCCGTCTACGGCGATGCCTTTGAGGTGTCAGTCTCACACATTCGAATGTCGGCTTGTCATCTTCTTACCTATGGCTGTTCCATTTTGCGCCAACACATGACGAGCAAGAACTGGTGCGGAGGCCGCAACGGCAAGACGTCTCAACCAATAGTGTCCCATTATTCCCGTATGGGGAAGAGATCCAAAGACAAATGAAGTTGGGAAGAGCTTGTTTGCCGGAACAGGATGATTATCGGATGTTTCCACAACTATTGAGAGTTTCACGGTTAGAACACCAGTATTTATATCATCTTCCTTTCACCTTGCATATGCGGCTCCTCCGGGTTCGCCGGTCATCTCGTGATGCGCCAGCTCACCCAGCAGACCATGAACCTTAGCTTCGTCAGAATTATCGGCCGTTCCCCAGAGATCAGCCAGGAGAAATCCATTGCTGGTCCAATAACCATAAGTCACCAGGGAAAGGATCAACATGCGGGGTGGTTCCCCACGACTTTTCCGCCAGTTCTCCGCCGCTTAATTGCACCGTAAAAGAGAGTGGGTGCAACGTTCTGCAGGACTCTGCGGTACAATCGACTTTCGACCCCGGCTATTCTAACAGCGAACATGATTCGATTACGACCTAGCAAATCGTGGATGAGGGGTATTCGGGTCTTGGCACCAGACAAAGCAAGCGAGGAACACGCGCTGGGGATTTGGGGGAAAACTGGGTTGGCGTTACATCTGAGGGGAAAACCTTGTTTGGTTCTGGCGCGAGAACAAACTATGGCATGTATTGTGCATATTTCGATGGTAATAGCGCAGGCGTTGGAACATAGTTTCCCAGTAAATAATACCAACTGGCTTTAAAGAAAAGTTCGAAGAAACCCTGCCATGGAAACAACACACTTCTACTCTCTCTTCAAGTCTCGTTTCCGAAGTACTAGGACTGCAAGGTCCCTGAGTTAAAAGCCGAGATACCTCTATAGCACACCGAATCAAGTCGAGCTGTATCTGTTAAAGTCTAAAAGCTCCGTCCGGTCGGCATAAATGAACTATCGATAGGGCCAAAACTTGCCCACACCTTTTATAGTGATAGTAAAATATCTTGATCTACAAGGATTAATAGAAAAGTAGGCTTGACTGTGTCCTCTTGCAACGTGATATCTACTGGCCCAAGCCAGCGATGATGCCTTCACGGTCAGCAGTGATACCTGCTAGCCTCGCCACGGGACCGAACACAGCTGATCTCGGAACCACTGCTGCGCCCTGGATCAACGTCTGCTTTGTGTTGATCCACCCATAGAGTTACAGACTCCACGGCGCAATACCGAGGGCAAGTAGCAGCGACGAGACTGTGAAGATCAATACATCCAGTTTCGACAGACCGAGCGCCATCAATGCCGTATTTTCGCCGTCAGACAAGCCAAACAAGCTATGCTTCGTACCGCAGAGAGCGCCGTTTTTAAGATGAATGGCTACGCATATTGCCAGAGTCGAGTAGTAGAAAAAGAGTGTACGCTAAGACCGGGCAAGTCTATTCAAATGCTCCTTATACAGCTCAATTTTCATGACCACGTATATATGGAATTGACCACAAGAATTAGAATTGGTCAGCGATAGGCGTATATAATTCCACACAACCTACTTTGATGAGCATCAAGACTGCAAGAATAGAGGCACTCTCTTTCAATTGTCTTGGCTGAATCAGAAGGATGACAATCTTTCTCCGTTGCGAGTCGTGACAATGACCCGATAAACCAGTACCATAGGTCATCACTTGGCACGACCTTAGTAAACCCGCGCTGGCATCCCCTGTCAATCCCCTCGGTACGCGGAGTCATGGGACGAACAGTGTGACACCGGCAAGGTAATTGACTGAGACTCCCGTGTACCTTGAAACTCCCAACTGGAGTCTAATTTCAGTTTTGCATATTGTCTTTTCTGGCCCGTTTCTTCTACCCAACGTCGTAAAGCCCCCCACGACTCAAACAAGTGGGATGGCGATGTCGTGTTGGTTTTGATTATTGATACGCGGCCCCTTCTGAAGTCGCCGGTGGTCTTTGAAAAGTACTGACGTCCCGAATGATGTCCACAACTAGATACACCGTCTTTAGATGCTCTTTTCACTGATTTAGTTCAACTTTGAAGGGTTCCACCACAATGATGGGCAAGTCAGCTTTAAAAGTCGATACTATATTTAAAGCATAGTTGAATACCAGTCATTCGAGATGGTGAACATCACTTCATATGAAGAGACAGTGATTAAAAGTTTAGTCTTTCCATATTCCTCAAAGCTGGCTATATCATTCCTCGCCTTCCCAAATACTCTTCAAAGACCTCGGTCACTCTTTTCTAAAATCAGCTTTTCTCCATCTCCAGATATTTAATAACGACTCCTTACACCACGATTTTACCCATTAAACAAAATCGCATCCTTCAAAGAACAAGATAAATATAATAATGAAGAGCCAACACGTCGTCCTTAGCTCCAAGACGCAGCTCTCACCTTCCTCGCAGCCCGTGGCGCCTCAGCGGGAAAGGTCTTTTGCGCCGACGCCAACAACAACAAAGTAGTTGCCGGACCAATGAGACGGTAAAGCGCCCGCCAATACCTTCTTATGTTCAACAGCGAGGAAGACCACCCCATCGGCAGCACCGATGCCGAGACCGAGGTGAACCTGTTCGACGGCGCCGACATGCTTGACCTCCATAAAGCGCGGTTCCCCAGACTACAAGATGGGGTCGGAAGGGTTTAGGAATAGGCAGGGCGGCGGCGGCGGCGGCGGCAGGGGAGGTTGAATGCCGAGGAAGGAAATTGAAGGATGAACTGGTAGTAATCATTTTATCTCAGATAAACGGCGCGGGAATACCTTTCAACTTTGCTGTCGTAAAAACTGCCAAACCTATGTACGGACTAGAAACTTCAGAGGAGTGATGCCGTAACTCAGAAGGGGGGGGGTTATTCGACAATGAAAAGGTTGGGAAAACAGTCAAAACCCTTGGCAGGAGAAGGAACTTTAGGGGGGGGGTGGCGGAAACGAGGAGGGGGGGGGGTTTTTCAAAAAGAAAAAAAGGAGGCCCTTTTATTTCCAAAGCCCCCCCCTAAAACCCCAAAAAAAAAAAAAAAAAAAAAAACCCCCAAGAGTTCACTTGCGATAGTTGTGTAAATAATGTGAATTTTGATGCCAAGGTAGTAATCTAAGTATACCAAACCATGCACCATTTTTAGTACCTGTGAACCCCAATGCAAACGCCTTTTTTGGTGCGCAAAATGCCATACAACGCCCCCGCCATGACTGAATCTCATAACCCGAACCCTGATCTTTTTCAGACCAAGGCTAATGCCGTTCGTTCCTTGCCTCTCTCTGTTATTCTTGCTTCTTTTAATCCGAGACGTCTACTGCTCCTCCTGGACGACGACACCCCACTCGTGCTGCTCACCGCCGTACATGATGTCCTTCATCCACTTCTTAATCTGGAGGGTGTACTCGCCGCCCTGGCCTTCGCCGCCCATGCCCATGTTGACGTCCTTGCCGCGGTGGTGGATCAGGGAGATGGGGCAGATGAAGAACTGAACATGCGTTAGTCAACCGTTGGGCCGGAAAAAAAAAATACAACAGACTAAAACTTACAGCAGTGCCGGCGGCAAAGGACTCGACAATGCGACCCTCCTCGTGAGCCTCAATGACCTCGTCAATGGTGTATCTGCGCTCAACAATGTCGACGCTGTCACCGAGACGCTCACGGGCAAGCTGCAACACACTGCGTCTGGTGACGCCGTCAAGGATCAACCGGTCGTCGAGGGGCGCGGTGATGATCTCCGTCCTGCCGGTTTCCTTATTCTTCCACACAACGAAGAAGTTGCTGGCGCCGGCCTCGGTGCAGTACTGCTCCTGTCCGTACAGCCACAAAATCTGGCCGAAACCACGGCTGCGGGCCTCAACGGTAGCCAGCAGAGACGGACCGTAGTTGGCACCGACCTTGGCGTAGCCGAATCCACCAACCCAGGCGCGAACCATGTCCTCGGGACTCGTGTGGAGCTTCATGCCGCCGACGGGAGAGTCCATGACGGGCATGTAGGTGCAGATGATGTAAAGCATGGCCTCGGATGGTGCCTGGACGCCGAGCTGGGGTTGGGTTCCGATCATGGTGGGACGGAGGTAGAGGAAGGAGCCGGGGCGCTCGCGGGGCAGCCACTTGGGGCCGTCGACGGCCATGAGGGCGATGATGAGCTTCTCGAGTTCGGCGGGAGGGAAGGAGGGCAACGCGATGCGGGTGGAGGACATGAGCATGCGCTCGCAGTTGCGGTCGGGGCGGAAGAGGCGAAGCTTGCCGTCGAAACCGCGGAAGACCTTGAGACCCTCGAAGCATTCGGTGGCGTAGTGCAGGACGGAGGCGGTGGGCATGAGAGAGATGGGGCCGTACGGCTTGAGTTCCGGAGTGGACCAGCCAGTGCTGGCCTTCCAGGTCGCGGCGACCATGTGGTCGGTGGCGATGGTCTCGGAGCCGGCGTTGGCGCTGGCATGGTCGGGAACGGCACGGGGGTTCTGGGTGCGGCTGTAAGTGAGCTTGGAAGCGTCGAGCTCCTGGTAGGCGGGCTTGGTGCCGTTGGAGGCCTTGCCATTGGGAATGGCCTCGAGCTTGTGCTCAATGGCGGAAGAAGTCAGATCAATATCCTGGTTGCCATGGTGGAGGCCGGGGGAGATGGTGCCGGGAGCCATTGTGATTGTCTATGTGAGTCTATTGTTTGTGGGAGACAGCGTGCGTTGGTGTTGTGGTCACTTGGAAATGTGACAGGTAACACGGGTTCGAGGAAACACACAAGCAATATGTGTTTATGCAAGAAGAAAGACAGAAGGAGGACGAGAGTCGGCTTGATATGGGGAAGGAAGAGAACAAAGCCACGGGGTCAAGTTGTAGAGGAGTGACGGAGAAGCTTAAGTAGGACGGGTTGTCACACTTGGCTTGGTTCAAGGTTCTAGTGACAGATGGAGCAGGTGACTCAAGGGCCAATGCAGAGGGGCAGCGGGTCCGGACCTGGAAAGGGCGTTTTCAGATAACAGGGAACATCATGGAGAATTTGACCTGTGCAGTGCATGGAGCATGGATGTGGATGGGTTGGGAAGAGTAAGGGGAGGAAGACTCCGTCCTACCTCGCAGAGTGAAAGGATGCATACATAATAGCCTGGTACTGGTAGAAAGAAAAGGGGAAAAGGGAGCAAGCAAGCAAACCAGCCCGTCTGATGTGGTTGCTGGGTACTCGATATGGTTGGTCGGGTGCCAGACCAACTGCATGTAAGAAAAGCGACCAGCAGTCGCCAACGGTTCAGAAAATGATCCATGCCCCTCTCCCTAGTCCATGGATGGCGATGGTGGACTGCCAGACTGGAACTTGGAAGCCACGGCGGCCGATATGCTGCAAGGCTTTTTGTCTTGGTATGCCGTCGCTTGCCCGGGGATCCACATGCGGAAAGGTCGCCAGATGGAGGCAACGCCGTACGCCCCTCCTTGAATTGCCTCTTCCGCGATCGTGTACACACTATCCGTACGTACTTCCACATTGTGAGCGTTGTCGTGCCGGTGTGTCCAACGTCGAGGGCTCATCGTGGGATGCCAATGCCGAGGCCGATTACTCTTTTTTTTTTTTTTTTTTTTTGGTCAAGTGGAGCCGGGCCGGGATCCACCAGCGCGTGAGCAATTGTGAAGCGTCGGTGGCAGCGGTTTGAACTTTGGGCATGGGACTTTTCTCTCACATCTCATCTCATCTCTTGCCTAGCACTTTGCCAGTGCGTCGGCCATGATCGAATCGAAGCCCGTCCTTTGATCGAGGAAGGATTGTCTTGCTCCCGAGTCCCCACACAGACACATCGTTCTTCAGAGATAAGCCAGACCCAATCCGAGACTGAGGATGGATGGCAAAAAGAAGGGAAGGGAAAAAAAACAAAAAAGAAAAAGACGTGAAAGAAAACTCGGATCCCACAGTTATCCGTTAGAGCCGGGGCCATCCCACCTCGAAATGGGCCACAAGCGGCGTCTGAAGACCAGGTAGCAAGTTGCGACTTGCAAGGGACATTGGGGAAAAAATCCGTGACGAAACAAGAGGTCAAGCCGCGGCCGCCCATTCGTCGGGGTGGCTTTTCACCTTAGTCAAAAGCGCGTCAGGTACATGCCGTTCATACACCGTAACGCAATGCAGCAGCAGCAGCAGCAGCAGCAGCAACAGGGCCGGTCCAAGGTGAGGCAGGGAACTATCTACCTGCGTAATTTGACTCCTCGAGGGAATGCGGTATTACGAGATGAAAGCGCTGCAGTTTGTCCCACCACAAGCCGTCGGCCGGGCACGGCTCCAGTCGGTCGACGTCCTTGTGCCCCATTGCGGCTTTGGTGCGCGCGGTCCGAAGCCGAACGGTGGGTTGCACGAGACTACCATGGCCAATGTACATTGTTTGTAATAGCACAGTGGTGCAGCATCGGACCTGCAACTCAGCTACCTTAGTGTGGATGTTGTTTTGGTGTCTCGTTCGACCTCACTCGGCGCAGCAATCGATGACTCGAAGGACCAAGCTACCGATAAGCTGCTTCCGGGTGCAGCGAGGATGGTGTCAGGTCAGGGGATGAACATGGGCGAGATCCGACATCGCAACAATCAAGCGCGCCCTGTTCGCCCTTTTCGCCCTTTTCGCCCCGTCGTTGACATCTATTGACCCCCCAGACAGTGTTTGGACGCGGCAGATCGAGTCAATTAAGGTCACGTCTGGCATTGATAGCGTCGCCTTCCCGGAGAAGATGAGTCGTTGGTGTTTTACGCTCGCGGCCGCGCGATTCGCAGGTGGGGCGGATGGCAGAGTGAGGATTTCATTGCCCAATCATCGCCGAGAGTTCAAGGTTGTTGAGGAATACGTCACCTAGGATATTGGCTTGATGCTCTCTCTACAGAGGTAGTATGTGACAAACGGCGACAAGTTGTTGCCCCTCCACACACACACACACACACCAGAGCAGGCACGGGGCAACCAAAAGGCGGAATTGGGAGCAAGCGTTATCGCTATCTCCTTCCTTGTCCCTTTTCGGTTTCCCATGTTACCCCTCCCGCGGATAGCCGCGTCTAGGCGATGACGTGGGCAAGAAAGATCCGAGCAAAGCAACCTCCCTCTCTTCCTTCCTGTCCCAATGGCCAGGTGCCAAAGGTAGGGTAAGGTATGTCGCAACCCCCCCCATCAAATCTCTTCAACAGATTCCTTCTCGAACATCGCATCGGCTAGAAGAGGCGAGATCCCCAAAGGTGCCGAGTGTAACCATTCAGGTAGGTGTTGCATCTACTGGCACTGTACAATACACATCTCTGACACCTTGCACCACCAATGCGCACCTCCTGCATGCACACTCTTTGCCGGAGGCCCGGATCTTCCTCCACGGCGTCCCTCCACACCCACACAATTTCTTTCTCTCTCCTCGTCAGCTCGGAGGTCAATGGGAATCATCTTACCTACATATGACGAGATGGATGCCCAGATCCGGCAGCTGCTAACTGCATTATCTATCAATTTCTAATCCGATACAAAACACTCGAATACGGCCCCCTTGGACAAGTGCAGGGGAAACAACGCATACGTCTCAGCCCTGCAACGCACCTGGACACCTGGACACCTCGACGCCCGGTCATGAATCTGGTCACTTGACACTTGACGTGGAATCGCGGGGTACCTCAACGACTTGTGCGTGGCTTGGCCCAGGTTAGGTCTTGTCTCTACCCTAGGTATATCTTAGGTAAGTTAGACTTAGGTAACGTAGATCGCGGCGCCAATCTCGGGTTCGCATGTGTTTACGCAGTATGTGTGTCATTCAGAGAGAGAGGCGGTCTAGAAAGAATGGTAAGACGCGAGCATGGCCGCCGCCGCCGCCGTCGGTTTTCCTTCCAAGACACTCACACACACCCAGCAGAGACATCCCAAGCTTTGACACGCGGAAACTAGCAGACGCGATGTGCTTAGTCTGCTAATGTTTGAATGTCTGTGTTTTCCCGTCCTGTCTTTAGGTATCGTTTGGTTGTTCCCTTCTTCGGCCCGTGACCTGTAAAACCATTCTGCCCTTCAGCGCAAGGAATGTTGCAAAGGTATCCAAATTAAACATGCTCTCACCTCACAAGTTGATAATGCTGCCAAAACACCACAATCACCCAATAGCCAAGAATCCATGAGAGAGAGAGAGAGAGAAGCATAAACCCGCTCACTGGCGCGCCCTGTCCGCCTCCCGTCTCGCCTGCTCCTCCTCGAGAATCTCCCTTCCGCGCGCCGCCGACTCCCCCTCGGCCTTGATGCCCTTCTTGCGCTGCCGCTCCTCATACATGTCGCGGCTCTTCATGATGCGCTGCACAATGGTACCGGCGTTGACGCCCGCGAACTCGTGCTGGCCCACCTCCCGCATGATGCCCATCTCCTTGGGCGCCGTGTACGGGTCGTACGTCAGCGGCATGAAGGCCGTGGGGCCGTGGTACACGGCGTCCGGCGTGCCCCACGGCAGCGACGTGAGGTAGGCCTTTGTCGGGGCGAACGGGGCGCCGAAGACGACGGCGTTGACGTACTACACACCACCGTCTGTTAGCAAAAAGTGTACTCGAGTCATGACACAACAGAAGAAGATTCCGTCTTCTTACCCTGCACTGCAGCACGCAGAGGCCACGCTCGTAAATGTTCATGATCGGATAGTTGATGCCCTTCCAGTGGTTAATCTCCTCGTCAGAGTGGATGCCCGCCACGACGTACGCCGGCGGGTAATCACCCCCCTTGCTGACGCGCTCGTTGACAGCCTGCTCGCTGTACCACCCCTGCCCGCGCGCGAGCTCCTCCTCGGCCTCGACCACCCGGCGGAGGAACTCTATATGCCCGCTTGAGAACAGGTCAAAGCCGCCATCAACATAGACGACCCGCTGACCGATCCGCGGGCCCTTGCCCGGCAGGAACCGCGAGAAGACGCCCTTCTCCTCGACCGTGGCCTCGGCCTTGGCCTCCCCCGACGCGGCCCAGAACCACACCTCGACGCCGGGATTCTTGCCCGTCTCATCGGTGGCGTAGAGCTTCATCCTCTCCGTCAGAGCCTTGGCCTCGGCCTTGCTATCGGCCTGGGGCGTAGCTCCCTGGCCTTGAACCTCGTTCCCGGCCAGGAGCTTCTCGAGCGACTTGATGAAGTGGGTCTTTGTGCAGAGGAGCATGCGGCCGACGAGGTCGGTGGTGGAGATGCTGGGCGTGCGCTTGACGACCTTGAAGCGGCCGGCCTCCTTGACGAAGCGGTAGCAGTCGTAGCCGTCGGCATCCGAGGTGATGTCGTCGCCGTGCACGACGTACTTGCAGCCGTAGTGGCTGATCCAGTCGAGCTGCGTCACGTAGGGGGCCCGGCCAACGGATTGTGTGACCCAGCGGCAGGCATCGACAGCGGCCAGACTTTGCTCGGGTCAGCGATGCTTTTGTAAAGTAAAGGAAGGTATTGGGAGAGAACGTACCGCTCTTGGAGGGTCATGACTGTCGGGCCCTTGTTCTCGAGGATGGACTCATCGGAGTGGACGCCAATGTACAGTTCACTGCCCAGTTGTCGAGCTTGCACAATCGCTCCAGCATGGCCTGCGAAAGTCAGTCCTAGGATCTGTCTGGCATGTGTGAGAGAAGGCTTACCGTGGTGGAAAAAGTCGAAGCAGCCATCGATCCAGATGCGCTCCTCTAGAATCTCAGGGGCTGGCTCGCCGGGTGGGTGTTCAGGATCGGAGTTGACCATGATGCCTTATGAGATGATGTGGGAGTTGACGAGGAACCGATGTCTAGGTAATTCTCCAGGACCTCGAGGATCTATAAGGATAACTAGGTGATTAATGGACGCAAACTGCCTCGTGACAGCGATTTGGGGTTGCGTCAACAAAGTTTCACCGACTGGCGGATTTCACATGAGGTTTGGGTGGAACAGGGGCGCCGCCGTCTGGTGAGGACCGCGCAGCATGAGGTAGCGGTGGCTCGCGATATCCCGCTCCCGTAGCGGCGCCGTGTGATTGGCGAGGTTCCAGCGCCACTGCGATAGCCGAGACCCACCAGAGCTTTTCCAGCGGCCGGACCGGCCACGCAACGGCGCTCACGGGGCCTTTTCTGGTGAAATCCTCCACTGGAAGCTTCCGCCAACCTTCACATGTTTAGCCGTCGGGTTGCCCCGCCCTCCAGCTGTCGTTCATTCCCGTCCCAACGGTTCCCTCCCCTGCACCCCTCTAGCACCAACAAAAAGAACATCAGACGGATGGTTTGGCACATGCGTCTGACGAACCTCTTAGGTAGATAGACGCGTCTGCCGCAACATTTGACATTTCACTGTCTAGTAGCTTCTTTCCTTCTGCATGAGAACATTTCCTGCCGAGCTTGATACTACCTCAAACGATAGCGACTGCCACGCTATACCCTATTGTACAAGGGGTGTGCCCCAGGCCCAAGCAATGGCTGGGAATGACATCTCTACCAAGAACAGACGACTTGAGCTGGGTGAGCCATCGTCCAGTACTGGCAATGCCGCCTGAATGAGCCTCACTCTATCCGTACGAAATATGCTTATTTCTATCATAGTTGATAGAAGCATCCAGGAACGATGATAAAAAAAACGTGGTTGGGTCTCATCCGCTGCCAGGAACCTGGCTATCAAAAAGTGCCCACGTGCGACAGGTTGTTCGTCAATTGGTCGCCGCCAGGGATCACCATCTTGGCAACCGCTACTCTCCAGTCCACCGGATGCCAAATATTCGGAAAACATCTCGAATTTGAGCCTCGCCGGCACTCTATCTACATAGTAGGTAAATTGCTCCGGCATGGCGCATCAATGGTTTGTGAAAAATTGCTGGGGTCTTGGAGCGGGGAATCGTCGCTGTCGTCCATTTCGGTGGTATTTATCTAGAGCTCTCTCCCTCCCGGCACGCGACGCTGCGATGTAGATAGCCCAAGCTCCAGCCCTCTTGCGCATCCCCTCGACGATCGCCTCCACCAAGATGAAGGGCCTCGTGCTGTCTACCATCCTCGCTCTGGCGCCTCTTACCCTCGCCGCCTGGCCAGAGGCCGAGGGCAAGGGCATCAAGTACACCTCCGTTCCCGGCTACTTCTTGCAGGACGACAACAGCACTGATCCGACCGGCTTCGACTATGTGAGTCGGCTGACCCTGCCGAGTTGATCTCGGCACGGAGCTCGCACGACTAACTCGCAACAGGCGACGGTCAACTTTGGTCTCATCAACCGGACGTACCCGACCGACAAGCACTTCGACCCCAAAGGCGTCAAGACACAATGGCAGCGTTTCGACCACTGGGTCCAGTACCTGAACTCTGGCTGTCGCAAGAGCGACAGCGTCCAGTACAAGTTGCTGTTCATGGGCCGCCACGGTGAGGGCTGGCACAACGCCGCCGAGTCATTCTACGGCACCCCTGCCTGGAACGTAAGAATGCGTCCAATAATCACAAAAGCACTTGGCTTCCGTAGCTAACACGGGCATTACGCAGTGCTACTGGGCCGAACAAGACGGCAACGCCACCGCCCGCTGGGCCGACGCACTCCTGACCCCGGCCGGCGCGAGCGAAGCCTACAAGGCCAACGCCTACTTCAAGGACCGGTACGCGACCCAGAAGATGCCCCACTTCGAGTCATACTACACCAGCCCCTTGATGCGTTGCGGCGTCACCGCCAACATCACCTTTGGCGACATTGACCTCCCCGCCGAGCACCCCTTCGTCCCGCTGGTCAAGGAGGGCTTCCGCGAGGGCATGACGGTGCACACGTGCAACTGGCGCTCCAACAAGACGCACATTGCATCCACCTTTCCCTTTTTCGAGTTCGAGCCGGGCTTCACAGAATACGACCAGCTCTGGCGCCGCAACGAGAGCGAGACGAGCGACGCCCAGGAAGCGCGGTCCAAGGATGTCCTCGACGACATCTTCCGCGCCGACGAAAAGACGTGGCTCAGCGTTACGAGCCACTCGGGGGAGATCAGCAAGCTTCTCAAGGCGCTGAACCACCGCGCCTTCCGGCTGTCGACGGGCCAGATCATACCCGTCTTTGTAAAGGCCGAGGTCGTGGAGCCGCAGCCGGAGCCGCCGTTTGCGGCCCACGAGCCGTATTCGACGTGTCCGAGTCCGCCGGTTACGAGCATTGCCGGCCAGGGGTGCGTTTGCGCGACGACGGCTTCGTCGTCGCTTCTTCCGGTGGCCACGCTCATGGCTGCGTGAGGATTATGCTTTGGGGATCATTGTCACGCTGAGATGGTAAAGAAACAGGCCTGATAGTCGTAATGTAATGGAGGATAATAAAAAAGAGAGACCATGACAAGTTGAATCGATTGCGCGTCAAAGGAACCGCCGCCCATTTTCCGTCTGAAGCAGGTCATGGCGTAGAGACAAGTATGGGAAGCAGCCCCAAGCTTTCATCCAAAGCGACGACTTCGCCGCTGTTGAAATCTCGGGACGCGTGGTGCGGGAAAGCGGCTGATCGACATTGAGCTCATCCTTCGCCGTCTCATCAAGCGGGACAACAACCCTGATGTGATCAGTGCTTCCTCTACCTACTACGTATTTGGCTCGGGATGTAACAGTGAACTTTGACGACGACGTTGGCTCAGGCTATCTGCTGGTGCAGTGGTGCAGTAGTGGCATTAAAAGGTGGAATGTATTGCCCTAGCCGGGTGTCCGTTCCCACGTGGGACTCGAGCTTCTGGAATGTTTCAGTGTCTGCGTGGGGAGACAGAGGGGAGAGGCTCCCGAGTTCTGTAGGAGGAGGATCAAGGCAGGGCATGTGCTGTGTTGCGTCCCCTGTTGTTGCGTCTGCGCTTTGGACGCTGCGCGGAAAGGGACTCGGTGGACTCAGTTGTTAGAAGCAACGGCCTGTGTGTCTGTGGGCGCTCGGGAGCAGAGGATCTGCTTGGCCAGGGGTTGGCCGACACGTCGTGCTTGATATTCCAATTGAGGCCATTGGTGCTGTCGATGTCGATGGTGTTGATGTTGTTGTTATTGCTGTGATACCCTCGGATAATGAACATGGGGAGAAGTTAGTGGTGTGCTCGAGGGGGGAGGGTTCAAGGAGAGGGGGAAAGTTTCACGATGGAATCAGACTTATTTAGTGGTCCAAAATGGCAGCGAAGGAGCGCCGAGAAATGGAGAATAGCCTGCACAGGAAAGCTTAGCATGGCTGAGGAATGGTTCGGTTAGCTGACCCTGGAACATTTCCAGTTCGGCCACGGCCATGGTTCCGTCCCATTGGACACTTTTTATTTTTCCTAGTCGTCGTTTGTCGAATATCTGTGTCGCAAATCAAAGGTGGCTTGCAGGTGCTTCTGCTTTTGGTGTGCAACTCGGACACGACAACAAACAGGGTATCAAGCAAAGTCCGGTTTGACCAGCTCCTCTTCGTAGCATATCCCCCCGCCCACATGGCCTAGTTCTTTTCATGAAGCTCGAGGTGAAAGCTTGAGGCAAGCCATGGGAGCTACGTCTGCGTCTTCCGCTGCCGCGGGTTGCACGGTCCTCGATTTTGTCCGCTTGAGATATTCAAAGTAGAGGCGTCGTATACCCAAAGACTGCGAATTGTGATCGCCTTTGCTTTACAGCTCCGAACCCCACCAAAAGGGGTCTCAGAAAGCACCCGACCGCCAACTTCCAAGTCCTGACTACCACCAACTAAGCAAGACCGTGAGATCGTCGGCTACACAAAGAAAGTAACCACGGCTGCGAACGGACGGTGCAGCATTTTCCACGGATCATTTCAAACCCCTGCGTCAGGTGGTCGTTTGTGTCGTCCCTATTCTGTCTCCGTCTGTATCCGTACCACGGATACATAACAAACCTTCTCCTCACCTTACCCACACCGGCAAGGACAGAGGAGGGGAAAAGAATGGGACAAAACACGCACGACATCCCTTCCCTTGGGACCCTTCCCTTGCTGAAAATTACCCACGTCCAAGTTCCAACACTCCGTCATCCCAGGCCATTCACCCACTTTCCCACTTCGAAGCAGCAACCAAACAAAAACAAATAAAATTGAACCGTACGACAGAAAAAGACGGGAGCCCGCCCTGGCGATCCTCTTCTGCCCGTCCACCTGGATCACACAACGTCGCAAGCCCCCGTCCTACGTCAAGCAACCTGACTCCTTTGAGTCCTTTCTACCGGTAAAACAAAACCCGCCGCGACGCAACAACCCATCTTTACACTTTGAACAAGCTCCGCGTCTCCAGTCTTCATTAAACTCAACCTGCAGGCTGACAGCTAGCCCCAATCTGTCCGAATCGCAGTCTGCGTCAAGTGCCGCAACCCCTAGGGCCCTTGAGCTAATCTTAACCTGCGGTTCCTGCGTGTGTGTGTGCCATCCGTCTATTGGAGAGGGAGAGAGAGCAACGAAACCTGTCCACGACTCTGTTGAACCGGTCCTATTTCCGCCTTGCAGCAGCACACCACCACCACATCAGTTTAGCAGCAAACTTGTGGCGAGGAAAAGTGGTCTCGTGGCCTGTAATCGACCAACCGGAGGAGACGGGGCAGACGAAGCATAGCTGCAAAAGCAAGTCATAGTGTCAAGCAAGGGGGCAATTCACAACCGGTCGACGAGGATTTCAAGCGAGCAGCAGTCGCAACTCAACTCGGTACCTTACCTTAGGCAAGGGGGCAATCCCATCCTTTGCTTGCAGCGTTCGTTCAGCAAAGTATCAGTATCCGAAGGAAAGCCCAGCAAAACAAAGCAAACAAGTAGCTGCACGCGCACCCGTCCATCTTACCACCCACGCAAACCGCAACGCAGCAGCCGCAGCCGCAGCCGCAGCATAACACGGCTCGGGACCACACCCACCTCGAACCTGGGCCAGACCACGCGCGAAACCACCTCGCCGATCGATTCGGCCCCTCATCCGCCCTCCTTCGCCGGAATCCTGAACCTGACCCCTGGCCCCCTTCCTGCTCCCCTCCTCCTCCTCTTCCACCTCCCTGGGGCGAACCACACCGTCATCCCCCGTCATCCCGCCCGTCCCCGTCCCCGTCCCCGTCCAGCCCGTTCTCTCCCAGTCCTAGGCCAGGCTCAGCCTCCAGACACCCCCCTCCAACTCAAGACACCATGCAGCGATCCGGACCACCTCCTTCGACTGCCAATGCGCCATTCTTCTCGTCCTCCTTCTTCTCCTCTTCCTCCTCAAAATCCCGTCCCGGCACATCCTCAGGCGAACCACCGCAACAGTCCCAGTCCCAACCACCACCGCAGCCGTCCCCCTTCTTTCCGCCACCCCTCCAACAGCAACAATCCTCCGGCCCCAACGTCCTCATCAAGGACCGCAAGAACTCGTTCGGCCGTAAGACCTCCTTCAGCTCGCCCAACAAGTCCTACTCCAAGCGCCGCGCCAACAGCTCCAGCTCCGGTGGAGGAGGCAATGTCGTAGTCACCGACCGCAACGTCCCGCCCGCACTCCCCGACTTCGCCCTCGCCGCCGCCGCAAAGATCACCCGTGACGCCGACAACATCCAGAGCCCCGCCTCCGCCGACAGCTTCTCCAGGATGCTGAGCCGTTCCCAGACCGGCTCGACGAGCCTGGCACCCAGTGACCGCCTACAACCCCCGCCCACCTCCGCGACGCACCCCAACTTGTGGCAGTCGAGCGAATCTGTCGTGTTGCACATGCAGATGCAGGAGATTGCGAACAAGAGGATATCAACGTTGGACTACCTACGCAAGGCGTACGTGCTTCCCCCCCTCCTACGTGGGTCATCAGCGTGCTAACTATACCCCAACAGACACGAAGGCCGAGTGTACTGGTTCAACACAATCCTCTTCGACAAGCCCGACCTCGCCCGCATGCCCTCCTTTGAATCGCGGAAACTCGCCCGCCGCGCGACAAACTACCTCCTCCTCGGCCTCTCCCTCCCCACAATCGTCGACCTCTACGCAAATACCCCGATCGAGTTCCTCCGCAGCCTCAACAACCTCCTCCAAGAGTTCGAGTCCTTCCAACAACTCCACAGCGAAGGCGGCACCTCCACCAGCTCGCTCTCACGCGCCCGGTTGCCCTCCATGTTCCGCCGCCAGGGCGGCAAGTCGCGGCGCAGCACCAGCGGCGCCAACGATATCGGGTACCCTCTCGACTCGGAGTCGGCGAGCGGCGGGAGCTACGGCGGCATCGGGGGCTCGTCCAGCGCGAGCGCGAGCGTCATGTCCTTTGCGTCGAGCGACAACGACCTGCTCCCGGGCGAGGTTTACACGCACCTGCTCACGCCATCACTACCGTTCGAGCCCGATTTTTACGAGACGTTTGCGACGCTGTGCGAGGTACTCATCGATGTCTACATGAGGGTGTTGAGCCTGGTGCCCACGCCGAGGGAGACGACGGCACCCGTGGCGGAGCTTTTCGCCAAAGCGGACGCCAAGGTGCGCAAGATTATTGTCCAGGGCGTCGTCAAGGAGTTTGAGGACAGCAGCAGGTCGCACATTAAGACGGAGGTGGCCAATATCAGCAAGGTTGTTCTCGGTGGGCTACTGTGAGGGACGGAATGATATATGGGACCCATGTCTGGAATGATTTGCATTTTCCCACGGAGTTTTTTTTTCCATTTGTCTAGGGATGGTTTTATGTTTGAAACGTGGAAGAGATTCGGCGCAGGGCACTTCATGAGTGGGCTTAAAGATATACCAAATTCTCGTTTGTTTCTATTCTTTATATACTTCTCTCTATAACCTGACCTGCAGGGAGAGACAGGATCTCTCATTTTTCAAAATTGATAGTCGAACAAAAAAGAAAAAGAAGTACCAAGTGTTCATCAGATACCATAACGCATGTTTTGTCGTCACATTGGCGGACCCTAAGGCCTCTCACCGTCAGTGCTTGACTCTATTTGGTAATCATCATCGAACTTGTAGTGTATCCAAACTTTCCGCTGGATCCAGGGCATCATAGACGGGTGAGACTTCCCATGAAGTCCAGAGTGTAGATGTCTAGCCCCTTTACGGACCAACGAGAAGAAAGGAAAAGGGGAAAAAATTCCCAGGTTTGGGTTGAACCCCCCTCGCACCAAGAATAAGCCCCATCGAGTAACACGCCCAACCCCAGTGAAGAGGTGTGGACGGGCAATCGCATACCTATCGATCTCGACGAAAGACCCTCCGACGGACCCTTGAAATCGCCCGGCAAGCGAACCCTCCCCAACGGCCACCCCGTCATCAAAGACTCCCCAGCCCTGCAAGGCTCCCAAGTCTCAATTCCCAGGCGCGGACTCATATCTTCATCCAAAGGGTCTTGAAAAGTGAAACTCGGGTCTCGTAGGGAGGAAAAGCCAACGATGTAGCGACGGGGCGGGGTGTGAGAGAGCCCATGATGTCCGGACGCAGGTCTTGGAGGTCAGCCGCTGTGCTTCTATGGCGGCGCGTTTCCGCGGCGTTTTGACTTCGCTTTCCGAAGAAAGGGAAGTAACGTGTGTCCGGGGACTTTCTCCCAAAGCTGCTATCTTGAGAAGCCCTTCCAAAAGGAAAGGAAATCTCCGTTTGTGAGCTTCGATGGCGATTTGTCGGACGAGGGGGGTTGAAGAGAAGAAGAGGGAAGGAAGAGCAGATGCGAAGCTTGGAGTCTTTTTTATACAGAAAAAAAAGTTTTGGAGCTGCAAAGTGGGGCTGTATGTGTGGTTATTGCGGGGACCTTCTGGTCTGTGTGGCTCAAGCGCAGGCAAGGTACTCGGCACGCAGGCACCCAGCCTTGTGGCTTTCCCAGCCAATGAGAGACCGCCATCACTTTTCGCATCGCGACTGCCTTTCGTGCCTGGACTTGAACTGGAGTCGGGAAGCTTCAATCGGAGACGCTTTTTCAGCAGCTATTTGAAGCTGTCGCCACCCGCCTCTGTTTCCACCAGTTCACCCCAGAAGACCTCTTGACTTACGGGACACCACGCTCCTCGTTTTTGCACGACACTAGAAATCTTTCCAACTATTCACACGTACGCGCACGCATAGCTTGACCGACGACACACCGACACCATGTCCGGCCTGTTTGGCAGCGCAGCTGCGTCCTCGTCGAGCAACACGGTCGGCGATCTCAAGCAGGACGTCGCCCTCAACAACCCCCCTGAGGACAGCATCTCCGATCTTGCCTTCTCTCCCGCTCAAAACCAGACCAGCGACTTCCTGGCAGTCTCCAGTTGGGATAAGAAGGTCAGGATATACGAGATTGCACCCAACGGGCAGAGCGAGGGACGACACGCATACGAGCACGATGGACCCGTTCTGAACTGCGACTGGTCCAAGGTACGTGATCCACACCCTGCCAACGCCAACAACCTTAACTAACTTGTCCAACCAAGGACGGCACAAAGGTCCTCTCTGGCGGCGCCGACAAGGCCGTCAAGCTCTGCGACCTGGGCTCCCAGCAGACGATCAAGATTGGCGAGCACGACCAGGCCGTGAAGTCTGTCCGCTTCTTCGAGTCGTCCGGCACCCCGATGGCCGTGTCGGGCTCCTGGGACAAGACGGTCAAGTACTGGGATATGCGCTCGCCGACACCCGCGGCGTCGCTGGCCTGCCAGGAACGTGTATACACGATCGACGTGCGAAACGATCTTCTTGTCATAGGAACCGCCGACAGATACATCAACGTGGTGGACCTCAAGAACCCGACAAAGTTTTACAAGACCCTCCAGAGCCCCCTCAAGTGGCAGACCAGGGTCGTCAGCTGCTTCGCGGACGCTGCCGGTTTTGCTATTGGCAGTATCGAGGGACGTTGTGCGATCCAGTATGTCGAAGACAAGGATGCTAGGTATGTTTGAATCCAGGGAACTTGCAAATGTAGCGCAGCAGACGGCTAACATGTGAACAACAGCTCCAACTTCTCTTTCAAGTGCCACCGAGACCCTCCCGCGAACAATGTTACCAACGTCTATGCCGTCAACGATATTTCCTTCCACCCCGTCCACGGCACCTTCAGCACGGCCGGCTCCGACGGCACATTCCACTTCTGGGACAAGGACGCCAAGCACCGTCTCAAGGGCTATCCCAATGTGGGCGGCAGCATCACGGCCACCACGTTCAACAAGAACGGATCCATCTTCGCGTATGGTATTAGCTATGACTGGGCTAAGGGCTTTCAGCATAACACGCAGGCGTACCCTATTAAGGTCATGCTGCACCCAGTTCAAGCGGATGAGTGCAAGCCTCGACCGACCATGAAGAAGCGGTAGAGCGGTAGATGCGAAGAGGATATCCGGAGGAAGGACAAGGTGGGTTCACACCTGGATGATGAGGTGGGTGCAAGGAAACCGAGCACAGGATGTAAGGGGCAGATGACAGGGAGATGTTATTGCGCCAGGATGGATACCTGTGTAATGTACGAGACGAGTCGATGAGTTCGATGCTCTCGGGAACCAAGCTACAAGCAGATTTTATGGAATCGCGAATCATATCCGCGAAGGTGTACGGTACCGGACGATACCAAATTGGCAATCAAAAGTTTTCATAGTAAAGTGTCACCATGTCTTCACAATGCCATTCGCCAAAAAAGGGAAGTCTTGAGGTAGGATTTGCTTAGGTAAAATCCCAATTAGTCTTTGATTTTCGAATACCACTCGTACCCATTTGTGACGAGTGTGTGTCAAGTTTAGCGTTACCGCCATCTGAATCACAATTAAAACCATATAGCCATCGATAAGAGAAAAACCGTATCTCGACTGCATTCCAAGCAAGTCTCCATACCTACTACATGACTGGAATAATATCATCCGCTTTGCTATTTAGTTTCACATCATAACAATCATCGGCCCCTCTATGCAAATCATCGTCTCGGAGCAAGGAGCGTTGCCTCCCGGGGGGGGGGGTGTTCATCTTGGTAGTTTTCATCACCACCATCACACATTCCCCCCTTCTCTATGGGCTTGCAGCTCGCCTGCAGCTTAGAAAGCAGGCTTCTGCGACGACCCGACGACATTGTCGACGAGGCCCTTCCACAAATCCCTGAGACCGGGCTGTTGCACCTCCGTCTCGGCGGCGGCCTCACTGTCGTGGGCCCACTTCAGCTCGACGCCGTCGACGCCGAAGCCCTCGATCTCCGTCAGGGCCGCGGCGGTGGTGACGTTCTCCGGGTGCGCGGCAATGATTGAGATTTCGGGCTTCGAGAGGGGGAGGGCCTCCTCGGCTGCTGTTTGTTCATACAGCGATTGGTGTTTTGTGGTGAAGGAGTCTGGGAGGAGGGGCATGCGCATGCCGGCGAATTCGTTCTTGGGGACGGGGTCGTAGGAGATGGGCAGGATGGTGAAGTCCATTGAGGAGATTGGGGTCGGGGATGATGCCGCCGCCGCCGAGGAGGAGAAGGTTTGCATTTGGCGGACGGAGGGGGAGGTCCGAGTTGGTTGCGGGGTTGGGCGGTGGGTTGTTGATAGGGTGCGGGCGGACTGTGTGTGCGCGTGTTAGTTTGGGTGTTTCTTGTGGCACGAGAGCTTCTTCTCATTGGAAGAGGGGGAGGGGAACGGAACGTACATCATGCTCGCGGGGGCTCCGGTTCTGGAGGAGCTCTGCGTATTTTGGCATAAGGACGGCGCCGTGGTTGACGTTGTAGTGAGACTCGAGGAGGCCGCTGGAGCGGTTCGCCGTGGCGGCCGAGTTGATGGAGCGGGTGAGCTTTGCGACGGGGGCGGTGATGCGCGACATGGTGACAGTTTGGGGGTTGTTAGAGTTTCCGATGAGTTGATGGTTGATTTGGGGGGGTTCAAGTGCCGACCAGGCTTAAAGTTGATTGAGATGTTGGTGTTGGTGGTAAATGTCTTGGAGACTCAGAGGTGAGAGTGAGGTGAGAGATGTTGTTCAGACTTGCCGAGTTTGGCAGTAGGGCGTTGGTACGGGCGGACGGCAGAGATAGCAGAGTTGATGTACGGTTGGATGAAGGAATCGAACGACAGAGGATGGAGGGGAGGGGGAGTTGCATGGCAGATATACAAACGCACGGAAGGAGGGAAGGGCGGGAGAGAGATTAGAGATCAGAGACAGAGCTTCACACCTCACACCTCACACACGGGCACTAACTATCTTACCACACGAGCATTCACACACACCACCACACACAGGGCGTGGACACACACCCTCACTGGCCTCCCCGGAACTGGAACTGGAACTGGAACACTGGAGCTGGAACGGGGACTGGGCCAGGGGGGGTTGGCTATTAGCCTAGACAGCTATGGAGGAGGATGGGATGAGATGCGATGGAGTGGTGGGATGAGATTGAGAAGGGGAGAGAGAGAGAAGGTGAGAAGCTGGGCTGCCGTCGCCATGGCTTGCGTCCCAGGTCTGGGTTCGGGGATGGGATGGGATGAGAACGGCGGTTGCGGTGGTGGTGTACGGTGGCAGGCGAAGTAAACGGTAAAGAGGGAGAAGAAGAGTTGTGCTGGGCAGAGAAATGTACATTGCTGGTACGAAACGTGGAATCGGGAGTCAAAGTACAGGTCGCGCTCGTCGTCCGTGTAAGAGGTACAAAGGAGGTGGATGTACCCGGAGGTCCGGTGAACGGCGGAGGCAGCATTGCATGGTTTTGGCGGAGGACAAGCCGGCTGCCGGGAGTGGGTGAGGTACCCATGCCAACAGGCACTTTGCATCCGCTTCCGCATACTTTCTTGATTTGACCTTTCCGCGCAGTACAGTATAGCACTAGTACTCTACGGACTAGTAGACTCAGTAAGTTCGGAAGTTGCTAGAGTGCTGTGGTAGGAGTATACTGTCGTGTCGAGACTGTTAGAATGAGATGCCCCCCTGGTAATTGTTGAGGAAAGATCCAATCAGATTGGCAGGGGCCCCAAGGAGAACAAGTCAGGGTATTTTTGGTTGGTTGAGTGGGGGAGACGCATGTACGTGTCGGCATTCTGCCCCCATGGATGTGCACGCTATTATGCCACCACGCATGCACATAAGGCGAGTCTTAATTAGTCTTCCCCCCGCGGATGCAGTTGCTTCGTTCTAGCTTTCCAAAAGAGCCGATGAACTCCAGAGACCTCAAGAGTTGCTAGAGGCGCGGGTTCAGATCACGTAGGACATGTCCGTCGTCAGACTGGGTGACTGTTTGTCGCGAAGCAATAGTGGCACTCTCTGTTGCAACTATTTAACAACAGGAATCCGAGCAAGAGGTGCCGCAGGTCCTATTTGTTGGCTGGTACCAGACCAGACCGCCCCGATCGACGGGGAGGGCGCGCGTGAGCTGACGACGGGAGGGGAATGGCGCGGGTGTGGCATGGATTTCCTGCCAACCTTGAACCTGCCAGACAACCGACCCGCCCACCCAGGCGGTCCTTTTTTTTACTGTTACCGTCACCGCTCTGGATCTGGGATCTGCTGGGCTGGGTTCGGTTCTGCGTTGGTGGTGTGTGGACTGACTTGACTACCCGCGGGACAGAGTTTCCAACCGTGCCAATCTAGTTCCGTCGACTCTGTGGAGATGGAACGGCTCCTGTTTGCAGATTCAATGTGATAATGGCGCACCTATCTAAACTTGGCAGCGAAACGAGCGCGATGGAGAAAAGAGATGGAGAAAGGGTACACTAGCAGAGAGAGCAAAGATGAGCAGGTATAGGCGAGGAAGACTCTGGACTGGGTTCGGTGGTTTCTTGAGGCGGTCGGGTACTGCGATGAAGCAGCTTCGCGACCCTGCCAAGACGGGCACTGGACGGGAGGTATATTAGGAGCACGTTGGACGAGCGAGTTGATGCTTGGATTTGCCCGTAGCGCGCCAGGAAGTCCTCCTGTCTTTAGGGGGTGAAGAAGAGTGAGCGAAGACCAGCGAACCCGTCACCAACCCCAATCCAGAAACCTATCAAATGTGGTGTGTGTCACTGTGCTTGCTTGTTCGACTTTAAACTAGCGTCAACTGCGAACTGGCTCTCGCGTGTCGGATTATCATAGTTTCAATCGTTAGATGATCGAAAAGATGAGTGAGTGTGGTGGTGTGGAGGATGATGGAAGGGGGGATGACGAGCGGTTCCCTCCCAAGGACTGGAGAGTCGAAGAAGACGAAGGAAACGGCTCTGGTCGAGGAGCCGATCAAGTAACGACCAAGCAGTCTCGAAGGCAACAGCGATAACCCAAACGTTAGACAGACACGTTCCAACGCTCCCATGGCCCTTGGGGGGTTTCCGGTGATACCGATAAGGAACGGGCTGGGTTGTTAGACACTCTCCTCAACAGAAAATAGAGACATCCGTAACCCTTTCCAGCCTGGCTGGTCCCTGGACACAACGTCCCAGTGTCACAGTGAGTGAGTGTCACAGTGGGTGAGTGGCACAATGGCAGATCAGGAATACGGAGGAGCAGACAGAGAAACTGGATCTTGAGCTGAGATCTCGAGGGACCCCGTCGCATGACACAGTCTCCAGAGACCAGGACGCGCCAGTGAATATCGCTGACCAACCCAACGTCACTGGGGTTTACGTGTCCGGCCCCACACGAGTCGGTGTTGCTGTCGATTATTTTGTAATGATTTTCAGGGACATGGCATTCACTTGAGAATACGGATACAACTATGCAGATCGCGCGGCGCCCTCCGTATCTATGATAAGCCATTGAAACGGATCCATCGAAATGCTTGTTGAGCTGAGCTGGCTTGTCTGGCTCTCGGGCTGTGCACCGCTGAGCCGTCCTTGTCGATGGCGGTTCCCACTCAAGATTGCAACAAGAAGCTTGGCTACGACACACTTGATTTGCACAGTTGCACTGACAGCGCGGGTTGACTTTGCCTTGACAGTTTCCAGGTCCCTGCTGGTCTCTGCTTGGGGGAACTCGAGGCGAGCAGGAAGAGGAAAGGAACCGGGGGACAGGGCAGGGTGGCAGGGAAGGAAACCAAAGCTTCGAGACGTTGAGGAGCTTGGGCCAGCTGCGGGTCCCCGGTACATGCACGCCGGCTTCCCGTCCCTGGCCCCACCACACCACACCAGGGCAGCCAAGCGCTTACCTCAGTTCACTTCACTATAGTCTCCAGTCTCGGAGAGTCTCTTCGGTCAAACAAGTCCCCAGCTCACACACACAGACGCACCACTGACGCTCGCCGTTCCTACACCGTACTCAGGGCCCGCTGGACGAACCGTCAGAGTCGCTCAGGGCTAAGGCACGGCTGGTCTACCACTTGAAGATTTGTTGACCGAGACGCGCATTGGTGTCTTTTCGCTCTTCGTCACCCTGTCGTCTCCTCTTCGTCCCCATTTTTGCTACCTACTCTTGTTTTTCTCTTCAGCAACGGCTTGCCGTCAAAACTCTCCCCCGTTCCTGTTGTCTCGTCTTGGCCTTTCCATATTGTCACAAGGTCGTCTCCTTTCGCCGTAGGTCCCCCTGGAATTGTCCCAAAGCAGCGTAGGGACTTTGCCCTGCCCTGCCTGCCAACCAAGACATGCTGGGGCTAGCGTGGCTCCCTGCTGCCGGGGGACCTGCAACCCCATGATCGCCCTTGTCGGCTGGGCATGCCTGGATGGGGTTCTCCCGCTCGACATCACTGGCCAGTCGCCCAGGGCCAGACGGGGCGAGACGTTGAGTCTTGACTCTTGAGTTTGACCTCCGGTGATCGCACTGAGCCAAGGCCAATCTATTCACCTGCCAATGTGTATGGTGGAAATTACTGTGTCCATCACCTGGGACAATGCATCAAAGTATAACCTGCTTGACGGGCTGGTCGGAGGATGAACCACACGCTACCACGGTACGTTGGCACGTTGGCGAGCTGGTAAGCTCAGGGGAGCTCCATAGCTCTCACCGCTTGGGGTTCGAATCCACCGTCCTGGGGGTGTGTTTGTGCCGCTGCCGCTGATCGAATTACTCACGGATTTGACACCCGCGTGATTGGCTAGAAGAGACGGACGATCGGCGCATGGCCAGATCGTTGGGAAACCTTCACCATGTCCTCGTTCGGAAAGTCCATCCACCGTCACAGACGGCGATGCGCGACATTGTGTACGGGAATCGTTTTTTGACTCGAGTATGTTGGACGGTGCGAATCCCTTGGTCCTGCGAGTAAGCAAAACGTGCATCTTTGGGCGTGTTGGCTTGGGTGCCGCTAGCCGGAGCAAACGGCACTCCCGATCGTTCCTTGTCCATCGACGTTATTGTCGCCTTTCTTTCTACTGCTCGCTGCTAATCCCAGAAGCTTATGCAGGGTGGCATGCTAACACCTCAGACGGCGTCTCAATCTGTTGTTCGCTGTTCGAACTAGGAGTCCGAACAACTCGGCGATATCCCCATGAAGTCATCAAGAGATGCAGCAAAGAAACTGACTCATGAAGAACTCGATACGCAAGAGGGTCCTTCATGACGATGGCAAGGAGAAGCGCCGAAAGAAGACGCAGAATTCCGAACGTTCTGATACCCGCGCCATGCACCAGCGACAGATTAAGAGCGAAGGAGGTCGGAGAGCGTGAACTATTGCCGAACTTCAGATCAACCCATAACCGTGGGGGTCGTTCGGACAATTCTTTTCTGGCTCGGAGGGGAGAAAAAAAAAGCACGAATCGAGAGCAAGTCTGTGCGAGCCAGTTCTCAGAGGAACCACTGGCCCGGTTCCTCGATCAAGGAGAAGCCTTGAAGTCTGGTCTGTTCTCTGATTCGATTCTGCTATTCCTAGCCCGGTATTTTACAAGCTCATGGCGTCTCGGTCGGGCGACGGCCGTGCGACGACGTTGCCGTTCGCGTGTATGAAGTCTAAGTTCTGAATCAAGTTGGGTGTGCTGGAAAGACGCACTGGAGCTTCAGCACGGCATCTTCGACTAGCTGGTACCTTTCATGGAGGACTACGCTGAAGTTCGTCACTAGAAATCCCATCTGGAGAGGTCTCTACGAGAATCTACGAGAAAGGGCTTAAGGTGGGTGGCTTGACTGTCATACGCCTCATCTGCGTCCGGCCAGGCCACGATTGGCAAAGGTATACCTTACATGTGGCGCCATACTGATTGCCTGGCCCTCCTTTTTTTGCCTGTAAGAGTGTCAGTGCATGCTCCATGCAAATGCAAATGCAATGCTGTCTGAGAAGGTAGGTATGTATGCGAGCTCGGCGAGATAGGTACGCACAGATAGGCGTCACAAAAAGAAACACTGTCGCCGGGCCTAGTTTGTTCGAGATCAGTGATCAGGAACGCGTGATTAGCATTCAGGCACTCGGAATACCTTTGCCACATTAGGCTGACCGAGGCGAATGAGGTGCGGGCAGATTCATAGGTCCTCTTTCACCGCTCATTCCATTCTGCCCAATCCGCGAATCCGAGGCCATCCTCATCCACTAGCATCTTAGACGATTGCCAGGGAGAGTTCTACGGTTTCGGGGCGCCGCGGCGAGGATACCGGACGCGGGAGTGTTGTCTCTGATTGAGATGGTCTGCACCAGACGGCGGCCGCAGCCAACGATATGGCTCTAAAGCCGCAGTGGCTTATACGCTCAGAGACGTTAATAATCGCGTTTGAGACACATAGTGGCAGGCAGGCGTGGCGGGTATCATCAATTCGACATCCCGCGGGTGGAAGAGAGACGGGCCGGGCCCGGGGATGGCATCGTCGTGACGACCTCTGGCATGTTCCCCCCCAGGGGGCAAGGACTTGTCATGATCCAATCAATTCGAATCACCCCACCCACGTGTTGACCTATCCCACGCGTTGCGGGCGGGCGAGGTCTTAGATGGGGTTTCTCTCAACAAACCTCATCCTTTTTGCTATTCGTCGTCCACCGGTGCGTTCCAGCGGAACAGCCAATCATGACGCCCAAAATGCCGGGCACCTCGGAGCCGGCCTTTATCTCGCTCGGCATGGTTGTTCTCGACGAGCTCCGCTTTCCGGACGGGAGGGTTCTCCGCGACGTCCCCGGCGGCTCTGGGTTTTATAGTAAGTGAAAGCTGGGACAGCCAAACCCAAAGTTTCAGCTGTTGCTATTTTTTGCCATTGCGATCCTGGATAGTTTTCTAGTGAATCCAAGTATGCCTTCTAATCGTCGACAGGTACTCTTGGCGCACGCCTTGCGGTCCCGCAGAACGAGTCCGCGACTGTATGCTGCCTCATCACCGCAGGGTCTGACTTCCCAACTGCCGTGAGGCGGCAGATTGAGGGATGGGGTGTCACGACTCACTATGATGAGATGCCGGACAGGCTATCGACGAGAGGCCTCTTGGAATATGAGAATGATGCTTTTGGAAGTGGGTTTTGATTACCTCCGTCTGTACGATCTGTGTGTTCAGGCTGATATTCATCCAAAGAAAAGACGTTTCAATACACGACAACACCTCTGCAACCTGATATAGGCCGGGTTCCTCAATCCCTTCTCCAATCGTCGGTAATCCACATCCTGGCAACGCCAGAAGATCTCGAACGATATTTCCAGTCTCTCACAACCTTCCGCGGTGAGATGAAGACCACTCGGCCCCTGATCGCATGGGAGCCCTCACCCATCAACATCCACAACCGCGAAGAGGAGCACATGCGAGCAATCAGCCTGTCGGACATTTGCTCACCAAACGACCACGAGCTCTTGCGTATGAAGGGCATTGACGAAGCCCCGGGAATCCCCTACAACAGAGCATTGATCGAGCACCACGCCAACAGCCTCTCCAGCGACAAGAAGACAACGGGACGCCCTCCGTCGCACGAGGTGCGGAGGGGACCACGGGTCACGGTCATAAGGTGCGGCGACCAGGGCTGTCTCACCATTCCCCGGTGCGGCGATCCGATATGGCTGCCCCCTTTTCACGACTACGGCTCGCCACACGTCGTGGACCCGACGGGCGCCGGCAATGCCTTTCTCGGCGCCTTTTCAGTTGCTTTCGCGAGGACGGACGACGCCGTGCTCGCCTCAGCGTATGGATCCGTGGCGGCCAGCTTCGCTATTGAGCAGATTGGTCCGCCTAGGAGGGAGGTAGTCAACGGCAGGGAATATTGGAACGGGGAGGCGTTTGAAGACAGGCTGAGGCAATATCAGGACAAGGTCGCGACGTGGTCGACCGACGTAGTTTTACGAAGCGAGTGGACTAGAGAGTCTGGGTATTCATAGAAGGGGGTCAAGAGTCCCAGTGGTCCTCTGGGTATCATAACGAGACTATAAAATTCCCGACCTCTAGATGCTCGGCAAGTCCTTGCACCTGCCTGACACGTGTCTTAATAACCTCCTCTCCCGCCAAGCCCCTTCCATCCTCATCGAATGACCTGCGTTCCTTCCGCGGGCTCCAGGATCTTCCACTGGCAGCCGACATCTTTGTCGGCGTTGTTCTCCTTGAGAATCTTGATAATCTTATTCGCAATCTCCTCAAAATTGCTGGTGGCCAGCGCTAAGATGGTGGGGCCAGCGCCGGAGAGGCACACGCCGAGGAAGCCCGGCTGCGTGCTGGGGGACATGCCCTCGACGATCTGGCTCAGGCCCGGGATGAGGGTCTGGCGGTAGGGCTGGTGGATCTTGTCCTGCATGGCGAGGTGGATGAGTTCGGGGTCCGGGGGCGAGGTACCCAGGGCCACGGGCAGGAGGGCTATTCTCTGCATGTTGAAGGTCTGGGATTGGGTTGTGTCAGCCGAGCATTGGGAACCGGAAGATGATTACATGAAGCTCTGTGGATGAGATATGAGAGAGAGAGAGTAGGGGAACAGGAGCCACTCACGACATCGGGACGGGTGTAGTGGGGTGGTAGCACCTCGCGGGCGAGGTGAGTGGGGACCTGGAAGTCGGGGATGATGGCGATGGCCTTGATCTCCTTGGCCCAGGGGAACTTGATGTGGTGGCCGATTCCGTGGGGCGGCTCCGGCGGGGTCTCGCCCGTGTCGACGCCGCCTGCCGGGGCGGGCAGGACTTCGCTGAGGGGGATCTCGATGCGCTGAACGTCTTCGGGCTTCAGGGGGCGGAGGTAGGTGCCGACGAAGCCGCCGTATAACGAGGCGCCGACGTTGTCGGGATGTCTCTCTGGTTTCTCGTGAGTACTGCACTCTCGAGCTTATCAACATTTTGCAAGGAGGACTCACCAATCATCAAACAAAAGTCGAATAATCTGTCCAGACTGAGGTGGTCCAAGTGTCCGACCTCCTTTCCAAGCATCACGCCGGCAACGACGGCGGAGCCCGAGCTGCCGAGGCCGCGGCCGAGCGGGATGGGGTTCTTGATGTGCACATGGGTCTCGACGGGGAACATGCGCTGGCCGTGGCATCTCAGGACGTAGAGGGCGACGCGGGTGATGAGGTTGACGGAAGGGTCGAGGCTGATCTCGGAGGAGCCCTCGCCCTGGCCCTCGTAGGTGAGGCGGCAGTTGAGGGGCTCCGAGGAGGTGGTCTTTGAGCGGTCGACGGTGACGTGCAGTTCGAGGTAGACGGAGAGGGCGAGGCCGATGACGTCGAATCCGGGGCCGATGTTGGCGGAGGATGAGGGCGTCTTGATCACAAACGTCTCCTTGGTCATGATGGGCGGGCGGGCGGGAGGGCGGTGTAAGTTGGGTGGAGGGGGCGGGGTGTTTGTGAGCTAAGGACAGACTCGAGATAAGGTGAGGGGTTCAGGTCGTCCGGCGAAGGGATGCTTCAGAGCGATCAACGGTCGTCCCAATTGAAGCGTTTTGAGCGAATTGGTGATTCCGTCTCTTTGAGCGGGTGGCTTGTCCGTGAGATGAGTGCGAATTCTCATGCAGAAGCGTGAAAATGAGAGTGAGTCGGGCCTACTGCTGCTTGAATGGTGTCGTTCGTGACTCAAAAATTTGGACGTCGCCCGATGACCGGAGCGTCTTAGCGGCCTGGCGCTGCTTCTTGGTGGGTTGATTGCGGGGTGTCCCTCCGAGCCGCCATTGGCCAATTGGGTGCCTTCAGCTTGGATGCATGGTCAGCTCTCAGCGCAACCCGATCAGATCGCCCAGCCACCCTCCATTGAACCTGACCGCGCCTGAACTTACCTTAAAAGCTGGACGCTGTAGGTAAGGTACGGATAGCGTTTCCTTATCTTATCACGCCGCCTCTCCTTCATTCGTGTACCTTACCTTACTTTCTCTGCTTGGTGCTTGTTGCCAATGACAGGTGCATTTTTCAACTACATCTCATGTCTGGGCCCGGTGTCAGGCTGTGTGGCAGGCTGTATGACACGATACTAAATTCTTGCCTGCTTATCTTTTTGCTGGCCTGCACAAGCCGATGGAATGTCCAGCTACCTAAGTAACCAAAGCATTGAGCTCTCGGATTGACAAAGCGATGCACAGTGCTACAAACCCCACGAACGAACCGGGAAGGACTCCAAAGTCAGTCATGATGCTCGTCTGATGATAACAATACGTTAAGCGGACCGCGAAACTGTCGATTCCTTGAATGGCTCTGCGCGATCTACCACATCCTTCTCGACCTCTTGGCTTCCCATCCCGTGGTGCACCAGCCTTACAGTCTATATTATTCCCTGACTTGGCATCGACCCAACTCATAACTCCACATCCTTCGTATCGCCGCCTTCTTACGAGCGATTCGAATTTGGGTAGCCTCCTAGGCTTTATAAAGCCGATTCAGGTGCTGGATAGGAGTTTCCTGGGCAAGCTTCAGTGTTAGAAATGGCTGCACCTCTCTTTATGAAGAACTGCCTCAACGAAAGGATCTCATCCCAAAGGGTCACGAGCCAGACAGGTTCCCGTAGTGGCGGTCATTCACCGCCCCCCCCCGTCGTCGAGGATCCATCGGAAACTCGCAGAAGGAAGCGGGGATCTGGACAAGAGCTCGTGTTTTGCCGAGCCAACCGCATACTCCACTGTCCTTTGCGGATGCCTGCCAGTCGCATCGGGGAGCTCCAGCATGGAGTTGCGGAGCCATGTATGGAGCTTCACCCACTGTGCATATGCCACAAGCTCTATGGCCATGTCCGAGATCTATCCTCAGCTCAAAGACGGTCAATTATAAGAGATTAGCAAGAAAAGGGCGGCGAAGCTCGGATACACCGGACACCCTGCGGACGGTGGCCCAGCGACTAACACACAGTGATCGGCCCATTCGTCGCGGGCGAGTGAGACTGCGCGCGCTGATCCGCGCTTGCGCGCTTGTAACGTTGCTCGACGCCGCGGATGGTCAGCGTGAAGCGCATCTATGCCAATGAGCGGAAGGTGAATGACGGCTGAAGCCGCCAAGCTGCCACGCTAGCCTACTGCTTCGCCATCGTGAGTGAGTTACGGTTTTGTTGGTTTCTGCGCCGGTGCTCATTGGCGTCGGGGTCCTCCCTCTCCTGATGTGCTCGTGGTGGCGAAAGGACTGCTTATTGGGGCTCTGAACTTGGGATGGCGTCCGCCACACCCGTAAGCTCGTGACGCTCGACGTTTGCATCGCAGAAAGCCAGCCTCATCCTTTGAGGAAGCGCGCCCTGGCCACTCGCGTTCGGGATTTTTGTCAAGTCTTTCTTCCTCTCTGTGCGACAAGAGCGCAGTAAGGTCGCAGCGGGCAGCGGACGCATGCGTTGGCGAAGAAACCATTTATGGCAACCAAAGGCAACACGAGGGGGGGAAAGACCACCTGACGTTACGTCCCGCCAGCATTGTGTGGGGAAAAACAAGAGATCAACAGCGGTTGGCGGGAAAGTCGCCCGACGCACAAATGAGCCAAGTCCTGCATATTGAATCGAGGGAGCTCCGCTGCCGCCGAAGGCATGGGCAAGGCGGTAATAGCGTAAACAATAAAAGAACTCCTTGGTTGGAAGAAGCGTTTGTTGAGTTATGATACGGATACTTCCTTCGAAATCACCCGAATCCTCCCTTTACAAGCGGCTGGGGGAACAAGAGGCTGGCAAACCGGGCCAAAACAACGGAACCAGGGAATGCTAAACCCCAATACCCTTAGCGGTCTTGAATTGCTAAAAACAGCCCAGGATGACAGCGATGTCGCATGCACCGGTCAACTACACACCGTCGCCGGTCCGTTGTAGCGGCAGCCAATTCGAGGGATCGCGTGTTTGCTTCCCCCATGAGCCCCAACGGCGCTGGGAATCGGGGCTAGTGAATACGAGAATAATCCTCGCCTCGTTCTAGTGGCCCTTTCCCCACGTCAATATCCAGATCTGTGATCGGCAGTGCATTGGTGCTTCTCTGCTCTCTTTTTCCCTTGCTTCCCTCTTTCCTGCGCCGCTCAATACGAATTGGAGGAACCCTGGGGGGGGCTTGCCCCCCTCCGGCAGTCATCCCATACGATGTGACATGTAGTATGTCATCCCGCCAAGCCGGCCAAGGGTCCTGTGCCGGCCATGTCACGACATGACCCTATTGCCAGAGAGACCGCAACGTCATGGGTGACTGTTTCCCTGTTGCTCTCTGTTTGCCGTTGGAGACATGATCCGCTTCGGCTCGGGTCTGGTGATGGAGCCCGGTGAGGAGGCTGATCATTCTTGGGCTGAGCTGACATCGAGGCTGTATAAGAAGAGACTGAAGGCTCGCCTCATCCGACTTTCTTCACTCTCATCTTCATCAGCTCCTCCAACTACTACCTACAAGCAATAAAACAAGCTTCCAAAGCTCCATCTACAAGACCTACAAGACCAAACCAGCCATCACATTCAAGATGCAGTTCTCCAACCTCGTTACCCTCCTCTCTTCCGTCGCCGCCGCGACCGCCGTCTCTGTCTCCTACGACACTGGCTACGATGACGGCTCCCGCTCTCTGGACGCCGTCTCCTGCTCCGACGGCGCTAACGGCCTCATCACTAGGTACGGATGGCAAAACCAGGGCCAGATCGCCAAGTTCCCCTACATTGGCGGCGCTGATGCCATTGCCGGATGGAACTCTGCTAGCGTAAGTTAAAATCCTGCCCCATCTACGAAGTAGTAGTAGTAGTAGTAGAAGAAGAAAAGAAACGAGTATCAAAGGCTAACGAATCTCAACAGTGCGGTACCTGCTGGCAGCTCACCTACAACGGCAGAAGCATCAATGTTCTCGCCATCGACCACGCCGGGTCCGGCTTCAACCTCGCCCTCGGCGCCTTGAACGACCTTACCAACGGCCAGGCCGCTCAGCTCGGCCGCATCGACGCCCAAGCTACCCAGGTTGGCCTCAACGCCTGCGGTCTGTAAATCAAACGACGATAACGAACCAATATGTTTAACGGCAAGAAAAGCATAATAATCACCATCAATAATTGGAGGGGTTTGATGGGGACACCCCGACATTGCATGGAACCGGCGTAATTCAACCATTTGGTATATGCATATCACGATACATTCCTTAGAACATCATCAATCATAATGAGACGTGGCTAGCTGCCTCGGTCTATCAACATTGACCAGACTCCCAACTATACTTTATAATTCAAGTTGAATGGTACTTGTGAATGTTCAATAATGCATCTTGGAATTTCTCAGAGTATTGCTCCCGATTGATGAGTTCGCTAGCTACTTTTATCTCCTTCGAGCCCAAACCTAGCATGATCTTGCTGTTGGTGATATTTAGCGACAATTGCATCTGTCACCGCAGCACGTTCTGTTCCGTTGGCAGGTATCCAGCAGTCTAAATACCGTTAGGTGTATGCAAAATTTACGATGGATGATAAGCTAAAAATTGACAAATGACCCATGAACCGGAAGTAAGCCCTGCAGTTTAGCACGTTTCCTCGAGCTCGAAAGCACGTCTCGAGACTAGGACACGAATCTCTCAACTATATCAATGATGTCTTGCGACGTGCTTCACAAGCCTCGAATGCTGCTTCTGATTTATTGACGAAATTTTCATCGAGGAAAGACGAGGGCAAATGATTTTAATTGCGACGCAGTGTTCCTGTATCCGACTGCGTCATCCACCTGGTATTGACCCGGACCCGACCGAAATATGGGGACAGGAACACCGAGTCCGTGCCGGCAGAGTGGAGCCTTCAGACCGGTCACTCCAGAGTGTCGGTGAAGGATTGCGGCACATCTCCAGTTGCTCGGAACCAGCCCGAGGCCACTATTCATGCAGTACCTTCATGCAAAATCTTCTCATGTCACTGATTGTCAATGGAGGCCCCAGCTCCTCTACGCTTATTTGAACTCAACCGGAACCAAGCTCACAGCCGTAGAGGGCATGAAGGTTGACCACTTCTCCCATCTCTTTCGGCTTCAAACCCAGGCAAAATCATCGAGTGATGACGCAGCGACACTTAGGTGCCTTAATTTAGGTTTGCAGAAGCAAGTATGATGGATACCTGCCAGTAACGCAGATGTAAATCCAACTGGTCTCAAAGTTGATTGACTGCAGTTGCGCTTTGGGACCACCAGCAACGTAAGGTAGTTTGGATGAGGCACGTCTATCTCAATACCCAATACGGTTTAGCAAGACTATCTGAACCGCCCAAGATAGATTGGCCAGACAGCATGAAGACAATTCATGGCTTGCGGCAAGTGAACAATGCCGGTGAAGATTCCAGAGTCAAGAGCACGTGAATGGAGGGGCAGAAGAGGTACGTACCGGATGAAGCACGCATTTTCTGCAGGCGCGTGGTTCCTCAGGTAAAGTTGAGGAGGGGTGCCTGGACTTGACCCCGCCTTGCAGCAATTTTTTTCCTTCTCTCCTACCTTACGTTATCTTATCAGCAGTGGCGGGGCTCATCTCGAAATTTTCACGCTGGTCCCCTAAAAATTTGTGTGGTCCAGTGCCTCCAGGCTGCTTTCTGGGTGGTGGTTTTTTTATTTTTCCATTATTTTTATTTTACTTTTCGTCGTTGCGGCGTGTCATAGGTGGTTCGGGCATCAACAAAACAACTGGCCGACACCCCGTCCTGGTCTTCTGTGCTTGGATAAAATTCGTTGCGCCGGACCTTTTCTTCCCCTTCCTTCCCCCTTCTCACCTCGTTCTTTTTTCCTCTCCTCGTCTTCTCCTTCTTTTGCGCATAGTTGTGAGGACGACGAGACTCCAACAGAACCTCATGATGGATAAAGGAAACTTGGTCCAGCTGCTCCAAGCGAGCCAGATTCGTAAGTTACCTTACTCAACTGCCCATCGCTTTCCCCATCGCCCTGTGCCACCCCGGCCGTAAACCTGGTCGAGCCCGCCTCCCTCATTTCGTCGCCCTCGCTTGTTTTGCTTCGTGGGTTTTTGGCCTATAAATTTTGCTTTTCCCTCTGGGCCCTCACTTTATATTTTTTGCGAATTCTGTCTTGCTAACCTGCTCTCTGTTCTACAGCCGACACCGAGAAGGTCAAGGCCGTCACGGCTGAGCTCCAGAAGAACTACTACTCCAAGCCCGAGTCTCTTCTGCTCCTCATCGAGATCACCATCTCCCACGATGACGCCGCCATCCGACAGCTGGCCTCCGTCCAGGCTCTGCGTCTGACTTCCAGACACTGGAGCAAGATTGACGCCTCCCAGCGCGAGGCGGCCAAGAAGCATATTCTGGACAGCATTCTGAACGATCAGTCTGCTCCCTCCCGCCACTCCAAGTCGCGTCTTCTTGCCGGAGCTATTGGACTCGACCTTGAGGATGGCGAGGGTCAGGACTTCGTCCGCGGCCTCTTGTCTCTCAGCGTGGCCGAAAACATCGCCCACCGCGAGGTTGGCTCCTACATCCTCTTCGCGCTGCTCGACAACGACCCCACCCACTTCATGGAGCAGGCCCCCCAGCTTCTTGGCCTCGTCCAGAAGACCATCGTCGACCCTGCCAGCGCCGACGTCCGTCTGAACTCCGTCAAGTCTGTCGGCGCTCTTCTGATGATTGTCGACCCCGAGGAGGACACCCAGAGCGTCCAGGCTCTCCAGCAGCTCGTCCAACCCATGGTCGAGATCCTCAAGAACGCCATCTCCGAGGGCAACGACGACTACTACCGTGATGTCTTTGAGGTCTTCCAGTCTTTCCTGGCTTACGACTCTGCCTTCCTGGGTCCCCACCTGAAGGACCTCATTCACTTCATGCTCGAGCTCGCTGTCAACAACGAGGTCGAGGAGGAGGCTCGCTCGCAAGCTCTGGCTTTCCTCAGCCAGTGCGCCCGCTACCGCCGGATGAAGATCCAGGCCATGAAGGACATGGGTGCCCTTCTCATGGTCAAGAGCATGCAGATTGTCACCGAGATCGAGACTGACGACGATGACGACGAGAACTCGCCCGCCAGAACTGCCCTGAGCCTCATCGATCAGCTGGCCAACGACCTGCCTCCCCGCCAGGTCATTGTGCCTCTGCTCGAGCAGTTCCCCCAGTTCGCTCAGAACCCCAACCCTGGCCACCGCAAGTCCGCCATGCTTTCTCTCGGCACCGCTTCCGAGGGTGCTCCCGACTTCGTCGCCACCCAGATCCAGCCTCTACTTCCCATTGTTCTCACCCTGTTGAACGACCAGGACAGCTCAGTTCGCCACGCTGCTCTTGTAGGCCTCATCCACCTCGCCGACGAGATGGCCGACGAGCTCGCCCCCAAGCACCGCGAGTTCATCGGTGCTCTTCTCACCAACCTTGAGGCTGTCGCTGGCTCTTCCGACAGCCAGAGTGTCAGAATCATCCGCGCTGCCTGCGGTGCACTCGACTCTCTGATTGGCGAGGGTCTCGACGATGAGCTGATCAAGGAGTTCGGTCCCAAGCTCATTGTTCCCATGGGCAAGCTTCTCAACCACGAGGACTTCTCTGTCAAGGCTGCTGCTGCCGGTGCCATTGGCGCCATCGCCTCTGCTCTTGGCCGCGAGCAATTCAAGCCTTACTTCGCCGAGGTCATGGGCGCTCTCGGCCAGTACGTCACCATCAAGGACGGCGAGGAGGCTCTTGCCCTCCGCTCATCTGTGTGCGACTCCATGGGCCGCATTGCCGACGCCGTCGGTGCCCAAGAGTTCCAGCCTTACGTAATGGACCTCATGAAGGCCAGCGAGGAGGCTCTCAGCCTCGACAATGCTCGCCTTAAGGAGACTAGCTTCATCCTGTGGGCTTCTCTGTCGAAGGTCTACGGCAACGACTTCTCCCACTTCCTTCCCGGCGTCTTCAAGGGTCTCTTTGACTGCCTTGAGCTCGAGGAGGAGTCTCTTTCCATTCCTGGCCTTACCGAGGAGGATATCCCCGAGGGTCTGCTGATCTCCAACGGCAAGAAGCTCAACCTGAAGGCCGCTGCCGATGACGACGAGGAGGACATGGATGAGGACGCTGACTGGGAGGACCTCGAGGACTTCGCTGGTGTTACTGCCGTCGCTCTGGAGCAGGAGATAGCACTCGAGGTTCTTGGCGATGTCATCACCCACTCCTGCGACGGCGCTGCCATCGAGCAGTACCTCGCCGATGCCATGGGCAAGGTTTCTCCCCTGGCTCAGCACCCCTACGAGGGAGCCCGCAAGGCCGCCATCTCCACCCTCTGGCGCGCCTACGCCCGCGTCTGGCAACTCTACGAGGAGTCGACGGGAGTCAAGTGGGAGGCTGGCTACCCCCCTAAGCAGAACCCCGGCCAAGTCATTACCGACCTCGGCCAGTCTGTTGTTGAGGCCACTCTCAGTGTTTGGGAAGAGGACAGCGAACGGTATGCACACAAACATCTCTTTATTCTTCCCCATTCCCCCGCCCTAAAGGATGAGTAACTCTCGTTATACCCAGCTCACTCAGACGCACAAAGTGCGGTTGCTGAGAACACGATTGATCACGTCTGATTCATTGGGCATCTCCATCATTGTCATGACTAGCATTTTGTCGGGTATTTTGCTAACGTTTCACCAGCTCCGTCATCACCGAGATCAACCGCAACATTGCCGCTACTCTCAAGTCTTGCGGCCCCTCTATCCTTACGCACAACGACCTGCTTAAGAACAGCTTGACGGTCCTCGGCACCCTTATCACCCGCTCCCACCCCTGCCAGCAGGACCTCGGTGAGGAGGAGGAGGAGCAAGAAGCTGAAGGCTCTTCCGAGTTCGACTGGCTCGTTATTGACACCGCCCTTGACGTCATCCTCGGCCTCGCCACTGTTCTTGGCAGCGACTTCGCCGAGATGTGGAAGGTCTTCCAGCAGCCCATCCTCAAGTTCGCCAGCTCCCAGGAGTCTCTCGAGCGCTCCACTGCCGTCGGTGTCATTGCCGAGGCCGTCAAGTACATGGGTCAGGCCGTCACCGAGTTCACCGACTCTCTCCTGCCCGTCCTCACCCACCGCCTGACCGACCCCGACTCCCTCGCCAAGTCCAACGCAGCCTACGCCACCGGTCAGCTCATCTTCAACTCTCAGGACACCAACAAGACCATCTCCCAGTACCCCACCATCCTGGAGAAGCTCGAGCCCCTCCTCCAGATCAAGGAGTCTCGCATGGTCGACAACGTTTCCGGATGCATCTCCCGCATGATCATCCGCAACCCCAACCCCGAGTTCGTCGAGCGCGTCCTGCCCGCCGTCATCGACGCCCTTCCCCTCCAGGAGGACTACGAGGAGAACGCTCCCATCTACCAGGCCATCTACAACCTGTACGACTCCCAGAACCCCACCGTCGCCAGCCTCACCCCCAAGATCCTACCCGTTCTCCAGGCTGTTCTCAGCCCGCCTGAGGAGCAGCTGGAGCCCGAGACCCGCCAGTTGGTTCAGAAGCTTGCCCAGGCGCTTCACTAAATACGTGAAGGCTAGAGCAAGCGTTTGAGGAGGGTATTGAAGCAGGAACTTTTGTGTTGCCCCCTAACGGGCTGTTAATGAGTGATGAGTGGATGAGACACCCCCATTTCCTAAAAAGTCTGTAGATAGGTTCATAGATTGCCAGGCCTAGACTTCCTGGATGATTCCCAAAATGCTCTATCAACTTTTTTTTATGTTCAACCCACGTTAGCAACTGGCTGTGCTGCTGTGAATGATGCTTGATTTCCCTGCCCCCAGTCTGTGCTTCACCTTATTCATCCACAGACCTTCTCCAAGGCCGGTTCTCTGCTCGTGATCATCAGTGTCATGTTAAATAAAGATGTCAGGCTCCAGGGGCTTCATCGGAACTGAGACTGAAGAAAGCGCATTGCACAAGCAAAAACGCCCGGACGTCCGAGAAGATAGTAGATCAGAGGCCTCAGTTTCGAATTCGATTATACGGAGTGAAGCAGCCGAACAGGGCAGCTTGGAGGATCTTTACGGGGAGCACAAAACATGCGTTTACAAGATTCTGGATCAACTTGCAAGATTATCTACGGCTTTCCGAAAATCAGGGACCAAGTATCATCGATGTGCGAAACTCGATGTGCAGGTCAACGAGAAAGACTTTGAAGATCTCAAGGTGTACTAAGACGCTCTTCTTCAGATTTCCCAAGGCCGACAGAGTCATTCACAGTTATGCAAATCTGCTCAATGGGTGGGTTGGATGGATAATTCGAGATCAACTTTGTCGTAGAGGTCTCGTCACCTCGTCATGCCGATACAGCAGCGCCTTATTCAGGCGAGCACTCCACGTAATATTGGTATATATATGCCCCGAAAATGACCCCAGAACGCTCTCTCAAATCTCCTACGGCAAAATTCTCAAGCCAGCTAGCTCTGTAGAGGCGGAGGGCAAGACAAGAACTTCCCGACTCGAACAATCGCCACGAACACACAGAGTGTTTGGATACACGATCATCGCCTACGGTCTTCCAAAGCTCACTATAAGGACTTCGGGGGGGGGCGGGGGGGGTGGGTTGCACTCCCAGTCTGACGAGCCACGCACAGCGTACTGTACCCGCTACTACGCCTGCCACAGACGCCATCGTGTGTATTGGCCGACAGCGTCCGGCTCGTCGCCGGTGGGGGGGGGCGGGGGGTGAGAGTTGTCATTGATGATGAACATATCCCACCTGACAATTCCCATAATCGCTCTCGGTCAGAGATCTAGCGAGTAATTGACTTGAAAGTACGGCCTGTACTCGTTGCTTGGTTCCGAGATTATTCAAACAAGTTTAATATTCCTTTAATCCTTTAACACTTATTTACTTGCGTTCTTCGTAAGATGAGCCCATGTCGTGGTGTGTGGCAGGTCTAAGAACGAAATGCAGTCCTTAGAAATGATAGTTCGAAAGGTATAGCAACTATCAGGCACGACACTTTTGGGACTGGTATCATGTTTCGTGCTACCAAGGTACCACATCGCATTTGCAGTAGAGGAGGTAAATAACCGTGGTAATGTCTCCACTCCAGTTGTTGACCACTTGGCAAGATTGGAGACTGGTCTCTTCGTACCTCAGATGAAGATTGATCAACGAGGGGCAGTGTAATTGGCAGTCACAAGGCGTATAAGTACTTGACTGTCATCCACACGACTGGCTTGGAGTAAGCTCGTTTACGCCAAAAAACTTAACTTTCCACCACACCTTTCAAGACCTGTTGCTTAGGTAAGTTTTCAGGTCCAAGACATGCTACTATTTCTACTGCCTGTGCCTGACCAACTTCTGCGACAACTTTTGAATCTTGTAGACGGTGCGGCGGTGACTATCGGCAGGTCCTGTTCGCATCTACCTCAGGCCGGCGGTGTTGTGGGCCCAATGAAGTGGCCGGAAGTATCATCCTCCTGCCTCGGAATACAAGCACACCATCCTCGGCTCACGGCTTTCCAGGTCACCCGCTCCTCTATATAGTCAAACAACACGCGGTTTCAAACATGAACACCGCCGAGCACAGCACAGAAGATGTAGCAAACTGGACATGATCATCAATATCATTAGAGGACGGACCTCCCTAACTTCCGGACCCAACCTCTATAAGGCATCTTGGTATTACATCTCTAAATCTCAAAATTGGTATAAGTTCTCGCTTCCCACCCCTTCAACGGGGGCGCCACCCCCTTCACCAACTCCCCACCCTCCCTCGTCGCAACTAACAACCGCACCTCGGGCGCCTCGCACCCAAGCAACGCCGGCACATCCTCGACACTCTCCACCTCAACTTTTGAAAAGTTCATCACAACGAGCGCCTTCCTCCTCACACCACCCTCATTGCCGTTCACCGGCGCTGGGCTCTCCTTGAGTATGACCCACGTCCTCTCGTTCTCCGGGTCGATCAACCGGTGCGATCCAAAGACGAACACATCACGGTGCTGCTTCCTCAGCCTCAGCACCCTCTTGTAAAACGACAGGATGGAGTCCGGGTCGCCTCGCTGCTTCGCTGCGTTGATGGACCTGTAGTCGTCGTGCACCCTCATCCATGGCTTCGCGCCCTCCCTCGAGAAGCCCGCGTTCGGACCATCGTCCCACTGGAACGGTGTCCGCGCGTGGTCCCTCGCCAGGATGCGCAGGCCGTGCATCGTCTTCTCGATCCGCTCCTTGTCTCCGGACTTGAATGCCTCTGAGTAAAAGTTGCCGCTCTCAATATCTTTATACTCCTCGATACCCCAGCTGGCCGGCATATTGGTCATGCCAATCTCCTGGCCCTGGTATAAGAACAGCGTCCCGGACATGGTGGCCTGCCACAGCGCAATAGTCTTGGCCGAAGCAAGCCACAGCTCCGGGGTGGAATCGTCGCCGAACCTCGACACCGCGCGGCCGTTGTCGTGGTTCTCGCAAAACGCCGTCGCCCAAGCGTCCGTCCCCTCGATGAAGGACTGCCATGTTTCGGTGTACTTCTTGAGCGTCGACAGCGGGAACGGCTGGTAGATGTACTTTGCACCGAACCCGTTCCCGTTGCCGAGGCGGATCACGGAGAACTCGAAGACCATGTCCAGCTCCTTGGCCGCAGCCGAGACATAAGGGATCACCTGCGACGGGTGCGGCGTCAGAGACAGCTCGCCGACGGAGACGGCGTTGTATGGCGCCAGGGCCTTACGGTTCATCTCGCGGATGTACTCGTGGATACGGGGACCGTTGCACCACATCTCCGGCGCGGGCTGGTGCGGCGATGTGGGATCGGTGATGGGGGCGTCGACGTAGTCTGTACGTTTGGAATACTTGTTGACGGTATCGATGCGGAACCCGTCGACACCGCGCTCCAGCCAGAAGCGCATCGTGTCCTCGTAGATGGCCTCGCGGCAGGCTTCGTTGTCCCAGTTCAAATCGGGCTGATCGGGGGCGTACAGGTGTAGGTAGTACTCCTGGGAGTGCTCATCCCAGGTCCAGGTCGGGCCGGCAAAGTACCCGCGCCAATTTGTCGGCGGATGCCGCACGCCATTGGCATCGTAGCGTGCGGGTTTCCAGATATACCAATCGCGTTTGGGGTTCTCCTTGGACGAGCGGGATTGCTTGAACCACTCGTGCTCGACAGAGGTATGGTTGACAACGAGATCGAGAATGACCTTCATGCCGCGGCTGTGGCACTCGTCCAGCAGGGTATCAACGTCCTCGACGGTGCCGTAAGGCGCATAGATCTTTTGGTAGTCGGAAACGTCATAGCCCATGTCGGCCTGGGGGCTCTCAAAGATGGGGGAGACCCAGACGACGTCGACGCCGAGCTCATGGAGGTAGTCAACCTCTGCAATGAGACCAGGAAGATCTCCCCAACCGTCACCATCCGAGTCCTTAAAGCTGGCGGGGTAGACTTGGTAAAAGGTTGCGTCCTTCCACCAGGGCTGCTTGCCTACCCAGCGGTTCTCGTCATCCCAAACAAGAGATTCCATGATGAAGGAGGGGTTGGAGTTATCAAGCCACCTGGTAATGAGGACGGGTTGCCGTCGACCGGGTAGGTTGAAGAGTACTCCGTAAGGCAGGGACAGAGAGATAGAGAGGGAGAGAGCGAAGAAGTATGGTCGAACAGAGAGGGTTTGAGTCGAGTCGAGTGTGGGAGAGGTCCGAGGTCATTGGGTAGAGGTCAGGACACGCCGGGAACGACTCGCATTCGGACCACGCGCCGAATGGGCTGCATAGGAATTGGGGCGGCCGTGATCATCGTCTGGGACAAGAAATGGCGTGGCGACATGACATGCAGCGGAGAGAAGAGCGATACGTGGGGGGAGGTAGCGCATGGGGAGAACAGGGAAAGAGACTGCAGGCGCGGAGATTGTCCCAGCATCTGCGGTTATCGTAGTCGTATGCGTGCCTATGTGAGTTGACTTCGGGCGAGAATTTCTGCTGCTTCCGAGGAGGGTGATAAATGCCGTGCCGGGGGGAATCAGACCGGAGAAGGGCCGTGGGAGAACGGATGCATAGCGTGTGGGACGGGGTGAGATTCGAGAGTGCGTTTGTCGGTACAGATGCCGATGGGAGAAATGAGCAAATATTCCCCGCCTTTTTGGCTATCTAATTGCTGTGTAGATACGTCTCCCACAGGAAGTAATTAGCGTATGGACGCAGGAGGTCTCCGTAGGTTTCCCCTAACTCCGCGTTGCTTCCGCCCGCTCTTTGTGGGTACGAGGTCTTGCTGTTGAAGAAGCGGAGATATGCGGGATTGTCTCGCCGCCCGCACATGTCTTTTGATTTTTCCTTTACTTCTTGTTCTGCTTCAGCCTTTACTTAATTCTGCTCTTCTGCGGCTTTGCAAGTGCTGACTTGCGACTAGACTCCACACCCGCCGCACATGGCGGGTATCGGATGGTCATGCATCGGGTAGGGACATGGCGTCACGCAACTTATCCGCAATGGTGAAGTATATAAATCATTAGATGCGGAGACTCCGCCAGGCCGGTCAACAAAAGACAGAGAGACAATTTGGGGCCCGGAGCTGCTCCGCTAGACTCCGCACCACCCTCCGATCCCCCTGTCTCCCGCGGGAGCCACAAACGTCACGCTCGCACACCAATCAGGACCGCCCTTGACCGGCCAGACTCGTGGACCCCAAGAAAAAGTGGTGGTGATGAGATTCGGGGCCGCAGAAGTCTGGAGAACTGCTAGATTGTTGGGTTGGGCCTAGGGGCGCGTCCCGAATCTGGGGAAAGCCGCGAACAAATCAATCACGGGCCCGGCAGACGGTGGCTACGCCGCACATCCGCATGGAGCTCGGCTCGGGAAGCGAAGCTGAGGGCAAGGGCAATCAATCTAGTTTCGACCTCGTAAGATGCGAATAGCGTCATTCCAGCAACGCATCGTTCCGACTTTTGACCTTTCCCCCTTTACACAAGAACTGTCACCGGCGGAGTCTCCTGTTGGCGCCCCGTGCGAACATTTCAAAAATGTCCGGAATGAATACCGGCTACACCTGGGCACGAGTCGAGGGCATGATCACCGGACCTGCAGATGGCTTCGTGAAGCCGATTTTTTCCATCCTGGTCGAGTTGCCATCTCCATGTCCGTCTCCAGGTTTTTGAAGCCCAGCTGGGAAACCTTCCGAAAAGAGAATCAAGGGACCAATCCCGTCGCTCCGTGCCACCCCCACAACGCCCATTTTTCCTCGAGACTCACACCGGCGCGTTGTCTCTCCTCATCCTTCGCTCCTCGACAAATTCTCTCATCGAGTTGGGAAAATGCAATGATTCGACAGCCCCTCCTCCCCCCTGACCGCCGACCGACCTCTGCCGTTCTGGTGAGGAGGGAACCGCCAGGCTTTTGCTTCGTCGGGCGATTGCTCATCGCAAGACTAGATGCTTGGCACAGCAACAGCATCCCAAGTCAACCGAGACTGACATACTTTCAACATGCTGCCAATCCTCCTCACCTCACCCACCACACTATAACGGTGTATCACGCCAAACCCGTCTCGCCCAGGCCCCGAATTTGTTCCCCATGGGGAACGAAGGCGCACGGTTCAAGCCAAGACGTTTTTGGCACTTAACTTCAGCTGCTTTTCATTTTCATCCGTCGCCTCACTTTTTGCTACCCATTGCACACACTGGGTCTGGATGGTACTTTGACCACGACCCTTCTTGTCGCTGAGCTGTCAAATCTCATATCGGATCTGACAGCCATCAGGGATATATAACGAACCGAATGCCCTCCTCATTGAATTGACTCCGCTCTCTCAGGCGTCTCGAACATTTGCACATCCCCGAGTCTCCTCCGTCTCCTCCTCATTGCCATCTCGCGATTCTCATTTCTCTCTTCGTCGTTAATATCACCAGCATTAATAAGCTTGATACCCTGTACATAAACGGAACACAAGAAAATGGCAAACTCAAAACCCCCCTCCTCCCCCGTCCCGGAGGACAAGGAAAAGGGCATCCCCCACCACGCCTTAATCACAGAAGACATCATCGAAACCCCCAACGACAAGAATGCCGCGCCCTCCCATCACCACCAAGAAGACCTCGCCGCAGACGCCGCCCAAGCCGCCTCGGCAGAACACAAAATGACCCTCTTCGAAGCCGTCCAGACCTACCCAAAAGCAATCGGCTGGTCCGTCCTGCTCTCCTCCACGCTCATCATGGAAGGGTACGACCTCGCCCTCCTCAGCAACCTCTACTCCTCGGCCGTCTTCAACCGGAAGTACGGCACCTTCAGCGAAGCCCAGAACAAGTACGTCATCTCGGCCGCCTGGCAGTCCGGCCTGAGCAACGGCGCCCGCGCCGGCGAGATCTTTGGGCTCATGATTGCTGGTTGGACGGCGGATCGGTACGGGTATCGGGTTACGACTATTGGCTTCCTGGTCTTGATGATTGCTTTTATTTTCGTGCTCTTCTTTGCGCCCAACGTGCAGGTTTTGGTGCTGGGGGAGGTTCTCTGCGGTACGTCTTTACCTCGCTCTGTCTGCTGAACCATGGTTTGTATTGTATTCTAACGCTCTGCAGGAATCCCTTGGGGGGCATTTCAGAGCGTGACACCGGCATACGCCTCCGAGGTCGCCCCCGTCGTCCTCAGGCCGTATCTCACTACATTCATCAACATGTGCTGGGTACGTCACTCTTGGAAAATGTGTTTGGTACGGGTCGTCAGAAATTTACAATTGTGCAGGTCATTGGTCAATTCTTCTCCGCGGCCGTTAATAAGGGCTCCTACCACCACAAGGATGAATGGGCCTACAGGATCCCCTTTGGAGTCCAATGGGTCTGGCCCATCCCCATCCTCGTCGGCATCTTCTTTGCGCCCGAGTAAGCTTCACCCCTTTTCAGCCTTACTATCACACAACAATTCTTTCTCGGAAGGACAACCTTTTCTTCTTCCTCTAATTACAAAACCCCCCTAGATCTCCATGGTGGTACGTCCGCCACAACGACAAAGCCGGCGCCAAGCGTGCCCTCCTCCGCCTCACCTCCCGCAACCAACCAAACTTTAACGCGGACGAGACCATCGCCATGATAGAGCACACAAACGCAATGGAAAAGCGCGCCAAAGAAGGCGTCACCTACCGCGACTGCTTCAAAGGTGTCGACCTCCGCCGCACCGAAATCGTCGTCGGCGTCTGGCTCGTCCAGACCCTCGGAGGGCAAAACCTCATGGGCTATTTCGCCTACTTCCTCGCCCAAGCCGGCATGGACCCCGGAAACTCCTTCTCCCTCTCCATGGGCCAGTACGCCCTCGGCATGGTCGGCACCACGGGCTCCTGGTTCCTCATGGCCCGCATCGGCCGCCGCACAATCCACTTCTCCGGCCTCTGCGCGCAATTCTGCCTCCTCCTCATCGTCGGCTGCCTCTCTTTCTCAAAAACAAACGCCTCCGTCTGGGCTATTGGCGGCATACTCATCGTCTTCACGTTTGTCTACGACTTCACCGTCGGGCCCGTCACCTACTCCCTCGTCTCGGAGCTCTCGTCCACTCGCCTCAAGAACAAGACCATCGTTATGGCCCGCGCGGGCTACAACGCCAGCAACATTTTCGTCAACGTCATGACGAATTACCAGCTCTCCTCCACAGCCTGGGATTGGGGTGCCCGCACCGCGCTCTTCTGGGCCGGCACCTGTCTGCTGTCGTCCGTCTGGGTCTACTTCCGCGTGCCCGAGCCCAAGGGTCGGACATATGCCGAGCTGGACTTGCTCTTTGAGCACAGGGTCTCCGCTAGGAAATTTGCCAGCACCACGATCGACCCTTACTCACATGAGCTCAACACCGGGAAGAAACTGACCGAGGAGCTTTAAGTCTTGTGCTGCTCCATATAATCAAGGCATAGCGCGTCTCAGGGAATTGGTCTTGCAACTGTTGGATACCCCACCATAGTTAGAGTTATTGTACCGCTAGATATAGTGCTAGCGTAATAACATGCATAATGAATAGGCCCCGACCTCAGCTTGAGATTTTGATTCGTTTTCTTCTTTCGTTCAATATCGCCTTGTATGTCCGTGGTTATCAAAATACTCAGGGCGGAGGACGTGGGGACGCGCCCGCAATCGCCATGTTCGGGACAGCTTGCTGAATATGCTTGTCCAATAAATCGTCGTAGATGGAATTCCCGCCAGGCAGCCGGGTAATAAGCCGTCTCATATAATTCAAGTCATCCTCCGGCCCCGTGCCGCCCATGCTCCTGTGCGGACTCGCCGGCGTAATGGGCACCCGCGCCAGGACGTCCACCGCCGCCGAAGCAATGTCAAACAGCTTCTCCGTGAGCCCGACGCCGTGGACCTTGATGCTGTCGACGGGCAGGTCCCTCGTCGATAGTACCAGGTCCTTGGCGACCTCGAGCGGGAAGTGGTACGTCATGCTCGGGTGGACGGACTCTTCCGCCAGGTACCCGAACCGAAGCCGGAGCTGCCACAAGATAATCCGCAACCACAGTTGCGTGACCCTCAGATTGGACTTTTGCGTATCCTTTAAATCCGAGGTCGACCGCAGCGCCGAGTTGACCGCCGTCTCAATGTACGTCAACGCCGCGTTCGACGGCGGCGTCGCCACCTTTTCCTGGTTCAACAACGCGATGAAGGAAGTATCCAGCGGGGTGAACAGCGCCGCCAGGCTCCAGAATCCAGACAGCGTCGGGTCGTTGTCCATCGAGGGCGACTCCGCCGTGATCTGCAGCGTCACGGGCCGCCGGTACCGGATCCCGTGCGACCTCTCCGAGACGAGCAGCACCCAAAACAGCCGATCCGCCAGCGCCCGCGGCGCGGACTCGGTGTTCATCCTCAGTAGCAGGAAAAGCGTCGTCGCCTCCCGCAGGAACAAGAATGCCTGGCTGTGGTGGAACAGCGCCGAGTGGCACGCGTACAAGAAAAACGTCAACAGACACTGCTCAAAGCTCGGGTTCGACCGCCGCGCAAAGTTCCGGTGCGCCGCGAGCGCCTCCTCAAAGAGCATCCGCCCGTGCAGCGCGTTCTTCTCCGGGATCAGCCCTTGCAGCCACAGGCTCTCCGGCTCCTCGACCTGGAGCAGCACCAGTGCGCACACGGCCGTAAGGAGACAGTGGGCCTCCATCCCTGGCTCCGAGGGTCCCGCGATGACCTTCATCTGGGCGACGTACTCCGGGGTCAGGATCGGTATGGTCGGGTGCAGGCGCGCGAAGAAGCGGTCGACGCAGTAGTCCATGACGCGCACCGGCAGCAGGTCGGCCATGCGCTGCACGGCCTCGTGGGGCACGTGGCCAAAGGCCTGGGAGCCGTCCGAGACCCAGGCCAGCGACACGGGGCCGGCCAGACCGAGGCACTGGTCTCCGAGACCGGCGTCGACGCAGCGCTTGCACGGGCGGTACTCGTTGCAGGCGCGGCGGAGGTTCTTGCAGCGGGCGCAGGCGCGCGAGACCTGGGCCCTCTTGGGCCGCGAGCCGCCGGATGAGGAGGACTTGCGGCCGCCTCCCCCATTGTAGCCGGCGCCGGACGAGTCTTGCGCGTCCTCGCTGAGTTCGTGGCGCTTGCCGAGGTGAGAGCTGCCGGCCGGGGATATTGAGGAGGGACTAGCTGCCGGGGGGGACACCATCGTCTTTTCCATTGCGAAGCCTCATGGTTCCAGTCGTTGCCGCACTGATAGAGTGAGTTGCGCAAATGATCCGACTGTTTTTCTCTTTTGTTGGTGCTGATGTTGCGCTTTTGGGGTTTAAATTTGGCCGCTGTCCCTTGGGACGAGGCAGATTGGAATGAGTATGACCCCAACCCAACCAGACTGCCACCTCAGGTAAAGGTACACCCGGTTGGTAATGGAGGTATACCACCCGGTGCGTGCAGTAACTTCCCCAGTGAGTCACGTGTTACCCCGCTGACCCCGTCCTGGGGGAGGGACGAGGACTTGTCATTGGCACGTTTGGTGACGGGACGATGCATCGGTACGGGGTAGGTAGGTGCTTACTCTGTACCCTGTATCCGTATTGCCGCTCAAGAAGGATTCGTCCATCAGCCATGCAATGCGACTCTACAGCAACAGGCGAGCCGGCCAGGACGAATTTGCCGTCGGAAAATAATCCGAACACTCCTCATATTGTCCCTGGCCGCAGGTCTCAGCGGTCGTTGATCCGTAGATCTTTTTAGACAATCCATCCCCGTTTCTACGAGTTCTTAACGCCTTCGCTATGCACCCCACACTGTGGCTCCACCAAAAAAAGAAGAAGAAGAAAATTACTTTTGTCGAATGTTCTTGGGCTTGCGCTTCTTGAACACCACTGCCGGAGCCGCAGCCTCCGTGGGCTCCGCAGCCTCGTCTTCCTTCTTGATGCTGTCTTCTCCCAAGGCCGGCACGTCCAGGCTCTTGCCAGCCTCGTCCTCCGTCGGCTCGCTCTTAATGGCTGGCACATCTGGCTTCGCCTCCGTCGTGTCTTCTGCGTCGCCCTCCTGCTTCATCTCGCCCCCTGCGTGGCTTTCCTCCGTCTTCACCTCTGGCTCATCGGGCTCTTCCTTCTTGACAGGTCGTAGAAGGGTATTGCTGTTCAGCAGGGCGTCGAGATCCTCGTCGTCCTCTGGCATCGTCTTGGTGCTGCCCCATTTCTTAGGCCTCTTGAACAAGCCTCGAACAGCTTCCTCCTCCTCCCGCTCCTCCTCCGTCTGCTCGCGCTTCCTGATCCCGACAGCCTTTGCCTCGACGGGCTTCTCCCTCTCGGCGGCCTCGTCAACGACTTTTGTAGCAGTGACAGTCCACTCGCCCGCCATTGCCATATCGCCCCTGAATTCCGTCGGTATCGACACGCCCATTCCCGCGAGCTGTTCCATCTGCTGTTTCCGTTGTGCCTCCGCCGATGTCGACGTCGACGATGTCGCGCCGCTCGAACCGGGTTTCGAAAAGGACGACGAGTATGACGAAGGCCCCGTCCCCGATGAAATGCCCTTCAATCGCTCAACCTCGCGCTTCGCGCGGTCCTTTTCGCGCTCTTCCTGCTCATGGCCGCGGTGAAGGTCGCGCAGGAACCGCTTAAGCGCGCCCTGGTGCTTGCCGGTCGCTTCGTGGTTCTGGCGCTCCAGCTTCGTGTCGCGCACGAAGATGCTGCAGTGTTTGCACCAGTACTTTGGCGTCGATTTCCAGTATTCCGACATGATGCGTGCGTGTCAGGTGTGCGTGCAGGTATATGGAATGAGGTGGCAGGGTCGTGTATTGTCAAAAGGAAAATTGGCGTTTGGTACGCCAAGACGTCACTGCAGGCCGAGCGCATGCCATGATTTACTGTGTACGGATACGTAGAGGTTTGGGCCAATTGCGATGCACTGTGGGCCACGCACTGCTTATCTCATCTCCCACTCCCATCCCCACAGGTGGAAGTCACTCCCTGCGCATCGACCTGGGATGTCAAGTTGGCAGCCCTCGTCAGCATCCGAAAAGTCATATACTCAAGTCGGCATGAGGTGCCTCATTTCACCCGAATAATGTCACACTCAACACGAAGTCATGCAGCTGAAGATCTTGTAGTATTGCTCTAGTGGCCGGATTACCCAGGAACTTGTCTCAGTTCCTACCAACTACCTAGCTACCTGTTTGCAAGCTCGCAAACCCATCGTCTGTTTCTCAATCAAAGTCCGTTTTTGTCGTTATCATACATTAAAGTGCCGATTTCTGGGCAGGGTATTGAGAAGCCATAAAAGTGCGAATTGTTCACCTCCGTGAACCAATTAAAGCCACCCAAACGTTCCTATTCAAACGACTTAGATAAGGCAAACAACCGCCATCAGGGTAGCAACGAGAGCAACGAACGAGGCCGGAGCCAGGTTCTGGCCGGCAGCAACAGAAGGCGCCGCCGGGGTGGTCGTGGTGGCAGGCGTGGTCGGGGTGGTTCCAGGCGTAGTAATAACCGCCGTGCTGTTGACGGGAGACGAAGGGACGGGAACAGGCACCGGCGAGGTAGAGACGGGCGGGACGCTGGGCGCGGTGGACGCAGGAGGAGCCACGGGGGTTCCAGGAGGAGCCACGGGAGTTCCAGGAGGAGTGTAGGGGGGTTGACTGGCGGCGGGGACGGAGGGCGTGACAGTAACCGGGGGAAGCTCGCCGCAGGGAGTGGTATGGCCCTGGACCTGGCCGTCGCCAATCTGGCAAAGGGGGACGGGGATGGTCGTGGGGACAACCTGGGGCTGACCATCTCCGATGACGGTAACGACCGTGGTGACTACCATTGTAGTACCGACAATCTGTCCGCCAGAAGGAGCGGGAGCTTCCGCGCCGCAAGGGAGAGCCGACAGGATAATGGGAGAGCACTGTTCAGCCCAGTGACGGTCGTACAGGTTGTAGAAGTCTCCAGACAGGCAGCGATAGAAGGTGGTCGAGCCGCCAAGGGCGAGGGAACCATTGGCACAGACGGAGAAGCCAGAAGTGTAGATAGCGCCGGCTTGAGCAGGACCATCGAACTGGAACTGAAAGTTGGCGACGATGGAGCCAGTGCGACCCTTGGAATCGGTGAGGACACTGTCCTTGAGGGTGAGGTCCAGCGAGCCAGATCCGGTGCAAGAGCTTCGCTTCTGTTGGATTTGTCAGTACAATTCCATTCAAAAAAAAAAAAAAAAAACTCATTAAAAATTGGTGAAGCTCACATCGAGACTGCGCTTGCCCAACTCGACGACGGTAAGACCGAAGTTGCCAGTGTAACTGGTAGAGCATCCAGCGGGGGGGTTCTCGGCGGGCTTGAGAACACCAGACGAGGCCTGGGGCAAAGCCAGAGCCAAGCTAGCCAAGGCGACGGGGATGAGAGCGGAAAGACGCATCTTGTCGTTGTCTAGAGAGGTCTGGATTAGCAAGAATTTTTTTTTCTCCCTTTCTTGCTTTCGCCAAAGTCAAGGATCATGAGTTTTCGTATAGTGTGCCGATCAGATGTAGACAGGCTAGATCGTGGAGGACCAGCGAGATCGTGAAGCACAAACCACTTCACGCGTCACCGGACAGCTCAGGAAGGACAGGAAGGTGGACGAGAGTCCGAAAGGGCTCGGAAAACAAACGGTGAAAAATACCCGCGCCAACAAGCGCGGATAGAATCATGGTTTGATGCCACAAGCCCGTGACGGTACCCGACCATGATGAAAGTAGGAAGAAGAGGATTGCGGCAGGCTCCAAGATCGCCAACACAGAGCCAATGATTTCGCGAAACGCGCGTGATGAGAGGTATCGTAGCCCATCTCACTGACAACAGAAGAGCCGGGAGAAATATCAGCTTACCTGAGTGGAATTTCTTGTGGTTGGAGAGTGGCGGTGAGAGTTGTTGTGGTAGGTGATTTGTTGGCAGTTGTTCAAGTGATATCCCAAGTTGCCAAGAAGAGGTGTTGGTGTGGTGGGAAGAAGAATTTTCAACAGCAAAGTTGATTTATTTTTGCCCAAAAGTGAGGTGGTGAAAGGTATGCCAGCCAAAGCTCCTGACCCGCTTTGTCCAACAATGACCCGGTTCAAGAATCACACAGAAAGGGCGGGTACTGCCTGTGTTGGTGCCTCGTGGAATCACGGGAAGCGTGAGTTCGGAAGAGACACAAGGAAGGAAGAAGCTTCGTTTTCGTTTGGTACTTCTCGCCCAAAGGGTTTGAGATGATTGTCGTCTGTTGGACCTCTGCCGTTACCACGCGGATTACTTATGAGCGAGTGTCGAAGGGTTGGTAGAAGAAATAAGGTATTGGAATAGGTTCAGTGAAATAAACGTGGCGGGTTTCCTTGATGGAGGGTTAAACTATGAGCGAGAGTATGGGCAGGGATGAAGAAGGTGAGCTGAAGGGAGGAAGACTGGTTAGGGAGGGTTGGGGTCCGGTGGTTCATATACAATGAGGGAGGGGAGTCTTGTGAGTAAGGCCCGATGGGTAGGGTAGGAAGATAAGCTTCAGCCATGGGCATTGCGTGTCTTTGACGTGCAGAAGGATTTGATGGAGCAACTAAGCTAAAGAACTTGCAGTAGGGTATGTATACGTGGTGTAAGTAGCCATGTCTGTTTGTGAAAAATGCAGTTGTGATCTGATATGCAGAGGCATGGGGCTACTTGCAAACAGCACTTGGGACAAAGCAATTCTGCATGTACATTCCAGATTGATTACTCTGTACATCAGATCAACAACAGCACCACATCCACTTCATCCACACATTCAGTGCAAACCAGTAGTTCAATATTGACTTGCGAGCGTGGATAGGTGGGTGGATGACTGAGGGTTGTTGATGTGAGCATAGTGGCCCAGGGGAGGTTGGGGAGGTCGCCTCCCGCAGCAGGGCTGGGCTGGGCTGGAGGCACGCCTCAACCAGGACCAGGGTTGGTGCCACAAGATCAGTAGCGCTGTCCAGATGCAAAGCCCGAGTATTATTTTGCTGGGCCTGGTGATGTCAGAGATAGAACGTAGGTTTCCCCCGTCGAGTCATGGTGAAGGGCGCAGTGGCATCCCCCAGCCGCGATTCGGACGAACCGGGTACTCAAAACAGAGAGGGCTGCGTGCCAGGTTATTTTTGCAAATACTCTATCCTGTACCCGGAGCAACCAACCCTGTGATTCGGCAAGGCCACAACGAGGGGCCTGGCCTGTAAGACGTCGCAAAGAGCAGAACAATTGATGATTGAGAAACCGAGGATAGAGTGCTGGATTGAATGCGACCACCGGCCTGTCTGGTGCTGAGACAGAAGGCATACGCAGCCAACCGCTTGGGGGAGATTCCCTAGAAGCTTGAGGACCTGTCTCGAATGCGGTGTGGCTGCTGCTGATCAGGTACCACGGCCGACATGGCCAATGAGTACAGGTGAGGCGTGGAATGCGTGGAATGTTGGACTTGTCGGGCTTGTTTAGTGAGATACTCGGGCTTCAGGAGCAGACGGCGATTCTGCGTCGTTGCGCATCTGAGAATGGCATCGGTCGATTTTCAGTGGTGTCGGGCACGCGGCGGCGAGGACGGGGAGCAGCGAGGTTCTGCGGGAAGCCGGCACTGCACTGTGTTCCTAGCCTTGGCCTGTTCCTTAGGCTGTCTTGACTTGCCGTGTCGTGGTGCTGGAGGTGGACCTCGAGCTGCGGTGGGGGGTCTTCGGAAGAGGGGGTGAGCTGGGGTGTACCCCGATCGATTACCGAGAGGGGGTTGGTGAGGGCGGGGGTGGTGATGTTGACGTGGAAGTCGGGATTGGTGGAAGACGTGGCCAGGATGGGTGGTGCGGCATCGAAGATCCAGTGAGGTCGCGAGACATGGTGAATTCTCCCCGTTGAGCCTGGAGAATCAGACATGATTGGCGGCTCCAAGAACGGAACGCGTCCCTGACCTCAGAAAAGAAAAAGGGGCCATGCGTTCCTCAGGCGCAGATTGGTTGCGGACACTTCGACAGATGCAGAGATGTCTTGATCCCTTGCCTTGGACTGGAGCCTCCGACTCGTTGGTCGACGGACAAGGGCCCAGAGGAGTGTCACTGGTACGCTTTTTTCTCCGTTTCTTTGGGCGCTTGTTTGGTGCAGAACACCACGCAGGAGTTGGTGTCGTCAAGAGGGAAAAGATCTTCCAGGGTGTCCGTTGTCTGGGCAAACGTGCCGTGCTGCCAGCCCAATCCTAACCGGCCAGAATTCATCTTGGAGCTGGGTATCCGTACTTCGGTCGGATGAAGAAGACCATGTCGTCTGCTCCCAGGTCAAAATTGGTGCGCCGTAGTACTCTGTCTCTCATCCATACCAGCCACAGCCCTGATCCAGATCCCTTCATCTCGACAGCGTGCGACCTCGCCCGAGGTTCTTCTCCGGCGGCATAAATTTGCCGAAAGCAGGAATCCTGAGTTCGTCTCTATGGTATCCAATGTCATTTGATCAATCCCCGTTGTCGCGTTTCAGCCGATCCGGTCGCCATGATATCATGTTACGAACATTGGTGATTATCATCATCTGTCAAGACCTGCAGCCGTCCTATCACCGCGTCGTCACCGGGTCGGAGGGGGTGGGTCGGAAGGCTTGGATATCGGCTCGAGTGGGTTTGAGGTTTTTCCTGGCCTTTTTGTCTTCCTCCCCTGTATGGAAAAGACCGAAAAAGGAAGCCCCCCAGCGACAATTCACACATCTTTTCCCTTGTGGCGTTCTGATGGCCCACGGCACCCGCAGCCAAGCGCCGCTCTACAGGGGACGGCGGGCCCTGTCGCATGCGCTGTACCCGTCAGGCAGCTCGCTAAGCACGCCAAGGCTAGGCGCCCTGCATTAGCACCGCCCGCCAGTGTAAGAGCCTGCGTCGATCCGCCCACCCCGAAGTCGGTGACACCTGTTGACTGGCTTGACTTTGTGCGGCCCATTCTAGGCCCATGAAGCGCGAGAGTAGCCAGCCAGTTGGTGGTGTGGTGGAGTTGAGCTCGAAACTGGCTCGAGTTCTTTTAATCGGTCCAGTATTCTCAGGCCATCAACATTCCTCCTTACCCCTCCCTCCAACGGTGCCCATTCGACTCTCCAAGGCCGGAAACTGCCTCCAGAATGACGGATTCCAGCGCTACTCGTCTAGCATGTGCTCTAGCTTCTGGTAGCTATCGGAGCTCATGGTTGGGGCGACGGGGACGGGAGCTGCCCGCTACGGACAAGGCCACACAGTCTTAGGGTTGGGCATGCAGGGGACAGGGGAAAAGCTTGCGAAGCCTCTGGGCCTGGTCGGATTCGTGCCGCGTGTTCGCTTGTTGCTTGGCCCATCCGTACCTCGAGGGACATAGAGATGAAAAATCTGAAGCAAGGGAGAGTGCCAGGACTGTGAAGAGATTTGTTAGTAGAATGAGGATGTACAAAACCATTGCCACTGTTCAATTGTAATGATTCAGGTCAATGTCCTTTCCATCACCACAATGTCAAGAGGGATGCCGACTCAGCTGAAGCATGCTGGCACCCGTATTCCTCGCCCATCAACATTGGTCCGGCAAGATTTCAAATTCGGCTGAGGCTGCCGTCGCCGCCAATGGCCCACGGTGCCGAATTGTGGCTTGCCGTAACTTGACTGGCCGTGTCGTGTATCGCAAAGGCAGCAGGCAAATGGTGCCGGGGAGATGATAGCATCACTTTATGCCGAATTGCCGGGATGAATAGAGTAAGTTATGTGCGACGGCCGTCTTGTTTTCGCTTGCTTGCTGCTAGGCGCGCTAGGCTGAATGCGCGTCTCCACGTGTAGCACTGGCTTGGCTGCGAACGTCGATGTGGGCGTCCGATCCGGACTTTGAGTTTCTTTGTGCTTTCGGGTGACTTCAAGCCTACCTTAGTATGTTGTCGGAGAGCGACAGACGTCCGAAGCCGTCCCTCGACGGGGTTGGTGAGGTTGGTGAGGTTGGTGAGGGCTAGTTGTTGCTGGGCTGCCCCTCGTTCGCGGACGGCGCGTCTTTCTCAGCTGCCATCCACTCCGTTGCCAGGGGCCCCCGTGTACCTTCAAGTGTTGAGCTGGCTGACGTTTGCTGAGCTGATGAACATCGGATTGTTGGAGGAATCAAGTTTGTCTGCAATCAGGAGCGAATTGGGACGAATGTGCGTGCACGGCAGCTGAAAATTACTTCCCAGTCCGATTGCCTTCTCCAACCTTGGGTATCGAGGAAGGAAGCCGTGAGTACGCCCAGCAATGCACCTCCTTTCTCTGCGGACGGGAGGGTGAGAATTCTCCGGTGAAGTGCCCGGGGCCGATAGCCGAGAGGCCCACTGCGGCACAACGGCCCCTCAATCGGCGGCCTCGGCCCACCAGAGTGGATGGCTTAGCATAGCAGCCTCCGACTTCACATCAACTTCATCAAACTCGTCAACCTCGCCGACCGATCATTGCCTTGGTAACACACCTTGGCGAATTGAATGGCCACTATTAGCCGTCCATGCAGTTAACATATACACACATGTATTTACAAACACATATATTCAAGAGCGAGATTCCGCAAAACTGATGGTGGAACCACTTGCTACCACTTGCTACCTTGCCTTAGTACGATAGTCATGCAAATACACCACTTGGTAAATCGTCACCTTTTGACGCTGATGTCCAGAAAACGGACGTTGCTGCAACTGGAAAAAGGATTAATTGTTTAACCGCCTTCGATATTTTGCGGAAATACAGTCATTCATGTCTTTGAAAAGTTTTCTTTGGTGATGTATTTGCTAGGGAGGTATGACCACCAAAGTAGGTAGGTACGCGTGAGTGGAAACCTTGCGACGGCCATGCTACAGAGGATTCAGAGTTCCTTTCTATTCAACACATAGGAGTGCATAAGGACCATACTCGATACTTTTCTGATCTAACCGGAATATGAGTCCGGACGCTCATGCCATTCCTCAGTTCTGAAATTCATGCATACGAGAGGGAGTTAAAGAACATCTGGCGTTCAGAGGACAAGGAAAGCATCTCAATAAAGTCGATAGATTGACTGAACCGTATGCATGATATTGAGCTGAAGGTATCATTACTGAATGGTAGCTAGCAACGAAGGTATGAGGCGAAAGGGCAGAGCGCGGAAGTTGCTTGGACGGGATTGAAGGCCACCATTTCATCACATGCTGCTTGGGGCGACGAGGACGCAGGCCGTAAACAATACAGGCAATGAAGTGACATTGTATTTCAACGACAATCAACGGGCCTATTAGCCGAGCGGTCCGAAGGCCGTGAAGTTCTGACTGGTCTATGAAGCTCTAGTACTTCTCAGGACTCCTGCATTCGACCCTCGGCTGGTCCATCCTTTTTTCATTTTTTCTGATTTTCAAATTGACTGGTCCTCCTGTGGCCCTAATAGGAAGTCAATCATCTTTGATTCCTAACAATAATCACTGGGCCTATTGGTCGAGGGGTCCGAAGGCCGTGAAGTTCTGACTAGTCTATGAAGCTCTAGTACTTTTCAGGACTCCCGCATTCAACCCCCAGTCGGTCTATCTTTTTTTCTTTTTTTCGAATCTCTTTCTCCTGTACTTCATCGGATTACAAGTAACTTGAAATGCCTATTGCTCGCTGCTTCTTGTATGCCCGCCAGTATGAAGACAAAGTCCCTCTGTAACATCTTGTGCTCTGGCCCATCCCGTTTTGTGCTAATGGCTGAAATCATTGGCAATAGAAATGGAAGTATGGCGTTCCGAAAACTTGAGATGATAAAACCCTGGATTCCTCTTTCTAGTCAAGGTACCTAAGGGATGCCACCTACGATACCCGCCGAGCCCACGCGGCAGTGAACATTAAAAATTGTGCTCATGTGGAAGCTACGATGGCCCTGGAACCCTTGGCTTCTTCCTTTGACAGACCTCCTCAGGTTACTTCTGGTAGGTAAATTCACTTCAGTTTCCGACGTCTTCACACTTTCTTCCAGCTCCGGCCCAAAATCCATCTCATTTGAACCACCAACTTCATCAGCCTTCTTTCACTCATCTTATTTACAAGCTCGCCCAACTCTCTTAACTAAAGGTACCCAGCGGCGACATATCCTCGCGGTAAACACCTAAAGCAAAAGCAACAATCAGAGGCGTGATCATGGGCAGGCAAAGAGGACCCAAGAAAATCCTCATGCAGAGGGGCTTCAACTTCCCTCCTGGTCCCCTATTCTCCGACAGACAGACCGTCCAACTCATCTTGACAGCAATCTTTGGAACCGAGCTGTCATGGGCCGAGAATCATGACATGGTCGCCCTGAGCAGAGAGGCCGAAGCCTGTCTCCTCGGTATCTTTCACACCCTCGTCGATAGAGCCGACCTCTACGGGACTCTTCGTGGTCATTCTGCGTTTTACGCAACCGTTGCTTCTGAGCTAAACACCAGGGGTGAGCTCACTGGCGACGCTCTCAAAGATTTGGACGAACTCTACGTCCGCGCCCGCCGCGGTGACCCGGGCGAATGGCGCGACACCGATCTCAACTTGGCTGTTGATGCCTGGATATCGGTCAAGGACGCCATCGCGACCCTCCCTCCCCTCGAGACCTTGTCCCTCACAGCCCGTACCAACGAGATGGGTGCCCTAGTGGCTCAGTTCCAGGCTACCAGTGTCGCTGGACCAGCGCAGAATGTGCCCGACTGGCCTCCCACCCACTTCGGACCTTACGAACTCGCCCTGATCACCACCCCGGAACTTCGAAGTGTCCTCTTCGGCAAGACGCATCAGACCCCTGGCACTCTACCTGCGCTTCCCAGCAAGACCACTATGCCCCTCGAGACTCGCGCCCATCTCTGTTCACTCGCTCTTGCCAATTACCGGCCCAGCAGCAACTGGAACTTGATTCTGACCCCCGTTGCGAACTTCAATGGTTTCTTGGAGCGTCGCCAATGGTCAATCCCTTCTGGCGGTCAATCTCTTTACTGCTTCACTATCGAGCATGCATTGGTGCAAGCCGTCAAAGCCCTCGAGTCTGGCAAGGTCCTTTCCATTGTCCTCGCCACCCCCTGGTTCGGTCGCACCTGGGGCGCGATCCCTTCTGTCACCGAGGTCCCAGGCGCCGAGAGTCAGCAGAGCGTCTAGTCATCCCTCTGCCCTCGTAATGGTCTCGCCATCGTTCTTCACAAGTACGCCGACGGCATCGAGCTGATCATCTTCGACCCCACCGCTCGCTATACCCACATCAAGACCGACCCCCAGGTCAAGACGAGCCTCTTCGGCCTCTTTAACTTCCGCCAGAGTATTCGCGACAATACAGAGCTGGCGATGCAGAGAGCCGGGGGACGCCTGATTCGTGGCTGGTATGGCGGCAAGATGGATACGCCTGCCAACGGGTCTGACAGTGTTCAGCTGGCGAGCGAGTGGATTCGTCTGCTCGTTCTCGCCAGCAGTGACGGTCAAGACCCGTTGGCCGTTGACGATGAGAAATGGGCTCAGTGGGGCTTTGAGGAGGTGCATATTTGAGGTACGAAGCTGTCAATCAGACGATAATGGACAACGGAGAATGGGCAAGGGACTATAGGTGACGGACAATGGGCGACTGACGTTGGATTTGGGACAATCATAATCCTGGTCTTCCAAAATAACCATCAAATCAGAACAGTCCCCGAAAAGAATTCTCAACGATGCTGCATGTGCCCTGGGCCATCGGAACTCCCTCAAGTGCTCAGATGTGGAACAATTTCCATAGATATCTCAGACTCAAGACCGCGCAGCCCAGTGGTTTGGGAAGGCGTGACCGAACGACACCACACAGTCTTCCTTGCCTCCAAACCAGAATGTCCTAGTGAATGACCTATAACATAAAGGAACCAGAACAGGACCTCAGATCAGGAAAGAGCTCGTGTGTAAAGTACGCCGGGTAAGTTGGGCAGTACGCTGCGATCGATTTTCATTAAGTGTTTAGACTTTTCATAGTCACTGGCCGCTGCGCAGGTACACTTCGAGAACGCATCGTCAAAAGCACTAATAATGAAGAAGAGCCTCCTCCTCGAAGCTGAAGACCCGAAATACGGTCGCCTGCAACAAAGAGGTTGGCTGCTACGCTCCCGCGAGGCTGGCTATTTGTTGTACTGTAACCTCTTGTCATTTGAGGGAAGACGGTTTTCCTTTTCGTGAGGCGGGAAACGTTAGTTGGGAAGCTGTAATGGATGTCGGCTTGATTTCACCAGTGCCTCCGCCTCCTGCTCTGGGTGAAGTAAGTACGGATTCCTCCAAGTCAGTTAATCTGAACGCTTCTTCTGGCCAGCCGTGATATACGACAATGACGCGGCGAATGAAGCCATATTTGGCGATGCGATTTGACTCATGTTTACTTGTATTTCGAGGGATCTTATAAATACCAAGATACAAGTACTGGAAGCCTGGGCAGAGCAGTCAATATCCATAACATATGTCCACAACGATAAGTGCTGCTAAACTCTTCCAGTTCACACGCATTCTTGGCCAAGATAGGTACAGTGAGAATTTCATCGTGCCCAGCATAGTTTCGTGGCCAGCTTGGGATCGCAAGGTTCGAAATTGGACTTCAAAGTACATGTTAAGGTGGCGATTGCATGATATCCAGGTAGGTTAGAACCCGTGGTCAAATCAGGGGCTGGCAATTTGGGCTCAGTGGGAGTCTTGAAATGTGCTGTGCTATTCTCCAGAATCATCACAAATGTAGAGAAAAAGTGGCAGATTGAAATGCTCTGGATTGCTAAATTCGACTTGTGCTTTTTGTGACCAAAGACGCATGCATCTATGAAGAGTGAGGGAGCTCTATCTGATCCCAATGCAAATCCTTTCTTCATTACGTCGTCCGTTATCCCCACCACATCCACCGTATCCCAAATCTGCCGATTTACATGATGACCTCGTTTGAAACATCCTGCATAATTGTCAGTAAAATGAAGGACTGCTGTTAATTAGGGCAGACTCACTCTCTTCAACTCCTTGAACGGTAGGCACACGCAGTTCTGCACCCGGACCTCATCACCGACACCGCAGTCCTTGCCCAGGATGGTGATGCTCTGGACCTTGACACCGTTCTTGATGATGCTCGTCGTGTGGCTGCCGACGGGGGTGGGAGTCCCCTCAACACGGGCCCAGGCACCAACGCGGCTGCCCCAACCGATGATGGAGTACAGGACGCAGGAGTCGTGCTTGATCTCAGAATCCTCGAGGACGACAGACTCCTTGATGCGGGCACCGGGGCCAACGTGGACGCGGGGTCCAATGGAGACGTTGGGGCCCAGCTTGGCGGTGGGGTCGACGGTGGCAGTAGGGTGGATGAAGACTGGGGGGATAATGTTGGCGCTGGGTTGGGCGAGCTCCTTGGAGCCGTTCTGCCATGCCTTCTGCAGGTAGAGGGCGTTGGCGGGGACGGCTGAGCCAGCTGTCTTGATCTGGCGCCAGAAATCCTTGGTCTCGTAGACGAAAAAGTGCTTGGTGTCGGCGAGGTCGCCGAGGATGTCCTGCTCAAGGCGGATGACCTCGTTCTTGCGCTCCTCGTCGTCGTCGGTAATGATGAAGCTGTTTTCGAGATTCTCGGAGCTCGGGTAGGAGACGAGACGCGAGGGCCGATCGGTGCGGCGCTTGATGGCAGTCTTTATGGAAGGGAAGATGGCGTCGGTGGAGAAGAGGTAGACACCGCAGTTGATCAGGTTGCTGATTTGCGACTCGGGCTTCTCAACGTAGTGGAGGACACGGCGGGTGTGGGCGTCGCTCACGATGCAACCGAAGTTGGTGGCGGCCTCGTTAGAGACGCGGGTGCCCAGAATGACAGCCTCGGCGTTCTTGTCGTGGAAGAGTTGTAGCATCTCGGGGAGGGGGAAGGAGCAGCAGACGTCGGCGTTCAGGACGAAGAGGCGCTCGGGGTGGCCCTTGAGGATGGCATCGCGGAAGTGGTAGAGACCGCCAGCAGTGCCGAGGGCCTCATACTCGCGCAGGTACTTGATGGAGAGATTGGGGAACTCGTGCGAGGCGTCCTTGATGAAGTCGCGGAAGACGGACTCATCGTAGTAGCCGATGATGAGGACCTCGGTGATCTCCTTGCCGGGGACTCGCTCGATAGCAGCCAGGTTGTGCCAGATGATGGGGTGGCCAGCGACTTCGAAGAGGGGCTTGGGGACGTCAAGGGAAAGAGGACGGAATCGGGTTCCTCTGGAGGGGCCGCCGACCTGGATATATGAAGTTCCTGATCAGCTTGCGACCGTTTGCAGTGAACAAGAGCTTTAGCGAGCTTTGTGAGGGAGGGGAGATGAAGGCGGGGCTTGCGATTTTGGAGATGCACGCGCCGCACAACAAAGTGACGCGCAAAACACCCCAAGTAGGTGATCTTACCAGAATGACGGCCTTGGTGGCACCCTCTCTGGGCGCCTTTCCTCGGTAGGGGACTTGCAGCGACATGGTTCGAATGGGAAGGGTATCTCAGGTTGTGGTGGTGAGGAAAGGAAGGAAAGCTTGGGTAGGGTGAGTTTGAGATACCTCGTAGCTGAGGTGCTGAATTGCAGTCGCTATTTGCAACGTCACCGCTTCGGGGGTTCAGAAGGGGGTCCCCCTGAGAAGGTGTTCACCCAACCTTGACGTCCCAAAAAATAATTCAGAGCAGGCAATGCATGTGTTGGCAGGGGTCTAAGGAGGGTCACCAGGTGGCTCGTGCTGCGCTAGCTGTGGCGGCAGGTCTCTCCTGCTGTTATCGAGAGACTTTGAGATGCACCCATTTTACTTTTGTGGAAGAGTATTTATTTACTGCTGAGGACCCTCTGTGGGGTGGACGGGATTCCCTTGAGTGGGAGGTGCCTTACTAAGGCAGGTAGCTGGTCTGTTGGTAGTGGCTCAGGAACACATGCGACAAGCTCAACGTCTCATTCGTGTCCCTTTGACAAGCCAAACATTTCTTTTTTATGCCATTTGTTCTCCGGGATTTCTATCTACTGCCTATTCAAGCCGGATGTAAGCAAGCATTTCTAATGAACTCCCTTGGGAGATAAGGCGGGTCGTATCGACAGGCCTGAAAAGATGTCTGCTGTGAATCATTCATCTGCAAATCTCAGACACCTACGGGTAAGGTAAGGTAGTGGCAATTCACTACAATGTATGTCGCTCAAGTGAATCTGAATCTTCCAGCTTCTCATCTTTCTCTGGCTGCTTTATACCTCCTCGTGTGATGCTCAAGGTGAGTTGGGCAAGCTGGGTGAGCAGTGCAGGCCCGTACAGCGTTTTAGGGCGGCGCTTATTATTACCTTAGCGTGTTAGTGCAAGCGCCAGCGGCTAGGCGCCAAACCCGCCAAAGGAACGCACACACGTTCATGGGCAAATGTGATTCGCTGGTCTCACACCATTGTTAGTCGCCTGAAAACAGCGATAACTACATCCGTTTAAAATAAAAAAGCAAAAATCTAGAACTACCTTTCTTTAATATTTTACGTAGTAAATAAGGGAAAGGTAGGGGCTCTCTTCTTAGCCGACCTGACATATAAATTTAAGATTTATCTTCATCAGACCATGCCTATAATCCATCCAAGGGCGAGAAGATTCTTTAGGAACCCAAAGTTCCGCAAGCCGCATCTGCAATAGGGTTGACCATACTTGGGTAAAAAGACCGTGCAGCCTCGTATCATTGCGGGTTCTGTTAACATCGTCTTACGGGCCATCGAAGGAAACACTCAGTTTGAGAAGCCAATCCTCTATGAACCCCTTAATACCAACCAGTCTACGTCGACCAGGCGCAGGCTTGTCGAAATACGTGCCGATGCTCTAAGGACAGAGGCACATGTGAAAAGACGTTGTACCTCAGGCAAGGTGTTACACGGGAACTGTTCACGCACCCCACGCCGAAACCGCCTCAGGTCTTCTCCAAGCTCCTTTCCGCTTCCAGAATCTAACAAACAAGTCCCATTTATATATAACATAAGAAATGAGTAGAACTGGCGCAGCCGTTGCGAACCACATAGAGATCGATTTGGGCCCCGAACCCAGTTCCGCGACATTCATTCCCCACACAGAGCACGCAAATGAAAGAGGAATGAAGATCATTCCAATGACCGTAAGTCGCTGTACCTTTACTGCCATGCTCGCGTAGCGCCTCGACTCTTCCAATGCTTAGCTATCGGCCAAGGTCGTCATGCCCTGCTCGCATTCGTGCGCTAGCGTAAGAGTTCGCTGAAGTAGGTACTCAAAATCGGTCAGCTGTAGAGCAGCGGTCTTTTCTGCTATGTCCGCAAGAGATTGATCTTCATCTTTGGTCATACGAGGCCAGTCGAGAGATGTTCTATTGCGTAAGAGATTGGCAACTTCGGCAAGACTCTGGGAGTGTGAAGACAATTGCATCTTGATGTATCTCAAGTTGAGAAGTGATACAGAGTGGCTTTCGCCGATCTCTGGGGCTCCAACAAATGAAAGCTCCTTGTCGATGCATTTTTGAAGAACGTTGAAGAATTGAATTTCGGCCGCGGCCACAAAATGCAGAAGCTCGCTCAGGGCATACAACACATCTCGGCTGGCTAGCTCCCTGTTAAGATGAGCACCGTACTTGAATGGAAGATGGCTGATGTTTTGGCCAGCCTTCCAACTTGCTGATTCGACGATTAGCGCCGGGCTCGAAGTGTTGGGTCGCTTGGAGCTTCGGCTCGAAAACGATTCGGCTTTGAAAAGAGTCTGGCTAGTGTTGGGAAGATCAGTAGCTTGCGGCACAATGACTGGATGGAAAAATGTCTTCCAGGCATTTGTTTCGGGTGTGTGACTCCAGGGCCCTTCAATACTATCTGCCAGTTCTTTGCCGGCATCGAGCCAGACTACAGCACGGCAACTAGCAGAGTCTCTTGATCGCCCAATCTCTACGGTTACAGTTTGTTCGAGGACACAAGTTCGCTTGCTAAGGATAATCCATTTCCGGACCATAGAATCGGAGACTCCAGCTTTGCGGCGAAGCGATAGAAAATATCTTGCCATGGCGTTGGATCCTTGTCGTCGAGCAGTTTCGAGGTCCCCAGGCTCGTGCGAGAGGGGAACAACCGTTTTGGTGAAGATCGTGGGCAGTTTCATTTGTAACACTTGCGCGTGTGATGATCTCAATGATGGCAATGTGTAGAAATCTCGACTTCCTGTCGCCCAAAACGCTGCGAAGTCTAGATAGCGGCGGTAAAAGTCCGGGCTGGCCTTGAATATCTCTCTCGTTTGGATGAGCCACGGGGGCGACGCAAAGCCACGCAAAAAAGTAGCGATGGACTTTCAGGAGCAGTCTGGGTTCTGGATTACTGCAAATATGCTTCTGAAGCCGAAAATTCTGTCATTCTGCCAGAGTCGAGGTCTTGCAATATAGCAAAGCTTTCTAGTGAGCCCTCAGACGACTCAGGCACGCTTTGAGCTATTTCGATCCGAGTTTCGTGAGATTCCAGAAAGTGGATGAGGTTCGCCCAGTCAGGTCTAGGTTATGCTCTGTTGTTCTGGGGAAAAGCTAGAATGAAAAGCTGGATTGCCCTGTCTTGTATCGGGACCTGATGAGGGTTCATGGGATAATTAGTATTGAAGTGGCCGGAACTTGGGATCAATGGCCTTGCCTTTGAAGTTGCTCATGATTATGTTTCTGGCTTTACCAATCCGGGTGATATGAATGAGAAACGTGGGCTAGCTGAACATGCAGACAGAAGGAAGCCTACTTATAAACGTGCATCCTCGCACTGGTTACCAGATGTGACAAGAGTCACAACGGGCATTAAGGAGGTGTGGACCCATGTACCTAACGGATGCCATCTGGAGTAATTACAGCCTGCGCCTCCTACGCAAACTTCTATATTTACTTGACTGAGCAGATCGCAGATCCTTCCTATCATAGAGTACTAATAGGGATAAGTTCCAGCCGCACCAACTTGACTATTTCGCGTGGAAGCTGATCGTTTGCAAGACCAACGTTCACGGTAGAACTACGAACGCATCTTCGCGCTATCCATTCGGGGATTAATACAGGATGCCCTTAGCACAGGTCGAGTATCCTGTGGTTGTCCCAAATTCTCTTCATTATACCTTAAAGCTGGCTAGAGAGCGAGTGAGACCTGGCCAAAGGTTTTCAATCTAGAAACTTGAACTCTCATCACGCCTATTCTCTGTGAATTCTACGTCCAGTCTCAACGGTGACACCCAGGCCGCTTGCCTCCATACCCTTCTGTACTAATTCCGCGATGATAAGGTCGGTACCTGGAAGACTTGTTAGAGAGCAGTGACATGATAGTCACCATGTATTTCGTACCTGGAGCACCAATTAACGAAACGGCAATGGGAAGAGGCTCTTCCCGCTTGGTTCCTTCTGAGATGCAAGGTATGTCGCCCACTGGAGTATCATATGAGTGAATTGTATCAATGTTCCAATTTGAGATTTGACGTACTTACCTGGAGCTGTGACCTCGGGGGCCCTCACGATTGGAGACATGTGTAAAGCGGAGAAGCCGGGAAGCAGCGTCTCTGGTCTGTTGAACGGTAAGCCACAGTAGCTATAAGATTGAGAACTGCATCACTCACGGGAGCTCAGAGTCGCGATAGTTCGGCTTGCCCACCTCGATAGGCAGAGGCATGATGGTGACACAGTCCTCATCATCTGAGTTAAAGACACGCTTCAGCATCCATTCCCTGTAGACCTTGCAACGGCGCAAGCATTCATCTCGCTCCCCTCTGGAAACTGTTTTGGCCACATCCCTGTAATTCACAGATTAGACATCTCCATTTTGCGTGTGGACGGGTGGTGAAACTACTTGCCATTGCCAGTATAAAGCTCTGTGGACAAAAGGAGGCTTGCCAAACTTCTCTTGGTATTCGTTACGGAAATCGGCCAGGTTGTGGTACTGGTCATAGTAGAATGGGTATATTCCAGCCTGGCTCTTGTCAGCTTGACCACGCCTCGGCGATGGTACCAGTAGCACATACTACTTTCAAGTACGCTTCTACATCATCATGCTCTTCGCCGTCAGGAACATCCCGCCTCCAGAGCTCTGCGATGGACAGCGAAACCCGCTTTATTCCCAAAGCTGATTCAAGGCCGGCAACGAAGTTTTCAATGAGATAGCTTTGCTGCGGGTTAGGCGTCGGAAGATAGTCCTCGGGGTAAACAATCTTGACTCGAGCCTAATAATCAATCAGTGGATGCTGTGAATGTGCTAATGAAGTGGGCCAGACCTGAGAAGGTTGTCGGAGCATGGGCGAGTCTCCGTACCATACAGAGATGAAGTCCGCGAATCGAGAGATATCTCTTCCAAAGAATACGGGCATATCGAATTCTCTAGAGTTGGTCTCAGCTCAGTGCCCTCACCGGACAATGCGATAGAACACCTCAGCTAGATCTTACGGGAAAAATGCCACCACTCCGTCGACGTTCATGATACCCGTTGTAGGGCGGATCGAGAAGCATCCGTTGTACGATGCAGGCTTACGGCAACTTCCATTCGCTAAACCGATCATCAGTTGTTATGCATTAAAGCCAGAATAACTTCACTCACTATCCGAGCCAATGGAGAAGTCAAGCCAGTCGTAAGAGGAAATCCCAGCGGCGCTTCCATGGCTGCTCCCAGAAGGGACTTGGTAACCGTCGGCTCTCGGGTTGAACGGGGCTGTGAACTCGACGCATTCCAATGGTTCCTCTCGCATTATCATTGCCATCAATTTCACCTTGCCCACGATGATGGCGCCAGCATCAACTAGGGTCTGCACGCATGCTGCGGTCTCGGTTCTGGGCGGATACAACTCATTCCAAGCTCGGTTGCACAAACTGGTCTTGTGACCAACAATGTCAATGCTATCTTTGACACTGATCCTGGCACCATCAAGTGGGCGGTCTTTTGACGGCTTGAAATAACACCGAGATGGCACAACGACCCTTCCATCGATGCCGGCGAGGGGGATATCGACGGGAACTAGGGTGAGGGGAGCTCAGCCATTTCGTTTAGCTTAAGTGGAATCGTGCACCAAGAGCATGTGTAAAACTTGACTTATCTTCCTGAATGATCCGGCGATGGTTTGAAGGACGTCATGAAACATGCATTGGTGTCAACATAGACCCTCCAAGGCTGCCAAGTTTTACCGCGCGTGAAAACATAAGGGCCAGGCGCAATGTCTAGAGACGGATCCCCAGCGACAAATATTTGGGACTTGACGTGATCATCATCGAACTCGTTCAGCGCACCCGGTTCAACACGAAGATCTTTCTCTTTTGCGCCAAAGAACACAATGTTGGAGAAGAATTCGGCTCTGAAGACGTCATCTCGATCAAGCACATCGCTCCGGAACTTGCGGAGAGCTGACTTGGTAATTACTTGGCCAGGCGAGGTTGTGTATACGAGGACGAGGGCCAGTGAGTCGTCGTCAACCGTCACATTGTGAAGAAAGTTCTATGATGAAATAGTCAGCCAAGGCCATGACGAAGTTCACATATTGGAAAAACCTCTTCATTGGGAATCAGCAGGTACTTGACCTCGCCAACAGTGATTTCAAGTTCCTCGGCCATTAGTGCATTGCTCGAGTGAGCGAGAATCTCGCGATGAGCTAGTCTGATCTGCATCGGGTTCTGGTGGTCTCCTTTTCACAGGTATGTTTCGTGTGCAACCAGCAAATGACAAGAAGGACGATGAAAAGCCAAATGGAACGCTCTACTCTCATCGACGACAGAAATGTGTTCAAGTCAGTGCGAGGAAGGTTCCTAGCACTTGCGGCAATAAACAAGGGACGGGAAGTCACATAGGTATCTATCTGCACGAGCCCGATTGGACAAGACAAGAGGAATTCCATTTTGCTGAATAGGCAGTCGGCTTGCGCCTCACTTCCCCCAATTGAGACACATTGATCGTATTGCTGATTGATTACACTGTTCTTACCGCCCTTTCCGTAGCCTGCTTCTACAAACCGATCCAGGTTCCAACGCCTAAAAGTGGGCTACAATCTCGGTGAGGAAACGAGTTAATTAAGCGGCTGCACACCCATCTGATGAGGCGCGCATGATTCCAACTTCCAACAAAGCCTTGCTGCCCAATCACCATGGCAGCGACCGTCAATGGTTTATGGAGACAGGGGTGAGCCGTTGCTATCCCGTCAATAAATGCATCGAAAAGCAAACAAGGCCATTGCTCAGCGGCAACTATGGTACATCGAGTTTTGCACAGAGTACTTCATCAAAATTCCGTTGCCTGAATGGTCAAGCAGAGCCTCAAAAAGGGGTCACGAAAGCTCAAGTCTTAGTCTCAGTCATGTCGGTAAGGAAGCACCCTGAGAATTGAACTATCATTTACTGAGCCAGTACGTCTAGATGTCACACCTGATGCTGCTCAGACTATCGCGCATGAGCTGTTTGGAGACCTTGCTGAGAAGATCCTTGAGTCCTGGTACCAGATCATCAGCATTATATCAGATTACATGAGGAACCTTGGCCCAGTAAGCGAGACTCGTCCTTCTTCGTCCTGATTATCACCTCTAACTACCACGTCCGTGATTTCCTTGACAGAGCTCTGAGTATCTGGGGAGATCGGCAATGGTTCAAAAATGAGTCAGCTCGATCGTCGTTCTTACGTGGAAAGCACGAGGACAATGTCGAGCTGGGAAATCGTTGGATTGAACGGGCAAGGGTTCTTTCGTCGTGAAATCTTGCCGAACGAGGAGGCGAGAAAGCTAGATACAGCAGATTTCGACGCTTTTGTGTGTTTCTGGTCAATTTAGAGATAGATTTCCAACAGCGCTTGTCTTTTCTGACGTAAGAAATGTCTACTCAGTACTGTCTTTTCTCATAGTTGCGGGGTGCCCGATCGAAGGTACTGACATCGGTACTTACGATGAGTACAACAATGCCACCGCGATTATCTTGTTTCCAGTCTTGCATACATGGATCACATCCTCGAGACATTGGTCGTCTGCTCGCTGAGTACCAGAATCACAGTACAGCTGTGGGCTGAGGCTTGCCCAACCCGGAGGACCCAGTCAGAACAAGGCTGGTGTCTAATGAAGAACGCTGAGGCAGCGTGCACATGCATACCGGGCAGGGGGATGTTCGCGATAACCCAGAAAGACATGTGGATGCAGCCGGTCGGTTCTGAGGTTCGTGATCATCGAGCGTCCGTGATGGGCTCAATTGGTTGGTCGGCGCGCCACTCAACGCGCTGCCTCCCCCGGTGGCCGGGCCTCGGCTTATTGTGGCTTGGCGAGCTGAGCTGTTGGAGAACGCGCATACCTCTCCAAGACTTAGTGAGGAACGAGCGTCCGAGAAAGCACAATTACAGTCAGACAGTTGAGAATTCGTCGGAGATCCCTGTAACGGGCAAGTCAACTAGGTATGGAAATAGTGCTCTTCAAAAGGTAGGTGTGGTATTGAACAGAAGCTGAATCGTGGCTTCTGCTATTAAGTGGCAGAGCACGATTGGGATGTAATCTGAAATCATGTAAGAGGTTGCAGGTGCCTTGCAGGAAGCTTCTCCAATTGACGTCGACCAAATCAATTTACGTGTCAGTACCTGAGCGTGTCGAGGACGTGTAAAGCAGCCCAGTACACGCGACAACGTGGTGCCTGACAGGCGAGCAGTGACCTCGTTGACCAGGTGAAGGTGCACTCATCTCGGGCAAAATCTGGCAGGCAGCTGTGCGTCTTGGACAGCTCCAGAAAGTACCTAGTCGCGTCTCAACCTTCGCAGGGGATCGCCGGTGCCAAGCTCCACTGCCAGCCATTCTCTTGCGCCCCTGCGGTCCCTGACATCCCTGCCTGCTAGGAGACTGACGATGCACCTCGTCCGCTCCAATTCCCCATAATCGATGATGGTAGCTACCTAACCCAACGGCCCACGATATGAAATATCGCTAGCACCAAGCCCATGAAGACATCGAAAAAGATGCCCTGATCGTTCAGAAATGAGTAAAAGAATCCGGTAAGGCTTTTACTCGTTTCTATCGCCTTTTAGGGTGTCAAAACAAGACGCGCCGTGGCCTGTTCACATGTCCCGCCTAACACCTACAACCACTTTAATGAGAGCTCCTGGAGAGCGGGACTTGTCGTTGCTCAGGTCACCCAAACGAGGAAAGAGCTCTTAAAGGCTTGAAGCTCCCCAGAGCTCCTTCCCTTCACCTGCTTGATATTCAGCTTCAGCTTCAGCTTCGAAATCTCACCTCTTCCTATTGACTCTCACTTTGACATCCCACCCTTCTTCATTTTCTGCTGCCTAAAGGTCCTTTGGGTCGTCAATTGTCGATTGGCCCTCTGTTGTTCTTTAAGGCAGGGTACCTTGCCTTGGCTATTTTTTACTTCGACCCTCATCGACCCTCATCGACCTCTCCGACCTTGCTTTTTTTTCCTCTCACCATTACCCATTACCACTCATTCTTCTTTTTCCTCCTGCCTCACTCAACATGACCAAGGCAAGAGCAATGAGAGGCACTACTGTCAAGCCTGAGCCTGGCAATTTTCACAACAACACTTCTCCTACACCTTCCGTGACCAATACATACGACCCATCGCCGGAGCAGAATCAACACCAATCCCGCTCTTTTGCTGGACCTACCGACGTCAACCAGTCCTTCATGAGATCGGACGCCCGTGAGTCATTCCTGCTCTTCTATTATCAAGCTTCTCATTTGACACCACCATACAGCCACACCTTCCATCATTTCAGGCCTGATACCCACGCCTCACGGCGCTCGCACCGCCCGAACTGCTCTTACGAACCCAACGTTCGATGGAAGCGAGCCAGTCCTCCTCCAGGTTAGAAACCGCGACATGGATCCGCCTATCGTTCCCCCACAGAACGACTCTTTTCTCGATGGCTCTTTTCGTGACATCGGCGCCAAGGTGAAGATATTCAACGATACCCTCGGAGAATTACAACAGCTTGGCGTCTCCCACGATGTCGCACTTCCCCAGCTCGTTCTTGTTGGCGACCAGTCGGCCGGAAAGTCCAGCCTGATGTCTGGTCTTGCCGGGCTCAACCTCCCTCGAAGCGAGGGCGTTTGCACCAGATGCCCCATCCACATTCGTGTCTCTCGAAGTGGACCTCGAGACCGTGGCGGTCCTCAGTGGTCCTGCCGCGTGTCTCTGCAACAAGACTACGCATTCCGACCTCCTCCTAACCACTACATCACGAAGGCCGACGTCACTCCGGAGAATCCGTTCCCACCTTGGGTGAAGCAAGCGCGAGTCGTCAAGGAGTTCATGACTATCTATGATCAGTCCGACATTGATACGGTCTTAAAGTGGGCTCAAATCGCTATTCTTAACCACGGTCAGAACCACGAATTATACGTTCCCGGCACAGGCGCTATTACTAAGCAGTGCTTGCTGGACGAAGAGGCCGAGAGGACTCTCGCCAAATTCAGCCCCAACACCGTGGCGTTGGAGATCAAGGGTCCGGATTTGCCTGACCTTTCTTTCTACGACATGCCAGGCATCTTTCGCAACTCGGCACGCGAGGAAGATGAATACCTGGTGTCTGTCGTGGAGAACTTGGCGCGTGAGTACATCTCGCACTCTGAAGCCCTCATCATCTGGGCTGTGCCAATGAACGTCGACCCTGAGACGTCGTCGACTCTGTCCATCATTCGCGAACTTCACGCTCAGCAGCGAACTATTGGGGTAATGACTAAGGCGGACCTTCTACCTGAGGGCAATATTAGTCAGTGGCTGTCGATGCTCCGCGGAGAGCGACACAAGATTGGTCACGAGTTCTTCATCACGTCTCGGCCTTCGGAACAGAAGCTCGACGAGCAACAGCGATGGGAAGTGGCTCTCTTCCATGAAGATGCAAGCGAACGCTGGCCAAAGGAGTTCCATGAATTTCGCGAGCGATGCGGAGTCGAGAATCTCAAAATAGCTCTCTCTGAGAAGTTAGGCAAGGAGTTCGCTAAGAAGTAAGTTGTCAAGCTAATATATATCGATGAGATATTGACGTTTCTAGTTTGCCTTCAATCAAGCACAAGGTGCAAACGAGACTTAGTGAGATCGAGGCAGAGCTCAGCACACTCCCCGAGTTGCCCAACAATGTCGAGTTAGAGGTCAAAAAAAGTCTGATGAATTTCACCTCCATTGTTAAAGATACTCTTCGCGGAAGAAAATTTTCCTCTAACTACGGATCTCTTTCGGACAGCTTCCGCGACTGCATTTTGCAGATGAAGCCGAAATTTATCTTAAAAGACAAGTCAGACATACCTGTTCTGGAAATCTCTGACGATGAGGATGACAATTCGTTTGTTACCCCTTCGAACAGAAAGCGAGGCGGCGCCTACGGACAGAATCAGTCAGCTGCCAAACGAGCCCGACCGACCGCCGGTGGTGGCTCCTTCTCAAATGCCGTCTCAAATGCCATCAAGACGGAAGATAATGGTTCGAGACCATCGACGCCCCCTCGCCGAAGACCGACCCAGCTGTTGCCTCTCGCCCTGCCGTTTCAACGGTACGCCAACTCTGGCGCTGGATTCCGGACACTGGCGCAGATCCGCGAGGATATCAGAGCCAAGACTAAGGCAGGCATGCCTAGTATTGTTCCTGATGAGGTCTATGAAGATCTATGCAAACAAGCCGTCAAGGCGTGGAATCAGCCAATGGAGACTTTCTTACAAGAGACCATGAGTTGCCTGCAAAGAATTATTGACTATGCCCTCAGTCAGGCTTTTGGTGCCTTGATGAAGCGATTGATCTTTAAGCAGTCGACCAACCTCATGAACGAGTTCCTGAGAGAACGTCGAAGCGAGACCATGTCCTTTCTTAAGGCTATCTACGACATGGAGACGTTTCAACTCTTCACAGTCAACCAGAAGGCATTTGCGGACTACGAGCGATCTGAGAGTCGGGTGCTCACGCGTTATCGCCACGTTATGCGCTGGCAGGCGTTCTCGGGAGATGCCTTTGAGTTCCATGATTGGGACCAGATGACGCCTGAACAGCGAACGAATGAGCAGCGGAAGCATAACATCGAGCTCGGTAAGATGGGACCAGACACCTTTGATAAGGAGCTGAAGGTGGCTGCCTACGTCCGGGGTTACTATATGTTGTCTGCTCTACGCTTTGCCGACACGGTCTGTCTGTCGGTCACATCTCGTATGATGCCAAAGATCGTCCAGGATCTCGACTTTTTCCTTGAAGAGAACCTCGGCCTCATCGGTGGCCGTGACGAGACTGTGTTCACTCGCCTGATGGAGGAGGATGAGGCAACCGCTCGCAAAAGAGAGCAGCTGAAGAACGAACTGGAGAAGTTCAAGAAGGCACTCGACTCGATCACAACCAACGAGTTGGAGGGTGCTTTCGGTTCGTCTTCCCAGGGCAACGCGTCCGAGGCGTACGGCGAATCTTTTGCTAATAGTATGGATATCGATGGTGGCTGTTGAGCGATCATGCCGCTGTGATCATTATCATAGCTTTGCCCGCAGCTGGAGATTCGAGCCGTAACTTGGCAAGGGCAGAGAGTCGATGCTCATGTTTGGCAGGGAATGAATGTCGTGGAAGTGTTTGCTTGTGGAAGTCATCATGTCCGGTCTTGTGGACAGCAGAGAGATCATGTTGCTGATTGGTACAGACAGGAGAGGCCATTTGGCGTCAGGTAATGGAGTTTCGGACAGGAAGGACATAGGATGGTTTGTTTGCCAGTCGGAAGGCACTTTTCGCACAAGATACCAGACTTGCACATTACTAGGTAGCTAGCTCAGAGAACAGACACAAAGTTGTATCAACAAACTAGACGAGAGGAAGGGGGAGGAGTCGACATCCCCTTGCCAAGGCCCGTTCTACGTGCAGAATTCCTGACATGTAAGGTCTGCTGACAAGGCAGCGCCAACATCTGGGCGGGATACCGGTACCGGTCATGTCCAACAACCCAAGGAATGAGCCAAGTCGGGGTGGGCAAAGCGCGCCGTGGTGCCTGCTGTGCCAAAGCTTCTCCTGCGCCGTTTCGGGCCTTCTTGTTGTGACCAAGACATGGAAGGAAGCTCTCACCCTCCGTAGCATGTCCTTTCTTTCCTCGGGCAACTTTTCCCTCTTGCCTGATCTTCCTCCTTGTCAGATCCTCTCGTCCTTGATCAAATCTCAACTCGCCATCTGACTCCCATCACGCCCACGACCATGACCACGATCCCAATCCTCCCGCAACCATGGCTCTGCCCGTACCCACACCCACACTCACACCGTCGCAGCGCCCCTTTCGTCGTGCTGACAATTTCTGGGGTAAACTCCATGCATCGACTTTACCCGGCCTCGGTACGCTCCCGTGGACTTGGGACCGTCGGAGAAGGCGTCGTCTCTGGCTTGGCCCCAGCCTTCAGCCAACTGCTTCACGACCCTCGTCGTCGGCTAAATTGCCAGGATCTAACCAAAACGTACAAACTTGGGCCAGGCCCTCAAAATGCAGCCGCTTTTCTCCAGAAGAGGGTGCGGCGAGGCAAGACAAGGCGGGTACCTCCCATCTCAATGGTGCAGCAATCGAAGCCACCGGCTGCCGGGATGTCCTCGCAAAACAACCGGGTGTTAGATTCATAGACATGCACCAGACCAGTCTAGTCCTGCGGCATGTTCCCAGCAACCGTTCAGCCTAGTGTGGTGGACCTGGCCCGGGGAGTGTCAAAGTGGGCCTCCCCAAATTTGGAACCATCATGCCATGCCTCCGACTGCCATTGGTGGTGGGTCATGAGACGTCGTCGAGGTCGGACGCGACGGGCTCAGACTAACGTTCGTTCGATGACAGAACGACCTCTCGATACGGATCTACAAGTTTCCACGGACTTGGCGGCCGAGAGCCAACGCTTTTTGTGTCTGTCAAGCAACTGCCAACCAAGTTCGAATACGATCTGTACCTTACGAAGCCCGGCCAGGGAGCCGCGTAGATCACGAAACCATGGCTGTGATCAACTGCAGATTGTTGCCAGCTTGACCTGCGTAAGTATTTTGTGCACCTTGAGCAGTTTCGACTAGGCAGCGATAATCTGAAATCGACCAGAAGTCCTATCAAACCGGGCAAACAGATCATAGATCCTATACCATGGGCACCATGTGCCCAATCGACAAACACGAGCCAAGTGGTGCTGGTACACACTGTTTGGCACAAAATCCTTCATGATGCATAATGCGAGTGGCTCTCCTCTGAGACGATAGCAGTAAGTGTTATACCCAGGCTGAGCTCTTGCTTTCTTCTCAGACCAGTTAACAACCATTCCGATAGCCCAGCTCCCGTTTCTTGGGTCCTATTCCGGTATACAAACCAAAATAACATGGCTCTATAACAGACCGGCCCACCGAACTCTCAACACCACCACGGGCCCGAGCAGGCTAGTCCGAACGGGCATCAAATTACTTGTCAGATACCGGCCCTGTCTTCCGTGGGGGCGCTTCATTCAGCCACTCACACTACAGGTGGCGTTCCAGTTTTCATCTATGGGATTCTGGATTGCATGATCACGCGAGGGCAAACGGCGCCGGGACCACTACCTCGGTCTTAGCACTTTCAAACTTCTCGATGTATGCTCATGGACTCGCAAGAAACCGAACATACAATGAGTGGATGGGCATCAAGAATACACGAGATGACTACGAGCGACATATCCAAATTAATGTCGAGGAAGGAGTACATCGCTCGTCAAGTGTACGTCCATCAACTTCAACAGTGGAAATACTTCCGCTCGTATGCGTCGGTAATTCATGTACACATGCCAAGACGAACTAGCCAGGCTTAAGGGGAACTGAAGTTTATCGACACTCCGAACGTTCCTAATGAGAAGTTCGGCGACCATCTCCGCTAAGGTGCCGAAGTGGGCATCATGAAATGTTGCTGGGATCTACAAAGTGAACCATCCAATCCAAAACCTCTCCCCCTTCGAGGCATCGACATTCAGGGAACGCAAGTTTGTCACCTCCCCTCAATCAGGTTCCGTGCCCTCTCAAATTAACCACAAGAACCGATCATGCAACGCCCAAACATCCATCGCCTGAAGTACCCTTCAAGCCTCGAACAGCTCCAGAACCTATGCTGCAACATAGTCTCGTTGGACTCGTTCTGGTGGTTATTCCAATCGTCGATCGTCTCAAAAGCCAGCGCATGGCGTTCGATATTGCGAAGCTGACTGTTCAACGACTGCTTTCTGACGAACCAACTGCCACATTTCACTCACAACCATTCAAAATTGACCTGCGATGAGTGCACGCCCCCGTCGACTGAGGGTTGTCGACCCTTTGCGCCTCAAACTCGCATGATCAGTCTTAGGCGAGGCCAATTGCGAGCCTTCGCCCACCACCATCACTTCCAACTGCAGATAGCACTCACGACTTGAGTCCAGCAACGAGTTGGAATAGAGCTTCCCCAGTCTCCACACTTCCCCTCCGCAACTAACCTGTCTCGCTCTGTGATCGGTCTTTGCCTCTGCGAGTTCTTTCGACACTTTCGACCAATGGCGGAGACAAGGCTAATTGCATCTGTCTTTTGCCGGCCATTTCATCCAGACAGCCCCTCTCATGAAGCCACATGTGCTGCACCCCGGTCCCGCTTGACACCTTAATTGCATCTCGCCCGGGATGAACAGGGCTCTTCAATTGATTCCTGGTACGCTAGCTCCTCAAGCACGTCAAACATTGGTTTCTTTGGTCTCAGTGGTTCAGTCTTTCCTCTGGTGGCAGAAGCTTCCTCACGCCAGGCACGAAGCAACCCGAGGGGGGCCGTACTGCGAGGTCATTGTTGCCACTCTGCCCGCGTCAAGTGGTACACTTGGAAATATCGTCCGCGAGACTGCAGACTTCCAAGCATCGTAGGTCACGAAATTTCGACATAAAAGACTTCCCATTCATACCGGCACGCAGCATCCAAGGACCGACTAATGTTTGATGGAAACTGTGACTAGCCAACTGGCGTCTTCTGTTGTTGCCGTGACATTACCAGTCTGTTGGGAACCGACTAACAACTATCACTTGGTTGGGCATTCCAATCTTATTCCAACAAAAGACAAGGTGCAGTCCCAGTGGTAGTTCGTAAGGACTAGCCTCAGGGGATGAATCGGCGGACCGGAGATGCCTGGTACCGGCACAGGCTTACTGCACTCATGCTCATGGTACTATGGTCTTGAAGTTCTTAGACCAACGGATCGCGGAATGCAACTCCAGAGCGTTTCTCGGAATCTCCGTTATTGGGACCAAGGCTGCTTGTGGCTTTTTGCAGAACAGCCCATGGGGAAGCCTCCCGAGACCCCTACCCGTCGTTTCCAACCGGTGTCACGTAAACGGCACGGAGATCAGTCTTTTCGAAAGGGCATTTCGCAAGCGAGAAACAGCAGGCTAGCTCGTGTGGCACACGAATAATGCGTTGAATGTCTGTCTTCCCATGCAACCAGGTCCAACCCACGAATCACGAAATGGCAGACCCTGGAATCCATGTCGATGCTCGCACCGGTACCAGGTGTTGTGTTCCTGTGCCGCAAAAAACCATCCCACCGAGGCTTGTCTCGGTCTATGTCGAGAAATCTGACATTTACGTGAGCTTTTCCCAGGGGCCAGGCAGAGGTGCATGAACGCGCCCGTTCACATAGGCGAGTCCTAGAATGGGTCGAACGCCATGCCTTTTGGGGAGAGGCCACCAACTCCAATAATTCAACCCATCTTTACCCGCATGTCGCCAATTCGTGCCGTCGCCGCCGCACATCCCTGCTCCTGGTGCATCCCCGCCTCCCCCAGATGCTTCCTTCACGGGGTTGGACACCTCCGAATGGGGTGAGGATACTAATTAGCTCCGGGGTCAGCAGCCGTGCAGATCAGAAGAAATGCAATGCCTCCACCCTAGTTGAGAAAAACCCGGGGTTAGGGAGTGAGGAAAGACATATAAGCCCTCTACCCGGGCCTCCTCGTTGACAGACCGCTTCCCTCCCTACGCGCGAGTCGGCCAGTAAACTTCAATACCCTCTCTATCACTCTCATTAGAAGCCTTCATCGAGTTTGGAAGTAACCGACCGAGTACCGCCAAGATGGTGAAGAAGGCCGTCATCTCCCAGCAGGTGGCCGACAATCTCGACATCGCTCAGGCTGAGGCCCCGCGATTCGAAAAGGTATACTGGCTGAAAGAGCCCCATCTTCGCAAGCTCTACTTCTCGACCATCTTTCTCATGGTCGCCTCTGCCACCACTGGTTACGATGGTATGCTCGTGAACACTTCTCAGCAGATGCAGCGATGGAAGGACTTCTTTGGCGACGGCGTCTCCGACAACAACAAGCTCGGCATTCTCATCAACATGTTCAACATCGGTTCCATTATTTCTTACTTCATCACCCCATACGTGGCAGACAACTTTGGACGTAAGATCGCCATTGTCAGCGGCTGCTGCTTCATGATCGTCGGCGGTGCCGTCACGGCCTTCTGTAATGGCTGGGGAAGTAAGCACAACTCTCTAGCTCTTCCCGAGTGTTTGCAACTCAAGGCTAATCATCATTTCAGTGTACGTTGGCGGTCGATTCATTCTCGGTTTCGGCAACTCACTTGCTCAGATGGCATCTCCGTTGCTACTGACCGAGATCTGCCACCCTCAGCACCGTGGTCCCGTCACTGCTGTGAGTTTCCTCTCCAACGCAACCCCAAATACCAGACATAAATGTGTTTCAAAATTGAGCAACGGCTGACTTGATCTGATAGATCTACAACTGTTTGTGGAACCTGGGTGCTCTGATCGTCGCTTCTATCGGCTGGGGAACCTCGTATGTGAACAACGACTGGTGCTGGCGATCCATCACCTTCATCCAGATTGTCCCCTCCGTCATCCAGCTCGTCGGCATCTGGTGGGTTCCCGAGTCCCCGCGTTACCTCGTCAATAAGGACCGCTCCGAAGAGGCCCTCGCTGTCTTGGCCAAGCACCATGCCGGCGGTGACTTCAACAACGCCACTGTCCAGTTCGAATTCCGCGAGATGAAGGAGACCATCTTGATGGAGAGGAACGCCGATAAGACGACTAGCTATGTCGACTTCTTGAAGACTAAGGGAAACCGCTGGCGTCTGGCCATCATTATTTCTCTTGGTATCATCTCCCAGTACTCTGGAAACGCCCTCTTCTCCAACTACATGGACGCTATCTACGAAGGCGCTGGGATCACCGAGCAGAATCAAAAGCTTGCCATCTCCACCGGCAAGTCGATCCTCGATCTTACGTGCTCAATTGGCGCCGCCTTGACCGTCGACTACTTTGGTCGTCGCCCACTGTTCCTGACTGCTATCAGCGGTATGGTTGTATCGTTCGCCTGCTGGACCATTACTGGTGCGGTTTTCGAGAACTCCAACGCCACGAACCAAGGCTCCGGTTACGCCCAACTGGTCTTCATCTGGATCTTTGGTATCTTTTATGATATCGGTTTCTCCGGTCTGCTGATTGCCTACGGTCTCGAGGTCCTGCCTTTCCATCTTCGTGCCAAGGGAATGATGATCATGAACATTACGGTCCAGGCCATCCTAGCTATTGGAAAGTATGTTGAGTCCTTTTCATATTTATTCCATTCTCAGCTAACCATACCAACAGCCAAACCAACAAGGTCGCGTGGGACAACCTCCCCAACCACTGGAACTTCATGCTGTTCTACACCCTCTGGGACTTCTGCGAGCTCATATTCGTCTACTTCTTCTACATCGAGACCAAGGGCCCCACTCTTGAGGAAATCGCCAAGATCTTTGACGGCGATGATGCTGTTGCGCACGTCGACCTCACTCAGGTTGAGAAGGAGATTGATGCCCACCACCACGAAGAGGATATCAACACGCGCGCCGCGCACAGCGAGAAGACGGCCGTCTAAATCTCAGTCTCCGCGCAGCGATCGACAGAACCAGGACAAACAAAAGATAAAAAAATATGTCTCTTTGAAGTGCCGTTTGGAAAGTTTTGGCAGGGCCAGGTCTTGGATGTAATGCGAGTCCAGCATCAGCTGGGCTCAGACTTTTTGGGGTTGTTCATGATACCAGAGGCATCGCGAGGCATGTTCCTCGCACGTCCTACAACAGACACCAGGTGCCTTGTCGAGCGATGCCTTATCAATTACTCTCGTTGTTACCAATAAGCCGTATACTACCTGTGGAGGGCCCCCAATCTCGGGGTCTCTCTGCAGTAATTTGAAGCCGTTACGAACTTCGAATCCGTCCTTAGCCGTTGGTTGTTTGTTGCCACCGTGTGGATACCAAAAGCCAATTCTTTCTCTAGCTTTTGCTCGAGTCTTGGCTGGTTGCCTGAGACACTAAACCCTACATCCCCAGATTTCCTAATATTTCCTCAGGAAGTTGAGACGCGCTAGTGCCGGCACCTAGCACGAGGTCTCTGGATATGAGTGGGATCTGGTGGGAATTTGGTGAGAAGCAGGGGTTTTTTGGTGTTGCGCCATCCTGCATTTCGTCTTAACTTGGCGTTGGATGAGGAGTGAGGGGGTGGGGAAGACGGGGAGTTGTCTACCTTGTGTGAAGGCGGGCCGCGAAGCCGGTAGGATTATACTGGCTGGATTACGTACTGGCTTGATTAGAAGATTCGTGGCGAACCCTACTTACCGTAAGATGAGAATAGTGTTGGCAGACCAGTGGGGGGCGCCATACGAGATGCAATTTGCTGTTTTTAGGGTGAATTTTGTAAAAGCCGGGATGAGATAGATGCATTGGTTGGCAGGGGGCGCCGGAGGAAAGAGCCGTCGTATGTTGTTTTCCCGTCTTGCTGTTTGCCCTACTTGGTAAAGCTGCTTGTCCGCTTGCCTTTGCACGCGCATGCATGGGATTTGCATGGCCTCTGGACGCGCCGTGCTCGTAGGAGTCACGACTTCCTTGGACGTCACATGGATTTCTAGAGAACTTTACCAAGCTTGTTCAAAGCGGCCGGGTGAGGTTGCATGGAAACACGGATTGATGGCGCATGTTGTATCAAGGAGCTTATGGGTTGACGTCCAGAAGAAGATGGTCATGATTGAATGAAATTTTGACATTGAATTGGTGAGGGCGATGATGATGCTTTCTAGGCCGCTGAAGCACAAATTCCAATAATGTTCCTGGGGCATAACGATCTACAACTTGCTGGCCATGCCTGTCTTTTAGGTAGGTAAATAATACATTGATAACACACTCTCATCGAAAACTCCCCTTCAAACACCCAACTCACCACCAACGACCTCGAGCGCCTCCACACAAAGCTTCAACACCGCCTCATCCCCAGATGTGCCCGCTACCTGCACGGCACTGACGAGCAGGGGATACAGCCGTAGCAGGTGCTTCCTTCCCTCGCTGTCGACGTTGGGCGTGCTCGGGATCGCCTCCGACTCGGAAGTCAAGTCGACAAGCTGCCGCAGTACGCGCAAGAGCTCCTTGCGCTGCGAAAACGGCTGCGGCATGCGGCCTCGCAGTGGCTGGTCGGCAATGTACGCCCGGACGGTCAGCGCCGCGCGGAGGATCAAGAACGGCGCGACGGTGCGGGCGATGCGGATGTGCAGGGCCTGCGGCGCCTCCGAGAGGTGGGAGGTTGCGGAGCGCGGGGGCGGGAACGCGGGTGTGGGCGGCTGGACGACGATGCGTAGGCTTGAGACGTCGTACGGTGAGACGAGGGAGAAGAGTTCGTCGACGCAAACATACGCCATCCGATCGCGGCGGGTCGGGAGGGGGTCGACGGTGCGGCCGGTGCGTTTTTTGTAGAGCGCTGCGAGGCCGTTGGCGCCGTCACCAGGCGCGGCGCTAGAGCCGAAGAGGAGGGAGGACTCGGTCGGCGAAGGGTCGTGGATGATGGAGGTCCGGAAGAGGCTTTCGGCGTAGGCTTTGCGGGTCTTGTCTGGGATCGCCTCGGCTCCCAGGGACGGGATGATGAGTTCGCGGAGTTTGTGAAAGGATATGATGTCGAACGACTCGTCGTCTGAGAGGTCTGCAGACGTGGGCGCGGCGTTGGTGTTCGCGCTCACGATGCCGTCGGCGATTCCGACAATCATTTGCCACATGTCCTGGAGCGTGGAGCGCGGGATTTCCAGGGCGCGGATCTGAGGGAGCGTAGCTTCCAAGATGGCGAGGATCGAGTTTGTCGCGAGACGCCATGGTTGGGCTGACTTGGTGACGATGGGGAAGCCGTACTTGAGGACTACGGGCTTGGAGAGCGCCGAGAGGGCAGAGGAGAAGGCCTCGCTGGCATAAATGTCCACGTCGGATGCGTTGCGGAGGATAAGGGTTTGCAGAATGGACATGCTGACTTTCGACATGGCCACGTAGGTCCTCCGGTGTGTCGCGCTCTGCGCCTTGAGTGCCTCGTCGCTGAAAGCGAGGCGGACAAATTCCGCCACCTGGGAGATCATGGCCGAAGGCACGCCAGTGAGGTCGGTTCGCACCATCTTTATGGCCTCCATGACATGGTTCTGCAGCGGCGTGACGTACTCAATGTCGTTCACGTAGGCTCCCACTGTGGCTTGTTGCAGGGCCTCTCGGAAAAGTGTCAACATCTGGCGGACCCGGTCTACTGTCAGGTCTTGCTGGACAAGTTGGTACACATCGTGGAAAGCCGCCACGTAGGCGATCAGGCAATTTTGGTTATCTGCCTTCTTGCCGTCCTCTTCGTCCAGGGATACGGGCGTCCCGCGAGACCACAGCTCCCATGCCGCGTTGACGGTATTGGTATCGAAGATTGGTCTGCCGGGGCCGTAGTCGAGCTTGATGACCTTGCCAAGTGCCTTGTATGTTGCCGTATTGATAGCGAGGACCTTGAAGTCGAGCAGAGTCGCGAAATGACCGAGAAGTTCCTGCCACAGGGCGTTGAAGGAGGAATGTGTGGACAGGGGCTCCATGTAGGTTGTGAGGAGCTCGGAGATACCCGTCAATACAACAGCTGCCGTCTCGTGCCACTCTTTGCGATCTTGCAGGGTGGTACTATCGGTCGCGGCGGCCTGAAGCTCTTCCTCTATCGATGAAAGAAGCTTGAACACGACAGACTTGACGCAGGTGGACCAGGCCTCTGGGCTCAACTTGTCACCGTACGCGTCAAAGATTCTCAACAAGGTCTGAATTGCGCTGTTGCGTAGCTCCAGTCGTCCATCAGCTGTCACTGTGGTGAGCCTCAGAAGTAACAGCATCCAGAGGGCGGCGTTTGAGGCGATGTCTTCCGAGTTTGCAGCCAAGGCTTCCAGGTCAGATATACTTGAACCCTGCATCAGGCCGGCGGTGACGGGGAGGGTCTCAGTCTTTCCGGAAAGAAAGTCCGATAAGACCCAGAAAAACGTGACAGTCTACAGAGTATTAGCTTGACCACAAGTATTCGACGCTTCGCCACATACCGTTAACGCAATGTTGAGGTCATCATCTTGTGAGCAAAATTTGTAAAGGGTATCGACAAGTATGAGAAAGCAAGAATTTGGCAAGGACGCTAGAAAGTCGGAGCAGATGAGTTGAAGGGAATTGAAAGAAGATCGGACGAGCTTCGCTGATCGGGTCATGAGAGCGTTTGTCTGGGAGCCCCGAAGTTCTCCGGAGGCGAACTTTTTGTCGATGAAGATGGAGCCGATGATCTCAAAAGCAATCTCCCAGCCGCTGACGAGCGTCTCGCCGCAGTTTTCAATAAGGTTCTTCAGTCCTTCCAGGATGACCTTATGAATCTCGACATCAGTGCCGTGGCTGGCGACGGTGACCTCCCTGTCTTCTTGCTGCAAAGGTAAGAGAGCATCGCGGAGGGCCTCAAGGAGAAGTAGCTGAACTTGACCACATTGCTCGCGCTCCATTGTGGCCGCAATATTGGCCGCATCCAAGGCCAGTCTGACGAGAATCTCTGCCGCTCGCAGCCTTACAGAAGCGTTCATTGAGGAAGCGTTGATGATATGAATCAGCTCGGAAGTCAGAGGTGTCCAACCGGATATGTCCGGCGAGTACGATAGCAAACGGTCGATGTTGATCGTGGCAATGTCACCCAGCTTGGCCAAGGCGAAGTGGTCTTCCTGGTTTGGTCCCGCGGCAGCGGCCGTAGAGACACTGAGGACTCGGCGATGCTGAACTGCTTGCGACGGCTTCATTCCGCCCGACGTAGGCGTTTTCGGTTGCGCTGCATTCTCTGTCTTCTGCTTGTCGTCTTTTGCCCTTTCCAAGAGGTCGCATACTGCCTCAACGACTTGCGCAAAGGCGTCATTGGGGAAATCGATCGTGCTCTCGATGAGACGAGATGCTGCTGTCTCGACAGCGCGGACTTCGCTGCTGAAGTTGGAGAGCAAAGCGTTTGCTTCGCTTTCCGCATGTTGATCCGTTCCCTTTGTTGCAAGTGGCGTTCGACCTGGAGTCTTACTCGTGGAGAACAGGACGAAATCAGCTTGCTGCAAGGTTTCCAGAATGATCCGCCATGACGAGCCAAGAGTCGGGCCAAGAGCAATACCAAGGTTGAGGAGCGCTCTCAAGCACAGAAGATTGCGGGTGTTGAGCGTCATTTGACTGCCCTCAAGTCCTTGTTGTCTACCCCTGTCAGCGACGGGTGAAGATTGATTGACAAGACTATCGACACTAAGCAACCCCCGTGCGTTGCTCAGAATACTGTTGGGTGCTTCTGTTGTCGGTGTTGGAGTAGTCGGTCGAGCGGGCCCAGCATTCAGGCACGCCGTGAACACATTCGGCGGTACTGCCGCCTTACCCAGCGTTGTCAAGAATGCGTCTCTCGGTGTGGATAGTTGCAGCAAACCAGCGACATGGGCGAACTTTTGAAACGCTCTTACTAGACTATGGTAGTACTCCGAGTCCATAGCAGCATAGAGGAACGTAGAACAGGTAGCAAGGATGGCTGGCCAGCATTCATCAATGATGGCGGCGCAAATCTTGACTTCTTTATGCATGGGGTGATCCTCTAAGGCGAGAGGATTAAGCGGGACGGGGTTCTTCTTGAATGATGCAGCTCGCTCCAACGCAGCCCGTGAGCCGTCGGCATCATCTTGGGCAGACGCCGGAGAGTCGCGAACAATTTCTTGCTTTCCGCTCTTCTTTCGATTGCGGCTATCCCCTGGTACGGTAAGTGGAAGGATGAACTTGGCGAGACCTTCGGAGAGCGACGATATGCAAGACAAAGTCAAGCTGTAAATATATGAATCTGGAACTGATGGTGCCTCGGTTTTGTCAAGCTGGTCGATGCAGGGTACTCGGACGTTGCTCCACTGCGTGCTAATGCCAACGTTGGAGCCGTCTGCGTTGACGGAACCGCTGATGATACCCGTGACGCCGCTGGCCTCAAGCATGGCTTGATCGGTTGATGATGCGATGCTGGCGTAAGGGTTCATAACCGGAATCGTCGACTGATGTCCAAGACCAATAACGGACGGCTTCTCGGTGCTAAGCCGCACAAAGGTCGCGGTCAAATGTTTGAGAACATCCTTCTCGCCCTCTTTGGCGTCGTAGTTGACGAATATCCGACGGACAAGGGCATGCTCCGAGAAGATGCCTCGAAACACCTCTAGACACAGTGCTCTCTTCCATGTTGCCGTGTCCTGGTCCAGTAGATGCGTCAGGATATCGAGTGCATTCCCGCTCTCAGATGGGAGGATGTTGATGTGGCGTCTGAGGAGAGTGTACAAAATCCGCACCAGCCTAACCGACGTGGCAAAGTTGGGCTTTCCTTTCAGTGCACTAGTAATGAAGGGCATGACCCGAATCTGTAGGATATGTGCTTGTTCTTTGTGGGTCGAGAAGACAGCGGCATGGTTGGTCAGAACAGACTCTATTAGTTCCAACCCGAAAGTTTGTGGCAGTCCAGAGAATCTCAAGTACTCGGGGCGCTGATTCTCAGTCATGAGGCAAAGGTCGTTGAATATCTAAGCAGGCGTGAATAGTGGAACTTAAATAGCATGGACGCACGACATACCCTGTACGCATCCAACGCCGCTGCGCGCAGCTCAACTGTGCCACCACCAGATTGCGCCTCGCCCGCGGGAGGGCCGTTTGGTGCTGTTTCTGTGCATAGTCAGCAGAGAAGTTTGCTATGAGAGGAAATCAGATACTGACTATCTTCTGCCACAACTTTGTCAAATACAGACACGACCAGCTGTTGCAAGGTTGCCGCCGAGGTGTTGTTGACAATGGCATTCTTGCTGGACTGCAGTATGAAGCAAGTATTCAAAGCGGTGATGAGTAGATCACCCTTCAGATCAGTGGCATAATTCTGCAGTAACGACGGCAAAGCCTGGAGGATCTTGAGTTGGACATCGAGACCAGCAGAAGTTGCCTCACGCAAAGCTTCGAGGACCTGGTTCAGCTTCCCCCTAGGAAGAGCACGGGCGACGATGAGCCTCTGAAGGCACACAATGGCGATTCCCGTAAACTTTGCATTCTTGGTGCCACATGCAACGATGAAAGGGTTTACAAAGTTGGGTCTCTGGGCAAGCTCTGTGTAAAGAGGTCAGTCATGGGTCTGTAGCTAGGAAAGATGGACAGGGGGGGATAGATACCATTGGCAGCTTGAGCTTCATTAGCACCTCTAAGCCCTTTGAGTTCCTCAAGAGACTTTTCAGCAGCCTTTCCCATATAATGTCAGTACTAGATATGTGGCGGGCGAGAGAAATGCTTGCACACCTGTCGGAGGTCATTGTGTTTCCGCTTGCTTTCTTGGATGAGATTCGTTAACTCCGTGGCCAGGAGCTGGGTCGTCATTTTGTCAAAAGCGGCCTCTCGGGCAATCCATTGTCGGACAACGACGAACTCCAGTGAAAGAAAGAATCGAAAGCAAACTAAATAGGCAATGGGGTGAATTCAAGGCTGTGTCCTGTCGAAAATGGTCGAACTGAGAGGGATGAACAGGGCAAGGTATGGGAAAGAGCTGCCTTGAGAACGAACAGCTGCGTCTGCTCTCTGCGCCTACCAGTTCATCCACAGCTCCCGATTGAGGTGAGCTGTCCACCTTGAATGATGACTAAGGCAACGCATCTCGCATAAAGGTATCCACACCACCGCTCAGGCGGCAGAAATAGTCACCCGAGTTGTTCACCGCCTGTGGTGCCCCGCGCTTGCTCGTGCGCATTGGGCTGCTTCCGCGCAGACAGTGACAATTGCGCCGTCTCTCCAGCGCCCGGACGCCATCAGGCACAAGCCACCTCGCTGAATTAATACACTGGTGACCCCTTCTGTAGAGTGCCCACTGCCCACTGCCCACTGCCCACTTGACCCGCCCTTCCGTCGGGTCCACGTCCCACCTCACGTTTAGGTAAGGGAAGGGACCTTACCATCCGGTCCGCATTGCGATCATTCCTATTCTGCCTTCCTCCCACCTCGCAACCCCTCCAACCTCGAACATTTCAGTGGCGGTATCTTCCTGTCGCCCTGTGACGAACACACCGACCCCAAACCCTTCGATACCCACACACGAATCATCATGGGCGCAAAGGTTCCGCGCAACTTCAGGCTCCTTGAAGAGCTTGAGAAAGGCGAGAAGGGCCTCGGAGCAGGTACATGAGCCCGTCTGATGCAAGGTCAACGAAGCTGTCCCCCGTATCTCTGACTGACTCTCCCAATTGCAGAGGCTTGCTCGTACGGTCTGAACGATGCCGAGGACCTCTTAATGTCGGACTGGAACGGAACCATTCTGGGACCCCCTCACGTCAGTATACACCTCCTCTCCGCCAGCCTTCATCAAGGTGTTGCGCATCACTGACCGGTCCTTTGCAGAGCGTCCACGAGAACAGAATCTACTCCCTCAAGATGCACTGCGGTCCCAACTACCCAGACGAGCCTCCCACGATACAGTTTGTGAGCCAGGTCAACCTTCCCTGCGTCAACGCACGCAATGGTGTCGTCGACCCTAGACAACTTCCTTGCTTGTCTAACTGGAAGAGGGACAACACCATGGAGACCATTCTGATTGAGCTTAGAAGGTATGTTGAGGATACGCGTTTAGTCGCAGCCTGGAGTGCAGCAGTCAACACAACGCCAGGCTAACATTCAGTTCTCCAGATACATGGCAGCTCCTGCCAACAAGAAGATCCCCCAGCCTCCCGAAGGTTCCACGTACCAGTAGTGGCCTATGTTCATGATTCCCCACGATGCGCGAAAGAGGGTTTGGCTGGGTAGGTCGGGCTGATTATCGGTATACATGGCATGGGTAGTACGGCTCAATGATTACGACTTTTCTTCACACCCACACCTCTACCCGCCCGTATTGCTGCGCTTTTGAAGGAGTGCAGATCATTCTTTTTTCTGTGAAAACCCCAGAGTGAGGCGGAGCAGGATACTGTCACAAGCATGCAACGGGTGCGAGACTCGGTTTCGCACGTTTCGTACTCTCTGAGCCACAATTATTGACCCTGGGTGACCCTGGATCTTCATTCTTTGAGCCTTTTCACGTTTCTCGCTATTGAAGACCCACGTAGCTTGACAGTTTTTGGGTTGGGTTGGAATCTTACTAAGGTAGGTAGGTGATGAAGCAAACTACCTTATGCTCTATCATCATGGTTACTGCCATAATGCAGAATGTTCTGAATGTTGGGTTTCATGACTGGCCAACATGGATAGGGTTGCGGTCAAATGCAGAAGAAGAATCTTGGGGCTTCAGATCCGTTGCGAACAGATTGTGCCGTCTGGTCTCCAGGCTGACATTGCAATGCCTCGTGTCTGGGATGTCCTGGACGCCCGTGGTGCCACGGGCGCCACGGAACGGGAACATCTGAGCCGGTGGGCCTCGGCCGATGCCGTCGGCTAATAATCGGTAGGGAGGCAGCTGCAGCCTCCGTCATCCTTGGATTTTTTCCCCCCGGTCAAACGTTAGGGACCCACAGGCTTTGACCTAGGTAAGCTGATGACCTGAGAGAGAGCGCTGCTCCGGAGCTTGCAACCTCCATTTGATCCACGCATTTCGATCTATGTCAATGCAGCAGCAGCAGCAGCAGCAGCAGACATGGCTTCGGCGGTAACCAAGGCCGCACTCTCCGCGCCGCTGCGACGGGCTCTCGTGCAGTCGCGCGGCTTCCAGACCAGCACCAAGAGCCTGCTTCCATCAGCATTCGGCTCCAGCTCCAGCATCCCCCCGTCCTACTTCCAGAGGTCGTCGCTCCCCGCCAACACCGTCATTCGCTTCGTCCCGCAACAGACAGCATGGATCGTGGAGCGCATGGGAAAGTTCAACCGCATCCTCGAACCCGGTCTGGCTATCCTCGTCCCCTTCATCGACCGCATCTCCTACGTTAAGTCGCTCAAGGAAAACGCCCTCGAGATCCCCAGCCAGAGCGCCATCACCGCCGACAACGTCACCCTTGAGCTCGATGGTGTCCTCTACACGCGCGTCTTTGATGCTTACAAGGCCAGGTTTGTTAACGCCATAATATTTGCCCCAGATCATATTGGGCCAGCACGCTGACTCTCTCCCAAGCTACGGAGTCGAAGATGCCGAATACGCCATCTCGCAGTTGGCGCAAACCACGATGCGATCCGAAATCGGCCAGCTAACCCTCGACCACGTCCTCAAGGAGCGCGCAGCCCTCAACACCAACATCACCGCCGCGATCAACGAGGCCGCCCAGGCCTGGGGCGTCACCTGCCTCCGTTACGAGATCCGAGATATCCACGCCCCCGCCGGTGTCGTCGAAGCCATGCACCGACAGGTCACTGCCGAGCGCTCGAAGCGCGCCGAGATTCTCGACTCCGAAGGTCAGAGGCAGTCGGCCATCAACATCGCCGAGGGTAAGAAGCAGAGCGTCATTCTGGCTTCCGAGGCCATGCGCGCCGAGCAGATCAACAGAGCGTCTGGTGAGGCCGAGGCCATCCTCATGAAGGCCAAGGCTACCGCAGCCGGTATCGAGGCCGTTTCCAAGAGCATTGCCGACGGCGAGGATGCGGCGCAGGGCGCCATCAGCTTGTCTGTTGCTGAGAAGTACGTTGACGCGTTTGGCAAGCTGGCCAAGGAGAGCACGGCCGTTGTCGTCCCTGGCAACGTCGGAGACATTTCAAGCATGATTGCCACCGGACTGAGCGTCTACGGCAAGGTTGGCCAGGCTCAGGCTAGGACGATGGCGAAGCAGCTGGTCAACGAGTCAGCGCAGGAGTCCGGCGAGGGTGTGTCTGCGGAGCCCAAGCAGCTGAAGGATTCGGTGCTTGAGAGCTTCGACGAGGCGGCGGGACAGAAATGATTACCTACAGAGTACGGAGCCGGCGTTGATAAACAAACACAACATTGGAGAATCGCCGGGTGTCACATTATGTACTAGTACTACCCACTCAACCAAAAGACGGGCGAGGAAAATGCCCATGCATACATAGGGTTAAAATGACTTGATCAAATATCCCATTGGTATATACTTTCTTGTGTGAATGTGATGTCTCGTACAAAGCCTGGAAACCAGGTGCTGACACACTGCCTTTGTACTTTAAAAGTTTCATCGCTACCATCAAACACTATCAAACAGAGGAGCTCATCAGCGAGATCTTGGTTCTCTGGCAACGACACAGTCCGCCTTCCCACTTTTCACTGGGCTATATCATTATGATAGCATCGGAGCGCTTGTCAAAGAGAATGCCAAGTACACCAGGAAACTATTGCCGCATGGTATAATATGAGGCAAGCAAGTGAAGTAAAGGTAGGTGAGTTATAGAGTAACTATCTGCTCAGCTGATAGTATCATCAGACAGGTTTAAGCCTCAACCTCGTTGCCATATCCTTCTCGGCCGGTGGACCTTGTTCCTCAACTTGTGTTCCGTGACAGGGCCTTCATCTCCCTGCTTCGTGCTCCCATTACGCCGCTCCTCGTTCCCATCCAAGCGAGCCGTGTAATAGTATTACATTCAATAAGAAAAGTCGACGGGGCAAAATGCCGGTGGCCCTATCATGAGGGCAAAAGAAGAAAAAAAGATATCAGAAAGCAATAGCTCATGCAGAAAATGCCCCAGCCTCCCGCTTCGTCCCATCCGAATCACAATTATCCCACCCGCCGTCCAGGGCCCAGAAACACCTCGCCTCTTGTATATCCGTGAGAGAATTCTTTTGTACAGAATATTGTTATCGACCAAAAAGATACAAAAAAAAAAAAAAAAAGAAGAGGGGGAAAAAATGGCCATTTCATGTGCAGGGTATCATGAAGAAGATTATCAGAAATCGTTCCCACACGACGAACAAAGAAGACTTGCTAATTTCGGAAATTTTTCTTCCTCAACTCCAAAATTCAACCGTCGTCACCCCACCAGCCGGCTTCGACTCCCGCGTTGCCGACGGCGCTGAGCCGGACAGCCTTCTTCTTGGACAGCCCCTGGTTGGGGAGACCCAGAGTGCCCTCGGGCGACACGGGCGAGTCGGGCCGCGGGATCCCAAACATTGGCTCGACGTCGCTGTCGCTCTCGACGACTTCGGTGGTGGGCGCCCGCTTCGCGTTCACGTTGTCGGCGGAGGCGGCGTTGCCTCTCGGTCTCAGCGGCGAAGATTCGTGGCGGACCCTCTCGCCCGTCATCAGCATCCGGCCCCGGCTCTTGCTGCCCAAGGTGAATCTGTGGTGGTCCCGGTTCCGGAACATGGACATGCCGCTCGTGAACTCTTCGTCTTCCTCGCTGGCGTTGTCAAAGTCCATAAAGTCGCTGAGGTCGGGGCTCGGCTCCGCAAAGTCCATCGAGTTGACCTTTCCCACCGGCCTGTCCAGGTAGAGCAGGATCCGCTCCTGCTTGGCCTCGCTTGGCAGCGTCTCCTGGACCGGTCTCATCTTCCTCAGGCTAGCCGTCCTCGACGATGCCCCGGACACTGGCTGCGAAGAGGTCGCGGGAAAGTCAAGGTGGCGGGAGTTGCTGCGGTGATGGCTCCTGCCTCGGACCACCGACGCCGGGCGACTGTCAGAGGCACGCGATCCGGCCTTGATGGTGCTGTTCGAGGTTGCCGATGTCTGGTGGCGAAGGGTCTGACCCGGAGGTTCGGGCCAATCCATTTCGGTAATGGTGCCCTGCGAGGAGTTGCGTTGATGGAACGAGGATGAACTTCTCGAGTCGTCTTCGTATTCTGCCAGGACTGATTCACGCATCCGAGCCCGCTTCATCCGGAGAGCCGCAAGCAGCATCTCTTCCTGCCGGGTCACGGCCATGAAGCGAGAGTCTGTGGTGTTGTTGGCATCCGCGGCGCCACCGGAACTCATGAAAGATTCTACAGATGCCGGGCTCATTGGCGGGGTCGGCTGGTCGACCGAGTGCACGGAAGGGGATTTTGTAGACAGCATGCGCTGGGGCGGGTTGGCCATGCGATCCCAGCCTGAGTGAGATTCTTGTGGAGGAAGCACAGCAATCACCCGCGCTTCCTGAGCGCTGTAACTCGAGCGACTTTGCCGCTTGTTCATGGAGTCCGTTGTTGATGTTGACATGGTCGAGTATTGCGATGACCGATTCGAGGCAGGCGGAGGCCGATAGGTAGTTGAGGGCAAAGAGCTCATTCGTGAGCTGACACTGGATGGTTTGCTCGGCGGCGATTTGCTAGGAATGGTGAGATATGTATTGGTCGGGGCAAAGCTGGCATGTTTGACAGACTTCCTCGAGCCTTGTCCCAATGATGGGGCGTCTCGAGATTGTGTCGACCTCAGCGACGAAGGAGCTAAGCTGCCCGCATCGCTACTGCGAGAACCTCCAGTGAATTTTGAGACGGAATCGGGAAAGAAGTCCTCTTCCGAGTCTGATGACAGCGACAGCACACTCTTCTCCATTAGATCGGAACCGTTTAAGCTCTGACTTGTTCGCTTGGAGGCTTTCGAGGTCTTTGTGTAGCGGCTTGAAACACTCGATGCGCAATCACGATCTGTCTGCGTCGGTTGTTGACTAGTTGATAAGGGCAAACATTCTGGTAATGGACCAAATTGGGGCTGGTATGTTGACGTCGTGCCCTCGTGTCTGAGGGGAGGCCTTGAAAAGTTTCTTCTTTGGTCAGTCGTTGATGGCGATCGCAGTGGCGTATGGCCAACACTGGGCAAGGAATGAGTTGATGCAGCGGCCAAAGGACCGTCATGCCCCAGGACTTGGTCAAATGACATTTGCTCGTAATGCTCATACAGATTAGGCAACGTGCTGATGTCGTTGGCGCCCCTGCGGCTGCTTGAACCTGTTCTCGGGCGGCTTCCGGTCGAGTTGAGGCTATCGTATGTGCTCTTTCTCATTAGCTTCCTCTCGACTCTCTGCTGAATCGGCGGCGGCGTGGCTTGGGGCGACGTGACCGAAGCGCGCGAGGGCGATTGATTGGCGTATTCGTTTCCATGTACGGAGCTCGCTCGCTGAGGGTCGGGTTTGCCTTTCAAGCTGTGGTGCTTGTGACGAGACAACAGTGGCCCAAGATCCAGCCGACTGGGCCGCTTCTTGGCTTTCAGGTTCAACGGTGCCGGGTAATTGGTCGACGACTGGCCTTCGATATCGAGGACGGCGTTGGCTTTCTGAGGCAGGCCCTTGGCCATGGCGGAAGATGACGTCTGCTGCGATATGGACAGTGGCATCTTCGCTTTGTCGTACCACGAGGTGATGGTCGAGTTTGAACCACGTCGGGCGAGGCTTGATGTTTCGGTGAACTCCCGCTGGCCGCCTTCGGTGCTCAGCTGCGCGAATCGGTTCGTCAAAAAAGCCGGCAGGACTTCGGACTCCTGTTCCCATTGCGCGTTCGTGTTGTTCCTGCGATTGTTCCCGGCGCAAGCCTCCTCTTCATGGCGCATGCCTCGACTTCTCTCGCTCGCATTATAAGTCGCCGTGCTTTCGGATACGCAGACGCTGATGCCAGAGTTGGAGGCGGAATCCCACTGTCGCGGAGCGTCAATATTGATTTCGGCGGTCCCCAAAATCTTCTGTGCTTTCGACATCGGCCCGGATACAATCGGGCCAAACGGCGGTTTCTGTTTCCTCCCGGGCACGGGGAATGTGAATTTAGAGGTTCGCCCCATCTCGACGAACCGGCGCGGCGGCGGCGACGACCTCTGTTCTTCTGGTCAGCCCGGTTCTTTTGCAAAGCCTTCCTGCCAAGAGCAGCAAACATTCAGAAGAAAGCTGCTGAAGTCTTGGAGCGTGGGTGGCCCAGCGGATTTTCATATGGCAGAGCTCGTGGTTGGAGTGGAGGGAACTACCTTGTCAAAGCAGCTTGACAACCCGCGCTATCGATGCATGCGGTTTGGTGAGCCAGACAGGACGACGAGTCTCCATGCGATGGTGGTATGTTGGTGTTGCTCAAGCTCAATGTTTCTTCTTCCCCAAACGACAATTTGCTGCTCTTGTTGGTCCAATGTCTCTTTCGTGCGAGACGTTCGTGGTCCGTGGTAAAGGTTGAGGCTTTGGTTGCACAGCCGAGTAGATTCCTCTCGAGCGATCCTCCCACTCCGACGGCGACACAAAGAAATGAGACGATGGCCGTCATACGAAGCACCCGAGACCAAGGGGGCGTAGGTAATAAGCCAGACTCCTGTTTGCGTCTCCACCGGCTCAATTTCCAGATCGGTCCGGGCCAGACGGGCTCTCTCGGCTTCAAGCTCTTTTTTCAAGTGGGCTGCTCCTCCACGTGTCGAACATGAGACTTTGGAGCGGAAAAGAGTAAGGACAAGAAAAGATGCAGGGCCCTCCCTATTCCTTGGAAAGTGCGTGCGCGATGATATGGTATGGGGGGGGGGAGCGGTTATGATATCGGGGAAGGGAAACGAACGTGGGAAAAAGTGATTAATTCACCCAGCCAGCACTTTAACGTGTGACGGCCTCTTGGACAGCCACCTGAACCTTACATACCGCACCCTTTACTCTAAAGTCATCCACCTTTTGCCTCGATACATCACCCCTCCTTGGCCGGGGACTGCCTGACTTGCAGGTGATTAGGGTGGGAAGCCGTCCAGATTCTGCATGGGTGGTGGCGGTCCACCGCACGCAATCCTTGCAAGCCACACGAGACGGTGGGAGTGCAAGAGAGCAGGTCGGACAGGCCGCGAACACCAAATTCGTCGTCCTCTCCCACCAGCGAACGTTGATCGCTCCAATAGCCGGCCCTCGGCCTGGCACTTTCTTGGTCCCCTCCCGCGCTGCACAACGACACCCGGGGCTAAGGCAGGGGTTGTCGGCCGGCGGAAACACACCCCTGATCCATGGTTTTGATATTGCAAAGGAGGAATACCTACGTAGTCACGTAGTAATATACACTACGTACGGTACATACAAACAGGATGCTGGTGATTCACTACCTACTGGCAGTGGTTGCAACCCTCAGCCATGGACGGACTGATCAGCTGGCAAAGAGGAAACGGAAACGGAACGTGGAAGCACGGGGCATCAGCTCGATACAACAAACGAATGACGAGAGTGTGAAGACGACACCGATGACACTCGCAATCACCGCCCAATATTCTTTTAATCAATTTGACAGCGTAGGTCGAGCAGGGGGGGGTGAAGGGCCGTGGTTGCGCGAAACCGCGCCCCCGTCCCCTCCCCGAGTCCCCCAAGTCGCCAACCAAAGGCTCGTGAATGCCCTCCCAGGTTTCCAATGAATGATCTCTGCAGGGCATCGCTAGGGCCCCTGAAGAAGTGTGGAGGAGTCTTTGCCCATTTCGGGCATGGGCATACTTCCCACACTCTCTCGTCGGTGATGATCAGCGACGCCATTCAGCAGAAAAAAACCCAGGTCTCACAGCCATTATTCCATAAAATCCATAGCCATCGACGTCGACCTTGGACGAGCGCTTTGGGCCTCTCTCTCTCTCTCTATGCCGCATTCAATTTTGCAAAACTCAGCGCCGGGTTGCAAATCTGCACACGCCCGTCACCTCAGTAGCGGCTTTTGTTGGCAATAGCTTCATTACCGATTCGGGTCCAGAACAACCATCATCCCCTTAGCCTTGCTGCCTCCCCACGCTCTGCAAAATATTTGTACCTACGGATACGGATAGGGATTCAGGAGTCAGCCAGAGAATGAGAGAGAGACTAACTCTGGCCGTTTGAGGGTCATTGTCCGATGGACCGCGGGTGGTCTTGCTCAGCCGCTTCTGTCCTGGTCTTGTCTCAGAATTCCCCAGTTTGCGAATGACCTGCAGCAGCACCGGACGTATAGTGGGCGACACGGGACAGCCAACATCGAGAGGCCCACCGTTGAGGAGAATGCTGATGTCGAGCTGGCAGGACGATGGATTATGATGGATTCAATGTTATGGCAACGCAGCAGCAATAGCATGGAGGTACAATGTAAGCATGTGCCATGCAAACGCCTCTCTGTCCAGAGGCTACGGTTCCGCACCATGGCACCACCCACCGCCCGCTCCAGCTTTGCCAACTCAGAGTCTCAGCCCGCAGCCCGCTGGCGGCTTCGGTTGGTAAATATCAGTGTCACTTCACGATCCCGCCGTTTCCGAACCCAGCAGAGAGACGGGCGGCCCATCCACATGCGGTGGTCGAAAGCACGCCCCTGACTGAACCTGGCCCCATATTCTGGGCCTTACGAAATGCTCCACGTATTCTGGAATGTCCTTTTTTTTTCCTCGCACAGAGTCGCAGAGAGGGGGCATCCTGCTCTGCCTCTCGACATAGCCTGGAGCGGACCGGCGTGGCTGAGATGCTTGCAAAAGGAGTAAGTATTGATGAGCCAGCACTGCTCGCTTGAGCCTAGCACGCTCACAACGAGGAGACAACGACGCGACCGGTTTCCCACAAGGACGAAAAGCAATATGAAAGAGGTCGAGCGTCCCAAGGTCTGTTCTCGTCAGACTCTGCAGACTGAAAAGCAAGTAATCTAAGACCGACTCAGTCGTTGATGAGATGCAGCAGAGCAAGCAAGCTTACTGCTACTCTCCATGACTCGTATCGACATGACTGATCACTTAGAGATGACGCCGTTTTGGGTAGAATGGGAGGGACACTGGATAGAGCAAAAAAAAAAAAACAGAGATGCAGCCCGTCCTGTTATCCTGCGGAACGAAGGATTTGCTTTTTGCGGTGGCGAGTGACTGGTTTCGTCCCGACTTGTAGTGTTCCCATGTGGGCTGGTCCATATCGTCGGGTCCCTTCGCGAACGAGCCTCTTTTTGGATGAGGGACGAACTTCATCGGGCTAGGCGCCGCTCTCGACAGGTCCATCACTTGCCATAGGACGGACACGGACATCACGGCAGTAAGGTACACGCTCACAGACCCTCTCTCTACAACGACGTCGCAGGCACTGGATATTATCGTTCCATCCATCTTTTGTCGAGGGGGGTTGCGAAAAGCCGCGAGGCGAAAGGCCCGTTCTCTCCTACTATTGCGAGAGTAAAGCAAATAGATGGGTGTTGTTAGGAGCAGAAACGGTAAACCGCATTCCCATCAGGTGCAAGAAGTCCGCTACCCAGAACGGATAGATCATCCAACAACCGGTGCCGCTCCCCAATGCAAGCCTCAAGGCAGTGACAGCTTGGCTTCACCCACTTCATCAGAGTGGGATTGACCTTGTGCCGACATGTTCACGGTAACACGACGGCGCTGCACGCAAGCGGCGAAGCCAACAACTCCACTTTCGAAGCCTGCCATTCCATGCTCAATGATGTATTCGGTCGAGCTTGGCGTCCGTGTACACGTCCATCACGGGCTGCCCAGCGAGGGCAGCCCAGGTTCACTTCCAGTTGTACAGGGAGCCTTTGGCAAACGCAAGGTAACTTTTCGCCCAGAAACGTAATTGGACACGCAGTCAGTCCGTCGCGCCGGACTGTGTACGTACAAATACAATGTTTGAGCCAAAGCTCCCAACGCATTTACACTACTGAATACCTGGGGGACGTGCAACAGCACCGTCGGCTCCCAGTCCAATAGTTCGCAGCCGTCAAATTGTGACTCTAACACGTAGTGTACAAACAAAGGGGCACTGGGGCAACGAACGATCCGATGCCAGAGACGGGAGCCCGTGGTTCGTGCACCTGTCAACCCGCCAAGCAGAGCAAATTCAATGTTCTTTTTTCGTACGAATACAGATCGGATTCCACTAAAGGATTTCCAATAGGCTCGTGGCCTGAAGACCAAGGGGAATCCATTGACCACATTTCGCTTGAGTCGATTGCCCATCATCGGTGAGATTAACGATCGAAAGGGGCCGTGGTCATAGACCGGGATACGATGGGCCACATGATTAAAGACCGGCCCTGTCAAAAGCAGCATCGTCAGTTGCCGTATCCACCAAGCTCCCCGAAAAGATTCTATCCAAGCACGCTAGGCAGGCCAGGCCAAGCTCAGGCGTGACAGGCAAACAGGGGCCGCCCCGACAGAGTGAGCTGAGGCATCCTCTCTCTCCTTTGGTGACCTAGAGGCTGTGGGCACGTCCTGATGCTGGACCGGGTCGGACTCGAGCCCCCAAACGCTTAATCACTGTTGCTGTCGAGACTAAACATCGGATGAGTTTGCGCCGAAGCTGCCACTCACCGTGCCATCGCTACAATGCGCCAGCTCAACGAAGGCATAATGAAAATTCGTCGTTTCCATCTTCGAAAGCCCAAGCGACCACCATCCCACCGGATCCTCAAGATATCTGCTGTCGGGGTACTTGCCCAGGCCTGTGTCGCCTCAGTTGAGTGAACCCTTGATCGATAGATTGGCGTCTTTCGCCGAAGCCGGGACATGCGCACGAATGACATCAGGTGCCGCAATGTCTCATAAGAGGAGGTCGAAGACGGTACACGGCATGCTGCTGCTGCGAAGTCTAATTCAACTTGCTGATCCGGATCAGCAACCAGACAAGGCTTCGACATCAAAGGGCAGGCAGAAGCAAGCATCCCTCGAGGAAGGCCTATCACGCATCCCCAAAGCACTTTCACTCAAGCAAACGCCATGGATCGGTACACACACGCGGGCTCGACATCGGGGGTAGCTGGCACTGATCGCTCTGGCAAACTTTCAGAGTGTTGCGGAGCAGAGTTCGGACCGGCTACTAGATCGACGCGTTCATCAACACCATCCTCCAGGCTTCAAACGACAGCTCCTTGGAAGTTGTTGGAGCTTTGGCCCAGCGTTGCAGCATGGATGCTCTTGTATCCATATTGGGATTGCAACATCGCCCTGCACTTTATTATCCAGGCAAAAGACAGCACAGCAGCACAGCTGGCTGCGCTAGCAAAACCCCCCTCCCCCCCCGAGCGTCGCAACCATTGTTCAAAAAGGAAAGTCGGCGATCCATCATCCAAGATCCCAGCCCCGCTGCAGAGCAAGGCTAACCAAGATCTGTTATGGGTGAGGCGGTAGCCATCAGCCCCATCCCATCGTGACTTTGCGTGCCACCGTGACCTTGAGGTTGTTTCGTCACCCTGTCACGCCTGCTTTTCTCGTCTGTTTTTCTCCCCTACTATCCATGATACACTCTCCGTACCCGTCCAAAATGGGCAGTCTGAGTGGACACACCATCGGAGCTTGGAAAGTCAATGCTCCGCAACCAAGCGGCCGGGGGGCTCTGGCCAAATCGTTCTATGATTCTTGAAGGTAGATATTGATTCGCGCTGCTCAGGGGCATAGAACATTGCAACTATCTGCAGGCCTCGCTCATCTTCAATGGCGCGCCAACTCTATACGTTGCCCGCAAAACCGGGCTGCGCGGACGGATATCAGACGTATCTCGCCGCGAAGTCGGCATGCGTTAGGCATCAAGGCCGATGTTCTTTTCTCTGACAGGTCCAGTCCCGCCCCGATGGTGAGTGATGCTTTGACCCCAAAAGCTGCATGTGGGCGCCCATCTTTGCAAAGGAATAAAAAAGCAAAGAAGGTTGAGATAGCCGCCCCTTGTGTGGTCCTGAGCCCCCAAACCTCAAACCCTTGCCGGGTTGATCATCGGAGCTCGGTTCACCTGTTGCGCAAGTCGCTTGTTGACCGCATTTCTTGTTCGAATCCTTCTTCTCCTCTTCCTTCGGACCCCTTCGCGAAGCCGCAGAAGCGATGGATGGGGTCCTCGCCGAGCCCTGATGTTACAGCAACTCTTCTTGGACCTTGGTTGGCTTGCCAGAACCTGCCCGCTTCGCCCATCCTGAACCACGACCCGGCCGCCTCCGTCGGTCGATATCCCGTACGGTAAGTCGGTAACGAGAGCAAAACTCCACCAGCATGGCAGCAAAGCCCTGAGTCGGAAATGCCCCCCCCCTCTCGCGGCCCATTGCCAAACATGTTCATTGCTGCCCGTCCCCGGTTGCTTTGGCCGTGTTGTCGAAGTTTCGCAAACCCTATACAGCAAAGCCCGCAAAGTCGAGCGGGCCAAACTCGTTACCTCAGACTACCATTATGCAGAGCTGGCATCTCGAAACAGGCTAACGGCTGAGAAGAGGCGCCAACCTGCGTTCCGCGCCGCACGAAGCCGCAGGCAAACTGCATCACAGGGGTGTCGGTAGGCTAAGCTGGGCTGGTCAGCAATGTGCAAAAGCCGACGTGTCAACGAGTAAGACCGCCGTCTGTATCCATACAGAGTACAGATACGCCATACGCCATCGTCTTCGGGCCCCCTGGGCCCTGGCACCAGGCCACATCGTGTATTAGGCCGCGGGAGATCTCGCCGATGCTGATACGACGTCGCCCGCTTTCCGACATGACCCAGATCGAGGAAAGTCCAGAGCAAAAGCGAGTCGAGAGAAAGACCCGCACAACCGCCCGGCCGCCGTCGGCCCAATCGCTTGCATCTTGTTACGAGATCGAGCTTACAAACTCTGAGCGTCGTGCTTTGGAGGGTTGGATCCGCAACCGGTGTTCCAGTTGGCGGGGTAGAGAACATCGTGAGGGAAGCAAATTCTTCGCGGGGTAAGTTGGCCGGCCGAGAACTTTTAGCTGCCGACGGTGACGATGTTTCTTCTCTTTTCTTTTTTTGGTTGGACTGGCAGAATCGGTGTTTGTCCGGCCAAGCTTATCGGCTTGGCCCTTGCTTCCTCCCAGAAGTCTCAGTGTGTCGTCAAGTCCGGAATGCATCTCGCGTCTCCCATCTTCAGATTGCACACTATGGCCGAGCAAGGTCATATCCGTGGATCTTGTTCGCAGGCATTCCGCCACAGGGGACATGGTATAGATTTTGCGAGTGTCTGTCTCTTACACTCAGCTTGCTGTCTTCCTGCCCTTGCCGCTTGTTATTCAAGTCTCCTTATGTGCTCATGTTCCTTGGGGGTCCTAGATTCGTCACTTTCTCAAGTGTATTTGTGGCGATGTCTCGTAGCTTCATGTTGAAGTAAGTGTGTAAGGCTTCTCAACTTGATAATATCTGGTAGCCGCAGCTCTTCCAGTGAAAGCACGCGTGTGATACCAAACGGAAGAACTCTTGCGGTAGTTCTCTCCAAGGCTTGATCAACCCTTCGGAGGAGTCTATCAGCACCTCCGCGTGGCATTTAATGCTCCCGTCCGCGATTCTCCCTGCCAACTATGTCCCCTATATCCGTACCGAATGAGTATATTCATTATTCATACCTTTCACTGACAGAATATTACCATCATACAAGCCCATGGATCCTACCGCCAAGAAGCAGATACAGGCGCTTGGAATCCCTCATCCCTCTCTTGCTGGCTGCAGTATTGAAGTTGTGCTGCTTATCAGGGAAGTGATAGTTTTAGGCACTAGGCACTGTTATATGCCCTTCCATTGTAGCAGCCTGGCAACACGAAGCCTAAGTTGAAGGGAGGAGACGCCATTGCAAGAGTCTAAGGATTTGAAGCTCAAATTCGGCAGATCCAAGTCGCCACCTGCTCGTCAGGACATCGATGGTTGCTTTTCCATTTTCACGAACAACTTCGTGGCCCAAAAACGTCTATCTACAAGTAAGTGCCATTTGCATCTATGCTTGATACATCCACTTCCTTCATACGCGGCTTGCAGCCGGGCGCGCTGCTCTATTCGACCGACACCTCGAGCGCATCATTTCAACATGCTTCTCTTAAAGACTTTGAATGGATTCGAGGTCTCGTTTGCTTTCTTCTGTATCCCACTGAGGATATAGAACCGCCGAATCGGTACAGTTTCTCGCCCGCGGATCTGATACTGCCCGCCGACACAGTAACTAAGGTGTGCGATTCAGTCGGGCTACTGCGTAAAGTGTGATGAACTGGTTTTACGATCTGCTGAGATCATAGAACCATCAATTCCAACAATTTTGCAAATTTCCAGTGTTGGCTGGGCACAACGCATATGTACGCGGATTGCTCTGATGACAATGCAAACCCTCTCCTCGAAGCGATGGATCGACCAATGTGACTATGAAAGAGCACGAGTAGACTTTCCAATTTCCCTAGGTCGCAAATTTCTTTCAACATAAGCAAGTTGAATTGAATAGGTGACTGTTGATGTAACTATATTCCTACGGGTATCAACGCTCCAGCAATTCGATCCATGGTCCATCGCCCTCATTGTCCTTCAATCCTTTACTTAGTATTCCTGCTCGACGGTATCAAACGCATAAGAGAAGTATCCAGTGAGCCAAGATAAAGCAGGATGAATTCAACATAAGCTTCGATATCGCAAGGTAACTAACGTACATGTAGGTGAGGAGATGATATGATACGGCCAGAGCGGTATGCCCCGCACTCGACGCGGGGTAGAGATAGGAACGATCAGATCTGCAAGGGAGGCCGAATCTCACTCATCCTTCTCTCATGTAAACGACGTGTGAGCTCGAAAGATGTATAGGTTCATCAGGAATCACCTTCTCCTTTTCCCCGGGACCATCCTGGCGGCCGGGTCGGGTCCATCAGACGAGCAAAAACCACTTACATCTCGGACGTGCCTCGCCCCCCTGCCAGCATCGGACTCTCAAGCCGCCGGCAGCTTCCCGGATTGTACGCGGGATCCTCTTTGCTCCATCAACGTGTGCGACGAATCCCTCTCTCCAAACGAACGGGCCAGGGCGCTGGTAGCTGAGCTCACGATCTGGGAGAAGCTCGATAACCTCGTCAACGAGGCGCCCGGTATTCCGAGACTCGGAATCCCGCCGTATGAGTGGTGGTCCGAGGGCCTCCACGGCGTCGCGTCGTCCCCCGGGACCAAGTTTGCAAAGAGCGGCAACTTTAGCTATGCGACGTCGTTTCCGCAGCCAATCGTCATCGGCTCGGCCTTTGATGATGAGCTGGTGAGGGCGATTGGGGAGGTGGTCAGCAAGGAGGCGAGGGCCTTTAGCAATGATGGTCGATCTGGACTGGACCTCTATGTAAGTGCAGACCAAAGGCATCCCATCGCCCTCACCTAGACCAGATGCTGACAGAGCCTCAGTCTCCCAACATCAACGCCTTTAAAGATCCCCGTTGGGGACGCGGTCAAGAGACGCCCGGCGAGGACCCTTTCCACCTCCAAAACTACGTCGCAGCGATGCTCACGGGCCTCGAGGGGACCGACAAGTCCAAGAAGCTAGTCGCGACGTGCAAGCACTTCGCGGCCAACGACTTTGAGCACTACCAGGGCGTCGACCGCGCCGGGTTCGACGCCATCATCACCACCCAGGAACTCTCCGAGTACTACCTCCCTCCCTTCAAAACGTGCGCCGTCGAGAAGAATGTCGGATCCTTCATGTGCAGCTATAACGGCATCAACGGCACACCACTGTGCGCGAATTCGTATCTCCTTGAAGATATCCTCCGACGGCATTGGCGGTGGGATGGGGATGGGCAGTACATCTCCACGGACTGCGACTGCGTCGCCCTCATGGTTTCGTATCATCATTACGCGCCGGACCTGGGACACGCCGCGGCGTGGTCGATGAAGGCCGGCACCGATCTGGAGTGCAACGCGTTCCCTGGTTCCGAGGCCCTGCAGTTGGCCTGGAACCAGTCTCTCATTTCCGAAAAGGAGGTTGACAGGTCGCTCACGAGGATGTACACGGCGCTGATCTCCGTCGGCCAGTTTGACTCTGCCCGAGAGCAGCCCTTGAGATCATTACTCTGGCAAGACGTCGACACAGAGGAGGCGCGAGAGCTTGCGTACAGAGCAGTCATCGAGGGCTCGGTGCTCCTCAAGAATGACGGACTCCTGCCTCTCTCTCCAGATTCGGGCAAGAAATATGCGCTCATCGGTCCCTGGGCCAAAGCTACGACGCAGATGCAAGGCAACTACTTTGGTCCCGCACCGTACCTGATATCTCCATACCAGGCCGCTCAGGATCACGGGCTCGATTTTACATACACGCTAGGCTCCAAGATCAACGCCTCGGACGATTCGCTTTCTGACGCTCTCAAATCCGCAGCGGAAGCAGACATAATCATCTTCGCGGGCGGCGTCGACAACACGTTGGAAGCCGAGACGCTCGATCGCAAGACCCTGGCCTGGCCGGCGCCTCAGTTGGAGCTTCTCCGCGCCCTCGCCGAGGTCGGTAAGCCGGTCGTCGTGCTTCAGTTTGGCGGCGGGCAGGTGGACGACACGGAGCTCCTGGCCAGCGACTCTATCCGCGCGATTCTATGGGGCGGGTACCCTGGCCAGTCCGGGGGCAAGGCCGCTTTGGACTTGCTCTTTGGACGCGAGGCACCGTCTGGGAGGCTGTCTGTTACGCAGTACCCGGCGGTTTATAACGACGCAGTTCCGTCGACGGATATGAATCTCCGACCAGTCCCGGGTAACTCGGGCCTCGGACGGACATACATGTGGTACCTCGGCGAGACGCCCGTGGCATATGGGTTTGGCTTGCACTATACGACTTTTGACGTCACACTCAAAGCGCTACAGGAGCCTGCTGTAATCGAGACTACAAAAGTCACGTATGTAGCAGACAGCAAGGACTCTAGGGCGCCATCGTGGCAAAAGACCTTGGAGAGACCGATGCTTACTGTTGCCGTGACGGTGACCAACACTGGAGACGTTGCCTCGGACTACGTGGCACTGCTATTCCTCAAATCGGAAGCTGGTCCTGAACCTAGGCCGCTCAAGACCCTTGCAGGGTACACTCGCTTCAGAGGCATTCAGCCCGGTCAGGCTGTAGTGAAGGAAGTTGTCATCACCGTTGAAAGGTTGGTACGAGTCGACGAGCTGGGAAACCGAGTGCTGCATCCTGGCTCGTATGAGGTGTTTGTGGATCTGGATAAGAAAGCGATTCACAAATTCCACGTGGGTGGTCCGGCGGTGATTGTTGAGGAGTTTCCACAACCGAGAGTTTGAAAATGTTAGATCCCGTATGGAAAACGAAGCGGCAGCAAAGGGACGCACTTGGAACGTAATTCTAGGCACCTCGGAACTCATGTGTGAAGATGCTCAGCCCATGTTGAGAAAGGTTCTAAAGTCATAACAGCAACCTATACTCCTTCCTGCCCTGATCTATGTGTTAATATTTGATTGAAGTTTTTGTGGATGGTTCCAAAGCAGTCCTATACTTTCAGGAAGAAAAGAAAGCCCACTATCTGGCAGCTCATAGCAGCTGCGAAATATTATACGAAGATTCTGTTATCGGTCGAGGTGTAAGGCAGTTGAGAAAAATGAATGGATCGTCTGGTTGTTCATTACATAAAGAGTCTGTTGCGTTTTTTGAGTAGATGGTGAGATGGCATATGACTTTTCCCAAATACAAGTCGGCCATTTTTCGACGGCCGTCTACTCAAATCAACATATATTGTCGTGGAGATCATTTCAAGGCTTCTCAAAAGCTCGTTGTCGATAGTCTAGACGGCCCCCC